GACGCCATGGATGAGTCGGGCGACAATCGATCCCTTGCCAGCTTACCAGTCGACCAAGCCTCCATTGTGACATCCTCGACAGACCATTCAAACGGGTTGTCATACGCCCATGGTGAAAAGTATGTGCTCGCTCTTGAAAATGGTTCTTGATTCATTGCTAATAGTATTATAGCTTCCGATACAATGTCACTCTGCGAGCGCCAACCGCAATGGTGAAGCACAAGCGTGAAGTTCCAATCAGCTACCTTAATAAGGGACAAGCCTACAACATGACAGTGATCGACTCAACTCCACCCCTGACCAGTTCCGAACCTGTGCAATACCGGACATTTGTCCGCGTTTCGTTCGACGAAGAAGAGCAAAGGGCGAAACCGTCAGTCTGCTGGCAATTATGGAAAGAGGGCCGAGGATTGAACGAGTCACATCAACGTGGAGGAAAATTGTTGGCCGTTGAATACGTTGACCCTCTCTCGGGGGGTGACGGCAACAAAAACCGCCAGATCCAAATTGAGCAGATGTCATTCGATGGATTTTGTGTTACTTGGACGGCGAACCCGGGAACAGGTGCATCCGACTGCACTATTCCCGTACGATTCAATTTCTTATCAACCGATTTCAGCCATTCGAAGGGTGTCAAGGGTATTCCGGTTCGATTATGCGCGAAGACAGAGATCCTCGTACCAGGGGAAGATTCCGGTGGATCACGCGAATCGGAAGTATCATACTGCAAAGTTAAACTCTTCCGTGACCATGGCGCAGAGCGCAAACTATCCAACGACGTCGCACACGTGAAGAAGACCATCGAGAAGCTGAAGCAGCAAGTCGCACAGGCAGAGATGGGCGGTGGTTATGGCAAGCGGAAGCGCGGCAGTGCCACCGCAAATATGAAGAACGACCGGAACATGAAGGGCTCGAAGCACAAGCGCACTTGGTCCACCTGCTCTGATGATGGATCCGTGGACAAAATGTCCTTGGAAGATGATCTTCAGGCCAAGCTCGCCATGATGCAGGACATGTTCTCATCAACACGCACAGTGAGCGTTCTTGCGCTTCGCGGCGAACAGGATGATGACCCCGATCTTTTCCCGGTTCGAATGCCGGCCGACGGCGATGTTATCCAAGTAGACGGTTTAGGACGCCAGAACCACAGCGCGTCTCAGTCTATGGAATCATTGATTCTTTCTCCGAGCAGTAGCAACGCATCTTCGAATTCTCCTCGTTTAGGCAACTTTACAAATGTGAAGAACGCTTCCGGGGTCCACAAGGTTGCTACCGAGGATCCCACGATAGGCTACATCGAGGCTATCGATATCGACCCGACCTACCATCCTCCAGCAGAGCGACCACCCAAGCCGAGTAAGTTTGAATAATATCCCACACTTAGGATCTATTTACTAATGGCAAATTAGTCGCATGCTTTTACGTTAGATTTGCCGGAAACGACCAACATCCCGACTTTTACCGAGCAATCTACCTCACAGAACGTACCGTCCGAGACCTGATGAAGAAGATCTCCGAAAAGCACCATATCGACCCATCACGCATCGCCCGTATCCTGCATGTCAACCAGAACGGACTCCGGATCATGGTTGATGACGACGTCGTGCGCGAGCTTCCAGAAGGTCAAGACATGATCGCCGATATTTACGAAGCTCAAGGCCCTGGCGGCGGCTTCCACGGGTCTCCCATGGAGATCAAATTAACCTATTAATTCAACCTCAAGCCACGCAAAAGATGAACGACATTTTTGAGCACCCATCTCTCTGGGATACCTTAAGTGTCGTTGCTATCTTTTTCTGCCCTACGACATATCCTGGGTTCTTTCCCGTGGGCTAGCTTGTCATCCGCCCTGCCTGGATCTCGATTACACCTGGCGTGTACATCGTTGCAGGAACATCTTGCTCGCAACCGACATCCTGCGACCTTATTTTCTTTCTTTCCATTTCATCATCTTTATCTCATTGGGCGGTCTATCATCATTTTGGGGGCGTTGGATAGGGAGACAATACACGAGTCTCCCGGCAATGATACCCTGTCAATATATGTTTTCTTTTTTCTCACCTTGTTGATAATTTCTTGGGCTTGGTCCTGTTACGTTTCCTTTATCCCACGGAGTTGAAATCTCCATCGACGGCATATGAAGTCGACTCATGGAGCAAACTGTTCTTGATATACACATTTGCTTTTTTATCCGTGTGACATCTCTTTTTCCAGTTTATTTTGGCTCAGGTATGACGCACACGAAGTTGATACCCCCGTTCTTATCTTGATTGAAGCTTGCTTGATACCGGCTCCATTGTCTGTGGCATTTAATATCGTTGAGCGTTCGGTTGCTTGTTATTTCTCTCTCTCTCTCTCTCTTTTGTCTATCTTCAAAGGCGTATGTACACCGACTTTGGATCTTTTGATACATAGTATAGTCGCCAGAGGGCGGGATTATAAATCAACCGTTTTGATGCATAGGTACAGATTACGATGGCCTCGCTGATACCATCAAGTAATCCTAGTATGTAAATTTACTCTGCTATCATACTATCACAACTAGGCTTTTCGTGGCCACCAACCTTTTCTGTGTGATCAAAAAGCAAAAAGCACGTAATTGAGTCTTTGGACGAATCTACTACGATCGACAGCTTGACAAATAGCTAGTAAAACTCTTTCCCGGGCAAAGCGGAGAAAGAAGCATCCCTTCGGAATTGGGGTTGGGGTACGCAAGTGCGTGGATTTGTGGAGAAGACACACATAGAAGGAACAGTTGCCGGACATTATGGAGATCCGTATAATCCGAAAGTACGAGTAGACCTAGCCAAATTTTCCATTACGGAAATTTGATGAAATTGTGGCTTTGCACAGCCCATTCATGAAATGGAGCTGCAAACTTCCGGGACACCCCCAGAGCCGGTCCCAGCAACCAGGTAACGTATACAGGGCTGTTGGGTGAGTGCCACGGTTGAAGAGGATCTCTAGTTCCATGCTGTTCCATGGTACAACGGTCTCAGAGAAATGTATATCCCTATTGGCTGGGCTCTGGGCCCGGTGGGATGGTAACTACTGTACAACAATAAAATAGGCTCAGTCTCCGTTTTGTCGGTTAGGGTGCTAGCCTCGCTCCGAGCGGAGCAAACCGCTGTTAGGGCAGTGATGATCGTGGGACTTTCTGTTAAAATTAAATTCTTTGGATTTAAACGCTGACATTGACTCCAAAGGCCATTCCACGTGTTTCATATAGAGTAACACATAGGGAAAGTTTGGTGCGAGATCTTCGTTTAATATTTTATTCCCACCATCCCTCTCGCTCTTGATCTCCATCTGGCCGTTGTTCCAACCTATACTCTTCTCGTCTTGAGTTCAATCCACTCTCCTCTCATGACGTCAGGATACTTTTCTCCCCCAAGGCCACTTGACCGCCTCTGAGTTATGACCAACCCGGAGTTACCTTTCTACACGTACATCCCTGCTGCGTACAGGACGGGCCAGAACGGTCTCCGTACCTGTCGATCCCGAAGTCTCATTACATGCTCTCTGACAACCCTAACCTCTAGCTCAAGATTTAGCTAATCCACCGGCTGATTCTGGCTACCCCTCCCTGCGACCCTGCAATCTACGAGTTCGTAACTAAATATTACTGCACCAGATTCCTCCTCTAACTGGCTTCTCGCGTAAAACCTCTCACAAATGTAATTTCCTTTCTGGCCTATGCTAGTCCTCGCTTACTGAAATGACATCATATATAGAACTTTTCTTGGAAGCGGAGTCTAGCAAAACAATTTAAACTGCCAGGAAATGTCCCCACCTTGGATTATTTTTTTTTTCCCACGCGGCTCGTCCCGTTACGGAGAAAGACAACAGTCCAACGCAATTAGGGAGTACATTGTATGTCTGTGTACGGTATTTCAACGCTAATTCGACCCTTTTTTTCCTTTATGGAATAATCGTATTTCCCGATCCTTCATCTGCCTGTTTACCGTGGTAACCTGATACGCCCCGCTGTGACCTGCCTAAACCTAACTACATACACGGGTTAGTGGTATGATTTCAGCATACCAATCCGGATGATACTCACGGCCGCTAGGGCTAGCCTGATGTTGTTAGGCTGCATCGGCAATATTTTAATAGGTAGGTGCATAGACTACCGGCCGTTGGCGTTGATTCAATTCACGTGCCTGTCTTCAGCCCCAAGCTTATTATGGTGGTGCTCGACCATGGCTCCACCGTAGGGCTGATAGACTACTGGCAATGGTTTGTACCAGGTGGTCGGTAGAGCTATTATTCTGAAACCAACGAACTACTCGTTTACTTGAGACAGTTGAGACCGTGGTTGGGGTCGTGGCTTATATAGTTTAAATGAACTTGAAGTACAGTAACTGTAATCAGAGATTCGGTTGGGCGAGTAGTTAGAGTTGTTTTAGATGTCTCCATGCCCAGGTGTACTACTAGTACTAGTAGTATAGGTATCCTGCAACATGGACCTTGGACATTATTGATATCTTTACTCCCATAGCTCTTTACCACCTATGAATAAGTAAGTCTACCTAGATACTAGGTCCCCCTTGGCTTCTACTTGTCCCGAGGCCCTCTGGTTCTAACTGCTACCCAGGAAGTTGGTTATCCTGTTCATCAAAATGGCAGTTTGCTTGGCAGTACTACTACTAGTACTCTACTTAGTACTCTATACTAGAGCTACAACATCCGCTCCTTCCCTCTGTCCATCACCGACACAAACACAAACACAAACAAAACAGAACAAGCCCCGTGATTGTCACATTTCCAGTTCAGGAAGGCACGACCATCACCCACGTGCCTTCCCAGGAACAACGGCTGCCTCTACTCGCGTCTGCTTCCCTCACTTGCTCATCTTCGCCTCTCTTTCTCTCTTCCTCTCTTCCTCTCTCTCACGCTCGTCACTCGCTTTCACCAACCACCGTTCCACTTCCTTCGTTTCTGATCTCTGAAAACCAACCCGACTTTCACTCGCTTTCAAGTCGCATCTTGCCTTTGAAATGAAGTTCACTTTGAACACCATCATGGTGCTCTGGGCACTAATGCTCCTGGCAACTGTCTCCGTCGGCAGCATCAGTAAGTCGTTTTGTTTTACATATTCACACCCTGCCTCTCAGGACTTCTTTACTCGTTCCCAAATGTGCCATCTACCAGTCAAATATCTAACATGTTCCATATCAGACCTGGAGGCTCTCCAAGAGCTTCACCGCCGAGAGGCCCTTGGTCGTCGAGCTGTTATGGCCTACCCGATCATTCCAGCTCCTGATCCCATGGAAATCATTTCCCCTGAGACCATCATCGGTACTGGCTACAGTCTCACAACCATCTCAGCTGTTACCACCCTTTCCGGCGACGAGCCAAGTGGTCCTATCACCATCGTTTCCACTGTGACCGACACCGAATGCCCCGAGAGCACAACTCTTACCAAGACTCTTGTCACTGTGACCAAGTGTCCTGGGAGTGCTGGCTGCACTGGCTTGGTTCCCGGAGCTCAGACTACTAGTGCCAGCGTGGCCGAAGAGTTCACCACCAGAATTGTCACCCAGACCACATGCCCTCACGTTGGCCCATGCACCACGAAGCTCACTACCTTGGTTACTTCCGCTGGAAATCCCGGCACTGGTACAGCTGTAGTGCCCATTCCTACCGGCGGCCATTACTCCAACACTACTGAGATTGTTGTGACAGCTTCGCCGGCCAACAATCCGGGCGGCTCTCACAGCAAGAGCCCTACTGGTCCCACCACTGTTGCCACTTCTACCCCTAAGTTCAATGGTGCCCAGCGTCAACAGGCTATTGTGAACCAGCTCATTGTGGTGGCAGTTTTCATGGTGCTCCTCTTCGAAATCATGTGAGGTTAACGCCTCGTCTACCCTTCATCGGGTGCCTGGCCTGGGTAGTGCCAGCGGATTGCGTCCGGAATTTCTACCCGAAAATGGCGAGGCCGTTGTGCTTTGTTCTAAGTGTTCGAGAATAATAGGGTTGAGCCTTCCACGTTTAATAGTATCTCACTGGATAGGTTCATCAGGCTGCGCACCGAACACTTTTTCTTCTGCTATTTCCTTCTGTTATCTCCTTCTGTTATCTCCTCACGTTGATTATTCTATTCTTAGCGCCGACTAGGGGCAAATCGAATCAACGTTATTATCCATGTTTGTTTTTATGTAGGTATTCTATTTGCTTCAAAAGATGTGAGATCACTCTTGGTGATCAGCCCAAGCAACAATTGTCTCATCTCACTCCTCTTGCCAGCCTGTATCCTCCTGCTGTCCCGGGGAATTCTTGGTCCGATCAGCTTGCTTTCTCCATAGAAGAGCCAGATAATCCGACGTCGTCGCCTCTTCAATCGACTTGTCCTCGCGCACTTTTAGAAATCTTGGAAACCGGAGACTCAGCCCGCGCTCCTCGCTCACCAGCCCAATAGCCGCAGGATATGTCGGACTTAGGGTAATATCTGCAAAGGCCATCTCCCAAACCTCCTGTGGCTCAAACCAGATATCCGGTTCACCGTAGTATTGTACCCAGCTAGGGCGAGAAATAACATTTGGACTGCCTGCGACATATTTATCTTTATTCGCCTGGTAGAACTTGTCCGTAAATCCGGACATGCATTTGGTGACGGCTTCCAAGACTCCCGACTCGGGGTTTCGGACTGCGAGAAGAATCGGGGACCACCATTTGGCTTTGCGGCCTTGGCCGTGCCATCCAGCGACAGGGATGAGGTCGAGAGTTTCAGAGGAGGTACTGTAATCCTTTTTGACTTTGAGCCATGACTCGAGGCGTTTGTCCGGCTCATAGGTAGACAGGAGGGCTTTGCGCCGGTTACTTTTCTCCTTTGTCGGTTTGGCGGATTCAGAGGGCTCCGTTTGTTGATCGGTGTTGCCTGGAAGATCCTTGACGTCGATGGCTCGAGTAGACTCTTTCGGGTCGTTGATTTTGATCGTGTTATCGAGGACTTTGACCATTATACCCTCGCATTTCGTGTCGGTTGCGCTCTTGAAGAACTCCAGTACAGTTTCCGAGTCTGCGGATGTGGCATCGATGCTTTTCACCCACGTAAATCTGTTGGGGATTTCGACAAAAAGACTGCGGAGTAGCTCACGGCGTTCGCGAAATGGTCGGTCCAAAAGAGGCTCCCTATTCAAGTACATTAAATCGAAGGAAAATAGACACACATCAACGGTGATTGCTCCGATTTCGACGTTCTTTTTTGCTCGGTTTGTGAGCGTTTGGAACGGCTGTAGATCGCCCGTTGCCTGGTCCACGGCCACCACTTCCCCTTCTAGGATAAAACTGGACACTCCTTCACCGCGGATCTGTGGGACTAGCGAAACAAGATCGGGGTATTTCTCTGTCATAAGTTCAAGATGGCGAGAGAAGATGGAGACCTTCCCCTTTTCATCACAATGTACTTGAGCCCGTTGACCGTCGTACTTGTACTCGCAGCTAAAGTCCCTGCCTTGAAGCTTCGTTAACATATCGGAAAGGTCGCGGGTGATGCTACCCAGCATAGGCCTGAGAGGAATATGTAATGCAAGACCACATCGAATGAGAAGTTCCTCGGTCACGCCAATCTCCAGCAAACAAGGCACAAGATCATTATAATTAGGATGTCGGGCATATGACGCCTTGACAATTTCCTCGGCGTTGCTGTACATCTCGGCGAGCTCGTCTTTTTTCAGCCGTGCAATTTCTTGCTGAGAGCGAACCTCAAAATCCGCCCCAGTTGGCTTGGAATAAAGAAAAGCACGAGCCAATGCAATAAGCATTGTCGTCTTCACAGCGCCGATTCGCAAATTTTGAACGAGAGTACGAACGATATAACGGCTCTCTTCGGCACCGCGTGTATCCTGCAAGAGCTTTTCAACAATACGCTGCTTCATTTCCTGGCTACCAGTTCCCTTGCTTGTCGCGATTTTGAGCAGTGATTGATATACGCCCTTGATTTTCAACGGCTTTGGCTTGACCAAAGTGAACGCCTGGCGCTTCTTGGCCTCAAAGGCGACATCTCCAGCATCCCCGTGTTTATCATAAAGCGTCTTCAACCCTTGATTATCGAGACCATATATCTTCTTCAGAGCTTTGGAGATGGACGATCCGCCGAGTCCCAGCTCTAGATCATCGAATGGTGGTGAGATCGAGTTGGTCGCCAACCAAACAGCAGGCAACAGACTGGAAGGGTCCGCCTCGATGAGGAGCCGTAGAAAATTGACCAGTGTATCGACTATTTTGATTCGACTGGTAGTCGCATTTGCGAGGACAAAGGCCTTCGTCAACAAGGCGTAGGAAGCATCGCCACCCTGGCTAGTCCAATACGCTCGTAATTCGGCCACATACTTGGCCGTGTCGAATGTTTGTGGATTTTGGTCGAGAGGCACTGTAAGTGACAACGAGTCTTCTGTTCCCACAGAGGACTGTAGGGATAGTGTATTCTTCTTGGGCATTAGCGACGTTGATGTAGCAGTAGTAGGTGTGATGTCCGTGGGGATTGAAGGCGCCGGGGTAGATGCGGATGATGCCTCTAATTCTATTGAGGTGGGTTCATTGCTGTCCGCAGCTACCGAAAGGGAATTCCCCTCTTGATTCCATTCTTCTTGGAGCTTGCGTGCTAATGCTTCATCTGAGAGTGTCTGCTCAGTCACCTCCGGCTGAGGTTCTGACTGGTTGGGCTGTTGGGCTGCTGGCCCCTTGAAGAAGGACTCGATGCTTCTTGTCTTCTGTGGTGATGTATCAACGCCATTTCGCTTGCGCTTCTTTGCCGGACTGGACATTGTTTTTTTATTGCAGTCAGAGGTAAAGCGCAAAAGCGCTAAAAGAGAACGGCGGCTTGTTGCCACTGGGAGAAGCACATGCACAAGCACAAACGCGGGTACGTCAGAGCGGAAGGCGGAGATCGCAACTGGCCTGGACTGGACCACCTTGCGACTCCCCGCTACCTTCACCCTCCAACAATGGCGCCCTCCACGTCGCTCTCATCGCATGAGCGAACCCGAGTGGAAGACTATTTAAATGACAAGATTCAAGTCACGCCCGACCTTGAGAGTCTCGACTCCCTCCTCTCCAACCTCCGCGCTCAGCAGGAGCTTCAACGAAAGCAGGTACTGCTTCCCCTCCTCTATTCTCAACGCCACGATTCTATCACTGGCCTCAGACATACAAGCTGACATATTATCAATTAGCTAGCAGAGGCACAGGAAGCTCTATCGAACGCAACGAAGGCGTCCATTGACCATGCTGAAGCCACTCGTAAACGCGCCGAGACATTTGCGGAGGAACAGGCGGACATCGACCGGCGCTTGAAGGCCATTACGCAATCCGAAACCAGCGATGAAGCAGTGCATCGACTAGAGAAGAGCATGGAGAGGTTCCAACGCCTGGAGTTATCTAAGGGATATGTGGAGCTACTAAGGGAGGCGGAAGAGTTGAGGTAGGCATACATCGAAATGTGGGATGATTGAACAAGTGGGCTGACATTTCTGAAATAGCAAGGAAGCCCTCGCCAGCATCTCCTCCGAGCCTCGCACCGCACTGAAGCCATATGCCCGACTCCGCAATCTCGTGTCTTCGCTGAAAGAAGTCCAACCCGCCGCCGAGGGAGCTGCGCCCCACCTTATCGACTATACCGAGAAACTCGCGTGTGCATTGAGACAACAACTGAAGAAGTTCTTCAGCGATCGACTGCAAAAATCACTCGAATCTATGAAATGGCCAACCCGGGAACTAAATATCACCGATCCATTGTTAGATCAGTGGAGGCAGGATGTTGAGTTACTTATCGATTTACAAACGCCGTATGCTGTCAAAAATTCTCACCGTCCCCGAACTCTCGGCTAACCAAAAAATAGCGAGCTACCGGGCCGAGATGCGTTAGCACCTGGTTCCACTATTCAGCCTCCAGTCCTCTTCCCATTAGAGATGATGGTGCATTCGCTCGAGCTCCGATTCAAATATCACTTTAGCGGCGACAAGCCAACCAACAGGCTTGACAAGGTATCTATTTTCCATATTCCGTGAGCTTAGAACATGCACATTTACTGATGCACCTCTAGCCTGAATATTTCTTGTCCCACGTCATGGATCTAATAAATCAATTCGGAGGCTTCTTCACATCATATCTCCAACCTATTCTTGACGAAAAGGCCCAGGCTGCGGATCAATGTTTTGAGTGGAATTTCTATAATGCACTGCATGCTTTTATTAACGCTCTTCTGCCCATCCTGAGGCAAAAAATCGATTCATTTCTTCCTCAGATCGCAGACCACCCCCAGTTACTGAGCCACTTCATCCACGAGCTCATGAATTTTGACAACGACATTCGCGAGACTTGGAATTACCTACCAGATCCCTACCAAGAAGGAAATTGGAGGGGGCTGACCTCGGAGGTTCTGACAAAGCAGGGCTGGTACGATCGTTGGCTTCAAGTCGAGAAAGAATTCGCATTAGCTCGATACAGAGACATTATCGACAATCCTGATAGTGGGCATATCGACTATGATGGCATCGAGCTCACCGCGACTAAGCCGACTAAGGCTGCAATCCGTGTAAACGATCTTCTGGAAACTATCACCGAACGTTATCAACCTTTGACTTCGTTCAGTCAGAAACTCCGATTCTTGATTGACATTCAAATCACAATTTTCGATCAATTTCATGAGCGTCTCCACTCCGCTTTGGAGGCATATCTTGCCATGACATCTACACTCGGTCGCACAGTGCAGGGTGCTGATGGCCAAGCCAGCGTGGAAGGTGTTGCGGGCCTTGAGCGACTCTGCAGAGTCTTCGGCAGTGCCGAGTACCTTGAAAGGAAAATGGAAGACTGGAGCAACGATGTGTTCTTTGTTGAGTTATGGTCCGAGTTACAAGAACGGGTTCGCCAAAATCGCGACGGTGGCAAGAATGTCGCGGGCAACATGTCCATTGCGGAAGTGGCATCTCGCACGTCTCCAGCCGTGGCAACCAACGACGCAACTAGTGAACAGTCCTCATCTGATGGTGCACTCTTTGATGAAACCGCCTCTGCCTACCGCCGTCTTCGATTGCGATCTGAATCCATCATCATCTCGACGTTGACTTCGAACGTAACGACTGCTTTGAAACCTTACTCTCGTGTATCGACCTGGGCAACTATTTCCACACCCTCCACAGGTGCTTCATCATCTCCTCTCTCCCTAACATCTGACCTGGCACATGCAATCCGCACCCTATCCACCCAGGTCTCCTTTCTCTCTAGTGCACTTGGTGTTGCTTCTCTTCGCCGGGTTTCCCGCCAGCTTCTCCTTTCCATACAGACTTATATCTGGGATAACGTACTGATGAGAAATGCGTTTTCTGCCACGGGTGCGGCACAGCTGTTCAGTGATGTGGACCATATCTGCAATGTGATCGACACCTCCCTTGGTGTAGCCGGTCATGCTGGGGGTGCTCTACAGATTGTGAAGAAGTTGAATGATGGCCTGCGTCTCCTCCAACTGGATGCATCGCCAGCTGAAGATGGCACCGATGATGCAGAATCGAACCCAGGGTTGTGGGACGTGGAGAGGAGGTTATTTAAGGACAACGAGAGTGCCCGGACTGCGCTTGTCGAGCTAGAGGTCGATGGGCTGACGGAGGCCGAAGCTCGGTCGGTGCTGGAGCGCAGAGTTGAGATCGGAAACTAGAGGGGAGACTCAAGGCTCTAGAGAAAACCCCGATCAGTTTATATTCAATAATATCCATATATGCGTCTAATCCGATGTATGTAACTAAAAACATGTACAAATTCCATCTTTGAGGCATTGTTCAAGTGTGGTGAACAACAGGCCCATGTCCATGTTCAACCAGTCGCTTCAGAGGAACGACTGGCGTAGTCACCTTCAAGGACTCGACAATACCTGGTCCAACTTCCTCAATGGCACGTACAAGAGACTCCACCGTCTCTTTGCTGGTGGTGACATTGACGACACATCGGAAGAACTTGCCACTTCCAACAGCATTCTCGTCCCCACTAGGAGGCGCGAAATCCACCATGAAGCCCTTGGGAACGATGGCGTGTGTAATCTGCTCGGTAACCTTGCTGTTATTCTTGCCCCGCTGCTCTTCGTTCGAAACGATGTCTGATTCCCGCGAGTATACAAACTCCTTGCCAGGAGCATAGTAGAAACAAACTTGCAAGCACGGCGGCGCATTCTCGCTGACGAGAATAAAGTTCGGGTTCTTCGAAACGAGAGTTGCCAGGTGAGCGGCAATGTCGCAAGCAGTATCGATTTGCTGCTCATACCCCTCGGATCCGTAGTATGTCCAGCCCAGGAATAGCTTCAAAGAATCGGCACGACGACCACACTGCAAAGTTAGGTCCGCCAAGTCCCAGATTTCGGGGGAGTCCACATCTAGTTCCGCGTCGTGCCCATCCCCATTTGCAGTGACCTCGGTATCCTCATTGTGGAAGAGGTATCCCGCGGGAAGCGTGTTCGCTTTATGAAACTGGCGCATATCGGATGCCAGAAGGAATGAACATGTCACCGGAACTCCGAGCATTTTGTGTGGGTTGATCGCAATACTGTTTGCTTTCTCAGAGCCACCCAGTTTATACCTCTGTCGCTGCGAGAAAACAAACGAGCCACCCCAAGACCCGTCAATATGGAACCATAAGTTATACTTTTGACAGATTGCTGCGATTTCCTCAAATGGATCAAAAGAGCCCATTACTGTCGTTCCAGCTGTGGCATTCACATAGAACGGGGTTCGTCCCTCACTTTGAGCCTTCTGAACCAGCTTCTCCAATTCTGCAGGAATCATACGGCCATACTTGTCAATTGGCACAGCCCAAACAGCTCGACTACCAAATCCAAGCATTTGTGCGGCCTTCTCCACACTGTAATGGCCATGGACACTGGTGAACAGCACGAACTTGTAGCCACCGTTACCGTCCTCCTTGGTACTAGGATAGAGATTATTGCGTGCAATAACGATGGAGGTAGTATTAGAAGCCGAGCCACCCTGCACCGAGATTCCACCAGCGCGCGGTCCGTTCAATCCAAAAAGAGTCGCGAGTCGCTGACCGGTATATTTCTCGATGACCGTCAGCGCGGGCGAGACTTGGTAAACATGGACATTGGTATTCAACGCGGCAAGGATCAATTCTGCTGCCACACCGGGGGCATTCGTCGAGGCATATAGCTTGTCTAGAAATCCCTGGTGCCAGGTGTTGACCGAGTATTTCAGGACTTTCTGCAACACTTCGATCAGACCGTCTTGGTGTCGACCTTGTTCGGGGATCTCGAGTTGAAGGATATCTCGGAGCTCCTCAGGCTTTCTATAGTCAACTAGGGATGCTCCGTATGAGTGCCCGTTTGCACTATTCGTTCCGTTCGTTCCGTTCGTTCCGTTCGTGCCATTGGTGCCATTCTTTTGCGGGATGACTGTCGGCTCGTCGGCAGCTCGGATAAAGGGAATGAGGAGATCTTCGACGGCTTTCAAGAGCTGTTGGGGGAGAAAATGTTAGCTTTTATTGCTTCTCTGGTGTGACTACCCCATCAATTCCATGTACAGGGCCTGGTGTCTCACATTTTGCACCTCATCGGCGCGACTAGATGACGAGATCTCCGACATCTAGGCAATCTGTCGCAGTAGCTAGACTCTCAAAGCGTGATATATACAGTGGAACACTGCTCCACGAGAGTAAGTAATTAACAGCGAACGAGGAAGATAGTAATAGAGGAGGTGAGAAGAGATAGTGTGCCTGTTCCGGCAAAGGAAAAAAAAAGGTTCTCGATGCGCCGATGCCGCCGGAGATGGCGACAGTCTCCGGGTGCCTGACATCATCAGATCGGCCCGCACGAGAACGAATGGGCATGCCTATTGGGACTCGGATTGAAATTGACGAGTGGAGTTGTATATAAGCCGTCTATGAGTTCACTGGATTGTAACTTCTTCTCCGTCCAAGTATTCCAGTACATCTCAATGGGGGAGGGGCATCGTTTTGCCCCGCGGCAATGCAATCTTATCGGGATCTGCCAATATTCATCAATGTACGATTTAAGGTGAGGCCTACATGGTATATACTAGTACATCATTGTATATTGGAAAGATCGAGTGGTCTTGGTCTTGGTCTTCGGCACATGAAACATTTTAATCTATTCGTACATGAACTTTTTTTTGGAGCCAAAATCTATCGGGATAAGGCTGGCCAATTGGGGCTCGAGGCGCGGAGACCTGTGCCCTGCTGCATGCAGCCCACTCCGACATGCAGGCTGCTAAATCGCATCAAATGTGGTATTGTATAATTCATCAAATGGGTATGTGCTTCGCTCAGTTGGCAGCTGCAGCTGCAGCTGCGGCTTCGGCCTGCTTGGCTGCAAATCGCTCGGCCGCTAACTCGATTTTCGATTTAGGTCGGACTCCGGTGTTGTCACCCTCGGGTTGTTGCTCAATGCCCTTGGCTCGGGCTTTCCATTCACCTCGTCGACGGTTGTGGAGATCCATTGACCAGTTGCGCCACACAGCTCGACCCAGGAAGGAGTCGCGCAGAGTCATTTCATTCTGTGCCAACTCCTGCGCCAGTCGCTCCTTGACGAAGAAAATATCCTTCGTGGCCGACCAGAGTGAGTCCACCACATGAGACCCGCTGCTGTGAAGAGAAAGCTCGACCATGTGGCCCTGGAAGCGAGTGGTGAACTGTCGGCGGAACTGCTGTGTGGATGTCGGGAGGGTCAAGGCTTGTTGGAGAACACGGGAGGAAGTAGGTTCCTTGGCAAGTTTGAGAACAGAATCGGAGGGTTGCGCAAGGAGACTAGAGAATACAAGATCCCCAAGTGGACCGGGTACTGTCAACATAGCTTGTGCCAGAAGAGATCCATGAAGCTTCTCTGCGGAAGCGACTGAGTTTTTGCCCGACCTCTTCCTCGTTCCTCGCTCCTCGTCATCTGCGTCCTCCATAACTTGGTCTTCAGGGCCATCCTCGGCTGTCTCGTCGAGTCGGAGCATCTGTCGGAGTCGGACAGCAGGATCCTTCGCGTAGGCCTCCTCGAGTGCCTTTGCAAATGGCTTGGTATCAACATTCCGAATAACACATCGCTCAATCAATACCCGTGGTACAATGAGACGTGTTCTCTCAATAAGTCCTGGGACCTCTGGAATGATGCGCTCCATTGCGTCCTGCAGATCATCCTTTCCAAGTCGCTCCAGTGTCCGAAGAACGACGTAACCCGCAGTGATGTTTCGGGAAAGCGATCCAATGCGCTCGGAAATATTGTTCTTGTAAAGGTTCTTGAAGACTTTGCCTGGCATATGACGCACCATGGTCTCGACCAAACGCGAGCCGACTGGGTCGTACAGCAAACCCCGAATGAAAGTTGCAGTTTCCGTTCCCTCTTCGAAGGACTCGTCAGGGACGAGTCGTCGCAGAATAGAATTGGAATCCTTGGCGCTGGATTTTCCGAAGTGGGAGAGCTCCAGGAATAGCAGGACTTGCAGAACTGGATTGCCAACGGGGTGGCTAGCTAGAGCCCTCAAGTAGGTGTTATCCAGACCAGCAACCATATCATTCATGATCTTCTTCAATGCAGGCGCAAATGACTCTGGGACACTTCGCTTCTTGGTAGAAGTCTTCTCCTCCTGAGAACCGGCTCCAGGAAGACCCAGTCTCTCCTTCTTGCGGCTCGCGACAACCGAATCGTTTGACACGACATCTACCGGCTCGCCCGCAAGGACAAGCAAAAGCACACGGATAGTATGCGACGCAAATCGCTCTGTCAGTAGATATCCCCAATTGCTCTTCAATTCCTCAATGACGGTCATGAACATATCGGCGAGAGAAAGTTCAGGCTCGGTATCTTCGTCGTCGTCGTTGTCATCCTCCTCGGTCGATCGCTTATTTTGAGAATTCGGTGTCTTCGCCATGACAGCAGGGGCAGCGTGAATAAAAAGGGTTTCACAGCAATGACTGGCAAATCGGTGCTGTACAAGATGAAGGAAATGGCCAATGAATTTGCTGAAAATCCGTCGGATTTGCCGAGTATCTGACATCGAGATCAATTTCTCCATGAGCCTCGAGCAGCCTTGACTGCAGGCAATCTTCAATTCCTTTCCATTGGCCTCTTGGTATACACTTTCGATGAACAGGTTCTTCTCTTCGGCGTCGGCGAATTGGTTCGCTTCGAGCATTTCACTGGCACGCGAGAAATACTCCGCCTCCTCGGCGTCGAGCAGACCAAAGAACACATCACCCGAATCCTCACGACCTGCATCTTCTTGTCGATCCTCAGTATCGAAAGGAATGTAATCGGCGTTCTCGTTGTAGGCGTCGGAGGTCTCGATCACATCGGGGTCGGTACCGGCGTCAGTAGACGGCTTCATGCGCTTGGCTGAGGGAGCCTCGAGGGTCTCGTCATGGTCACGTTTCGCCTCTTCTCCTTTCTGAGCCTTTTGCTCGGCCCGTCGGCCTCTCTTTTGATTTTCGCGAGGCATGACGGCGGTGTTCGTAAAAAAAGAGCTCGGCCGGCTGGAAATTTTTTGGATAAGCAGTGGTCCAAGCGTATCCAGCAGATACACCGCCTACCCTATGGTTTCTGCCGTGCTCAGGTAAGCATACTAGTACTAGTAGTAACTAACTAGTTACTGGTAGTAGTACTATGAAGTGCTGCAGCTGCAGCTGCAGCTACCATTTAGAAATATTGATCATGGAATTGAGATGGTTGGCCAAATTAAAATACACATTTTGTTACACAGATATCATACAGTTTCTTTCACCGACCATTGCTTATACCACTGAGTATATGGCCGAGACATGCCGGCCACATTCGACGCGCTGTTCCATATACACATTTCGTTTGCCAACCTTCCCCTTGTGTCGTGGCATGATTTGCAGTCTTGCCTCGGGCTCGGGATTCTTGGATGACTCCGCGGGTGCCTTGATGTACGACGGTTTAGCGAGGTTTGCTCGCTTTCCAGTGCCCAATTGGAAGTTTTCATTGCCTCCCCACCAGAAGGCTTCGTAGCCCCAGTCACTTGATTTATCCAAGGCATCTGTGTTTTGCGCGCTGAGGTTCGTCTTATTATTCAACAATGCGGCGACGTGGGTGGTGCCGACAGACATGGTACGAAGCCGGATTGGGAGCATCTGCTTCGTCTTCTCATCATACTCGCCTAGACCACTCAAGTCTTTCACCTTGATGGGAGAGTCTTGTAAATGTATCCATTTGCCAGCACCAAGTGTGCCCCACACTCCTCGACCACAGGACCATGTGTCGGCCGTGATTCTGCCCAGATCGCGGACCTTGGTGGGATCTTCCTCTGGGCCTAGAATACGCTTGGAATCCACGGTAAAGAATGTGTTGGCTCCGCCGGCGGCTATACTAGTGACCTTTGGCGAATAGATGCTTAGACGATATAGCTTCTTCAAAGAGAGAACGGAAGGTGTGTCGTTGAATGGGTGTTCCGGCAGAAATTCCACACCAAGCTGCCCAAAGGAATTATCACCCCAAGCAAACAGCCTTCCGTCTTTGCTCAACGCCAGTGAATGATAGTCTCCTGATGCAATTTGGGTGATCTTAGAACCGTTGAGGCTTGTGACTTCATGACAAGTATCTACGGGCCCGCTTGGTCGTGTTGTGAAGGACAGCCCAGGTACACCAAGTTGGCCGAGTGATGGATAGTGTTCTGTGGATGCAGCTGCAGTAAAAACACGACCAGAGCTGGTAAGTAGAACAACATGCTCCAGGCCACCTCGGATCAAGGTAACACTCTCTCCAAGCTTCAATGACGGCTTGAGAACACGATAGCTCAATGTGGACTGACTACCCCAGAAAGGCATCCATGAGCTCTCCCGTGATTTCGGCCCGTTGCCTTGGTCGTGTTTGGAGATGGGCAGAGAATAAATGGTTCCATTCGAAGATAATGCGACGATACGGCTTTCGGAAAGCGCAAGTGATGTCAAATTCTTGCCAACCAGGGTCTTTGTCGGCTTATACTCAGTCTCTGAATATCCCTTGCCCCACTGAACCAGGTCTCCATTCTCCGTGATTGCGGCGCCGGACTTCTCATCAATCTTGAAATCCCGCAGAACTTGGCCATTGAAATACTTAAAGCGCCGGGGTGTTTTGACGTCGGAATCCTTAGATTCCGGCGCAACAACCTTGTGAGAATTAGAGCCCCATGTATAGACCCCGGGACTCTTCAAGCTTCGCTTCTCCTGGATAAAGTCGGCACGAAGGTCGTTCACATCAATGACTTCCTTTTTCACCTCCTTCTGGCGCTCGATCCAAGCCTCCCAGTCACCATTCATATATGTATAGCCAAGATAGGTTGCAGTTCCAGCCAGTGCGAATCCGAAAGAGTTGCGAAACCAATGCGACGATGGGTTCGATTTCGATTTCGATTTACCACTTGCGAAACGGCGACAAGCTGCATTGAGAGTGGGATGATAAGCGGCGCTGGGGAGACTGGCGAGACGAGCCAGCTGCGTCGCAGGCCGTCGCACTTGAGTGATCATCATGTTCGTTGGGTTTTTTTTCGATCTCGATTAGGGTATGCCTATGAGACTTCGAAACAAACTGGGCGAGTCGATGGCCAAACTAGCTGGGGAAGCTTTGCGTGAGATGATGAAGCGGAGGTCGGTGGCAGAATGCGGCGGTCGTGGGCGGCGCAGTTGAACACCTTCGCACTCCGGATTCGCATTCGCTCACTCTCTAGCAGCTAGCTTTTTACAGGTTCTGAAGAAGGCATGAGCTGGAGTCTGCCTTCTCTAAACACGGGCCTCTGACTGCACCATGCCATCCACAAAGCAGCAGCGTGCCCGCCGCCAGACTGCACCATCTGGACCGCCGCGGCAGCCAACCGCTCTCGAAACCCAAGTCGGCCTCGAAACGACACAGGAGCACTCCTCGGACTTGCCGAAAAGCAGTATTCCAAACTGGAACAATGAGCTTGAATTCTCCTCATGGCTCAATGGTGTCAAGGATGACTTGGTAGAGGAAAGCTACGACCAATATCAGTATGTGCCATCGATGTGGGGGTAGGGTGTCAGTAAGACTAATCAGCTATGCTTTTCATGAAATAGGGGCACATTAGATGACCTTCAACAATCAAAAGAACACATAGATGAAATCCTTACAAGCACATTGACCCTCCTCGATGACCTTTCCAACCTATCCGAATCATTCAGATCTGTCGAGTCGCAAACATCCAACTTCGAGAAGCAATGCGAGGGGCTGCTAGCTGCCCAAGAACGGGACATGAAGCTGGCAAATGGAATCCAGAATAATCTCCATTATTATGACTTCTTGGACCCTGCCTCGCGACGACTCAATGCGCCAGGCGCTGGAAACACGGTCCGCGATAAGGAGTTCTCTGATATGCTGAGGCGTTTAGATGTTTGCTTAGACTACATGGAGAGACATGTCAGTTTCACTTTGCTTAGTCTGATTTTATTCTCTACTGACATTTACCCCAGCCTGAGCAAAAAGAAGCAGAGGTCTATCGCTCCAGATACCGACTACTCCTCACTCGCGCCCTTACCCTCATCCGCGGAAATTTCGTAAGCGCCCTTCGGGATATCTACCAAAACGTTTCGAAAAAGATCTCCGACCAGCAATTGAATGACACGGCATTGTCTGCTCTCCTTTACGCTAAATTCAGAGTTGGGGCACCAGATATGAAGCAAATCGGCGTGGAAATCCAGAAGAGAGCAGTTCCACCCCTCAACCCAGATCAAAATAACGAAGCCGAGTACCAGAGCTTGATGAACGAACTGCACAACAATTATGCAGCCACCCGATCACGACTCATAGTGCCCCTCGCTCGCAAGAAGCTCATTGAGATCACCCAAACGCCTAGTTCGTCCAAGGATCTAGTCTCATTTGCGAGAGCGAGCATCAGCTACATCCGAGGTTTGTGTTTGGATGAATATGATCTGTGGGGAGAATGGTTCCATGGACAAGGAGGATTGTATGACTTTCTTGAAGCTATTTGCGAGCCGCTGTATGACCATCTCCGCCCTCGTATCATCCACGAGACCGATATCGTCAATCTCTGTCAACTTTGCACCCTGCTGCAAACACGGTATTTCTTGGACCCAGAAGATGAAACGGAGCCCACAGATACGAATCAGCTCGACTTTTCTATTTTGATCCAGCCTGCTCTACAGGACGTCCAAACTCGTCTAGTCTTCCGTGCTCAGGCAATTCTTCAAGATAGCATTGAGCGATACAAGCCTCGTCCGGAGGATATTGATTATCCAATGCATAGCCGACAAGTATCCTTGACAATTACCGACACCCAAATATCAGGAAAAAAAGACACTACAGCCGATACCATGATCGACATGACAAACACTACCAAGGAGGGTGAAAATTCCGAGGATGATGCGCAGGAGAAAGGTGGAAAGTGGGACTTTGAGACCCAAACCGCTCTGAAAGGGTGGTATCCGACATTAAGAAAGGCAATTTGGCTTCTCAGCCGGATCTATCGGCTTGTCAACGTAAGTCTCTTATACCAAGTTTGATTCATGTCATGACCAATAATACTTATGCATGTGTCCCAGTCAACTGTCTTTGATGATCTCGCCCATCAGATCGTTCACCAAACTACTGAATCTCTTCACAGCGCCAGCCTCATGATCTCCGGAAAATCGACGCCGGCGGACGGACAACTGTTCTTAATGAGTCATCTTCTCATTCTAAAACAGCAAATTGTCGCCTTTGACATTGAATTTGTTGCCCCAGACGTCTCACTTGACTTCTCTGGTGTCACCAGCACATTTTGGGAGCTGCGTGAACGTGGTGGGTTGTTCAACCCTCGCAACTTGATGCGTCTCGTTGGCCATGGCCTCGTTCCACGTGTTGTGGAGAATATGCTTGATGCCAAGGTTGAGCTGGATGGCCGTCTCCGCACCGTCATCAACGATTTTATTAATGCATTTGCCGCTCGGATGACTGCCTCTTTACCATCCAAGTTTGTGGATACACGAAATTTACAACCTGGGGAACTCACCCATCCCACTTGCCATACCATCGAAAAGGAGGTTCCGAACCTTCGAAAAATCCTGAACGCATATATCGATGATACCCGCATGAAGGAAACTCTTGTTGGTGCGGTGCAAGATCGCACGATTCAGATATATGAAGACTTCCTGGACAAGTACACATCTTCTATGAAGGGCAAGGGGAATTCTGTCAGCAACAAAGGCAAAGGTCGTGACGATGCAGTTTGGGATATTGAGACATTTGCAGATTGGTGCGAGGGTATCTTCCGAGTCGGTGTCGCAGGCCTCCAGGCTCAGCAGACTGACCTGCATGGCGATGACGATGATGTTCTAAGCACGAGCTCATGAGTCTTTATATCCCTTTTCGAGCCCTCGCATCTTGAGCATAGATACCACATGAATAGTTAGCGGCCGTAAATGTACATGTATGAACCAGCAATAACTATGGATAATTTTGCGTCCTGATGATGCAAATTCTACAACCAGAAATCCGAGGCACTGCGAAACCCCTGGATACCGAATTTAAGATTTGACGTCCTTATTTCTTATGTATTCCAGGAAGGATTGCAGATCGATAGAATCAGGGATCAAAGTTCAGGCAGCACAGCCCCGTCGGGCCAACGCAGCCTTGCGAAGTGGATCTACAGCCTGGCAGAAGCTCGTTTTAGTAAAATCATATAAAGCCGTCCTCGCCCCCAGGAATGTTCGCAGTCGATATCCTAACAGCCAGGATACGATGGACCACATGAAGAGAGACACAGACGCACCGTCATACGGGGCCCTTTGCACCGGTCTACCCTCACCGGAAATGAGGCCTGACCAGCCTAAATCCCTTCTGCTAGTCTTCCTAGCTGACTTTGAAGAGCCTCATAAGGAGAGGCTCATAAACCATGTCCGTCCAGCGACTAGCGAATTTAAAATACTGACGTGGCACCCAAATCATGAAGTCCTACGATCTATTGCGCCACAAAGAAGGTACAGGGACAGCCAAGTCAATTTATATGGACTTGCCATTGTGGCCCACCGAAATGGACATTCAGGTTTTATCTTCGCAGATGAGTTGACAAAGCGCCAAGTGGAAGGGCATTTTCCTCTGCGTGGAGAAGATGGGCGCATCTCCGTGGGGATGATTTCCGTGAGGCAGAAGGAACAACATGGCCAGCTTCGCATTGTTGCCAAGCGTTCAGCGTTGGAAAACGACGAAAATATTGCCTTATTAGCAGCCGTGGAGAATTTCGACATCTCACAAGATTTCAACAACCCAAAGAACGAAAATTTCGTCACAACTGTGTACTCAGAGCTTGGGCTCGAGCTGCACGACCCAGACCATCCTGTGTTTACTCCAAGTACAATGGACTCCTTTGCCTATGAGGAGATTTCGGCTGCTGCTATAAAGGCCCTATCTATGAACACGCCATTGCCTCCTGAGTTGGTCATAGATATCACATCTCGGTTAGAAAGGAATCTGGAAGAAGTGATCAAATTTCCACCTGGGTTGAACTTCCAAATTGAGACGCCAAATATTAATATACTTCTCGGCTTTCAGACAACTCAAACTGAACGTGAAAACATACTGTCTGTTTTGAAAGATGCTGTGCATCTTGAGTTTGAGAAGCAAAGGCAAGAGCAAAAGAAGGAGCTCGAGATCAAGGCAGAGGCAAAGCAAAAGAGGACAAGCATGAGTGAGACCGATGAGGAGAAGGAGCGGGAGGACGGGGACAAAGATGACGCTGTGAGCTCTAGGGACTTCCACGATGCGGGACACCTTGAGCCCAGTGTTCATCTTATTCCTTGGGAACAGAAGCGACCCCCATCCCGTCGCGATATCTTGAATGTTTTTGAAGCGGTCGCCGCATATCCGGGTACTGGGCCTTTCAAGCTACCATATCTTCTCATGAAGCCGACTGAGAATTGCAGCGAAGCCCTGACTGAGTTAATCTCCATTGAAGACACTGAAATGGGACCCAGTGTCCGTCAGATTACGTTGAATGAAATGATACAATATAAAGGAGTGCGACCAACCGCCTTGGACTTTGCGAGATACTACGGAGATGGACAAATGGAATTGATGCCGTCGCCACGCATTATATCATCCGGATTCGACGAGCCCTTTTACCCCATTTCGCACCCTTGGAATGCTATTGGGCGCATGAATTCGATCCCATTGTTCTTCCTCACAAACAAGCTCAGTGATGAGCAAGTCACGGCACTTTACGAGGAGATCCGAACTATGGGCGAGATCGACGACGATGACTGGGGTAAGAAGGTCATTTGCCCTGTCCTTTGGAAGGAAGATGAGCCAGATGCAGAAGATGGGACACCGGCCGATATGTGGAGGCTCTACACCGAAGTCCACGATGGCTGCGAAGATCCTCTTTTTTTCGCAGACCTGCAGTCTGGAAACGATCTCAAAGTTATCGTGACCGATCAGAATTATGTCGGCGATCCGGATCCAGACGATGAAGAATCCTGCGAGCTACTAAAGGGCGTGGAACAGCCGAGTTTTCGCGGACTTACCTACGGCCGGCTACCTGGCCGCGAGGCACACATCGTATGGATGAATCTCAACATCGCCAATATGGGCATTGATGAGTATTTTGACGATGAGAATACATGCGAAAATTACTTCAGGCCGGATTGGCCGTGCCATGACAGGATGGATGAGTATAATGAATGGATTCCTAGGGAGGAAATGGAGTGAAAAGGTCGAGGCAATGAGGAAGGGCTGGGGCTATCTAAATGAGGCAGGACACCCCTTGCGATAGATGAACTAGTACCAGGTACGCTGTAGGGCCGACTGGTGGATAGGATTTAAAGGACGTTAATTGTCGTGGTAGAGAACTTGAAAAATTGATATGCACTCTGTTCTGGGCAACAAGTGTCTTGATGTGTAAAGTTTTCACCAGTCTTTCATGAAAGAATTTCGTTATGTGCAAAATCCGTGGACACCATTTCCCAATCGATTGACAGTAGCCGACTTCCGCTTGAATGAAAATAAAACACCAGGGGGTATGTATGTACTAAGATACAAGAACGAGACACAGCTGATTACCATATCCAATCAATCGTATGTATTTCCAAGACCCGGAATGAATCAACAAGAGACTTAGTAGACGTCTCGAATCTTGGCATATAGCTCTGTCTCGAGGAAGTTATAATTGGGGTCTGATTCACAAAACGGGTGGCGTGTGAGCAGAGTCCCAGCAGTTGGACGTTCCGAGGAGTTACTATAGACAGGTTAGATACCGACTTGGAGAGAAAAAGGCAGATTGGGATGAAACTTACACTGTGAAGCAGTCATACATGAATGCAAGAGCAGCGGGACTGATACTCATAGAGACATCTTCCGGAATAGGAGGCGCTTGACCGAGGCTGCCGAGCTTGAAGATGGCACCGATAGCCTCCTCCTTGCTCCAAGGCCGACGACCAGCAAACATTTCTAACACCACACATCCAAGGGACCAAATGTCGACCTTCGCGCTGTAGCCCTGACCCTGGGACTGAATGACCTCTGGGGCCATCCAGAAGACCGAACCCTGCATAGAGTTGCTTGAATCATTTCCGTATATGTCGTCTGTCTTCTTCGAGATGCCAAAGTCGGATATTTTGCAAGTTCCATCAACATCCAAAAGGATATTGTCTGCTTTCAAATCACGATGGAGAATACCCATGTCGTGAAGGTAAGCCAAGCCGCCCAGGGTTTGACGTGTGAGAGATTTGACAACACTTTCCTCAAACTTTCCATGCTTGCGAAGACAACTGCCAATAGAGCCACCAGAGATATACTCCAGGTAGATGGAAATTGAAAGGTCTCCTCGCTCGCAACCAAGATATTGGACAATATTAGGGTGTTCGAGGTGCTGCATCGTATCGATTTCCTGGTCCAGGGCAGCTACCATCTCCTTGATTCGGTCTCTGTCATTTCCTGCAATTCTCGCGTTGATTTCGACTTGCTTTACTGCCAAAACTTCACCATTATCGGCGTTGATGCCTAAATACACACGACCATAGGTACCCTTGCCAATAAGCTGACCTCGGATGATGCGGAAGGTTTGCTGGCGTTGTGGTACTGCTTCGACCGGCCCCGGCGAGCTAGTGTGCTGTGGGATAGGGTCGAGTTGGCTGAGCCGAGTTCCAGGCTTTGGGCTAATTTGCATGATTTTATGACCAAACATTTTGGTGCTCTTGCGTCGCAACAGATCACCTGATTTTCGAGGGCCAGTAGCAGGACCGATGCTCTTCGTCCGGTGGGCCCCCTGAGCGACTTGTCGAATAGATTTTGTGCGCGAAAGGCCGCCGCCACTCCGGTTGATGTTGCGTACGGCGACTGAGGTCGGACGCGCAGTTGATGCATCAGAGCTGGCTTGCGGGATAGATGGAGGTTGTGGAATTTGGGGCTTGCCCCGAAGAGTTGCTTCATTGTCACCGTTCATCTTATTGTTCGGCGATGGAGGCTCTTCGAGATAGGGGGCATCAAGGTCGACATTTGGGAAGAAGCTGTCCAGGTTGTCAATGACGCCCTCAACAGGAGGTCTGCTGGCCCAGAGATCGCTAGCAAAAGACTCCCTTCGTGGTAATCTTTCGTTCGCAGGCGAAGCCGTTCCGTGGGAGCCCCCTGAGAATTGGTCAGGATTGTCGGAAGCCTCTCCGGAGGAGCTGTAGGATGAAGGCATGAAATATGATGAGCTCTTGGCAGCAGATTTGGGTGACTGGATTGTAACAGTGCGACGCTTGTTATTGTGTGTGTCTACGGTGAGAGTCGGCTTTTTCTCAGGTTCCGCCTTTTCAGGCTCTATTCTCGAAGGGCGAATAGCAAAAAGACCATCATCAGAATCATCGTCAGAGCCATCAGAATCTTGGGTAGAGAGTTTCGTTCTTGCGAAGGAAACTTCACTTTCTTCAAACTCGAACTCTGGTCCGACTGACTTCCTTGATGGCTGCGAAGATCTGGATGTGCTGCGCGGGGACGGTGATCTTTCACTGCCTTGTTCTGCGAAAGATTTGGAGCCGGTTCTCGACGATTCCAGAGTTGTCCTACTCGAAGCCGAAGCTGCAGAGTCGAGTGTCTGTGGCCGATCAGAATCCGAGCCAGTGCTCTCTCGATTAATGGACGAAGGCGTTGGAGGAACTGGGACTGAAGGAGATGGCGTGCCAATTGAACTAGTCATGCGACCCATATTGGCGAGAGCAGCCCCCAGGCCAGGCTGGGCTCGAATGGGGCGATCACCGAGGCCTTTCCTGAGTGAATTGACTTTGGTGAGCGTATTCGATTCATTGGGAGCGACTGGCGGGTTACGCCGGGGCACCAGTCCTTCCTGCTGTAGCTGGAGCTGTAGCTGTTGCTCTTGCTGCAACTGCTCCTTCTTCTCTTCATAAGGCGAGATACGAGGCGTGTTGAAGTCGATAATCCCTGTACGCCTATAACCGGTTTCTCCGTAAGTCCCTGTGAAGCCTGGCTGGGAATTTGGAGGAACACGAGAGACTCGGTGCTCTCTTTGCTTCCGCTCAACCTCGCGAAGATGAGCCTCGTGGCGCGAGAGGAGATCTGTTTGCTCCGCGTCCAAAAGGGTCGCAGATTCGGTGCTATCGGGGGTTGTTTTTGTGACTGAAGGCTTCGAGGTTGCCTGTCCAGAGGTATGGAAAGGCGATGCAGGCTTAGCCGTTGCCTGGGGAGATATTCGGTCCAAAGCTTCGGGCTCCAAGGGCTTGCGATGTATAACAGGGTGTGTCGATGCTGTAGGGGACGATGTGGCCTTGTCACTCGGTATTGAAACGCCAAGGCCATATGGTAGTGCGGGATGAGAGGGGTTTGCCTGGACAAACAACTTTAGAGAGCCATATGCATCAGACTTGTTTCGGCGAGAGACCGCTAGCATGGTGTCACTCATGGGGTCATCGTGATGGTGTTGCCCTGGCTCGGTGAGGAAAATCTGGGCACTTGCCCAATCGTTAAGACCAAGGTCTCTACAGATCCCTGCACGCAAAGCTTCTACCGATTCCATATCAGAAACGTCAACGAGGCGGTAATTAAGACCATCCGTAGTTGCGAAAACCCATCGCTTCACTTTAGTTGCCGCCGAGGAAGGGCGATCTCCTAGTGACATGTCGCTGATATTGAATCCTGGCTTCGAATAAGGAGTATAAGAACCATTGGATCCATTGGGCCGAGGTTCTGGGCTTGAAGGTGAATGCTGCTCTTCCGGGGACGGATATTCATTCGCCCTGGCCTTCCTCTTGAACATATTCAAGAATCCCTTGTTATGCTCCCTATATGAGGTAGGCGTTTCGCCACTCCATGGTCGAGCATTTGTTTCTTGTTGAGGAGAAGGACGTGCACCCTCCTGGCCCTGTCTACGGTGGTCATAGTACCGACCAACGTTTCCAAAACCTCGACCAGTTGAATCCGCGCTGTTCCCGCGAGAATGCTCATATCTCCCTAGGGTCAAATCACCAGTCGAGTTTGATGTTAGACCCTGGTATGACGGCGATGCATACTGCAGAGCCGGGCTGCCACTTTTCGGACTATCTTGGGGCCGACGAGATGAACCTGGAAATGTGCCATGGTCGCTGGAGAGAGAGGGGCTTTGGCGCTTATGTTCGTTCATTTGCGCGAGCGTGTTCCTAGAATATTCTGATCGCTGCAAAGTGGAATGCTCTCGTATCGGCGACTCATACTTTGGGGACTCGTAACCGACAGGGAGAGGCTGTGTGACAGAGCGCAACTGCGGGCCTTGCTTCTGAGACTGGGCTGAGGCGTGCAACTCCGCCAACTGGCCGGGACTGATGTCGTTCACCCCAGGAGTAGGACCAGCCGACCGGGGCTCAGAAATCTGGACGGGATGAAAAGTCGTGCCAGTGTCAGTGGAAGACGGTGGGAACGCAGGGGGGCTCCTGCCGCAATGGCGTCGAGATGGAAGAGTCCGGGTTGCCATCGTGGATTGAGCGAATCAACTTGCGCAAGCGCAGTCCTTCTTCTCGTTCACGAGCCGAGTCCCATCCAGTTCCACTGCGGGCACACTCTTTCGCTAACTGAGGATATACGACTTTATGGATCTTGCCAAGGTTTCCCCGTCCACCCCACGCTAGACCAAGCTCAAGAAAGTCGGCACCTTGAAGCTCCAAAGACTTGAATGTTTCCTGCCAGTCATTGGAGAATCCCATTTTAGCAAGCCACATGAGGACTCGGTCGAGCGGCCAATGAATCGCGGCCTCGCTTGGCGAGAGACCCCCCAACGATGCACCACTGGTATTGTGACGATGACTGGGCGACTTCGCGAGATCGACACCTGGACTTGGGTTCTGCTGCAGATTCTCATTTGACTGTATTTCATGTACAGTCCCATGAAGATGTGACGGGACGTTCATACCCCCAGGTGTCTGTGGATTATAATTCCCAGGGTTATACGTCCCCGTATTGGTGGTTGTAGGGTAGTCATAGGTTTGTTTAGCCACAGGTCTTTGCTGTGAATAACTGGTGTCATACCCAGTCCGGCCGGGTTCGAACAGCGGGGGGAATTCCGACGCCAATTGTATCGTGTCCTGGAATATATGTTGCGGAAGTAAGAGGTTGGTTGTCAATAGACAAAGGGGCAGGAAGACGATATCCAACAAGCGGGGTTTGCTGCGGCGGCGGAGGCGGCGGTGGGAAGCCTGCGGCTAGAGCCTGCCGAGCGTAGTTCGGCTGCCATCCTGATGGGACCGCATATGAAGTTCCCGGGGGTGGACCTGGTGGTGGTGGCGGTACTCCCGGTTGCTGAAGCTGTGGGTGTTGATGAGGGTGTCGTGGAGGAGGTGGAGGCAAAGTCGGCGGGCCTGGAATATATGCTCGCTGTTGACCGTCCATTATGGTGACTGATCGGGGCCTGCGATCAAAAGCGCCCAGCGCAGTATCGGTGGGGGGGATCGGAAGATCCAAATTGCACCAGAGAACCTCAGGTGTTTAGCTCAACCTTCATACACATCCCAAGGTTCAACACGATGCCGGTCCGAGGTGGAGGGTGAGGTCCGTCCCAGGAATGAGCGTCGGATGGCCGCTATTAAGACTCTACTCTCAGGTCGATGGTGGTATGGTCCAATAAATCGGCGGTTGTCAAGAGGGGAGAAATCAAGTCACAGGTTCGTTCTCCAGCATTGTTCGAATTTGGGTGTCTTCGAGGCTATCGAAGCGCCCGAGGCGCAAGGTAGGTAGTTGGTAGTACTGGGAGGGCGACTATGGGAATCTCCAAAAAGACTGCGGTGAACCCCGATCGAGGTCCAGCTGAAGAAGCTGGGGCTCACTGTTGGAAGCGCCACTGGTCAGCAATCTGAAGGGCAGAATAACGCGAGGGGGATGATCCCCCTCTCCGATCCTAGGAACGGAGCAAGTCAAGGCGACGAGAAAAATCCATTCCAACCTCCCCACTCCTTGCGTCGGAGAATTAGTCCCGTCAAAACTCAGCATGAGAACTTACCGGGAAGAATCAAACCAGCAGGGATGAAAAATATTGTTTGGGAGACAAAGGATCAACAGCTCTGATGCCTTGGACCAAGATCATCACGTGGGCCCGCTTTTGCTTTGCAAGTGGAGACGACCAAGATCAATCAACAATTATCAATTGGTTAAGGTACGAGTAGTAAGTACGGGGGGGCTTTTGGGCTCGTAGGGCTTTGTCGATTTCAAGTCTTATGGCCGTGACTTGGTTTGTTTGGGATGGTTGAGGATGTCTACCCTCGCAGCAACCCCCTGGTAGGCCCCTGGTTTGCGGCAGGTGTCATATTGTCAGGTTGCCATATTGGGGAGAGGATCCATGCCCCCGTTATCCTTCAGGCGTACACACGCCCCCCATTCTTGAAACCGGCTAGATTGTCCCGGCCAACCCGTTTGAGAATCCCCGTCGGTGGACCTGAAATCTCCCCCCCCCCCCTTCTCTCACATCTCAAATTGAGGTCACCCGCTAGTGCTACATACATACTCGGTGATGCCCCGGGTAGCGCCCAAGATACTCTAACTATCCTTTTGGCCTATATCCACTACAACCCTACGGGAAATTCGATCAGTTATTGAGATTTCATTCATTTCGTAACTGCGTCTGAGAGGAGATGGTGCTTGGATGATTACAGTGAAGATGACTAGCAGATTCATCACGTCTGTTGCTCGGTGACAATTGTGGTTCAGCCCGCCTGATGGTCTGAGAGGTTAAAGGTGTAGCCGCGATCTCGAGCCTTCGGATTTGAAACATGGCTGGCATGATGTTGCACAATAGATAGCAACCCAGATTGCTCAATGCTTGAAGGAAAAGGAAGGGGGGAAGAAACATAACTCCAGCCAAAGCCACCGGGGCAACCTGTTTCGGGCTGTTTATTTGTTGCGCGCGGCTGCAGCTTCGGCGGTCAGCTTGAGTGCAGAGGGCGCATCGTCACGAGGCATATACAGCTCCACCAGCCGGAGGCTGTTGGAAGTACAGAAGTCCTGATCAGTGAACAACTTGTTCAGTTCATCTCTGGTCTTGATCCTGTATCCTTTGTATCCATCATCCGCGCCGAAAACCTTGGGGATGTTCGCAAAGTCCCACGGTTGGATGTCGTTGTATCGCGCGTCCCAGCCATGGATGTAGCGCTCAATGGTGTAGCCCTCGTTACAGATCACAAATCTAGTCAAGTTAGCATTGGAAAAGCACGCTGTCGCTTTTTTGTGGCTGGAAGGAAACTTACACAATAGGCGACAGTTTGTTTCGGAGAATTGTACTGAGCTCTTGCACCGTCAACTGAATGCTACCATCTCCGATGAACAGAATTGTACGACGATTGTTTTGCTCTTTGGCAGCCAAGGCAGCACCCTGGCAGGATCCCATCGAGTAACCAATGCTCCCCCAAAGAACCTGGCTAATGGCGGTCACATTCGCAGGGAATCGAGTGTCCCAGATACCAAAGTTGGCCGTACCAGTTTCCGTGATGACGACATCATTTTCCTTCAGCCACTGACCAACAACTGGCCACAGCCAGGCATGGGTTATGGTCTGGTCAGAGGAAGATTGCTCGCTCTCCGGGAGCTTATTGGTGATGCGAGGAGCAGGAGTCACGTTCAACTTGCCCATCTTCTGCACAACCTTTCGAAGAACACCCTTCATGTTGGTATCCGGGTACTCAGAGTAACGCACACGCACATAGTTGCTGTGGAAATCGATCGTGTTTAGCTGACCGATTCGATAAGTGAAACCGGCCGTGTTGAAATCGGATTTGATGGCGCCAATGCTGAGAATCAGGTCGGAGGATTCGACTACTTCTCGGACGCCGGCATTGGATCCATTGCCGGCATAAACGCCACCAAAGTTTTGGTGGGATTCGTTCACAGCACCCTTGCCCATTGGGGTTACAAAGGTGGGCAGCCCAGAGGCTTCTACCAGATCATGCACCTCCTTCAATGCGCGATGGCGGATGGCACATGCATCAACCAGAATGACAGGGTTCTTGGCCGCGTGCAGATATTTCAGGACGACGTCCACGACGTAGTCTTCCTTCTCTGGGTCATTATCGGGCAGCGACAGGTCAATTGGCTTCTTCAGGCGGTCTCCATCAACCTTGGCGTAGATCATGTCCGTGGGCAAGGTAACGTAGACGGGGCGGCTGCGAATCCAGCATTCCCGAATTGCACTGTCGACGAAAGCTGCCGCGTAATGGGGGTCATTGAGCTGGGCAACGTAGCAAGAGATACCGGCGCTCATTTTCGTGAATACGTTGAAATCGCCGTTACCCAGAGTGTGGTGAAGCAGCATGCCATCCTTCTGAGACTGAGTTGTAGGTTGGCCTACGATGTGGACGATGGGGACAAATTCAGAGTATGCGCCAGCAACGGCGTTCAAGGCAGATAGTTCACCGACCCCGAAGGTGGTTATCAACGCGCCCATTCCGTTGACGCGTGCATATCCATCAGCGGCATAGCCTGCATTTAATTCATTGCAGTTCCCTACCCAATCCAAGTCGCACTTAGGCAAGTAATCGAGTGCTGAAAGGTTGTAGTCTCCGGGGACTCCATGGACTGAACGGATACCGACTTCATGAAGACGACGGAAGAGGTATTCGGCCAGATCAATAGGATTCTCGAGCTCTCGTGTAGCAATATCGATGGAAGCCATTGTGGGCGGGGTGGGTGGAGAAGTAAGCTTGGAGGGAAACGAGGGTGGTGAGAAGGTGGGAAGGTGGGAAGGTGAGAAAGTGAGAAGGCAAGAAGGTGAGAAGGTGAGTTTACTTTTTAAAGATCCGGTCCCGGTCTGCCTCGAGGTGGGAAAAGCAGCAAGTGATACGGAAGAATCGGAAGCTGCCACTAAAAATAAAAAAAAGCCGCGGTGGCAGCTTCTTCGATTCCCAACTGCAGGTTGGTTGCGATAGGTGCACTACGTCATGATTGGGCAGTTGATGTCACGCCATGCCGGTTTGTTGTCTGATAATCGCCTTCTAGACAAAAGACAAGACTAATTTTATTATACTGTGGTATCACGGCTCCGAGATACATTCGCCAAAAGTTATGGGGCAAGCACGAAAACGCATCAAATACATAAGCTTCTCGGCATCCCATCAAACCAGGGAGGATCATTTAATCATTGTTTCGGGATCGCCTCTAAGCCCAAGCTCCGAGCTCTCAGCACCTCGATCCACCCGATTTGCGCCCGCTAACCCGAATGGGCAGACACGCAAAACTCGACTTGCCTCCCCCACTCTTGCGGCGACAGGAACATCTAGATTTCCTCAATGGCAGGAAACGGCAAACGCAGCATGCCTCAAAACGGAGATTCTTCTAAGCGACGTAAAGTATGTTCTCCTCGCAGCAAACCTTGACATACCTCTACAACGTGGGGATATGATTTCACCCACTGCGTCCGTCCGACTAGTACAGTGAGTGAGTGCGTGAGTGCATAGAGCTAACTAAACCATCAGGGCCCGCCGCCTAAGCAACGCATTAACGTTGATACCGGTGATGCGGGTATCTTCATAACCTGCGACATGGGTAAGGAAGGGAAATGCAAAGCTGAGGTTCTAGACATCATCTCTCAGGTAGGTTCGTTCCACAAAGGCAAACGTGCTACAATTTGACCAGTACGGCTACTAACCCGCCATGTTTAGATATTTGAGGACTCTATGAAGAAGAACCAAGAAGAGCAGGAGGATTCCGACGACGATGATGATGAGGACATCGAGGCTCAAATCCAAAGAGAACTTGCTGGTCTTAAGCCCGCCGAGGACAAGACGGACAAAAGCAAAAGACGCCCAGTGGAAGTCACTCGTCTGGAAATGCCATGTGGTGCGTTCTCACACATTCCAATCACGCCGAAGTCCACGGCCACGTATTTCAAGGTCGTGGATCTAGTTAAATGCTGGTATTGATATTCATATCCAACAGTTCTCTTCGCTCGAGTTGACAGCTCCATCGACCCTGTTCAACTGGTGCATCGTCTGTGCACCGAGGCACAGGCAAACCCAAATACAAAGAGGAGCCGATACATCAAGCGGATGACCCCTGTTGTTTCTATCCGGAAGACCCTGAGTGTGGAGCTTGAACCTTTCATCAAAGAAATGCTCAAACCACATTTCCATTCGGGAGGGGGTCCAAAGAAGGTGGGTAACAACCCTGTGAAACTAAATGGAGTCCCCTCTTGGTTTAGCGAATTGGCCATCCCTGCAACATTCCAAAAAAGGTAGCATGGCCGTTTGGAAGCCCTTTTGCTGATATCGCTCGGTTTAAATTAGTTCGCTATCCGACCATCTATACGAGGAAATAATAAGTTCAAACGAGACGAGGTCATCAAAACCATCGCGGAACTCGTTGGACCCGAACACTCGGTGGACTTAACAAACTACGATGTAACGATCTTGTTCGAAATTTCCCAGGTAAGTCCTGATGGAGTTTTTCCTCCTGCCCGAATGACCGACGCTGTTGCTGACATTTGCCAGAACTTGATGGGTATGAGCGTGGTTGAAAGTGATTACGACAAGCTTAAACGGTACAACCTCGCTGAGATCTACGATCCTTCGCCGAAGAGGGCCGAGAAGGCAGACTCCAGTGAAACCCAGGCCAAATCCTAGCAGTGGTAACAATCAAACTCATCACACCCGTTTAGCCGGTATGGAATTGTCTCTATTTTACTTCGGGCATGAATTGACGATGACCAATAATGCTTCATGTGGCGGCTTTGCATGAGAAGAAATGTAAGTTTCTCCAATTGGCTGCTGCCTCTTAGCGACAGCTCTCTAGGGCGGCCCAAAATCGTTGATTTTACAAGCGCGTCCACCCGGAGGGTTTATCTATTATCAACTACATACCAAATACTACCACATCGAGGATCCCAAGCCATTTTGCCCCACTGACAGGAGTCGAGACTGCTTACCAGAGCTACCGGCTACTTCGTCTTGAGTAGAGCGCGTTCCTCAATCCCACCATGATCAACTATTGGGACTGACTGTCGATCAATAGAACAAGTGATATATAACCTATTTCATCTCCAAAGGTTCAGCACTATGGTACATACAAATAGAAAAAGGAAATAAAGAAAAGAAAGAAAAGAACAGAAAAAGGTCCATGCTCTTTCCTCCCGCCTTGCATGACCAGGCTCTGCAGACGGCGGCCATGGGGGAGCCACAATTCTTCAATTATCGAGCAATCGGAAGGATGCGATGATGCAAACCAATTTATAGTGAGGGGCAGAATGGATCTCAAAGAACATCATTTCGAAGGTGCAGCGGGCTTCTATGGGTATGTAGATTTGCTAGCCTGGTTTGGCCCGAGTTCCTCACGGGCTCCACGGGGCATTTCGGTAAGGTGCGCCTGTGATTGGTGGCCACCGGGTGCTCGGATGCCAACCTCGCTGAGAGCGGGATCCTTTGGCGAGCCAGCACTGCGCTTTTTTAATGTGCTAGTTATCTGCGCTATGCACAGCCTTGGACCTCGCTCCTTTTCGCTAGACAATTACTGCAATTGGAGTCTGTTAATTACATTTTTTCCAGCGCGCCATGGTAAACGAGATCGGCCCTTTCACTGTGTACTCGTATGACGAGTCCCTCCGCGGAAGTCTTGTATCTCGCGTAGATGAACCTACAGAGGCAACTGGTATGGCGCTGGCTCGGAAAGGGCCCGTGATCTCTCCTTCCTAAGCGTTACGTGGGCCTACAACGCTGGTGATCTGGTGGCTCCCCTGACCCTATCGTTGGTCTTCTTCGCCTCTGCGATGGATACCGCTGTGGGTTTCAGCAACCCTGGGAATACTCGTATACCCCATGATTTGTTCTGGGCTTGACAATCTCCTTGAAATGCGAGGCCTGGCCACCAGTTACTAATATAGTAAAAAGGCGGCTGCATCCGGGGGGGCCTCTCACACTTCTCACATCCCTGAACCACCACCACTCCTTCAGTTTCATATCAGAATGCATCGATCCAATGTGCAAACACATACACATTCTTCTGTTTTACCCCTCAAGGGGGCCCCCATGAATTCTTCTCACAAAATGATACAGCCCACCGGGTTGGGCGAATATGGGAGGCTCGATGCTCTTCTGTCTTTACTATTTCCATCGACCGTCTATGTGCAAAATTCGCAAAATATCAACGGCCATATGCATTCTTTACGTCTCCTTAAATTATCAAATGGAGCTAGCTTGCTCCTAAAAGGTTCTCCGTCCACCGGCACCCCTCTTCTTCGACACGAAAGATTCTTTCTCGAAACCGAAGCTCGATTTCTTGCCCTTCTAGGACAGAGTGCGAACCCCTGTATCCCGCAAATATACCACTATGATCCTTATGGAAACCCACTTGGGTATTCTTACTCGTTACGACAATATGTGAAGGGGACACCTCTCTCAGAAATGGCATGTCAGCTCACTTTACAACAACGAAACGGCATCGACCGGCATTTGGGCTTCTTAGCCGGTACTATAGGGCAGAATGTGGCGCCTGCATTCGGTTCCCTTCAACAGGTGGCTGTTGGGGCTGGGAAGTTATCCTGGAGAGACGCTTTCTGTGCCTTGTTTGAAAGTGTGCTCCGTGATTCCGAGGACATGTTTATCAACCTACCATACGGTCAGATTCGAGATGAATTGAACCGATTGCAATCAGCATTAGAAGAAGTAACACTTCCACGCCTGGTTGTTGTCGGACTTGGCCGATCTTCTCATGTTCTTCTGGACGATGAATCCAAACAGTTGTCTGGCGTGATTGATTTTAGCAGCGCCTTCTGGGGAGATATTCTCATGGCCGAGGTCTTTGAGAACCCGAATCCTGCCGTGATATCAGGAGCTGGGCTGCCCCTGGCTAGGACGCCAGGCGAAACTATACGGCTTTTGATGTATGTGACCCCTGGGCTTTGGGTGCAATGCACTTAACGCGCCTTGCTATATTCATGCTAACTTAATGATGAATAAGGTATTCCTGTTACCGCCTAGTGTCGCAGGTTACTGTTCAATATTATCGGAATCGAGATGAGACAAAGGAGTTTGATGCACGGAGACGGCTGACAGCAACAATTACAAAAATGATGACTATGCGTCCAGTTTAGACATAAGAGGACGAGGGAGAGCGGCATGATACCCGGGAATTTAGCCCATAGATTTTTGGTTTTCATTTTATTTTGTCACTTTCCAAGGTTATCTAAAATTCCGACCAATGTCCTTCTACAGTCCGGTCAAAACAAGTTGAATTACAAATGCCGAGTGAAATTGGTTAGTACCTAGGTAACCTTGGAAACTTCAAGTTCTTCAAGTTGAAGTGTGGAGCCCCGAGTATATATAGTTCGGCATGTGACTTCCAACGGAGTCTGGCATATAATCGCCGGGCGATCGGATCCATTTTACTACTAGTAGACGGTCCTCGGTGCTGTGGTCATTGGCATACCGATTCCTAGATAACAGTATTCTGCCATTTGAATTAGAATATCTTTTATTCATGATCCTCTTACTCGCCGCGTTTCTTCAACAATTCACGGTTCTGGCGTATCACCATCACCGCCATGGCTTGCAGCCATAAGGCGGGAGCGGAGAGCGGGGCAGATCCGTTTAGCCTCCGCCATCCCATGTCGTCAGCTAACCTTCCCCCGAAAGAGCTCCACCACTTTTTTTCCTTTCATCCTGCCAAATACCCCTGCCACCCCCCAACTTGCAGGAGATGGCGCAGTTCTTGAGAGGCAAACAAGCTGGAATCCAGCACGACTTTTCGCAAGGTCTGGTTGCAGAATTCTTCAAGATTGACGAGGTTTGTCTTGGCATTTCAGGCATCCTTTCTCGCCGTCCTGAACTGACTGTGTCTCTCAGTTTGAACGATGTGGTGTGAATTCGAAGATAAGCGTCATCGCGTACGATCCAGTTCAATCCCTTCTTGCTGTCGGCACCAACGATACCCCATATGGCAGTGGCCAGATCTATGTCTTTGGACAGCGTCGAGTGCTGGCCACCTTTCAATTCCCGCGGAAATCCTCGGCCAAGTTCCTCCAATTCTGTGCCGACAAGCTCATCAGCGTCGACTCCAAAAACGAAATCAGCATCTACTCCCTCGAGACCAAACGGCTGGTGACCTCTTATGCACCCCCGGGCCAGGCCACTGCACTTGCGACGGACCCAAGCCTTGACTACGCATTTATCGGTCTTTCGAACGGTGCGTTGGATTCCATAAAAGCATAAACGACCAAAATAAAAATAGACTAACTTTGATATAGGCGAGGTTGTCGCATACGATCTCGACCGAGAGTCCTTGACCGCATATAAAATCCCAAATCTTTGGCTGGAAGTGAACCCCCGAGCCCGACTTTCTCCAGTCGTGTCGCTCGCGTTCTCTACGCGTGACATTGGCAAAATCCTCATCGGATACTCAGAAGGAGCTGTGACCTTTTCCTTTAAACAAAATGTCGCGCAGAAGTACTTCATTTACGAGGTGCCTTCAGGTGCCCCAGGTGGAGACCCCGAAGCACCTGCTATCGGAGTACGCAAGCCCAGGATGACCGAAGCCGTTTGGCATCCAAATGGACACTTTGTTTTGACTGTTCATGAGGACACCAGCTTGGTTCTTTGGGATTCAAAGGATGGCCGCAAGCTCCATGCCCGTACGCTCCAAGCCACGAATGTGGACCAGCCGGGTGGCTCGAGGCCAGCTGGACCAGATAGCCAAACTACAGGCCCCAAAGAAGCTATTGTAAAAGTAGCATGGTGTGCGAAGGATAACCCCGACGACACTGGCCTGCTTGTTGCTGGTGGCCGGCATGTGGGCGAACCAAACAAGGGCCTCACTTTCCTGGACATGGGCCCGACTCCGAACTATCAGACATCTTCCTGGCAGGTACTTTCCAGCTATTTTGAGAGAACACGCCGTGACATATTGTTGCCAATCCCCCCCGGGCGCACAGGTAATCAACTTCTGTGCCATTCCTCGCTCTTCTCCTTATTTTGCTGGTGTACACGATCCGATTGCGTTGCTCACTGTACTTTCGTCTGGAGAGTTGGTTACGATGAGCTTCCCCAGCGGACATGCCATTACGCCAACCAACATGCTACACCCATATCTGTCCTTTGTCCACCCTTTCGTGAACAAGGCCACTCTTACGCCAGTCGATCGTACTGTCTGGCTCGGGCTGAGGGAACGCAGAATGCAAGGGCCTAAGTTTGTACTCGGAGGCGCAGAAGCCAAGAATCCCCTCAAGCGCTTCGAAAAGCGAAACGTCATTACCACCGCACACGCAGATGGGACGGTTCGTCTCTGGGATGCTGGCCATGATGATGAGATTGAGAATGGCGATGCTGTTCAGATCGATTTGGCTAGAGCTGTTGGCCGAGTCCGAAACATCGAAGTTGCTGAAATATCACTGTCGGGTGGGGCGAATGAACTCTCTCTTGGCCTTCGAACTGGAGAGCTAGTCGTTTTTAGATGGGGCAACAGCGCTTCTCAGGGACACGAGGAAGCCGTCGGTACAAACCAACCCGGGAAATTGACTTCTATCGGCCACCGAACGGACCCAGGCTTGAAGACAGGATTCATTCCCTTGACCCTTCTAGATATGCAACAAGGACCGGTAACCGCTTTGAAGCATAGCCAAGTAGGCTTTGTGGCCGCTGGGTTCGAGGGTGGCAGTCTGGCAATTATCGACCTACGCGGCCCTGCGATTATTCACACTGCACACTCATCTGAATTTTCAAAGGCACTCAAACGCAGTAGCTTCGTGCGAAAGAAGAGTGGAGCAGAGGATGTTCCACCAGAATGGCCTACGTGCATTGAATTTGGTGTGATGACCTTGGAGGGTGAGGACTACTCAAGCATCTGCTGCTTTGTTGGCACAAATCGAGGAAATGTGGCAACATTCAAGATTCTCCCAACCTCTAATGGTGCCTACACGGCTGCCTTTGCTGGTGTCTCTAACATGGAGGATAAGGTCACTAACCTCATTCCAATTGACGCTGACTCTGGTGAAAGTGCTCTCGCCACGCCAAACTCAGTCGGCGGGTTGAGAAATGGTACCAAGCTCAACGGTGTTCTCATTGCAGTTTCGCCTTCTTGTTGCCGGATCTTCAAGCCTGCGACATCTAAGGGTGCACACAAGACATGGGACGACTATTTTGTTGACTCCTCAGCGGTCGTGAGAACCGAGGGTCCTGCATACAGTCTCGTCTGTCTTTGCGGCGATGGGAATGCCCGCGCGTTCTCTATTCCTGCTCTGAAAGAAATTGGCTGCAGCAAGATTAATCACATTGCTGATATGAGGCGACTCTCTGAGGCACATATCACGCCCACTGGGAGTGTGATGGTATGGGCTGGCCCATCTGAACTTGGATTGTTCTACGCCTGGGGGGGCTGGCCACCAAATGTATAGCTTTACAATTTCTTATTGCGGAATCAACTTGCTGACTTGCTTTTTAGGAGCCTTTCCCAGGATCGATTATTTGACCCTGCAAAGGTGATACCTCCTCGACCAAGTATTACCAACCTGCAATGGATTTCGGGAACTCAATATATTTCCCCACAAGATATGGACATTTTGAGTAAGTCAGATAACCACCCTCATTTGTTTTACTTCTGAAATCTCATAACCAATTTAGTTGGCGGACCTGACCGCCCACCATCGAAGCGTATGGTTGAACAAATGAGACATGACGAGCAAGAGCGCCGACAAGCACTCCGAGAAGGCCGTGCGCCACCTCCAGGACCGAGCGATGAGGAAGGCTACTGGTCATCCATGACGCGTGGTATCCAGCAGCGCACCGAACGACTCGGGATCGCGGGTGATACCATGGAGCGTTTAGAGGAAAATAGCAGTAGCTTTGCCAATGACGTGGGCAAGTACGTACAGAACCAGAAGAGGAAAGCTGTTTTTGGTGGTAAGTTCCCTCTCTTCTCGACCGAGCAGCTGTGCCCCCGCGTACCCCCTTGCATACCTAACTGACCGACCTTTCTAGCGCTGGGATCCAAGTTCGGATTCTAAGTTTTTTTTTTGTCTGAAAGCCTGGATAATTACAATTGCTACCTGCACTATCCTTCTTGCGCCTGTAGACTATCAGCCCCGGAGGTGAGTGAGGCCGATTACCATTTGTATGTCGATGAGGGTAGTAAAAGTGTGTATCCATTGCTACCCAATTCAAACTCACAATGCCTTTGAACACGTCATGGCAAGTGACTGAAGGGACGGTCCGGTCATTCTTAGCCGCCGATCGTCATCATGGAGGTAAATACCCGGGAATTGGAGATGTTTGAGACATAGGTGACCAGTCAGAAGGGCCGTCCTACATACTGAGGAAAATGAAAATCGACCCTTATGGAGTCAAGGGAGTAAAATATTGAATGGAATGAATTCTATTTCGTAGTCCCTTATCAACGCCGAGTTGAATAGGGGTATAGCCCAGAATATTGATCTAGGTGTCATAAACGTAGCGTACTGGTGGTCATCAGGAAGCAGTGGAAATTAAATGGCAGATGTGTGGAAGCCGAGTATGGTTGGGTCAGTGTGTAATTTAGTGCACCATAACCTGAGGTTGGGTTTGATGAGCGGCCTTGCCAGCAGGGTCGTCCTTCTGCTCGGAGTCATCACCCATCTCAACATCCTCATCACCACCCTCCTCTTCGTCCAGTTCATCATCATCGTCATCGTCACTGTCCTCCTCGAGATCTTCACTGCCAGCATCAGACTCGTCCTCATCTTCCTTGCCAGCGGCGGGCTCAGCACCCTCCATCTCATGGTCCTCGCCAACTTCGGGCTCGCCCTCCTTGTTGGCATCCTCGAGCTCCTTGACAAGAGCGGCCTCAAGTTCGGCTTCCTCAGCGCCGTAGGCGTTGCTGTCATCAACCAGGTTATCGGCCTCGGGCTGGTCAGGTGGGTATTCAGCGGGGGCAGACTCCTCGGAATCCCTGAGAGACAGTTGTTAGTGGATCAATTGCGATAAATAAACAAAGGGTGGAAGGGTGATCTTACCATTTGATAGCGAATCGAGTCACACGAGGCTTCTCAGCAAGGACATTGCGTCGGATACGCTCGATAATAGGCTTGGCAGGAGGCTCGGCAGCCAGCTCCTCCGAGTCATACTCATTGTTATTGTAGTAGCCGACACGGACGAATTCGCGGCCATCGTAACTGCAGGTAAGAAGAATGACAGTGACACCGAGAATCTCAGAGGCGGGAATGCGTTTCAGATCGGGCGCATCAGCCTCGAAGATGAATTTGTTCACACCGACAGGGATAGGGCCAACAAGGAGGGAGTCGAGTTCCTGGTCATACTCGGAGCTACGAGATGTCAGTGAAGGGCAGAGACAAGCGGATGGTGGGGTAGACATACGAAGTGGCGGAGCCGACATAGGTGAGTTTCCATTCGAGATCTGGGATTATTTGTGAGAAAAATTGGCAAAGAAAGAACAGCAATGGGGAAGAGCATACCCTTTTGAAGCTGCTCAAGACACTCAAAAGTGATCTCGAACTGATAAGAGTCGGTGAAGGCGGCAGGGTTGTTGAGGATTTTCACCCCAAGAAGCGAGACGACGGACATTTTGGAGTATGTGATATGCGAGTATGTACGTTGAATGTGGGTTGGAGAGGCGTGGGAGGAGAAAGGGAATTTATAGGGTCAAAGCTGTGAATCCGGGGCAGGGAAAGAGAAACAAACACTTCACCGCAAGGAATGTGAAGGGGACTTGCAAGCACTGTAAAGAGGCATCATGCTAGGAGATGCGCGTCAATGGTCGCGTCCCTTGCGGGCGCAGCGGGCGCGCCTGACCGCCCACGTGAAACCCGGGCAGAATGTTCTGCAAGATTGCGGCAGCTTGCACATGAACATCTTGAGAAGTGAATGCTACCAGTGAATTGCTACCAGTGTGTCGCAGTGCTCCCTCAAGATTCACTGGCACTTCTCATCGGCGGCTTTCCTACTAATATCCCCATCAGGAGCGCTTCGTCTCCCCCTCACCCCACTACCCCAAATCACTCGTCTAGCTCTTCCCACACCTCAGTACCTCCCTTTGTCTCTTAACAAAGCTCACCACACCCACACACCCACATACCATCAGCCATGTCGGACGACCAGGCTGAACAAGCCTTTTTCCAGGATCAGGCAATGAACGCGGAATCCGAAGATCAAGATGTGGCCAAAGAAGAAATCGAAGCCAATGCTGATGACAAAGAATATGACCCTATGAGCACACTCGACGCCCAACAGCAAACGGCAGAGTCCGATGTTCAGCAGGACGAAACGACCACCGAGACACCCGCCTTCAACACGCACGATGCTTCACACTTAGCCACCGGTCTTCCGAATGACACCGCAGATGCTTCGCAGGATCTTTCGCACGATGAGCCTCAGACGTCTACACCTGCACCACCTGTGGGTGTATCTGCGCAACCCCAGACCAGAACTATTGGTGGATTCGAGGTAGATGATGAGGACGAGGACGAACAGGAAGATGCTGAAGAACAAGAACCAGAAGAACCAGAGGAACAGGAAAAAGACAAAGAAGAAGAGGAAGAAGAGGAAGAAGAAGAAGAAGCAGACTATGAGCCTCACTATGAGCCTCACTATGAGCCTCCGGCTGCGCTGGGGGTTGATGACACAGATGCCATGACCATCACTGAAGATCCAAGTTCAGGAAATGCAATTCAAAACACTTCCCCTGATGTATCATCGCAAGTGCCCATGCAGGGCTCTGCCAGCGTGCCAGAAGTTGCCAATAGTTCATATTCTCCTGCTCATGTTCCCAATATCGATCTTTCTGCTTCTGCTCAAGCTCAGTGGGCTTCGCGGGAAGCGAGCCTACAGAACAGTACCGTTCCTACCCCTGTACCTGACTCCCCCTCGACTACAAAAGGTCGTCTGCCCTATGACCGTGTTGGGATCCTACAAGACCGTGTTGATAAGGATCCACGAGGGGATGTTACTGCTTGGCTGGAGCTGATTGCAGAGCACCGAAATCGCAACCGGTTGGATAGCGCTCGTGAGGCATACGAGGCATTCCTGAAGGCGTTTCCTATGGCGGTAAGATTGTATTCATGACTCATGACTTTCACACTAGCTGATCAACGGACAAATCGCAGGCCGACCAATGGGTGGAATATGCCACGATGGAGTCTGAGCTGAATGAACTCTTCCGCTTGGAGCAGATCTTCAACCGCATACTTATTACCATGCGCAGCGTCAATCTTTGGTCCGTTTATCTTGATTATGTCCGCCGTCGTAATCCCTTGTCGACGGACGCCAATGGAGAGTCCCGACGAATCATTTCATCTGCATATGATCTTGCCGTCCAATACGTTGGCATGGACAAAGACAGTGGTAACATTTGGTCCGATTACATTGAGTTCATCCGCACAGGCCCAGGAAATGTCGGCGGGTCTGGGTGGCAGGATCAGCAGAAAATGGATTTACTGAGAAAAGCCTACCAGCGAGCCATCTGTGTTCCTACTCAATCCCTTAATACTCTGTGGAAGGAGTATGACCAGTTCGAAATGGGCCTCAGTCGACTTACGGTAGATTCCCCATCTTCATGACCAAGACCATACTCATACTGACTTGCTATCTAGGGTCGCAAAATTTTACAGGAACAATCGCCGGTGTATATGACCGCACGGAGTGCTTATACCGAGCTTCAGAATATCACTCGAGGTTTGATCCGTACAACACTTCCCCGGTTACCCCCGTCCCAGGGTTCGAAGGTGACGTTGAATTTGCCCACCAGGTGGACGTGTGGAAGCGGTGGATTGCCTGGGAGAAAAAGGATCCTCTCTTTCTTAAAGAGGACGATGATGTGGCCTTCAAAGGTCGCGTGACCTATGTGTACAAGCAAGCTTTGATGGCTCTGCGCTTTATGCCTGAAATCTGGTTCGAAGCTGCCGATTTTTGTTTCCTTAACGACATGGTCAATGACGGGAACGATTTCCTGAAGCACGGTATCGAGGCGAATCCCGAGAGCTGCCTGCTGGCCTTCAAGCAAGGTGATCGCATCGAAATCACCTCCGACCCGGAAAGCGACTCTTCTAAACGAGCCGCCAAAGTACGGGAGCCCTATGACAAGCTCATCGATGCGCTTTACGACCTGTCAAGCAAGGTGCGGGACCAGGAGAGTCAGGATGTTTCTCGTATTGAGGAAGCATTTGCGAAAGAGAACCCCAATCACAAACCGGCACAAAATGACGATGACGAAGATTTTCAAGGCGAGGCAAAGGAGAAGGTGGCGGCTAAGAAAGCGCAGATCGATGCGGTGAAGAAAGCTTACGCCCCCCCAACTCACGGATCTCTATAAGACTGCTTCTTTCGCCTGGATTGCGTTGATGCGCGCCATGCGTCGTATCCAGGGTAAGGGCAAGCCGGGTGAAGTCGTCGGATCTCGACAGATCTTTGCAGAAGCTCGAAAGCGTGGTCGTATCACCAGCGATGTCTACATTGCCAGTGCGCTCATGGAATATCACTGCTATAAGGATCCTTCGGCTACCAAGATCTTCGAGCGTGGTGCAAAACTGTTCCCGGGCGACGAAAACTTTGCCCTTGAATACCTGAAACATTTGATTGACATTAATGATATCATTAGTAAGTTCTTCCTTGCCTTATTTATTACCGTATACTTGCCTACTAACACATACTCAAAGATGCCCGAGCTGTATTCGAGACGACAGTCAGAAGATTGGCCTCTAACCCCGAAAATGTGCATAAAGCCAAGCCTATTTTCGCCTTCCTCCACGAATACGAGTCTCGATACGGAGATTTGGTCCAAGTGATCAATCTGGAGAACCGCATGCGCGAGCTTTACCCCGAAGATCCCTCGCTGGATCAGTTCTCGCACCGTTACATCACACCCACATTCGATCCGATATCTGTGCGACTAATCTTCTCGCCATCGCAGACCCAGCCCAAGACATTGAACCCTGGCGTCATATCGCAAATCCAAACCTCCCCGGCACCAGGGCAAGGGCAACTTGATATGTCCTTTAGCTCACCAAAGCGGCCCTACCCCGGTGAGGATTTTGATTACGACTCTGATCGTCCTCGCAAATTTGTTCGAGCCGAATCGCCTCTTAAGGCCGCCCAAGGCCGCCGTCTTGACCAACCGAAGCGAGGACAGCCCATCAATGGCCAAGTCACGTCCCACTACAAACCGCAAGGATCCCCGGCGCCCCTACCCCGAGAGGTGGTCCACCTACTCAGCATCATCCCCCATGCATCCGCATACAACATTTCGCGCTTGTCTCCAGAAAAAATGATCGATCTCATTCGCCGCACCGACATCCCGGCGAGTACTTCCCAGATCCCACTCCCAGCCAACGCCAGAGGGCTCGGTGCACCCCAGGGTGGGATGAATGCATATGGAGGTAAGTTTGGCTGCATAATTGCCCAAATGTCATAAATCGCGGACAATGGAAGCTTGCTAACATACATATCTCAAGGTGCTTATCGCTGAGCCTTCCTCCTTTTTTTTGTCCCTCGCCTCCCCTCCCCTCCCCTCTTCACTTTTTTTCTTTTGATTCAATCACCTGCCGTACGATCCTCATCTCATCTTCGCGGCGCGAAGATTGGGTGATTCATTTCCGACGATATTTTCTGTGTTGAATGAAGCTTGTTCCGATGAAGCATGGGGCTGGAATTTGTGTGGCTCTCATTTGTCCTTCCCCGCCACCACCCCGTCTCCCCTTTTTCATCCCTAATTAGAGTCTATTGCATCTGCTGGGCGTCGGTCTGCTTTCGTTCTGGGGATCGGGACCCCTTTGATTATCAGTTGTTCATTCGCCTGACCGGCCCAGCACTCATGTTGAGCGGAGGAATAGTTCTATTTTCCTGTACAGTCTTGGGATCATAGTGCAGATAGTCCCAATGATAATCGAATCTAATCAAAAGAAATATTTTTGTTTCTAGCTGGAGACCTCGCGTCCCCACCATTCATCACCAATCCAGTCACTAGTAGGTAGAAGCCCTCTTCTGTCTACTTTCTCATCCGATTCACCAGCGATCGATATACTACTAACTGCCACTCTTATTGTATCGGCAAGGGTGTTCAGGCCCCAAGAAATCGGTACCATCTTCAATTCACTTATGACACTTGATGCCTCGTGCGATCTACCTATCCCCTACCTCATCTATTGACATATGCTCACTGCTTTGGTAGTATCAATTGTTACGCCAGTCATTAATCGCATATTCGACTTAGGGTTGTTTCCATTTTTGAGCCCCTCGTTTGACAATCAAGCCGCACCTTCACCGGTGGCTTCCACCTGCCACTTTTTGCTGTTTAAAAGGACGCGTGCCTGCCTTCTTTGTCATTTGATTGTTGATTGTTTACTGTTGACGTATCTGGCGTGCCTGCCCTGCGTGACGCTTATGTTGTTGTTGCTGTTATTTCTACCTTCTCGCCCTCTTCCCTCCTATTCCTCTTCTCTACATCAACTCTCTCATCTCTCTCTCACTCCATCTCTTACATCTATTCTTGACAGCTGTCGAACTGAAGAATCTTGTCAACTCTCATCCTGATACAACCCTTCGCTGGCTTCTTGCTAGTTCTGTTCTCCTTCCTACCACCCGCACCCGTCTTCCCAACCCCCATCAATCTCTCTTCAGCTCTCGGAAGCTGTGACAGTGACCTTATCTTTGTGATCTGGTAAGTTCATATCACTCCAGTAGCACTTCTGCGGTTTTCGAAGCATATATTTTGACCCGGCCAACAACATTATATTGATGATTCTCTTGAAACCACCAATGCCATCCCAATTCGTTCCCTCATGTATCAAATTGGCTATCCTTCCTTTTCTCTGTTGTCTCCGCACGATGAAAATCTTACATATTCTAACATGGCCGAGTTCTAGCTCTTTTCCCCATCTATGGCTCCGAAATCCACCGGGCAGGGCCGCAGCCCTAGCCCTAGCCGTGGGAAGCGACAGGGCGATAGCCCAAGTCGAAAGAGCGACAGCAGCAAGAAAAGCTCTGGCTCCAGCTACGTGAGTAGCGAGTCCGTAAAGTCCAAGGATTCCCGCAAGGGTCCTCCGACTCACGCTCCGATCGTCCACCCTGAGCCTGCGCCTCCTGGGCATGTGCGTATCAAGGGCGCCCTTGTGCGCGACCAAGGCGAAAAATGGACTCCTCCTCCTCGCGAGAAGGCCTCCAAGGATGAAACCATAGTGAGTATCATTCATGCTATGCGAGTTTCAGTGGTGTCTTTTCCATTATGTGGAAATCTTGTTGACTCGGTTTTAGATCCCGAAATTCACTTTGCCTCCTCGCCAACCCTTGAATAAGTCAGGGAAAGAGGTCGAGGTTGTCATGAACGCATACCCCATCATCAAGTTCCCGACCAAGCCTATCTTCCAGTACGAGGTCAGTATACGCTTCTAATAAATTCTTCCAAGAGCGATCGAGTCTAACAACAACAGGTCAACGCCATGCTCGGCAAATGGAAAGAGAGTGCGGGCTCTGATGATCCACCTGAGAAGGGTCAGTATATGGAGCAAGACTCAGAGATTCTCCGAAAGGTGTTTTACCGCTCGAAGGTCCGCAAGGAAAGTCTTCCCGATGCCATCTACGATGGGAAGCACATTGCTTGGTACGTTTTGCTTGGCCTTAACCTTCATTCTCGTTGGTTACTTATGCATACAGGTCCCTCACTGCCCTCGACCGCCAACTGCGAGACAAGTTTGTCTATCCAAGTGGATGGCGTCGCCCTGTCGGCAGTCGCGCCGATGTTCATGGCGAAGAGATTTGTCTCATCATGAGCGTTCGCCGCAAGATTTTCCTCGGCACCATCAACGAGTGGCTAGAAAGGAAGCGTCCGCTTGATGAAACTGTGATGGAAGCTTTGAGTAAGTGATAGGATGTCTCTGACCTCCGAAATGACTTATAACTGACCAACCTCTTCTTTCAAGACTTTCTTGATCATTTGATCCGGGATTACCCAGCACAGGAATTCACGGCTCTGAAGCGATCATATTTCTTTGAGAAGCTTGACACTCACCCCGACCCAGAAATGCGAAGAATTGCCGACAAATCGCACTGGCCACTTCTCCAAAGTGGCGCGACATGCTATCGAGGCGCCTTTCAAACAATCAAACCTTCACCTGTGAGAAACATCGAACTCCCTGATGTTCGAATGAGCTTCAACTGACCCTTTTCCTTAGAAAGGCCTTTATCTCAATGTGGACATCGCGCATGCTGTTTTCTATTCTCGAACTTCCCTTATCAATATCATTCGAGGAATCCTCGGCTCGGGGGACGACCAGGCCCAGATTCCGAAGCTTCTCGAGCCAATCTTGGATGAGAATGGAAGCAGAATGGAGACCCAATCTTTTTCCAAAGTCAGCAAGCGACTTCATGGTCTTCGAGTGTGTCCTGATTTCGACGGATACCCACTCGCAAATCGAAGCTACACCATCGACCATCTGATCAACGGCGGCGCCAAAGAATACATGATCAAGATCGACGACCAGGCTACTGGGAAATCCGAGCGAACCAGCATCTATGACTACTTCCACAAGAAGTACAACTTCCAGATGAAGTACGGAAAGACTGCACTAGTTCAGATGACTCGCGCTGGTGTTATCTTCCCCCTTGAGATCTTGTTCATTCGACACCTTCAGCGATGGCCCCATAAGCTTGATGAGCGTATGACTGCCGACATGATCAAGTGGACTGCCGTGAAGCCCACGGGACGCTTGGAAGCCATCCTCAATTGCCACAAGATCCTCGACCATGCAAATGACCCCAACTTGGTCAACTACGGTATGAAAATCGGACCGAGTATGATCAAGACTAAGGCTCGCTTGCTTCCAAACCCTGAGATTCAATTCGGAAATGTCAAGCACAATCCAGGCACTACCGGACGCTGGGATCTTCGTGGCAAGAAGTTCTTCAAATCGAATACCAAGCCCCTCGAATGTTGGGGGATCGGATTCATTGCTGGCTACCGTACCTCGGTCAAGTTTGATCAGGTTCAAGCCTTCCATGATCATTTCGAGAAGCTCTTCAAACAGCACGGCGGGGTGTACAAAAATCGAGCTCTTTCCATCGAACTTCGGGACGACATCGGGGTCGCGCTGAAGACGCTGTATGAAAAGACCCGCGAGGCGTGGGGAGTTATTCCGCAGCTCCTGGTTATCATCGTGCCAGACAAGAACAGCTTCAGTTATTTGCGCATCAAGAAGTCATGCGACTGCCGTTGGGGTGTACCCTCACAGGTTCTTCAGTCGCGTCACTGCATGGATAATAAGCCTCAGTACATCTCAAATGTCCTGATGAAGGTGAATGCTAAGCTCGGCGGTGTTACCAGCAGGGCCATTCCCAAGACCCCTGCCTCGACACTGCGGCCCCAGTCCGTGATAATCGGAGCTGATGTGACGCACCCGATGCTTGGTGTTTGGACCCCCTCTCTTGCTGCCATGTGCATTTCCAACGACCCACAAGGCATCAGTTACATGGGAGGCTGTCAAACAAATGGCGATCTGAAGGAAATCATCACCCCTGAAAACGTTCGCGAAATTCTGCTCCCACTAATGCTTGAGTGGAATGCCACCCTTGGAAAAGGAGGAAAGCCGCCCAAGCACATCTACTATTTCCGGGATGGTGTTTCTGAGTCCGAGTTTCAGGAGGTCCTTCAAAAGGAGGTGTTGGCCATCAAGAAAGTTGCCGCCGAATGCCTCAAGCTGAATTCCTGGCCTGGAAAGATGACAGTCATTGTCGCAAACAAACGTCATCATCTGCGAGCTTTCCCAAAGCCGACTGACAAGAGCTGCTCCGACCGAAATGGTAACCCTCTGCCAGGCCTTCTCGTCAACCGCGATGTCACGAGTCCACATGGATGGGATTTCTTGCTGTACTCCCACGCTGCTCTCCAAGGCACATCCCGCCCTGTTCACTACACTGTGCTTCTGGATGAGATTGGTCACAAGCCGGAAGAGCTGGAGAACATGATCTATGAACACTGCTACCAATACGTGCGATCTACCACTCCGGTCTCCGTTCATCCCTCAGTTTACTATGCCCATCTGATCTCCGTTCGTGCACGCCACCACGAAGATATTCCGGCAAGTTCTGGTCCGCAGCATGGTACTAAAGTTCCAATGCGCCGGGAGCTTGAACACCCTCGACAAAAGGAGAAGGATGATTTCCGTGAGAAGCAGAAGGAGCACACGCAAGAGATGTTGAAAGGGAACCCTGGACACCGTTTCGGCGAAAGTGTTCCCAGGCCCATCCCGAGCTCTCAGGACCCAGCAAAGGGTGCCAAGGAGAAGGAAGAAAAGCCTGCACCCAAGCTCGCTGGATCACGTCTTCTTCCCATCATCGGCACCAACAACCGACTTTCATACAAGATGTGGTGGATCTGACCGCTCCGCCCAGATCTACCCAAGTTTCAAGTTTTCGCTCAAATCATGACTTACCCTGGATCTTCACTCAAACTTGCTCATCCGAATGTCTTCTGACCCAATCCGGTCCTTTCATAATCGAAAGGCCTTTTGTTTAGTGACTTTTTCAGTTTTATCTTCGGCAGATCCTATCCTCAGCATCATGTACCTGTCCCCCTCACGTGGTCATCAAAGGTTATTGGACCCCTAGATTGTAGTGCCTTGGTTTCTCTTTTTTTTCTTTGAAATTTGAGAAGTGGGCGCGGCGTCACTGGGTTTCAATCGACTGGACTTGGTCTGGTGGTTTTCGGGGGCAGGGAAAGGGGAGGTGAGGTTATCAATCAGTTTCGATAGTCAATACAGTACCTTCAGTGAACTATCTACTTGTGCCTTCATGTAAAAGTTTCAGATCCGTAGTGCTTATCTCCTAAAGCCGTTCAAAGTTGGTATTTATCGGCCCATTCGCTGCGTATAATGATCAAGTCAATTGTAGTTAGTATTTCGACCATGCGTTCTGGACATGGAAGTTGGTGAAAGAACTAGTAACTAGTCTTTGAACTCAATCATGAACACAGCATTCTTCACCAGACGGTAGGCCAATACAACCGGCGGTAAATTCTCCAGAAATCTGGTAGTCTACATACGAGGGAGAAGAAAATCAAGAAGAAAAGGTAAAAGCCACCTGACGACGTTGTGTTATAATACATGCAAAATGCCAGAATACAAGATTATATAGAGCAATACATGGCAGCCCGGCGTGTGGAAGCAAACAAAAATGGAAAATAATACATAACAGGCATGGTCAGGATCGCCGAAATGATATTCAGCCATGAGGCTCCAGCGTATTCATCTCGCCCTTTGTTTCCCCATGAATCGCCGTATCCACCTTCTCGGCGTCGGTTCTCGAATACGAAAATGTATGGAGAGCAGTAAGAGGCATAAAAAACAAAAGGGAATAGTTGTTGATGGAGAAAAGGCCGGCACTCGATGACGGAAAGAGAGAAAGTGAATGAAGGTCGTGAGTCGAGGACTGGGATTCCCAGATTCTATCGCAGAGCGATTATGCCGTGGTGCCGTTAGTCATAGGCATGTTGGGGTTGTCTTGCTGCTGAGCCTCGCCAACACTATCCACGTTGAAACCGTCGGTAGGTTTGGAATTGACATCAGTACCTGTGAAATCCTTGATTCCATCTATAGAAGGTGCTTGATCGCCATCGCCATCGACATCATTGAAGCTAGGCATCTCCAGCGCAACGCCGCTGTTCTTTTTCGACTTCTTTTTGCTTGGTTCCGAACCCCCAGCTTTGGACGCCCCGGCCGTATTGGACGGTGGGGGGCGCTTTTGCGGGCTCGTGTTCGGCGCAGAAACACCAGCCAGTGGTGGGATCTTACCAGAAGCGGGGAGGCGAGGTTTAGCTGCCATGGGTCGTTGCTTGGGGGGGAAGCTCAAGATCCTCAACCAACGGTTCATCGCTGTTTGCATCCAACTTGCCTTTGAAGAAAGCTTGAAGTAGACCGATTTGCCCGGGCAAGTTGTCCAATGAAATGCGTGAGTATGGAGGCGGCGTTGGGAAAATCGTGACGGTTTGAGTGGTACTTAAACAGAAGGTTAGCTCCCTGAATATGAATATTGGAAGGGTTATTGGGGACATACCTGGTGTTCTGCGACTGGGCCGCGTTATACATGCGGTTCTGAAGCAGATGCAGAGGAACACTAAGTGTTGCGAGACCAAATTCGCGATCCAAACCTAACTCCTTGAACCCGAAGAAATCCTCATCGATGTCTTCAGCGAAATCTCCGCCAACAAATTGCTCGCTTCCATCATTGAACGCATTTGAGCCGTCCTCACCAGCATCTGCAAGAGCAGGCCGAAGCATTTCAGTAAGTAAGGACTTGAGGCGATCATGGGCGGTGGAGAGTTTTGTCCCGAGTCTCTCAACGTCGTCTTTGATGTAAGATTCCAATTCCTCGATATCAAGTCCCACGCCCGAAAGCGTGTGAAGAACGACTTCTGGCTCCGTGTAGGCCGGTTTCCACTCTGAGGTTGATGTTGCAGTTTCTTGGGATCCAGTTGCTGGTACCTTGGGGACTTCCATGTAGGATTTGACAGTCTCGCCAATTTTTTGGAAGAAATCCGATGCAACATCTGTTGCGACCTCAATGGCGGATGGCTGATACTCTTCAAATCCAGTATGATAGAATATCTTGGCCACGGCTCTTTGCAGAGCTGCTCGGCAAGTTACAGGGGCAATAACGGGTCCATTATCGTTCATGACGTGAGGTAGAACGTCCTGTTCCCCAAAAGGAACCGGGTCATATTTTTGGAATTGATTTTGATACATCTAAATAGAGATTAGACTGATTGAATGGAAGAGACGAGTGGAGTAACATACCTGGGATTGCAGCTGCATCTGCTTCACAATTCCTATCTTCGAGCAAATCTTGCGGGTCTCTTGTAACTGTCGCATGTTTGCAGTGAACCTCTGGGTTAGTTTGCTTTCGGGCTGAGTAAATGAACCCTTTGGCAAAATCCTGAGATACTCCTCCGAGGCGTCGACAACATTGCCTTCCGCGTCTTCTTTCCAAACCAATCGTTCTGAGAGGTCAGGAACACCGGACATCACGTCGTAATAATAGGGAAGCATTTGGTCTTCCTCGACCTCAATGCCTTCTGCGAGTGATTCCTTGCCAGCTTGAGGCTCCATGGCCTGAGTCCCAGAGTCATGGATTTCATCAGCTTCAGCAGCAGCTTGTTTCTCATGCCGCAGCCACCGGCGCATGCCAGCCTTAGTTCGAAGGAGAGCAGGTTCGTCGGCATTGAGCTTGTTACCCTTGAGAAGACGGTGTCGCTCTGCAGCGATGATTGCTCGGTCTTTCTTTGTCACCTGCTTCCACACCTTGAACTCCGGATCTTCCACATCAGCCCCAGGGATTGAGATGGCGCTCAAAGCAATAGTCGGTGCGGATGGTACGTCAATGTCCATGGCATCATCCTGTTGGCTTGCGGCGGCCCCCAGCCCCAAAGGGTCAGATGGAGTATGGGAGCCCGGGGGTGGAGTAGAAAAGCCATTCTGGGTTGGCTCCATAGCCGTATCAGAGTCTCCTCCAAGCGGTGCCGGAGGCTGAGATACAGCTGTGTCGCGAGGGCCTTCGGAGCCGCTAGGGGTGTTTCGAGCAGGCGCAGTGCCCTTCTTGGAAGATTTCCCGGGAGCCTTTCTACCTCTTGAAGACATGATAGGCTCATCGTCGCTTTCATCTGCGCCGTCAAGCTCTTCTCTTTGCAAACGACGCTCTTCCGCTTCGACCTCAGCACGATCTCTAATTACGATTTCTGGAATAAGAGGAACCAGCTTCTCAGTTTCCTTTCGCATGTAGAGAGCATGTTTTCGCAAGAAATGCTCAGGATTCGTGTTATACTTCAGGCAGTTGGCCCAAATCAGATTCAGATCATCGACAAAATCTTGCTTTGATCGATACTGTATGCCCTTAAGCTTCTTGGTCATGCTTCCGAGGTCCATTGGGTGTTTTATTACTGTTTTTCAATGTTAGAACTTGCAATCATTGCTGGAAGCCCGAACATAATGGGGGTCAGTCACTTACTGGTATAGTAATCCGGGGCATCACGTTTGTTGACACGAGTCAGGAAGGCCGTAGAGTGTTCTGTCATAGCTTTGAGTTCACTTAAGACCTTCTCTGCAGCTTCGTAAAGCTCTTCTTGGCCAATCTTATCCTCGCTTGCCCATTTACTGCGATTCTTTCGCACTTCACTGAGGAGGCTTCGCAATTCGGCATCAGAGGCCTGGACCATATCCCGCTTTTTGTCGATCCGGGCGATCAAATTCTTGAGTGTCAGACTCGAAGCACCCAGGTTTGTATTGCTCAGAGAGCTATATCCGTTCGGTCCGCCAGCCGCGCTGTTACCACCAGAGCCAGCTTGGCCTGAAATTTCTGCCTCGACTTGTCGCTCAGATTCTTCCAATCGTTGTTGGTCCAGCATGGCGTCACGATCGTTCTCAAGGGTATAGAATAACGTATGGAAGCTCCGCTTAGCAGCTTCCTCTGTCGCTTTCTTGTCCTCTTCTAGCTGCTTTCGGATATCTTCCACCGATTCTTTCTTTGTTTCTTTTGATCCATCGATGCTGGTGGAAGCTGCGGTACCGGGTCGTTGAACGGGTAGGGTAGCGGCGCTAGGGTCTTGCGGTGGGGGCACGGACTTGCTCTTCAGAGGCGATTCGGTTACATCTTCCATATCTGCATCATCGTCCTCATCATAGTCATCGTAATCATCATCCAGTTTACGCGCGGGCTTGGATGGTGGAGCTGTAGGGGGTGCCGGCGCATCAACGCGTTCGGTTCCGGCGTCGGGCTGTTCCGTCTCCGCGATCGCGGCGGTCGCAGGGTCATCCGCAGTATAGTGACCAGAGAAAAGCGCGTTTATTTTAGCTTCACTGCGCCGATAGAGATCACGAAATTGGGCAATGCGCGGGTCTTCTTCGAGGGTGAGGTCGGGCTCCGATGTCATACTACTGGGGTTCGGCCCGTCGGCGCTGACAGAGCCGCGTACCTGGGGAGTGCGCGAACCAGACAATGTCTTGACCAAGCCATTGACCGGTCGAGGCGACTCCTGATGGTCGTCCGGAGGACGTGTATTGCCCGGGGGCCAGGCGTTGTGACCAAGCGACATGCTCGCTCCAAAACCCCGGTTCTGGGGCGGGTGATACTCGATCCTCCACGGTTGGGATCACGGGCCGAGAAATCACGACAAGGGCGTTTGAGGAGGGAAAAAAGGCATAGAGTGGTGCCGCACAGTCGCCCGAAACGTCAGGCGATGTCTAAAATGGCCACAACGATGGCACGGCGGCGAGGTTTGATGAAGAAGTTGAGGTCTTCTGTAGGGAAGTTTCTCGGACGGGGATGAACTCACGGCAGGCGCGAAGGCGGCGGATCGCGGCAATTTGGCGTTCGCGCTTGCCATTCACGGGGGCCTTTTTCCCCGCCATTTCGGGGTAGAGCGAAACTCTTTTACTAGGTACAGGACATCTAGGATATCTCTTGACTTTTTACTTCTAACCTACTACTACTACCTTTGGCCTCACCTCCCCACCCCAGTCATGCTCTGACCCTCGAGCTCCCCTTCTTACTTGGTGGTTCTCCCTCTCTCCATCCCGTCTCTCCGCATATGACGCATAAGGCAACAGCAACAGCAAAAGCAACACTGGGGCCAAATCGATTAACGTCCACTGCTCTCCACCCGCTCCAACATACCCACCACAACCTCTGCTGAAGACCTCACGAAGAAGCTACAGCTTGTACCCCCAATTGTCTTTCACTTCCTCATCATGAGGATCCGCTATCCTTTCGCAGGTAGGTTCAGCTTTCTCGGCTCCGGCATCCATCCTCCGGCATCATCTTGGCGGTTCGTCCCGGCTAACTCACCACTTCTTAGGAGCATTCGTCTTCCTGTTAATTCTCGCCGCTTATATCGGTTTCCTCCCGCATAATACCTCGTCATCTCTCCCTGCGAATCTACAACCCAATGACAAATTTCTGCATCTGGTGACCTTTTTCCTACTGTCGGTCGCCTTCTACTGGATTGTAGATACGTCGCGCCGGCGTAATTTGCATCTCACACTGGTGGTCTGTACGCTGGGCTTGGGCGTTGGCTCCGAGGTCATCCAGGGCTTACTCCCTAATGGTCGAGACTTTGACTTATTCGACATTGTTGCCAATGTGGTCGGAAGTCTCGGCGCAATTGGCATCTGTGGCTGGTATCACCGCCGCATGTTAGAGCGCCGCCGAGCCAGTCGTTACGGAATGGTGGATGGCAATGCAGATGATGATGTCGAGCTTGGCACTGGTGTCGGGGCACGCTCCAGGGAAGAGGAAGGAATGGGCCCTCAAGAGTCCGGTGTGACAAACCTCGAGCAGGAGGTAGACAACTGGGATGAAAACGCGGTGGATAACTGGGATACCGAAGACGGCCCTGGGCCTTCTGAGACAGCGCCTCCAAGCTACCACGAAAATGGCCAGGTGGCGGGAGATGAGGCCGTGAAACGCAGTGACTGATCGTTGCGTATAGGGCCACAGAAATCGCTTATGAATTTTGACCCCAGTATTTCTCGGCCGAAATTTACCAAATCTAACTATCAAATCTTATGATGAAGAGGATTGTGCGTTGGTCGAGTTTATGTCGATATGGCACTTGATGGCGGGTTCCATGCATTATGTCGTTTCTATCGCCGGTGTAGGACATGTCGGTTATGTTTATTATGGAATCATGAATATACATTTGGAGGTCAGCTCTTTGGTACTGGCTTATATTATAGTCTTCTTGCAATGCTTGCGGGGGAATAAGATCAATGTATCCAATCAAGTGTACAAATTTTCCCCACCTGTCCAGAAGACTCAGGTAGATGGGGCATTCCAAGGTTCTTCTACAAGGTATGGAAAAATGGAGGGAACCTTGGAAACGAAGGACTAACTTGAAAAGAGGAATCTTTCTAAAAGAAAATCGCAATTCTTAAATCACTACCTAGACTGTCGCTCCAGAAGTGGTTAAACCAGGCCCCGAACAAGAAATATACCCTATACTCAACCATGGGCAAAGGGTAAAGTACTCAAGGTATAACTACCCACAGTAATGCACGGCGGACGATAGCCGTCTTCAGGCCATTTCTCATGTACAGTAGTACTAGTTTAATTCACCCTTTGTACTAGTAGCCCTCAGGTATAGCAGTATTAGCTGATCCCAGTGCATTACAAGTTGATAGGATGCCTCCGTCTACTGGTAGATTACCCAGCGGAGACTTGTCGACTCAAAAACGTCCTCAGTCTCGCGATGGGGATTCTCTACTTAAGGGATGCTGTCTAGGTATCCGACGGTCTTTCACCTAGTTGCCCATTTTGAGATTCTAAATGACTGGTGTACATGAATTTTGTGGACAACTGCTGCGTAGAATACAAGCCTGCCATAGTGGGCATTCGCATAGGGAACAATAGGCGCTTGGGCCGGACCACTAGGGAATCCGCTAATATACAGCAATTCTAATGCGAAACTAGACATCCGCCGTCGGCGGGCACAGCTACATACAACGCAAGAGGCAAAAACGACCATGCACACTAGGGGGTATTTGAAAAATGGGAAAGAGGAGATGTGGGTGTATACCGGGGAAGGTAAAAGAAATGAAAAAAAAAGAACTAGGGGAACGTGAAAGCCAACAAGTCGCGAACACCGAGTGCAATGATATGATGCAAACAAAAAAAGGAGGATGATAGGCAAGGTAAAACAAAAAAAGGACTCGTGATCACATCGCGATGGGGAAAATTGGACACAAAAGTCGAGAATGAGACGTTCAAAGGTGGGTACTCGGAGATGCAAGTGAACAGCAAGGGGCATTTAGGAGGACGACATGTTGCGTCCGTTAGTCGCTGTTAGAGACCTCGGACGATCTAGACCAGCTGCGCGTCGGAGTTGGAACGCGGTCTGGGACGGCTTCCAATTCAGGCTTCGACGTGGGCAGATAATCCGCATGGTCATTCAACTTGGCCACTTTTGCAGATCGCGGCTCACACTGGCTTCCAGGTGACTGGGCATCGTGAGTTGGAAGTTTCCCCAACTTCATGTCAGTCTGTTCTCGCAATACTTCGTAAATAAACTGCATCTGCATCTCGTTGTACACCATCATCATCCGTTGCTCGCGCATTTGGCTGACTGTTTCAAACACAGGGTCCGATTCTGCGTCGCTTACTTGCAGCAGCTGGCCCGATTCGAGTTCTTCCAGTAAATGATCGAGAGCGATGAATGTTCCTGTTCGACCGACACCCGCGCTGCAGTGCACCACACGTGGATTGTTCGGGCCGGATTTAGAAGCCGAAAGCCTGATCAGCTCAAGAAGAGCCTCGCGATCATTCCCTTCAGGTTTCGAATAGTCTGCCCAGCCTGCAAAGAGGAAGTGCCAGATGATCTTCGATTCAGAGCCGATGGTCAACTCCAGCTTGCGGATTTCAGAGCGAGCTTTCGTGTCAAACGTAGACTCCAAAAGAGTCACTTTGCCAATGGCCCCAGATCCATCCTCGGATTCCTCAGTCACAAATGGATCCGATTCCTCCGTCGTCAGAATCATCGAGTCCTGCTCCAAGTCCAACGGGAAATATTGGGCGCATTTCTCTCGGCCTGCCTCGAAGGTCTGGGTGAGCATGACGATGACGCCGACCTCCTTGCTTTCGTGGAAGACCATGTGCCAGAAATGTGAGAAATGCCCGAGCTTGGGACCCTGTGGATCTATTAGCCCCGATTCTACTTGATCTATCACAGACAAGCTTTGTGAGCTGTCACCTACCTGTGTCGCAATATATCTTCTCTCCTCTTCCGTGAGCGTATCCCTGAGGGTAATCGGCGAGGCGTTGATGAAATCACACTCCCCAGCGGGTACCCGCAGATGGATGCGACAATTCGCCCAGGCCTGCACATTGATATATCGGTTCCTCGCCTTGACCTTGGGGTCTGCCTCAAGAGCAAAGGGATGGGTAGCGTCGTTGGACAGCATGCCCTCGGTCAGCCGGGTCCTCTGCATCCATTCCAAATCTTCAAACTTGTCGTGAATCTCTGCAAGATGAGCCAAGCGGTCAGTATGGGTAATTCAGTATCTTTCCACGTGCGGGCTGGTACGATATGCTCCGAAAGGCTGCATGCAGCACCTCCACTCACCGGCAACAGATTGACACAGGAATGGGGGAAGATCATCTGTGTTTCCATCCTCCAACCTGGGATTACCTTGTTCACCGTCCGGTAGGTCGATGCCGGCCTCGTCCGGCAAGCCGCGCTTGGTTGTCTGTACACTGGTATCGATCTTGATAGACGGGTGAGCCATCTTGGCGGCGGCGACCCGGTGGAATGCGCGAACCTTGCCAAACACACCGCGGGCTTTCTTCGAAACGGCGTGGCTGTTAAAGCGTTTTTTCACGCGCGGGGCAGCGGAGTCCGGGGAGGACGAGCGAGACTGCTCGGGGTCGGTAGTAATGTCCTGGTCGATACCGTAGGCGGCAGCCGAATAGTGGGAAATCTGCAGGGACGACAGATCGGGACAGCTATAATAGCTGTCCCGGGAAGGTGTGTCCAGGGCCAGATTTCTGGAGATCGTGGAGGGGGTTGGGCGTCGAGAGAGGAGATGAGGAGCGTCGCAATAGCGCAACGTGTGACCTCGTATAAAGCCGGAAGGTCTCCGCCAGCAGAAGAACGAGAACGAGAACACGCCGCGGGGGGGGGGGAAGGAAGTTTGAGTATTTTTCCTTTCTCCCAGCGGATAAAAAGGCCCAGAGTGGGCAGAAAAGGAGGAGGGTGAGGAGGAGGGGCGAGATGGGAATCCGGAGGGTGTGGAGGAAGTAAGTGGGAAGAGGAAGAGAAGGGAAGGATAGATCGATTCGATTCTCGAGTACCACTAGCACTACCACTACCAGTTCCGGAATTAGAATTGTATACCTAGTTCTATAGATAGTCGAGGCATACCTTTATAGAAACCTAAACCGATTGGTAATTGGCGGGGACTTTGCCACTTTCTGCGAGTCTCAGCTGCGTCTGCGTGCGGCGATCGGACTTTGCCAGGAACTTGAACATGTACACCTGGGCATAGTGTAGGGTTGTAGGGTGTTTTCTAGGGCTCTCCACTTTCGCGGCTTCTCGCATACTTTGTTTTTGTTCTGTTCTTATTTGATTCTTGTTTCTACACTATACCAGTATACTAGTATACTTAAATCCACCGAGGTCCAGTCCCGCGGGGAAAAACAAACCCGCCGTCGCAAAACTATATTCTACTCTACTCTCTCCCTTTCACCTTTCATCCCCCCTTGTCCTTTCAACTTCTTTTTGATGCCGCCTCCCGCGTGCCCTTGACGGGTGTGAATCGCCCGCGCACCATTTCTACGCATATTCCTATCCTCGATTTTGCGATATGGTCTCCTCCGCCCAGGTCCTCGATCGCGTCGCGCCCAACCAGAGTACACCGTCGGTCGTGTCGCGACACTCCCACTCCCACCGACGACATCGATCGGGTCGCTCACATCATGGAAGTTCCTCTCTTCAACCCTCTTCCAATGATTTTCCCGTATTCGCATACACCGGTGATACCGAAATCGTGATCCGTGCCGGATCGCAGGAGAGACGCTACCTCCTACATCGCTTGATCCTGGCGCAATGCTCAGGTTTCTTTGAGACAAGCACGACTGAGGAATGGTCGCGACAAATCACAGCCGGTCCTCCGAAGACGGATAGCTCCCTATCGCGCCTAAGCGAGGAGGACTCCCTATCGAACGGATCTACAGTGGTTCAGTCAGACGGGGGTGGACTGCCAGCCCGGCCAGGAGAGAAGCGTCGTTGGCGCTATGAACTTGGCTGGGAAAGTTGTGCGCAAGACGAAGTACCCGTCTTAGTCCAAAGGGTGAGTTTGGAACGGTCACCTAACCTTCATCCTAGACACTTGCATCTCCTCGCGCATATCCAAATTGACAGCGGCTCACCTCTTCTTCAATAGCAATCGAGCTTCTCCCCAATCTCCGCCGGCCACCCGGCTCCATTCTCGCAAGCAATAACCAAGCCATCGAATTCTCAAGCGGGATTCTTCCGATCCATGGCTAATTTGACGGGCATGCCAGCGCAGTCAGTGGTTCATTTGCCCCAGACTGCTGGAGACCCGAGTAGTACCCTCCCTCCGTTAATTCGGGACTACGACAACTTGTTCCGTCTCTTCTACAATCACACGCCCAATATCAACAGCGTGAATATCGCTGCGGCCTATACAGAGTGCAAGTCACTACTCGCCTTAGCGGACATGTACGATGCGCTGCCGGTAACCGGGCCTCGTGTCGACCATCACCTTTTAGGATTCGGCTCGCGACTCTTCAAACAAATCGCCAAGTACCCACCGAGTTACCTCAAGTTAGGCTATCTCGCACGCAGTCGAGTGATTTTCTCCGAGGCCTTGGTCCACGTCGTGGGCCAATGGCCCGCGGCCTTGCCCAACTTGCGCAACGGCTCATACGCTCCTCTCCCAGACTCTGTCCTTGACCTGATCGAAGACAAGTACGAGGATCTCGAAGATCTCAAAGCGCGCGTGGAATCTAAGCTTTTTCGCCTGTCCTTGACCACCTCCCGTGGCGAGCGTGTTGGGCCATCAAACGCGTATCTAGACTGGTTAGCTGTCTCACTTTTCCGCCAATGGTTGATTGAAAGCACAACTCCTCCTCCTGCGCCCATTCTCAAGAACTCGTCCAACGCCAACAGCGCTCCTCCTCCAATGGGACAAGGGTCTCAAACCGGCTCGTCCAGACCGACTGCACCGCCAGACCCCGCTGCTCGAGTGTATAGATTGATCGGGTCTCCCTCTCCACAAGCTTATCTGCCCCATGACGAGATCAAACGCTTTCTCAAGCTCCACCCGACCCCTTCTGCCGATTCCCTCTATTCCAGAGAAACTTTGAAACGCTTTGAACGCAAGATGGATGAAATCAAACGATTGGCTCGAGAAATCGTCAAACCGCTTATGCGGAACTTTCTCGAATTGGAGCTGAAAACTAGCACTGAACAGAACACCTCTGCCGCCGGGGCTCGCGAAAGTACTCCCGCACCGGGCTTGCCTTATTTAACCTGCACCCGCGTGGAGGAGAGTGATATGCCATGGGGTTGATGTCACGGCTGCTTTATTTCTTCCCCCCTTCACACCTTTTATACCTCTTATTTTTTATTCTTTTTTTGATTCGCGGCGCCGAGCAGATTCCCACTTTTAGTTATCCTTTCTGTTTTCTTCTGGCGTCTTGGAAATTCCCATTTTCTGCTTCCTTGGGCTGCTGGCCAGCTCAGAGCAGAGAGTGTACCCCTACTCCTTGGCTATCTGCCAGATGATGCTATGTGTCCAATATTTTGATGCCCCTTATCTCGACCTTCTATTTAATGTGTTATGATGATGTCATGAATCGTCTATGTTTATCAACTTCCCAGCACCCATGCATCTCCAATTTTACATACAGGTCGGTGTTTCATACATCTTAGGCGTTTCTGGACAATGGTGCACGGTAATTATTAGATTTCGATGCATTCAACCCAGACACCTGAAAATAAGTTGAAAAGGATTCGCGATCAATGATAACCCCCTGGGATGCTTCAATAGTTTACAGTTTCCTAACATCATATAATAACACAGCCATAGTAGTATACAGGCGGAGAGATGTTTCTCATCCTTCCGGCTTTAATCTCGTCGACCAATCGTCTCCATTCCATCCATCCAAGGGCGCAAAACCTCCGGGATAACGACAACGCCATTCTCTGCATCCCAGTTATTCTCCAAGATAGCAGCCAACACGCGTGGAACGGCCATTGCTGTACCATTAACGGTATGCGGGAAGCGAGAGTCCTTGACTGCACCGCCACGGACACGAGTCGCCAATCGTCGACTCTGGTAGTCTGTGCAGATAGAAGCGGAGGTCACTTCACCCCAAGCTGACTCCAACCATTCCAAGGCTGGGTCAGGTCCAGTGGGGGTAGTAGTTGGGCGGAATCGCGAGGGGAAAAGGGCCTCGATATCACGCTTGCGACTTGCGCTCGCTCCAAGATCAGTGCTTGGCATCTCCAACACGCGGCAAGGAAGGTGCAAAGATGTCAAGATTTCGGTCTGAATGTCCAGCAGCTCAGAGAAAATGTCATCGGAAGTTGCTTTGGTGGAACCGGAGGAGTCGGTGGGAACATTGTCGGCCCAGCCGAACATTTCCACCTTGGTAAACTCGTGGACTCGATACAGACCCTTGGTATCGACACCACGCGAGCCCGCTTCGGCGCGGTAGCAGCGACTGGCGCCTACCAGCTTCAGAGGCAGATCGCCAGCGTCGATGTCGCGACCTGCATACATGGCCGCAAGTGGGATCTCTGCAGTGCCGGTCAAGGAGCGTTGGGGTTTGGTATTCCGATCCCGTTCATTCTGTTCAATGGACCAGATCTGTTGCTCATTATTCTGATCGCGCGGTTGGAACCCACACGCCTCTGCGATGTAGGAGTAAACGATTGATGGTGGTGCGACAGTTCGCCATCCACGACGCCGTGCAACAGTCAGTGCGTACTGGACTAGGGCCTGCTCCAGCATTGCTCCCTCGTTTATGAGAAAATACCATCCCCACCCAGTTGTTGTTGCAGAGCTGGCGAAGTCGATGAGGCCCAGCTTGGTACCGATTGTAACGTGCGATCGGGCTGTGAGCTCCGCCGGTGACTGGCGCGTCCATGTGGGTGGCGTATTCGGGTCAAGATTGAGGTAACTGACTAGACAAGGGTCATCTCCGATTGGGGTTTCCGCGGATGAGAGGTTCGGGAGGGATAAGGCGATGCGGTTGATTTCATCGTCGCAGGTCGACTTGCGCACTGTCATGGCGTGTGACTCGTCTTTTAATCGCTGTGCCTCTGACTTGAGGGTTGAAAGCTCCCCCTTAGCATTATTGCCAGTCGTCCCATCCATGTCGGCCTCCTGGCGTGCTGCAATTGACAGCCTCGCGATGGTCTTCTCGAGGTGTTTGATGCGGGATCGTGGCATCTTCAGATCGTGGTCGAGTTGCCTGACCTCTTCGGACAAAGTTTGAATCTTCGATGGGTACCCCGCATGAGCGGCATAGTTCCGCTCTACGCAATTCCTGGCGTGGAGCTCGGCATTTTGGCGGATATTTTTGACGTCTGGGGTGGGCTTCGGGGCAGTTGCAGGGCGGAGAATCTGATGGACCTGGCGAGATGCGGCGAAAGTGCGCGGCGGTGAGAGTCGCTTTGGATATTGGAAGTTGAGAGCGAGCCTGCAATTGAAGCAGGTATAGGGGGGAGGGGGAGGGTGCCATGAAGAAGAGAAGAGAAGAGAATGGAGGAGAGAAGGGAGAATCGGCGTGGATGTTCAAGTTTCCGGTGGATCGTCTTTGGTGGGGCCGCTCTACCCTTAGCTTAGGGTAGGGTCGAGTACTTAAACTCCAGTAAGATAGCTTGAATTTGAACTTGAATCCATGGATCGGTGCTTCGCAATGATACTAGTATATTTATATTTATATTTACAGTCTGAACCTGGTATTGAGAAATGGTGATCATCATACTAGCAATTTCGAGGATCGTCATGTTACATGTATGCCCGAAAAGAACAACCTGGGAACTTGAACAGCAACTGTAAATTGTGGTAGAAAGCATCTTCAATGATTTCCCAGGCCCAACTTGTGCTTTTTGATCCTGGTCCCCAGACCAAGCAGAATCAAGATCAAGGTCAAGACGACCGACCAAGTGGGAATGACTAGGATTCCTATCTGCGTCGCCGCCAGGAAAAGCGCAGTCTCCAGCAATAGCAGAACATAGCCGCTCCACCGATGATATTTATAAATCCGTTTGCCCGCGTCAACACTGCCAAAGATGGTAACGGGGAGGAAGAACTGCGCAACTCCGACGAGAGCCTGTAGCACGACGGAGATGACCGTGAGTAGTCCGAGGATACCGTGTAGGGAAACAAAATGTGGGTGGTCGCGCTTGTTGATCTCGATGATGGTGAAGGCCCCCAAAAAGCAAAGGATGCTAGCCAGCTGAATGCCGTAGTGGATGTGAGTCCCTAGCTGCTTTTGCTGTGGGGTGGACGTAGGCTGGAGGATGAGAGCTGCCTGCACCTGCAGCAGCAATGCGGAGACGCCGAAGAGCTACCGATTGCAAATGGTAAGGACCCAAGTTGGAGGGGAGGAATGTGGGATGGGGGATGTGTTGACTGACTGGATGAAGGGTGAAAAGAGAAAGTGGTTGGGATAAAAGGTCGGACCAGACGAGAATTGCCAACTGGTGATTCCCCCGCGTTAGAACTTCAACTTCAACTTCAACTTCAACTTGGTTGTAGGACAGCCCTGGTGCCACTTACAACCCACACTCCAACTTGCGCAACGCTCGCAGTGCCTAATCGAGTTCGTATTAGAAATGGCCGTCATGGACCTTGAACCAACCCTAGGAGATCGCCGCTTGCCTGTGATAAAATTGACGAAGATCTTCTCGCGTGGCTCCGCTGGGAACTCGAGATCATCCCGTTGGCCTAGTAAAGGTTCGTGGGCCTCGGGAATTCCAGTAGCAGCGGCCATGACTATGTGAGCAGTGAGACTACTACTAGTAGTATTACCTCTAACATTTGGCTACAGTAGGGGGAGAACATGGTATATAAGGTAATAACTACTATTCCGTAAGCTTCTGCAGTGCTAAATGCATGGCCATCACCGATCCCTGCACGCCAGTGATTTTACGAAAAGAAATAGCGCATGTCGCCGACTTGGCCTGCACCCTGGCTCGAGAAACACGACAAAGAGTCTTTGTTTGGCGTGATGCTCGGCTCCAATGGCGATCTCGCAATCAATGGATGTTCAGGTGGAGCTGAATGCGCCAGTCAGCAAGGCATGATTGCCAATGATTCTGGCAAAAGCAAAAGTTCGACCCAGCCCATGATGCCTATGGTTACACAAACACGCCGTCCTTGCAGTAGGTGATTTTTGATTTCCAATAATTTTATGCTGGGCGGATTTATCCCCGCTGTTGGGTTCATGTTCATACAGAAAGGATCTATACACAACTCTACGATAATTAATTAATCCGTACGTTACACACTCAGAATTCCGTCCCTTCCAAGGCTATTGGATCCTAAAAGAAATACGGAATAACATCGATGTTATGATTAATGAAGGACTTATCTCAGACAACTCATACGCCGTCTACTCCAGTGCCTATGCAAATGTTAGTGATCTCTTGACTGGTCGGGTACCCAAGCAGATAAACCATTGTTAGTATATACACAGTTCTAACTAGTTAGTTACTGCCAATTTACCAGCTAGACACCGCAATATCTGAGTTATGAAACTGTTCAGATGCCGCGAACCCGTTCTGAGTAAAGAGCAGGTATAAATCAATGTTCACTCACTATAGATGAATTCTTCACCATCTGACCAACATGGGATAGAATCCCCAGAATTCAAGTCCAGAGAATTTATGTACTCGATCAAAACGAAAGCCACCCATTCAGCCTTCTCCGCGTCTTGACTCAAGTTCCGCAGCTGTGCTTGGACAATAAGATTGAAGAGCGTGCAATGATCCGCAATGCAGACCAACTCTTCGTGAGGAGCCCCAATACCCATGGCCTCAGTAAGTGCGCCAAACTTGATCTCTGCGACTTCGTTCACGAGCTTCCTGATTTCATTTATGACAGTCCTGTACCATGTGGGATGATCTCGGAGGTGGGTGGCCCGTAATTCCAACAGCGAGATAGACCCGCGCCACCGAATGGCATAGATCCGAGCATCTAGGGTCTTCAAAGAATCTGGCATTCTGCTCGGAAGATATCGAGGGATAAGTCTGTCAATATAATGCTTGGCATCGGGAGCCTCGTTCCTCTCTAACTCAATTATTTGGCGTCGCAAGCTTTGGTTGATTATTTTTACGGGGTAGATTTCCCTCATAAAGCGCAGCACAGCCACCATTGAATTCACAGCTTCTCGACAGCGATTTGGATTATCTCTTATAAACATAGAACACTCCAAAATAGCCACCTGTACAGAGTTAACATGCGATGTATCGAGATCTACTCGTTGGTGATCAGTATTCAACCAAACCTGCGCCACTCTAGAATGTAACTGCTCCATAATTCGGCTGACTTCCTCGTAGCTCGAGGGAACGTGACTGAGATCTTTGATTTGGCATTTGAGGAGATCAATGCATGTAGCCCAGTAGTGTTCAAAAGAGACATGCAATGGTGAGTCCAGTCTGTCACCTGGATCTTCAACACTTCCAGGTGAAGGTCTGTTGAACAATGATGCCATATTAAAAGGCAGATTTCTAATATATGACAACATTATTTTAAAGGGTCAATAAATTAACATAGAGCCCTAACCTGCCAGTGGAAGAAGATTTTTTACTATCTTTATACCCTACTATTTTATATAGTAGGGGACTGTCATTGTATTTGTTTGGCTTTGAAGTGCCCTCTTTGTTCACAGCCAGCCTTTGAGCTTCGCTCCTTTGAAATGATGGCATTATAAGGATACCACAATCACCAGCTACAATGATATTATCCCTACAGTAGAGCTCATGGGAAATGAATATTAGCTATGATCATTCAAATTACTTCGTGGTTTCACGGTAGTTCATAAAATCTGGATTTGAATCAGACTAGGTCGTTGTTGCGGATAGTATGTGGGCCCATTCAAAGCCCAGACCTTGTCTCCTCATCACGCGCTGCCGCAGCTCGTTCTTTCTTCGCCTTCTGAATACCTAGGGACATCTTGACCGGGTGAACACCCGGTGTCTCAAACACAGCATCAATTTCTTCCAAACTTAACCCGCCAGTTTCCGGGAAGACAAAGTATGACAGAACAAGTTGAATAGTGTTGTAGACAATATAAACAACCCAGACCTTATATCCAATTTTCTGGATGCCGACACTTATGCCATATGTCTGTGCTGCACTGGCTCCACCTTGTATTAGGCTATACAGGCCCATTCCTTTGGCACGGAGTGGCAAAGACAAAATTTCCACGGGATAGAGATTATGCATCGTAGCAATAAGCGTTGCTGAGAAAGTCTGGTAAAGAAAGATCCAGAGAAGTGTGAGCGCCGCAGCCGCATGGGTGGCATTGAGGCTGTACTGCCAGGAGGTGATAGTCGTTGCGGTCTGGAAAATAACCATGCTGATCAGTCCCGAGAAGATCAAGGTTCTGCGGCGGAACTTGTCAACAAGAAGTGATCCGACGGCTGTGAAGACGAAATAAACTGCAGTGGTTCCAATGCTGATCCCCAATTGCTGTTTTGTGCCATCGATACCAACTGTCTCCAGGGCAGGGACCATCTAACAAGCTTTGTATCAGCGGAAAATCGATTGACTCAAGAAGAGTCAACTCACGTAGTACGTTATAATGCTTCCTCCATTCCATTGCTGGAAAACCGAATACAGCACCAAGACCAGCAATCTATATCGGGCGATCTTTGTGAAAAACACCCGATAGTCCCAAAATGACCTGTAGCTGTTTCGATCGTTCTCCAGTGACTCCTCTATCTGAGTCACTACAATGTCAACAATTGGCTCATTGATACTCGTGCTAGTTGTGTGGTATTTTGCGATAACCTCTTTGGCCTTTTGTCGGTTACCTCTCATGACATAATAGCGAGGCGATTCCGGGGTCAAGACATAGATTGTCAAGCAAACAATAGCGGGGAAGATGGCCTCGAGGATCAAGGGGATACGCCATGATTTGTTTCCTGGTAGATTTGAAAGTCCGACCATTGCTCCAAGCATAGCCAGACTGCCGACTTGGAAGCAAGCACCGAAAAAACCCACCATACGCCCTCGAAGATGGATAGGCGAAATTTCACCAATGTACTGAGAGCTGGACATGAGCGCTGTTCCGAATCCCATAAAGAAACGCCCAGCCATAAACATGGGTAGGTTGGTAGCGCAACCCTGAATTACGGCAGCAAATATGACGATTGCATTTCCCGCGAAATTGATTCCTCGTCGACCAATAACGTCTGCAAGTCCCATAAAGGGGGCGCCACAGACTGTTCCGATACTCATGAGGGCGTTGATGAGACCGTAGGTACTACCACTGGTACCGAACCCAAGATAGTTGTGCCATGCGTCGAGTGAATTGATACCTCCGATAACCCCCCAATCAACTCCAAAACCTGCCTATATAAAATATCAGTTTTCTGTAAGCTTCCAATGAGACAATACTGGCTTCAGACTCACTTGATTACAGCCATGGACAAACATAATCAAGCCTAGTCGCACCCCTGTCCACGACCAGACGCTTAGTGAATCCTGAGATAGCTTCCATAGGTCCTCTTCAGTTAGGCGAGCAAGTGCTACTTCCTCAATGTACTCTTCGCCCTTCAGTTTGGCCACTTTAGCCTCGGTTTCACTGGGTTTGCCCATCGTGGGTCCTCGTAAGATCAAGCAAGGATAAGAACTGCGCGTGTGAGAGTGTGTTGTTGCGGGCGAGGGTAGATATGGGGAGGGCTATCTCTTGGTATTTCTGCTCTGACAGGTATGAGTCGCTTAGCGAGATCAAAGGAGGATCCCAATCAGCCAGCCGAACCCATAGTGCGAAGCTCATTCTGCCACGGAGACTTGAAGGATCCGAAGCCAAAACGGAATTGAGAAAAGCTAACATTCTTTATTAGGCTTGGAATCACATGGACCAGTTGGAAAAAGCAAAGATGATTGGCGGTCAATCGCCACAGTGGAAAGCTGGCGCCAGTCACGTTGGCCATCGTCGTGCAGCGGGGAGCCGAACTAGATTCGCTTGCTTGACCTGGGCGTAAGCTTTTCTCCATGAGTCCATCGCTACTGGCTCGCTGGTTGTTTGCCCGAGCATCGTGCATACATTGAAAATTGTCCACCAGTAGGGAGCGACTGCGGGGAAAGATCCTCCCATACCAGCAGTTAGACTTAATCTGGGGAGGATATCAAGCCTCTTTTGTAGCCCCGGCGAATTTAGCCTGTAGGGAGGCTTGGAAACCCCGAATGGTCAATAAATTCTCTGGATATAATTCGCCTGGCCGGATCCGAATCGCTTTCTCCGTACGCAAACTTCAACCCCCCGGGTCGTTGCCACGCAAAGTCGCTGCTCGGACCTTGATAACTTTGATTCTATCATTCATGACTGAGTTGTGGTATGAGCAGCCCGCGACGAGCTGGAATGAAGCTCTACCAGTTGGCAATGGACGCCTCGGTGCTATGGTTTACGGCCGAACTGACACGGAACTATTGCAGCTGAACGAGGACTCTGTGTGGTATGGAGGTCCGCAGGATCGCACACCACAGGACGCCCTAGTATACCTTCCTCGTCTTCGAGAGGCGATTCGTGCCGGAAATCATAAAGAAGCCGAACGGATTGCTACTCTTGCATTCTTTGCGAATCCAATCAGTCAACGACAATACGAGCCTCTGGGAACTTTCTTCTTGGATTTCGGCCACGACCCTGCCCAGGTCAATAATTATAAGCGCTCTTTGGATATTAAAAATGCGACAGCTCGTGTCGCTTACGACTATCAAGAAGTTCATTATGAAAGAGAAGTGATAGCCAGTTATCCCGACGGCGTTATCGCGATCAGGATCCAGTCTTCGTCAAAAACCCAATTTAATTTGCGATTGACACGGATGAGCGAACTGGAATTCGAGTCGAATGAATATCTTGATGATTTGTGGGCTACACACAATTCTATCATGATGCATGTTACTCCAGGAGGTCGAGATAGCAATCGTGCTTGCTGCACAGTCCGGGTACGATGCGAAGACGATGGAGAAGTCAGGAGGATTGGAAATAACCTGATGGTCAATTCTTCTGATGCTCTTCTACTTATCGCAGCCCAAACAACATTCCGCTTTGAGAATCCCGACAAGAAAGCCTCTCATGAACTTGACCAGGCCCTCCGTCAGTCTTCCGATGAGATCTGGATAAAACACAAAATGGACTATCAGGCACTGTACCAAAAGATGGAACTGCGACTCGAGCCTGAACATCGTGAAATACCTACAGACAAACGACTGAAGTCCTCCAGAGACCCAGGGCTAATTGCGCTCTATCATAACTACGGCCGCTATCTCCTAATATCTTGCAGCCGCGAAGGATACAAGGCCCTCCCTGCAAATTTACAGGGAATCTGGAATCCTTCATTCCACCCAGCCTGGGGCGGTAAGTTCACAATAAATGTCAATCTCCAAATGAACTATTGGCCTGCAAATGTTTGCAATCTTTCAGAATGTGAGATGCCACTTTTCGAACTTTTACGGCGCCTAGCGAAATCTGGCGGGATTACGGCCCGGGTCATGTATGGATGTCGGGGCTGGGCGGCACACTCCTGTACAGACATATGGGCAGATACTGCTCCGGTTGATCGATGGATGCCATCAACTATCTGGCCACTCGGAGGCGCGTGGCTTTGTTACCATATCTGGGAGCACTATCGCTTCGTGGGCGACTCGCAGTTCCTCCGCCGCATGTTCCCCATCTTGGAGGGATGTGTTGAATTCTTACTAGACTTCTTGGTGGAGGATAAAATTGGTAAATATCTCGTCACAAATCCCTCAGTGTCTCCGGAAAATTCATACTTCGATTCTCAAGGCGAAAAAGGCGTCTTGTGCGAAGGATCGACCATTGATATCCAGATTATCGATGCGGTCCTGGGTGTCTTTGAATCCGCTATCAAGAAACTAGATATCACTCATCATCTCTCGGGACGAGTCAAAGCTACGCAGGCTCGATTACCCCCGATGAAGATCAGTGATCTTGGATACCTCCAGGAATGGGCTCTTGATTACGCAGAGGTTGAACCTGGCCACCGCCATACCTCTCATCTGTGGGCTTTATACCCTGGGAATGCCATTACCCCAGCACGAAATTCGGAGCTGGCGGCAGCCTCTGGTGTGGTTCTACAGCGTCGTGCTGAAAACGGTGGCGGCCATACTGGCTGGAGTCGCGCGTGGCTCATCAATCTACATTCTCGACTATCAGAGGCGCACGAGTGCAAGGAGCACTTAGATCGACTGTTGGCTGAATCAACTTTGCCTAACTTACTTGATAGCCACCCTCCATTCCAGATCGATGGCAATTTTGGTGGCAGCGCAGGCATTGTTGAAATGCTGGTACAATCTCATGAACCCGGTAAAGTCCGTCTTCTACCTGCATGCCCAGAAGGATGGAAAGGAATGATTCGAGGGGTACGGGCCCGGGGTGGATTTGAATTGGAATTTAGCTGGGAGAATGGGCGTGTTATAGGTGATGTCCGGATTACTTCCGTCCCAGGAGAGAAGACCACGATTTGTTTTCCTGGTGAAGATGGACTACAAGTAGAAATTGAAGGACCCGGTCTTCATGTAATTAGGGCACCATAGAAACTTTAGGCAAACACAAAAGGATAGAATTGTCATTTAAAGGACCTCTTTTCCCTGGGACCGGCTCTCCGCAATTTGATGTCTACTTACCCCGCCATCTCAACATAGTATACCATATGATCTTTAACCCAATGACCCCTCAGTACTTTTCCGGCTTTCCCAAATTTCCCAAATCGTCACGGGCATCGCTCCGCTCATCCCATGCTGTGGATCAATAAGAACGTGGCTGAAACGTAAGTACTCAATTAACCGAGAAGTCAATCCCCAAGGAAATTTTATTTGCAGCTTGAGCTCTGTCACACTTTAACCAAGTTCTCCAACGTCCAGTGTTAATCTAAAGATTTAATACTGAAAATGGATCTCAAATCGGTTCAAGATCTCAAGGGCGTTCTTCGGTCTGACTTCTTTCACGGGTATGCTACGGCTGCGCCGCAGATTGAGGGCGCTTGGGATAAGGACGGCAAAGGAATCTCGATCTGGGATAAGTTTGCTCATATTCCTGGCAATATATCGGACGGAAGCACACCCGATGAGGCTGTCAGAGCATATGATTTTTACCGCGAAGATGTAGCGCTTATGAAGTCCTATGGCGTGAATGCCTACCGCTTTTCACTTTCTTGGTCCCGTATTATCCCCCTCGGGGGATACAATGACCCTGTCAATGAGCAAGGCATCCAATTCTATTCAAATCTGATTGACGAATTACTTCAAAATGGGATCACTCCATTTGTCACTCTCTTTCATTGGGACACCCCGCAGGCCCTCGAAGATCGATACGGAGGCATGTTAAATCAAGACGCATATACGCCCGACTTCATACGCTATGCTCGAGTGTGCTTTGAACGATTCGGCGATCGTGTCAAGCACTGGATCACATACAATGAGCCTGGTGTATATACTTTAGCCGGCTATGCTGCCGGTGTTCACGCCCCGGGGCGTTCTTCCTTTCGCGAACGGAACTCCGAGGGGGACTCGTCTGTCGAGCCATTCACCGTTGCACATACACAGCTAGTCTCCCATGGACATGTGTCCCATATGTATCGCGATGAGTTTCAACCACGTCAGAAAGGGACGATTGGAATCACGCTACATGGAAACTGGTCCGAGCCTTGGGATGAAGAGGATCCACTTGACCAGGAAGCAGCTGAGCGAGCGCGTGAGTTTGAGATTGCCTGGTTTGCTGACCCACTGTACAAGACTGGCGACTATCCCGCATCGATGAGAGCCCAACTAGGAGACCGGCTGCCCCGGTTCAGCCCTGAGGAATCTGAGCTTGTTCTGGGAAGCTCTGAGTTCTATGGCATGAACAGTTATACAACATTTTTCATGAAGCACAGAACATCACGTCCGGATATCAATGATCATAAAGGAAATGTTGAGATCCTTGACGAAAATAAGCAAGGAGTACCGCGCGGGGAAAAAAGTGATACGGAATGGCTCCGCGCTGCACCTGGGGGCTTTCGAAAGTTATTGAACTGGATCTACAGCCGTTACAAAATGCCAATATTTATCACGGAAAACGGTACTACCGCCCCAGGAGAAGTGGCCCCGACGACTGAGATCTTGAATGATACTTTTCGAATTCGATTCTTCGAGGGATATGTGGGCAATGCGCTCGCGCGAGCTGTCAAAGAAGATGGCGTCGACATTCGCTCGTATTTTGCGTGGACATTTACTGATAACTGGGGTGCGTATCTACCCGAACCATATCTCTTACCTTTCATTTCATAGGATGGTATGCTAATTAATGTCCTTATCAAGAGTGGGCCGCTGGCTATGGAGACCGTTTCGGCTCAACGTGGATTGATTTCGAGTCTCAAGAGAAGAAGCGTTATCCCAAGCAATCGGCATACTACCTTGATAAACTCTTCAGGCACTTGATCAAAGAGACTTAGCTTCTTCATCTACTCCAGTTGGCCTATTTTTGCTGCTCACTATGAAAGTTCTTTGACTGTTCGTAAACTGTATTGAAGCTCTTCATGCAAGAACCTCGTACTCCAGCCTGACCCCATGAGTTATGAGTCATGACAATTAATTGAGAGATAGCTGAGCGACACACCAGGCTAAAATCTGACTCCAAAGGTGAACCCACGATAGGCTGATGGATCATGGCCAAGGCCTTCAAGTCTTTGGCATAGCATAGACCTTCCCGACCGAGGTAATTTCACACATTAGCCGCTTAGGGCAGGTCATTGCGATTGTCTAATCCGCTAGACCCCGCACGACTCCAACTACGGCGCAACGGGGGCGAGATAAAGACCCGAGGCAATGAGAAATGCGTTTCGGGTTCTCCTCTTCTCAAATTTAACCACGACATCTTGCGGTCAAGCAATAACAGAGCTTGGTACTGCAGTCACATACCAGAACCAGCATGGACCCCATTAAACTTACCTTGACTGGTAGTCCTCGCGAAGTACTGAGTGATGTACCTACTCATAAAGGAGTTATATCTGACTTGTTCTATTAGATCGGTATCCAACATGGCCGAGCATTGCGCGAACAAATTCGCAGCCAGATAAGCATCTACGAGAGTATGTTTCAATACACCTCGAAAATATCTTGGTCAGATGTTCGCGATATCGCAGAGGAGTTTCAGTCTCCCCTGCACAACTTGGTTCCGCACATCTACTCGGAGATGGAAGGAATTGCCGAGGGCGCGGAACTAGACATTCTTGACATTGTGGCCCTCAACTGCAGAAGCGAAATCGCCCTGGGGAGATTTTCGGACGGTTGTACAGCTCTAAGTTGGAAGAAATCTGATAACGCGCGAGTCCTATCACAAAACTGGGACTGGACTGCAGCTGTGAAGAACAACTTAGCTATGGTATCGATTGAGCAGGCTGGGAAACCAACAATATACATGGTTACTGAAGTAAGTATCGACTTCCCTCGGTTACCATCCACGATTATTCCCTGGGCTAATCAATGTGATGCTCGCTCCCATCCAGGCAGGCATTGTTGGTAAAATTGGGTTCAACTCGGCCGGCGTTGGAACCTGCCTAAATGCGATTCGAGCGAAGCCTATGATCAGCAGTAAGCTTCCTATCCATGTTGCACTGCGACTGTGCCTTGAGAGCACCTCCGTCGACAGCGCTGTCAAAAATATCGAGTCTTTAGGGGGTGTGGCTTCTGCTCAGCATATTTTGGTTTCAGATAGCACCCAATCCTTAGGCCTGGAACTTTCGCCGGTAGGCAACAAGTATCTAACGGAGGATGTTTCGGGTCTCATCGCGCATAGCAACCATTTCATTGAAAACCGTTACGTTGAAGAGCCGCCCTGGCTTTCAGGTTCGCCAATTCGCCTTGACCGAATCAAGTATCTGGCACATGAGCTTATTGCAAATGGTGTTAGTGGAGATACCATCACGCCGGGTCTATTGCGAGAAAGAATCTTTTCCGATACATACAACGCCCCACAGGCAATATGTTGCAAGGAAGACGAATCCCGCCACATCTCCACACGCAGTAGCTCTTTGTTCAATATTGTCATGAATCTAAACTCTGAATCACCGAGTGCAGAAGTGGTATTTGGCCGAGTGGGCTCTGGAGAGGAAGGGCCGGTTCTGAAAATGCCTTGGGTATAGCCGAAGTGTTCAGAGCTGACAGAAGTCAAATAATGACATCTAAATAAGAATATTGTGTGATGGCAAACTTTCTGGTAGTGAAACGTCAAAGTAATGGCAGTTAGTGATATTTTTGATGTTCCAGATTCACTTGCGTGAGGTCTCCTGTTTTATGTGGGCAGCACCTCACGATCCTTCGAAAATTCGGCATTGGCTCGGGTAGCACAGGATCATGCGATTGAATCTCTTTCCCGAAGATCATTCGGCCGTTGAGCACATGATCGGATCCGACAGGAAGGCGACAATAAAACCAGAAAAGGAACCGTAAAACTTGCTTCTTTGCTTCTCCGGGCTGGTACTTGATCACAAAGACAAAGTGTCGGTTACGTTACTGTTGCAATAACAACCAAATCGCCAGCATGCTTGTGCGACTGCCCACCAATTCACCGCCGAATCCAGTCACTGACGACAAGATGGGGAAAGCAGAAAGATTGTATCAAATGATCCATTCCGAAGAGGCTGACCTTCGTTTCTATTGGGGAAAGTTCTAATGCTAGCATGTCAACCCATTCTTCTCCGAAAGAAACCAGGAATCGTATTGAAATTGTAAACTGAAAAGCAAAAACAAGAAACAACTCTTGATGTCAAGTTGACAATTAGAGCAACGAAGGAGCATGAAAACAACAATACAGAAGACTTTAAGGAGGATGCACCGGAATAGGAATGTCGCAGGAACAGAGGCGCTGCGTTGCCGGGTCATCTCACATCTCAAAACCAACGCCAAAAATGCCTCCAAACAAGCGCTCAATGATTGCAATCCAGAAAAAAAAACCACAAAAAGCACTTTTTAGCCCGCTCAGTATTTGTCAACTGCTGGTGGTCTTGGTCGCCGTTTTCTCCAGCTGTTTGAACCTCCACTCGTATTGTGTCAGCTGTCTTTTATCGGTTGGGGAAAGAGTTTTTCCCTTCTCTGCTAATTCCTTTTCTGTCTGTCTCAGCATATCCCAGCGCTTCAAAATCTTTGCTTGTGCCTCCGATATCGAAGCCAAATTGGTGTCTTGGGACGCCATGCGCTCCTCTGCCGTGGAGTGGTATGATAGCCTGGCCATGAAGAAGGCCATTTCGGATTCATCATACTTAAGACCTTGGGCCTCGGGCATAGTGGGGGCGTCTTGGGCTGGCTTGGGGGGCATTGCGTATAGGCTCAAAGATTATCAGAAACGTGGGTATCGGGCTTGCGAAACCAGAAGAGAGTGATTAAGTGCCGAGGACTATATCGCAGAAATTTTAGACAGGTAACTATTGAAGTGACTGGTGGTATGTTCTCAATGGCCTTATGTATAAGCCTTTTTTTGGACCATGAGTAGCGAGCGGGTCAAGAGTGGCTTTTCTTCCGAGGAAATAATATTGAAATGGTGGCAAAGGAAAAGAGGAAAGTCAAGATCGAGGAAAGAGGATGGACGCTGAGAATGTAAAAAGTATAGGGGCATCGAACACAGCTTAATTATAATACGACAAGATCGTAGCAGCTAAACTGTCCTTCACAGGACACCAAAGCTTCCAATACCCGGAGCCAAACCAGGGTGCTACCTAGGAGGAGGGCGGAGGAAAAAGGGGGTGGGAAGAATGGCCAGAAAACATTCTCAAGGGTGCAATACAGAGGCATCAAACTAGGACAAGCTTGAAACAGAAGGATATTAAAGACATACGCAAAAATAAGGTTATTCAGCACGCTCTTAGCTCTGCAATTGTGCCATTTATGGCAGCTGGCGGAAGTCGATGAGCTGGCCGCATGCCTCGTCCAAAGATGACGCCTCGTTTGCCTCAAAGGAAAAAAAGCGAAACTTGTCTCGTGATGACAGTCAAGCCAATAGATAGCCTTGTGGTGCTCACCGAACTGCTTATTGGTAGCTCCATGGTGACACCGTTTCCCCTCTACCGTCCACGCAGCCGGACATGCATAGTTCGAAAATCTGCTGGAGGATGAGGCAGATCGGGCGATGTATTAGTCCCGAACCAGTCCGTATGGCTGTGTGCATCCATGCTCGGCGCCTTAGAGTGGTAAAATCTGTCCATAAGAAGCTAGATTAAAATAGAGTATCGAAACCTGTCTCGAGCATGGACGATGCTGGGTGTTGGTCCCAACGTTTCGCACTGAGGCAAAAAAACAGAACTGCCTGGGCAAAACCATCTTAGCTTTGCCGCGCGGAACTTATCAAAACATCCTAAAAATCGACAGAACGAAACCTCTGCGCTGATAGAGGAGCGAACTTTATTACACAAGAATAGAGTTAATGCGCCCTGTCAGTCATCTATCGTACTTCAGGTCTCACCTCGATTTATTCCTCCATCCTTTATCTAGACGGAGCAAGTTTAGATCAAAAGAGCTGCCACTTAGAACCTTCGATCTCAGCATAGAAGATCGGGACGGTGGGGTATCGCCCGTGTATCGCTAAATCTCCGGTTCCATCAATGCAGGATGATGTTGTACACCCGGTGCATGATTTTGAGCATATGAAGGCACCTGGCTACCAGAGGATCATGTTGCAGGCGAACTAGTACACAGCCTACCTTGTCACATACACGAAGCATATCAAACGCAATGATATCACAAAGGCGACAAAAAATGATGATACTATGTATACTCACGCTATAGTTGCCCACGACACCTCCAAATACCACGCAAGTGATACTTGGCCATTCAAATGACCGTGGCATCGGATCATTTGTGAAACTACCGGATATGAACAATCTTTTGATCACTCCAATTTTCTCGCTATACACATGATTCTCATGTCTCAACTATATCAATCACCGAACATGAATTTTCTAGTTGTAAGAAGCAAGAGTGCCCGGGCCGGAGCTGGATTAAGGTGTTTGAGAGCCACTTGACTAGGTACCTGATCAGTGTGTGTGACCATTCGTACCGAGAGGTAGGGATCAGTTGTGCACTATGATTGGAGTTCAGGCTAGTGGCGAAGGCTCTCGGAGAAAAGATTCCACAGATCATTCAGGGCCAAGATTTACGGTGGTTGAGAAAGGGACCGATTGGCTTAGCATATTCAGCTTGCCCCCCCAGGCCCCGACGGCGGAGATGGAATCATGCCCTTCGATTGGCCGTCAATCTTCAACAACTCCAAGATAAACACTCTGAGGTTTCCTCGTTTCCCAGTCCATGTGCAGACGATAGAATACGGAAGCCGTGCTACAGAATAGGTATCCCTCCGACGGGTAAGTACATTTACACCGGAGCCGATTCCGTTTCATCCACTGTGCTTGGATACCTCTAACAATTTAGCTCCCATATATGCCCAGGTGTGGTATATACTCCTGAAGTTATCTTTTTTTTACTTTTTGTAGATCATCGAAATAACTTAGTACTCAGGCGTACCCTTTCAAGCCCTCACTAAAAGCCACAATGGGAGCGAGCCACCCTCCGGTATCTTGAAGCCGGGTAGTTGCAGTGAACCTTGGAATCATCATCATCGTGTGTACGGGCATTGGCCTATTAGATAGTTCTTGCCTTTCATAAAGTCCATAAACTTTATCAATTTATGATTGCAGTACCACTGCATCATTGCCTAGGCCCTGTCCCATCCTGTGTTGCCGCCGTTTATTTTTCCTCTGTTTCAAGATAACGATGGGACATTAAGGAGTGTAAAGTATCTAGGCCTTCCAAGGTTGTGGGTTCAGAACTTTATCAGAGAGGGTTGAACCTCGGTCCATAGAAGTTATTGGCCATGTGACCGGTGTCCAGTGTGTTGCAACTGTAATATCTGCCGAGTCACAAATGTCACCGAGTGTGTCGGTGACATCTCATGCAAGAATATCATACCAGTAGAGCATTCCCAAGTGCCCAGGTGAGAGCTAAATGGCAGTGATACTAATGTCTGCACCTGGGGGCACATGTCTCTTTCTTTAGGCGAACAAGTACAAATATAGAGAAATTCGTGCGCAACCGTGAGGATTGGATCGATTAGCCTACCAAATGTTCAAGATATCTTATTCAAAAGAACCGCACAGAAAGCATCGACAAATAAGTAACACCGCGGGTCGTCAATTCGTTCAGACTAGCATGCTAGAAGAATATGAAACTATAGTGATAAATCAACAAACTTGCATCCCAAAATCAAACCAAAAAAACAATTCCTAAATGACGCCTGGTCCTTCTCTATCCTGGTGCAGCTGTGCAAGGGTATCTTTTGAAAACATTTGAGGACTATTTTCCGTCGGAGTTTGAGAATTGTGTGTGCTTAATATCGTCGGATCCTGAAGAAGAGAAGCTAGTTGGGGTACCAGCATCGGGCCCAATGCTTCCCCTTGAACCCTTTTGTCGAATCGCGAGTCGGGTGCGGGGATGTGAAGGGACCGGAGCAAGGTATTTGTCCAGCAACTCGCTCAAAATTGGGGATCGTACTGGTTTTGGAAGGTAATTGTTCATGCCAGCCTCGAGGCATTTCTCTCTGTCGCCTTCGATGGCACTTGCGGTCATGGCAATGACGAGAACCTCATTCACGTTCGGATCAGGATCTCGCCGAAGTTCCCGAGTGGCATTATATCCATCAAGCGTGGGCATCATGACATCCATCAAAACGACATGGAATGGGTTGCCTTCTTTGGACTTTGCACGCAATGCGTCTACGGCTTGTTTGCCATCGCTATAGGCTTCGCAGTGAAGGCCAAGCCCGTTCACAAATTTGACTGCAATCTTTTGGTTGATCGGATTGTCTTCAGCAATGCAAACTTTGATTTGGTCACGGGGGATTTGGCTGAGATCTCGCGCCTTGGCCTTGGCCTCTGCTTTGTTTTCCGTCTGGTTTAAATCCTGGGACCAGGCCGCCTTGACTGCTGTCTTCTTGGGCGCTTTATTGAATACCAAGTGGAATGTTACTGTGGTTCCAATGCCGGACTCGGAATCAAGCCAGATGGCGCCCCCAAGAACATCTTCAATGATTGCTTTGCAGATACTGAGACCTAGTCCACTGCCGCCGTAGGACCTTTCCGTTGATGGGTCCGCCTGCGAAAAGGGCCGGAACAAGCGTGCTTTTTGCTCCTCGGGAATGCCAATACCGGTATCGGACACTGAACATTCTAGGCGAACACGGCCTTTGCCTTCTCTAGCAACCTTTGCTTTGACTGTGATGGATCCCTTTGGTGTGAACTTGTAACTGTTGCTAAGCAAGTTCATGAAGATTTGATGGAGACGAACAGGATCTCCGAGAACAACAAGCTCCGGTGGAACACGCTCCAGGTCCTCAATGGTGTCCAGGTCACGTTCTCGGTGGGTATATCGAAGTGCACGAATAACCTCGGAGATTGTCTCCTTAAGGTTGAGCGGGACTGTGGAAATCTTCATCTTCCCGGCTTCCAGCTTGGAGAAGTCGAGAATGTCATTGATGAGAGTAAGTAAAGTGTCCGCGCAGACACGAATGGACTCCACGTATTCATCCTGCTCTTTGTTGAGCTGGGTGCCCTTGAGTAGCTCAGAAAGGCCGATAACGCCATTCATGGGGGTACGAAGATCGTGAGAGATATTTGCGAGGAAAATGGACTTTGCTCTGGCCGCGTCTTCCTTGAGTTTGACGTTATGTTTGGCCTCGGCTTCAGCCACCTTTGCCTTTTGCTCTGACTCGCGGGCTTGTGCGAGGGCGCGCTTTTGGGATTCTATCATAGAAGCGTTCTTGGCACTGACCTTGCGAATCTCACGGAAAAGCAAGGCATTTGATAACGAAATTCCTATCTGGTTGCAAAGCAGGTGCAAAACGACAACATTGCGTTGGGTAAACCAGTTTGGCTTTCCCTCCAAATGAATGACACCAAGAAGATGATCTGCCTGGACAATTGGAAGAGCTATGACAGATCGTCCAAGAGGAAAGTTGGCTTGGTAAGCCTCGTTCACGTTGGAAAAGCGTTCGTCATCAAGTACATTGTGGACGAGAACCTCTTCCTTAGTGCGCATGACGTAGTGGGTGATCCCTTCTGCCATGCGGCCCTCGAGTTCAGAGAATGGCCGACCATCTGGATAAGATTTCTGGCCCTTTTCAGCATCTGCAGCTGCGGCAATGGCAAAGCCGTGTTCGTCAAAGTCCGTGGCAATGACAGCAAAATCGGAACCGTTGCAGGACTCAAGAATGATCTCTAGCATTTTCGTGAAAAGTTTGTCGATCTGGAGTTCCGACGACATGACCTGGCTAGACTCAAGGATGCTGGAGAGATCTATGATGTCTATCTCATTGTTAGGTTGCTGAAAGTTCTCTTGCTCGGGAATGATGCGCTTACCTAGACCGACACTTGAGATATCCATGGATCTCTCGCCAGCCGTGACACCGTTCTGCTCAATCCAACGCTGCCTCCTTTCGTCTTCCTCAATCTGCGAAGGAATGGCAATCTCCTCTTGAACAGCATCGCGGGTCATTTCGAGTAGTGAGTCAACTGTTTGGCAGCCAATGTCGACTGTTCTAGCAGATGTTGCGGTTTTGAGAAGCCACTCATGCTTCTCGGCGAGCATTGTAGCCTTCCCACTCGCACTTATAGAGCTCCACGCTGCAATGGCATCTAACATAACAGATCTAGCAGCTCGTTTGGCACCGCGCCTCACTAAGAACTCACCCTGCAACTCAAGTGCAAGCGCCTCCTCCAATGGCCATCCGTGGATTTGAGAATGGTCAGTTGCGGCTTCATAGGCCTGGATTGCAGCACTATGGTCGTTTCGGACTTCGGAGATGAGGGCCTCTAGTATCAAGGCCCACATGCCATAATTTGCTTCTGAAGCTGTTCTAGCAAAGTCAACCACTTCCTTGTATCGTAGAACCGTGTCCATTTTGCCGTCGAGATAGCCTTGGGATGGAAAGTCGTTGTGAAGTGTCAGGATTGACACAGCCAAGTAGAAATAGATTGCATAAGTCACTCGCAAAGACCAAAGCCTGTATGCGGTGTCTAGGAGCTGTGTTCCGACCTGAATGGCTTTGGCATGGTGGCCATATAGACACAAGGGGATCATGGAAAGACCTAAGTAGATATCGCGAGGCCTGTCGACGTTACTGGCATTGGCTTCCAGGTAGGCCATGTACGAACTTGTTTTGTGTTCGTCGTCGGACATGACATTGTCAGCGGACCGATAATCCGTTTTGCCTTGCAAGGATCGCGCAACTTGCCTATATTCATAACATTAGCGATGGCCTAGGCCAAAAGGAACTTGCAAAATGATACGGACCGAACAGCTAGTATACTAGTGCCACCGCGCGTGTCCTTGCCCCAAAAAGGAACTTCTTCTGGAGTCTCAACACAAAACACCTCCAGTTGGGCCATGTCTTGTCCGAGATAGAGCCTAGTCATGGCCATTGACGAGATGCTCACAAGAGTGATATATGGGTCACCCATTGAGAAGCAAGCCTCGAGCGAGGCTTCAACGGCGGGCAAGGTTGATGCCATAGAAACTCGCAAGTGACTAACATAAAGATTGTGAACGATGGAACCTCGGCTCTGAGTCCAGAGCTCAGAAGAACGCTCAAGCAATGAGAGAGAAATATCGCTGAGTGTGGCACCAAACTCAAGGTCCCGGAAGCGGCTCAAGGCGATCATGGCAAGATGTGAACAGCCGATAGAAATTTGAGTGAACCCCCCCTCTGAAAATATGGATGTTCATCATTTCAATGGCCATTCGGTAGAATGTTAAAGCATCATCCCAATACGTGACGGCCATTGCCTCGGACATGACAGCTCCTATCGTTACCAAATCGGGATCCTTGCTGAGTGGCTTCTGAGAGATCGCATCAAAGTCTGCAGATTGGAGATACAACTTGAGTCTGTGGTAGGCAGCATCACATTCCTCGTATGAAGTCGGCGCACGGAGATGAACTCCAAGCTCATCCAGGCAACTGAGTAATGATTCCATCGAACGAGGATGATCTCCTAGTTGAGCGAATATTTTGGCTTTGATTACCCAAGCCCTTGACTTGCTCACGGCATCCTTGCCGTGGGTAAAAACAGCGTCAATCAATGTAAGGGCATCGTCATTTTGACCTTGAGACCACGCCATTTCCGCTGTCGCAATGAAGAGACGCATGGTTTCGTCGTAGTAAACGTCAATCTGACGGGCATCCCAAGGGTCATTTTGAAGAAGGGCAATACAGTGGCGGAAATACCAAAGAGCAGTGGGTCGGGCTCCGGACTGCGCAGCTGTCTGGCCAGCTTCCCATAAGATTCGTCGGTAATCAACTCTTCGCCCAACTCGGGATTTGATGGTTCGTGAGGCGAGCGCCACGTGATGGGCCATTGAATACAGACTTCGAGAGTCATGATAGTATTTCATCAGAGTCTTGGAAATGATGAAGTGCATCTTCTCGACGCTTCGGCTCTCGCCCAAGGAGAGGGCAGCCTGTGCAAGGCGGTCATTGCCTAACTTGAACTCATCATCGGTTCTGCCCGTGTTCAGAAGGTTCGCCTGAACCAGGTACTGCAGACCAACAACGATATCGCCTTCCGACTGTCTCATCAACACAGAATTTCGCGGACATGTAAGGTCAATTTCTCCATCGTCGTCGTCCGAGTAAAAAAGAAACTCGCTTGTCAGAAGTTTTTGGACCAACGAGAATGAAAACGGACTTCCCAGGAGAGCACCCCAAACCATGATTGATCGTGCAGCAGATGGAATCTCCTGCAGGCGTTTAGTGAGGAAGCCCAATCCGAGGCCTTCACCATATACAGGGGCTACAAATTCCGTAAAAATCCTATCGAGATCGAATAGCCACTGCGAGTCCTTCCAAGAATACCAAAGACAGTTCTTCCGATAGCAGGTTTCAAGCATCACTCTCACATAGAAGGGATTTCCTCGGCTTTTTTCCTGAATGACAGCAGTGAGTGGCGTGAGTGTCGAATTGGGCTCTTGGTGCATTGTGGCAGCAATGAACTCCGCGATGTCGCCTTCTCCAAGTGGCTGGAGATCAATGCGGGTAACGTTAGAGCTTTCCATCTCGAATAAAGCTTTCACTTGTGAGGAAGCAATCTCATCCTTGCGACTTGTGAGGATAAGTACACAAGACAACTTAGCCCTAATAATGTTCAAAACGAGTTCCAGTGTCTCGTCGTCTGCATACTCGAGATCATCCAAGCACACAGTTATGAGCCTGTACTGACAAATTGTTCTCATAATCTCCAAGAAGATATCCATGAGGCGCATATTGTTTGATGCTGCATTTGACAGAAAGAAATCTACTGATGATTGGCCCTGGTCAAGCCAGGGAATATGGATATGCTTAGCTGGTTCACCCTTAGTTGGGTCAATCTTAGATTGTGAGCTGGCGACAGTCCGCAGCGACGATGGCTTGTACTTCACACCAGGTGACATGAGTTGTTCGGGAAGGTCTAACACTCTGTGAAGTGTAGGCCATATTGGACGCAGAGCCGCTCGGATACTATCGTGATATTCGGTCGTGACATCTCTCTCGGAGAATATCTGACGCAAGAGACTAGCAAGAATCTTGGCAAAGGGCTCAAACGGGACTCGTTTCGCACGGTCAAGTCTTGATATTGCGATAAATCCAATTTTACGGATGATTGGCTGTACCCGATTCAGAAGATCTGTCTTTCCAATGCCGGCAGCGCCATTGATTGTTATGACTTCACATCGTCCGCTTCGGCGAATCCTTGCGGCACTCTTCTGATTTGATAGAGAGCCCAGAGAGTCTGGTTGACTGAAGGCATTGGTTGAATGCTGGCTGTTACTACCGGCGTGAATCGACGGATGGCTCTCTCTGTCTGTGTTGTAAGAAGATCGAGAATGAGAAGGGCTTTTGGTTTTGCTGTACAATGAATTCAGGGGTATTTCTTGGTTGGTTAGGATAGGCCCAGATTTGGGTGTCGATGAAGCCGCATCACTGGTAACAGTTGATTCATGAGTGCCGGCATGGGCTAGATGATAGCTTGTCGCATTAGAGCTTGTCCGAGGGGGTAGGTGGAAGGATCCAGAGTCGCTGGACATAGAGGCAAACTCAAAGCTGTCAACACGGCCGTCCGAAACGGACGATGTCGAAGCTAGTGCATGCGCAGTTCCTGGGCTTTGTAAAGACGCTTTGGCGAGAGCAGATGATTGGCGCTTCTTGACTTTGTCAATCACGCTGCAAATAAGTTGGTACTCTCTCTGTCGACCAAACATTCGTGATGGAAGGGTGAAAAATGAGGAGACATCCTGCTGTGCAATCTGAAAGCTATTCAAAGCTTCGCCATCGCCATCACCCAGCAATTGTGCGATCTGCATCAAATCTTTCTTGGCAGATGAAATGGTGTGGTAGCGATCATGTACCACTTTTTGTGTCATTTTCTGGATCACGGCCGAAAGCGCATCGGGAACGTCCATTCTCTTGGAAGATATGGGTGTCAACTTCTTGCCGAGTACATTCTGAACAACGTCCATAGGGTCCGTGCCCTCAAATGGCAATTTCCCAACCAACATCGACCAAAAGAAAAGGCCCAGGGCGTAGATATCTGTGCGACTGTCCGGTTCCGTGGGCATTCTTCCTGTCTGTTCGGGTGCAATGAATTGCAGCTTGTATTTGGCACCAAGCTCTCGGGAAACAGAGGACCAACCTTCGCTGAGAACATTGTCAAATGAGCGTGCACCGTTGCCGATATTTGAAAGCTTGACAGTCCCGGTTTCGGCGCAAAAGTGAAAAGCATCACCACGAATCTCTCCGTGTACCGTCTTCATCCCATAGTGCAGTATCTCTAGACAGTCACAGGCACCAACTGCAAAGTCCAGAAAAGCAGGCAAGTCGACTTGTTCGTTGGGGGTTGCGTTATTGTCGCCTCTTGCCCCGGCCACAAATGATGCTGGGCCGAAGGTAACTATATCTCGCAACATGTCATGGCCGGGATGCTCAAAGATAGCCACAAGGAGTGTAGAGTTGTCGCCGGAACCCGGGGGTAGCCTTATGAGGTCAATAGGCCGTACGGTATGGTTGCAATCAGGGTCCGAGGATTGCACGATCGATCTCAACATATGAAATTCGCGTTCCAGTCGAACTACGTTGGTAGAGATGCGGGCAACAACTGGAATCCATATCTGCTCCTGGTCGCCTCGGGAGATAGACAGCTCACTGCTAGTTTCACTGACACTGTGGCGCCGGTTGAGGGTGCGGGCGGCTAAGCGAACGTCGATACGTGGGGAATTGCGAGTGAGGCTGGATGGGCCGGACGAAGCGGGACCAGAAGAGGTCGCGACCGGGGTAGAGAGATCTGCTTCAACAGCATGGCGGAATCCAGTGATGTGCCAGTGATTATAGGTCGAGTGAAAGGGCTCCACCGACTGGTCCCAGGTGAAGCCCGGCAGCTGGCTAAGACGGTCGAAAAGCCGGGCTGGCGGAAGCGGCAAGTCTTCGCTAAGATAAGTGCTTTCATCCATCGCCAGATCAGTAAAGTTCCCACTGCCCGAGCGACCATGGGCAGGACTCATCGGGTCAGGAGAGGAGAGTTCGAAGGTTTCAGGCAACGAGAGGCCGCGGTGGGATGGACATGGAGGCTGGGCGGCACATGCGAGAAGGGGAAATTCAATTTTTCGGTTGCGATCGAGTTGTATAGCGATGTAAGGTTGGAGGATGACTGACGACCACCACAGGCCACTGACAGCTGATCAGTGATCATTGTGAGTTGAGCAACGCGGGCAGTGCAGGGCATGTGCGGAAAATCCATTCTTCCGGTGGGCCCGGACGGGTACTACTGCAGTAGTAACTATGACCTACGGAGTAGTTATAGATCGGTTCGTATATAAGTATTACTAGTACGAGTAGATAGTACTAGTAGTTTAAATATTCATTGACACTATTGTAAAAAGCTTGCAGGTTGTTTGGGTTCCAATTTTCCGCATCTCTAGGACTTGAGGTTTGCGGAACTTGAAGAACATACTAGTAGTATATTCCCAGTTCTAACTTGAAGTAAATGACATCAGCCACCTGGTTGGGTGGGCAAACAACCTTGACATAGTCACGGTGCCTCCAAGGCTACTAGTACTAGGTGAATGTTAAGCTGGGAGAGCCATTTTCAAAGCTAGAGGGTACCTGAACCTTCAAGTTTTCAAGTTACTAGGACAGGTTTCAACATTGTTCTACTATAGGGCTCCTCTAGTCGTGGTCCGGCGGCGGAGAAACCTTGGAACCGTGGGTACCAGGAATCCTAGTACTACTACTAGTAGTAGTTAGTAGGTGCCCAGGTCCCGTGCCTTCTTACTTTACTCTTTACTTGCAGTTATGCCAGATGATGATGGCCGTCTTTATGCTGATCGGATGACCCGGTGCCCTGATCGTGGAGGACTGGGGCATTCATCTCTGGGACAACGTCGGTTGCGCTGCGAAAAAGGGGGCAGACGCCGCAGACCCATCCCGGGGTGCGATCTTATTCGAGCCGGGCGCCACCAGTGGGCGATCACTCTCGTTTACGGTTTCCAAGGCCCCCCCCCGCCCCCCGGCCGCTCCCCCGGAGTCCTAATTACCCTAGTTTTCTAGAACAACCGCTAAGGGGACTAGTATCGCTGCACCACGACGTAGCTAATTTTGGGATTGATTACCAAGGGAGAGAGTATCGGGGATTGAAAGGTCTAGACCAAGCCAAGGAATTCCAGCACCCTCTGCCTGTGCAAAGACTGTACATAACATATGTACTGTACTAAGTAGACCATGACGTAGCAGGTTGGCTGGTGAACTGTGTGACTAGTAGTACAAGTACGAGGGAAGTCAGTCTGACTCTCGCTAGATACGAGTACGGCGGGGTCTCGTGGGAACGCACTGGGTCCACCAGGATAAAAATACTAGTACTATGTATGGCCAGGGGTAAGCAGATGTCCATTTCTGTACGAGTACACACGAAATGAGTGGACTGTCAGGCGTAAGTAGTACCATCCTAGTGAAGGCAGACTGGAGACTAGAACTGCCTCATTATTTGGACTGACAAGTCTTCGATACTCTGCAGACTGTGGGTGGAACGGAGGTACCTGACCGTAAGCTGAGGGAGGAGGGAGGGAGGAGGAGGAGGAGGGGGAGAGGAATGAGAGGGAGGAGAAGAAGAAGAAGAAGAAGAAGAAGAAGAAGAAGAAGGGAATAATGGAATATAAAAGAGTCGACTCAGTACTAGTTAACTGACTACTGAGTAGTACTAGTATAACTAGTAGTATAACTAGTAGTATAACTACCAGTGCTGTAAGTCCAGCGGTGACGAAGGTTTATAATAAACAGGCCCACTACGTCATGGAATCCACTTGGTTCTCAGCGCCTTCAACCCACTTAACGCCCTGGGCGATCCAAGCAGAATGGGCGGGTACTGACGCCAGTTCGAATTCCTCTCCTCTCCTCTTTTCTCTTTCCCCTCGCCCAAATGACTGTGGTCAACCACACCATCCTTCCCAGACCCATACTCTAGAGTACTAGTACTACTAGTAGTTATCTCTCCCCACTCCACTTGGCCTTCTCCAGTGCTTCTCTCCTCCGACTACTCCCCCCCAATAACCCTACACCCACACCCACATCGTTCCTATCCCCTGGTCTCCAACATCAAAACCTTATTCCTTAACCCAGTCTCGGATTCTAAATCGACCTGACGACACTTCGCCCCTCTGATTCCCTTCCTTGGTTTTCGCCAGCCGTTTTCCTGTCCGAGCTTTTGTTTCCTCCGATCTGACACATACACAATCACCCGCTCACTCACACGAAGTTGACACACCCCTCTTCTTCCCCTTCCATCCTCGGTTCATTGTGACCGAAGAATGATCACCCGAGTTCTGAGCTTGCTCATTGTCGCCCAGGCGTACTGATTTTCTCTTCAACCGGAGGAGTGAGAGAGAATGGGGGACGTGCATAGCAGGAGAACGCCTCCATTTCCTTCTCCAACCGAGACCGTCTCGCCCGTCGCCATCCCACAGCCTCACAATTTGCAAGTATCGCGATCATCATCGACCTACCGACACTCCTACGAACCTGAATATGTGACTGGAATCTCGTTGGATGGGCTGACCCGTGGCGTGGATACATCGTTGAAGGAGCCGGCTCAAAACCCTCATTTCTCGCGCGGGGATTCGGCTGAGCAGGTGGTGGGGTTGACACCGGTCACAGAAGATCACCAGGTTGCAAGTGACCGGCCGGAAGACCAGGGCCGTTCATCCCAAACTTTAAAGGAGCTGCGCAGACAAATGGAGGAGCTGCTTGTTTATCAACAGATGCAGCAAAGTCAGAATCAACACTCGTCCTCGACACAAATTGGACAATCTTCTCCACCTCCAAACGAAACCCCTCGGAAGCGCCGTCTGTCAAGCACGTCCACTGCAGAGATTCCGGTCACAATGCAACCTTCCTCTGGATCCATAGGTTCCGGGGGTACAATATTAGGCGTCGATAACTCTCTTTCTGCCGACCAAGTCGCGACTCAAACCCCATCCTATCCCTTCCCGCGTGAACAAAACCAGGCCAAACTATCTAAAGCAGCCATGGAGAAAACAGGACCCCAGGGCCAATTTAGGTTGAAGTTTCCTGCCGACAGGCTCCGTGCCTCACCCGTAACCCAAACACCGGATGGAATACCAACGTTGCCAAAGCTGCCAGGTCTACGGCCGAACTTTTGGCCGCCGCTTGGTGATACTCCCGCCGAGGACGCAGAAGTTGCGACGCCCAACCTTTACGACCTCACTTTGAAATTGAATGCAGACCCGGGGCTTGAGGCATGGTGGACAAACCTCATTGAAATCTTGGAGACCCACTATGGGGCGGACCGTGTCACGCTGGCTGTCCCTGGGGATGCGACGGACCTGGAGAATGTGCCATGGGGACAAAAGGCAATTTTCAATGGACATGTGGAGGCGGGTACGAACAATGGCCAGATCCCTTCCCACCGAGTTGACTCTGCCCCCGAAACTACGAGCTTCCGTACAATGAATAGTGACGCATTGGGGCATAGACAAGAAAAGGACCCAGCTCCCAAGCCTAGGACCCCAGGGATCGCTCCACCGATGGTTCGACCAGCTTTAGAATCGCGTCATTCTTTTGCCGGGTTCCCACAGAGCAAGAAACACCGCGGAATGGAGATAGATCGACAGCAGCATCTGCCGAAGCCAAACGCCATCAAGCAAGAGAAAAAACACGCTCGGATTGCCGAGCAGCCAGATCTTGCTGGCAGTCACATTGATTCTAGGGATTCACCAAGGAATTCACTTGATCCGATTCGACAAGCTGTTTTCCCGATCCCGAGACCTCTAGAGAACGAGCCTGATCCACTTATTAAGCGCACCGGGGTTGTCAAACTTTTTGGTCGAAGCAATCCTATCGTTCTCACCCGTGAATACACGGCAAATGAACCTACTCGCGTTTCACAACCATCAGACAGGGCCGCTCGAAGCCCTTTAGAAACAGTGCAGGTCACGCCCGGCGCCGAAGGGCCTGGTGAACCCCAGCCTATTGTTGGACAGCAGAAGAACCTCATCGCTCCTAATTTGCGAGAATTCGACGAATACGAGCAAATACCACAATCTCCATGGTCTCAGTCGCCTGCACCGTCACCTGCACCGCGAACACATGCAGACTCCAATCCTTTCTTCAGTAGCCATTCGGTCGACGAGATGGCCTTTGCAAAGAACCCTCCCGAGCACGACTATTCCAATGTACAGCCCCTGGAGGCCATTGGAATTGATTACTCGAGGACGGTGGTCCACATTCCTTTACTTCATGGCGGCCAATCCAATCATGGCTCTTCGTCAACTTTGAGATTCCCCGTTGCCATCGTGTCACTGCTGTCAACAATAGTGCCTTATCCATCTAATCTACGGCAATCGCTGGCTCTCCTGATGCCACACCTCACAACATCGTTCTGCCTGGCTCAGCATTACAGTCAGCTCGAACGTCAGATAACCTCCAAAGTGGAAGCACCGCGATACGGACATCTGGTGGGACTAGGTGGAACCTTTTCCGACGCGAGCAGCGAGCTAGAACTCGTGGCGGGTCTCAGTGGTCATGTCGGCTATTCTGTCGGCGACGAGAGTTCCATGTCTGCCCGGGCTAGCATGACTAGTCCTAGCGATCGCTCGTCAACGAAGTATAGCCCCGTGGTCTCAAACATGGGGACGCCAGGCTTTGACCTTGGTCAAGTTGGATTAGGCTCGAACAATCAGTCTCCGGCCTTGCGCTCTAGCGATATTTCAGATGGTTATTTCAACGTTCAAAATCAGCAGACCAAGCTACCACGCGACAATATCCCACAGCAACGTCACCGTCTCTCCAAGTCAACTGTTAATACGGACTATACAGAGAAAATGATCGGGAAACCTCCCACGAGCGAAGAAAACAATCCACATGATCCCAATCTCATTGTCTCGCCTTTATATGAAATGCGGCCACCCTCGGCCTTTTCCCCAACCCAGCCGCCGTCTCGCCAGGCGTCGACGAATTCTTTCTACAGCCAGCTGCAGCGCGATTTAACCCGACAAATTCCTGACACTATCGCCCAACTAATGCTCAACTCTGTTCCCCTTCATCTTTTTCTAGCAAGGCCTCAAAGCGGTGAAATGATATGGACAAATACCAAATTCGACTCATACCGAAGAAGCAAACCGCAGGAACAGAAACTTCGAGATCCATGGCAAAACATCCATAATAGCGAAAGGGACCACGTGTCGAGTGAATGGGCCAATGCGTTGCGAACTGGATCGCAATTTACTGAAAGAGTACGCGTGCGAAGGTTCAATGACGAAACCGCCTATCGTTGGTTCATCTTTCGGGCCAACCCGCTTTTATCAGCAACGGGAGAGGTTTTGTACTGGATTGGCTCTTTTCTTGACATCCATGAACAGCATATCTCTGAGCTCAAGGCCACCCAAGAGAGAGAAAAGTTCGCGACCGATGCGAAATACCGCGCATTTTCGAATTCGATTCCACAGGTCGTCTTCGAGGCAACCGAGATTCGCGGACTCATATTCGTTAACGAGCAATGGAATCTGTATACCGGTCAAAGTCCAGCAGAGGCTCTTGATCTTGGATTTGCCAAGCATGTCCACCCCGATGATCTCGAAAAATGCGGTGGAATCTCTTCCCAGACAACACCAAGGCCTAATGATACGAACAAGTCTGCGCCTTCAGATTCTGGCTTGGAAAACCATGGTGTCTCATCTGCCCTTGACGAGTTGGTGAAACGTGGCGTGGCATCCCTACAGAAGGATGAAAACGGCCGCGTGTTTTATTCAACTGAGATTCGTCTTCGCTCTCGGGGAGGGGATTTCCGTTGGCATCTAGTTCGTCTGGTATGCGTCGAGACGAGCAGCTTTGGTAGCGAAGAGGCTTCTTGGTATGGCACATGCACCGACATCAATGACCGAAAGAACCTTGAGCGGGAGCTCAATAAAGCAATGAGCCAACTGAACAATCAAATGGAGTCCAAGACTAAGTTCTTCAGCAATATGTCCCACGAGATTAGGACTCCCCTGAACGGAATCTTGGGCACCATTCCATTCATTCTCGACACCCAACTCGACAGTGACCAAAGGCGAATGCTCGATACCATCCAGAATAGCTCCACTAATCTCCGGGAACTTGTGGACAATATTTTAGACGTATCTCGCGTGGAGGCGGGTAAGATGTCTATGGTGAACTCTTGGTTCCATGTCCGGTCCATGATCGAGGACGTAATTGACACAATTGCCTCCCGGGCAATCGACAAGGGCCTTGAGATAAACTATCTAATGGAAGCCGACGTCCCTGCCATGATGATTGGTGATAGATTCCGTATCCGTCAGGTCCTGATCAATCTCGTCGGCAACGCGGTCAAGTTCACTTCACAAGGCGAGGTCTATATTTGCTGCAGTCTCCATCGCGACAAAGCCGTCGATCTCGATGAAACCGTGGCCCTTCTGAACTTCGATGTCATTGATACTGGCAAAGGATTTAGTTCGAAGGATGCGGAGCGGCTCATGCAGCGATTCAGTCAGCTGGGAGAGAGTGGGTCACAGCAGAATGCTGGCAGCGGCTTAGGTTTGTTTCTCTCGAAACAGTTGGTCGAAATGCATGGCGGAAGCCTCACGCCGAGCAGCAAAGAAGGCCAAGGTGCGAAGTTCTCCTTTAATGTCAGAGTGGATGCACCCCCTCCTCCCTCGCCATCTGAGAGGCCTCAACTGCTTCGCCAGGCCTCCACTGCTTCCAGGAGACCTGTGGGATCCAGGACTACGTCGTACGATCGATCCTCTCTCCAAATACCGAAGAGCTTCGAACCCAAGCTTCAGGACCCCACAGCTCTATCCCCGGATCCTGATTCGCCGATACTCCAGTCGCCCATCGATAGCAGTGGCCTAGACCCTCCTTCTGCTGTGTCCTCAGCACTTCAGACTCCGGCTGTCTCAACTGCACACATGTCACATCAATTCGGCCAAAAACACAAACAAAAAGCAAGCACGGCAATTCCTTCCCCGGGAGGTATTTCCGACGCACCTGCACGCCAAACGCCGTCGCCTTCTCAAGGTGTCTCGTTTCCCGGCAAGCTACCTGCGAGCTCTCCAGGAGTTCCCTCGCAAGGTCCTCTTTCTATCGTCATCTTGTGTCCGCTCGACAATACCCGGAAAGCCACCCAGCAGCACATCGAAAAGGTCGTTCCGCATGAGATTGAATTCACTATTACTGCATTCTCCGAGGTGGATGAATTGAAGGACATAACGCAAAGTCACGATGCAAAGTGCACCCATCTGGTTTTGAATTTGCCCGCGACTGATGACATCTTGGAAGTAATCCAGCACGTCTCAGACATTGATGCAAACACATCACCCGTGGTAGTCATCATTTCGGACTTGTACCAGAAGCGCCAAATCAGCACTCGCGTCAAAGAATTGGCAGCTACTGGCAAACAGGTGTTTATCGTACCGAAGCCTGTCAAGCCATCTGCTTTCTCCACAATATTTGACCCTGATAGCAAGCGCGAACTGAGCAAAGATCGCAATCAAGACATGGCGCGAGAGATCAACAATAACTTCAAGACCGTGTCGAAGATGGTCAAGGAAGTCCTTGGTAACAAAGGTTACCGCATCCTGCTTGTCGAAGACGATGAGACCAATCGTGATGTACGTATCAAAGCAAACTACCCAAAACAAACATCTGGAGGTTTACTAAATTTCTGATAGGTGATGCTGAAGTATCTTGACAAGATCAAGCTCATGTCAGAGACCGCTTCCAACGGCCAGGAATGTACAGACATGGTCCTTTCCAAAGAACCAGGCTACTACTCTCTTATAATCGTGAGTCAATTCATTGTCTGCCTGCAAACAGGCCTGGGATCACAAACAGTACTAACATTTTGTATTCTCAGTGTGACATCCAAATGCCGATCAAGAATGGCTACGATACTTGTCGAGATATCCGGGAATGGGAGCAGAAGAACCATTACCCCCAGATCCCGATCATGGCCTTGTCAGCCAACGCGATGACCGATCAGATCGAGAACGCCGCACAAGCGGGCTTCAACGACTATGTCACCAAGCCCATCAAGCACAATGAGCTTGGCAAGATGATTATGGGCCTTCTCGATACCAACAAACCGTTATTGCTTCTCCGCGACCGCCTCCACCCGGGGAGTGACAAAACAGCATCTGCCCGGCGTTGATGCTTCGCCCTTCATTGGTGGCCACTTTTTCCATCATGCCGTTTTCTACGAATTCCGCTCGATAATTCCCACAATCTTTTGCATATTTTATGGCATCTTCGCCAGCAACGATTAAGCGGATACCTCCTTTTTGCATGACTTGTTTGCTCTTCGAACTCGTTTTGGCGAGCACAGTGGGGCAGCAAGGAGATGTGGCCTCTTTTGATGAGGTTTACACCAGAATTTGATTCCATCAACTTTACTTGCCTTTTGCCCTGCGCACCTATTCTCACACCACCCTTTCTCCAATTTTCCAAGAGGCTAGAAGGTTTTGTGCATTGCCTGCATTTACATCGGGAATTGAGCATTTTTCGCCATCCTACAGCATATTCATCGGGTCACCAGACGCCACTGTATTATTTGATTTTCCTTCCTTTTCTGTGTGGGTTTGCTTTCGACTCTGAGCGCTTGGCGTCAGTGCTGGGATACGGCCTTTGCTTTTTTCTATTTTATTCACCCCTTTAAGCCTTGTGTTGTTTCCTTTTCCACGTGATACCAGATTACGAGCGCGCAACGACACCTTTCTATCTTCTCAATCTGTATTTATCATTAACTTTAACCTTGACACCATTTCTTTCTTGCTCCTTATGTTGACTAAGCTAAAGAGGACCGTTAGGACCGTTCCCAATTAATAAAAAAAGCCGATGACGTTATTATTTCAGTATGATTATTTCTACTATGCTACTAGTATGTAGTATTGTTATTGATTACCTTGGCTCCAGCCCTGGAGGGACAGTCATCAAGTGGCTTCAGGTTTTGACCATCAAGCCATAGCCTTAGAAACAGAGTTAGATCAAGATGAAGTCTCGGTCTGACAAACCCAAGTTTAATAGGGTGGGTGACAGTCAAGGTTTCGATCAAACGCCATCAAAAATATAATGGGAGTCATCAAGGGGGGGCTGTATGCAAGGCATAAAGCAAAAGGACCTCGGCATGATGAATCACCAGGCTGGTGTAGAAGCCAATCGGAAGGGTATCCTCATCCGGGAGTTCATTGAAATTGATTCTGTGCAAAGTAAGATAAGAAGCGAAAGTTAATTTTTCGTGCTTTACGAGCTCGAAAATGTCGAAAATGTCGACAAGGGCATTGTTAATATTGAAAGACCGGCCGTGGATATCCGACAACAGCCATATATACTTGTTGAGACCGACAGCAAACACAGGCCCTGCTGCACATTCAGCAGATCATGCCTGGGGCAACAGAGGGACAAGGAGGGAAAATTGAACCATGGCCCAAAAAGGGAAAGAAGTGTGAGCTGGCCATTGCCAACCATCCAGTCATGGCGCTGCATGTGGCGGTGAAGGAAGCGTCGAGAGCAAAAAAATCCCCGCCTCAACCCCACTCTAAGTGCTGGCAAATTATTTAGGCCGGACTTTGTTGCGATCATCGGAAATTTGGGGGCTGACCCGGTTTGACTGTCAATCAAGAAATGATAATAATTTGAGTTGATGGTCACCCCTCAGACGGCGACATCTATACAACTGGTTCCAAAACGGGTAACATTGGGGAACGGTGGGGATGAGAGCGTTGTCTAGAATCCCTCGGACCGAGATAGAGGGCTCGTGTAACGCATGTAACTAAGTTAAATAAGTTGACAGCATGCATGTATAACCGGGAAAAAGGATAGGTTCATCGCAATGGTCGGGGTGTGTGCGTTGGGAAGTTTGTAGATTGGGGATGGGGGCACAAAGTGTGCAGGCCATGAGTTGAGTTTCCCGAGAGCCAGAACATGGAGGTTCAGGGAGGGGCGGATCGCATCTCGGTGAGTGACCGGGGAGGCTGGGGCTATGACGATGAGGATGGTGGAAGAGCTATCCTCTTTGCAATGCCCGATATTGGCGTGCGCTGCGCGTCATTGCTGTGCTGCCCGATGTCTTCCCCAGCGTTTCTTGCGGAGGAGGGGACAGAGACGACAGATGGGAACCCAATTTTGGGCGGAGTGCATTCTTTGGCGTAGTATCCCTGATATACTTGGAGATGAGAAATTAAATGGAGGAGGGTGGTGTCACGGTGTAATTCGACCATGGGATGCGTGTCAACGGGGCATATCGTGCCTCGTCAGGCTGCAAGGCATGCAGAAAGTCCAAGGCCAAGGCGCCGGGTGCAGAAGTGAGGCATCGTCGGACATCCTGTAGAGAGGAGGGAAATCCCAGGTGGTATTCAGGGTACTCGTACGCTCTTCTCTGCTCGGTATGGCCCCAATGGGTGCCCGGCGGCGAAAGGGCCCAGAAGAGGACTCTCGGAACCGGCTTGCTTTTCCTGTCAGCAGGCAATCAGGGACCAATGATGAGAAAGCGGTCGTGTTGTCTTTTTTTTTCACAAATTACATTGCCGACAGCCTGCAGAGAAGGTCTTCCTTAGCATGGATTTGAGGACAAGCAAGTCATTCAAGCATGTATGCAGATAAAGGCGGGGACAATGCTGCTTCCTACGCCATGACGGCGTCTAGAGCGCTTGTCTGTGCTGCATTGCTCTCGTCTTCGCCATATGTGCCACTAATGGATCGATGCGAGGGATTTTCGTTCTGACAGCCGCATCGAAGGCGGGCAAACGGAGGAGCAGGGATCAGCGTATCCAGACTGTCTTTGCGTCCATGGGCTGATTTTGTCCACCTAATCCGACCACACGGTGGTCACACAAGCCTTCTTTTCCTTTCCCTTTTTGTTCCTTTCGACCCCACGGCTCCTAGGGTGATTCTTGTTCAAGACTTGCGTCTAGATGGCTTGATGACCCACAGGCCCGTCGGCCCAGACGTGGGATCCCTTCGAATCATTACTGGCTTCTCCACGGTTCGTTCATTCGCGCCCTGCAGTGATGTCCAACTTCACTGATCTTCATCCCGTGTGACCTTCCCCCGGCTTTTGCTGCCTGGCAGAGGTCTTGTTTTTGAGTTTATAATTTGGTTGTTTGAATTCCAAATGATGTCAGGCCGTGAGGCATCTTCTTGTTTCGTTTTCACCTCCCTGTTACCGAAGAGAAAGAATCGGAGGGAACGTCGCCGGCTCAAGTACTGGCAGATCCGCGCGCGACAAGCCACCGTTCCCTGCGTCCATTATTGGGTATGTCCGCGCAGCGTGAAGATAATAATGGTTACCTATTAAATATGTTAACCAAACCGCACGAGGTATCCAGGTGGACAGGGAACACAGAACTGGATGACATACGGGTTTCCTCTGTAGTTTGCAGCTCGTCATCAGCCTCACCCGATGCGCAACTTAACCCGCACCCTCCATCCCATATCCGAATCCCCAGCCACCGAATTTCGAAAAGTACAATGGGAAAAGGAGGGGCTGTGTAATAAAATGGGGGGGCATTCGGGAGCAAAGAAGGCAAAAAAAAACAAGAAACGAAAAGATCGGGGGAAAGAAATGGGCACAAAGCTCATTTTTATACTTCCCCCCCGGGCCCATATTCCCTTTCCACCCAACCTAGGGTATTCCCACCCTCCACATCCCTCCAATTCCACTTTTCTTATCCAAATTCTTTCCTGTTTTCCATCTAATTCCGCTCGGACCCAGAAAGGAAACAGACTTTGGGGAAGGGCCGCGTAGACCAAGACCGATGATCCGGTGGGAGGGGCGGGAGAGCGGAAGTCTTAGTGGAGGATGGCTTGTATCCCACCAGACACATTGCTTTGATTCCCACCCCGAGCGGGGTTAAAGCGGTCCAAGAGGCGAATCGGCGGGCAGACACGGAGGAGGAGGTGCAGCCGAAGAGAGGGCTTGGAATTTATGGTGCGAGGGCTGCGAAATGGCCCAATGGCTCCGTCCAGACCCAGCCCATCCTTGCTCTCTTACCTTTGCCTTCTTCGTCTCGAATGGGCCCCGCCGGATGGAAGACTTTCCGCCGATGGCTATAAAATCCCTCGTCTTGTCCGGCGGGCCTGGTTCTCCTTCTTCTTCCTTATCCATCCCTCCTAGCTGGCCCCGTTAACAACCTTAAACCTTCCAGGTCTTTCTATATTGCTGCAGCTACCCTGACCAAAGAACATCTCGCCCACTTGCATATCATTGTCTTGTCTTGCTGAGACATACCTGTCGTCACAAACTTCCAACAACAACAATAACAACAACATTCAACCATCATGGCTACTCAACGTCACTACTATCAGCCCTCTGCTCACGCCATGAACATGCCATCCAAGGCTCCCGCGCCAGCGAGCATGTACCCGATTTCTAGAGTTCCAGGCTCCCCACCTGACTACTCTGATGCGAGTACTACAGCTGGTAGTCGCACCTCGGGCGGACTCACATTCAGCTCCGCCGGCGCCAGCGGCGACTATGAGACCAGCCCCGCATCATACTCGGGCGTTGACGTCGTTGACGTTCTGAACAACCGTATGCAACATTCGTTCGATCCGACGCCATTGGATCGAGGTCTGGCGAAACAAGCGCAAACGTGAGTATTTTCTCTCCTCGCGTAAGATTCCATGAATTCCGCGGCTCGCTATTCTCGATGGCGAAAGGCATTACCGCGGTTGATTCCAGGATGAACTTGAAATTCGAGAGTTAAGAAAACTGACCGGTATGCATGAAATAGCTCCGGCCACCTGAACGCTAAGCAGCAAGAGCTTCTGGAGCTGCAAGCCCTAGCTCAGCGACGTTTGAAGGGAGTCCGCGCCAACTTCAACGAGGGACTCAAAACCGCACGTGAGACAAAGCGTGATTTGGAGTGGACTCAAAAGCGCGTCAGGTAAGAGCACGAAATCAATCTCCCAAGAGCCCTTTGCCGACCCCTGAGGTGGACGTTGCAAGTTCCGCCCCGCTCCGCGGCCAGGGGTGATAGCCTCCGCTCCGCCGGGCCAGTGCTTGGCACGTGCGCCGTTGCGATGATCGACGCGCCAAATAGCGGCCACATGCGTGTTCTAGAAGGCTGACAGAAGTTTGTTTTGCGCAGTGCTCTGAAAGGAAAGGCCGAGAAGGTCCACCCCGATGAATACCGTCGGGCATCGAAGAAGTATACCTTTGATGATTACTGAACGAGAGCCCGAGATACCCCCGCCGGGTCCACCGGCATGGCCGTGGGTGGTTCAACCTTCTTTTCGCTTAATCTAACGACTATAATGACTTGGGACAAAATCGGTATCTTTGGATTTGGGACGGTCTAATTTGATTTTTTGCTGGTTTGGGTTTGGTGTGTTTGCCTGGGACCTCGGGACTCTGTATATCTTTCATTGAGTGCGTGTGTGGCTGTGTTACTGCGTATATTAAGGCCTATTGTGGTGTGGGATACTTGCCAGTGTTTCTACGTATTGACTATCTGTAAGAATGAAAGCTTCCGGCCATTCAGTAGCTAAATTCCTTCGAGACGGTATCCTTCTCTGCCTCAGCATCGTATTGAACTGTAATCCCTAGGGTTGTGTATCTAGGGCTTGTGGGACCCCTGAGTCTGAGAGTGCTTGGGCGGCTTCAGGCATTGAAGTTGGGGTAGCTAGGGCCTGCTGTCGAATAAGGTTCCACAGTCTTAAGCTAACTCGGACACATAGAATATTGTTTGCTTCTTCGGGCTTTAGTGCATAAGCTAGTGTTTCAAACCCACCATAGGGGTTGGTTCATCATGATTCTAGGCCCGGCCCTCGGCACATGATAAACGACCTTCGACACTGACAGTCAGTACTACGTTACTATTATTAGGATCTGTGGATATCCATGCGCACGATAGGGAGTACGAGCAATGGACACGATATTAATTGATCTTTGATCATAAGTACAGGGTGGAGGCAAAGAATCTATAGCAAGGTACCATGGCAAGGTTCCATAGTAATTGTACAGAGCCCATCTATTCAAAACCCCTCTAGGAAAAGAATTGCTCCTCCTCAATGGCCCTGTTGATAACACGCACAAAGCGGCCGACCTTATCTGTATCTTGCTTGGCAGTTTCGATTCCAAGCAGGACCTTCTTGATACCGACGCTGATACGACTTTCGTCCGCTAGGCCACCGATACCATCTAGTGCCCGGGCGATCTCTTGAGCATCGAAGGCCTTGGATTCCTCCATGACGAACCGCAGCTCGGTAAATGTTTGCACATTGGGAACCATGATGTCCGAGTTGAAAGAGTTGTAGATATCAAGCTGCTTCATCAAAGCGCGCTCGGTGGTCGTGGCCAGAATCAGCAGGCGCCGTCCATGGGTGGGCTGCTTGCGAAGGAAAACCATCAACGCCTGCAGCACGCTGTTACTGAAGCGAGGGCCAATCGGCACCCAGTCGATAATTCGCTCGATGTTGTCAACAACGACGATACTGGTACGACTCTTATAGGCACTGTCAAAGATGCGACTAATGTGCGCCACCTTGGCCGGTTCGCTGAAGCCGACCATGTCTTCAGGGCTGATCAACTTGACGAAAGGGAATCCAGACTCGATCGCAATCTTCGATGCCAGAGCGGTCTTGCCGCTTCCAGTGGGGCCATGCAACAATACCGAGAAGAGTGGAGTGGACTCTTCTTGGCTGCTGACCTGCTTGACGAACAGCTCACCCTCGCGCATAATCTCCTTGATAGTCTCGGAGTAATGAATCATGCCATATTGAATGCGGCTTGAAAGCTCCTCCTCAGACACACCAAAAGCAGGCTTGACCTCGTCGAGAGCTTTGTGGAAATCGGCCCGGTTCACTTTCATATTGACGACATCATCGTTGATACTTGCCATAGTGCCAACTTTAACATGACGGGAGAATGCAAAAGAAGAGGCAGACTTGACCAACCCAGCAATTTCAGCACCAGAAAAGTTCTTGGTCATGTGGGCAAGCTCCCCCCAGATTGACATCAGTATCCATGACTTTATTGGTACGCATCTTCTCAGTGTGGATTTTGAGAATCTGGCTTCGGCCCTGCTCGTCGGGAAGAGAGATCTCCATGTGAACCTCTAGACGACCAGGACGTAGCAGAGCCTCGTCGATCATGTCCATACGATTGGTCATACCAATGAGCAAGATGTTGTTAAGTTGGTCAACACCATCGAGCTTCGACAGCAGTTGGTTAACAACACTATCGCCCACGCCGGTGCCACCACCTCCGCCACTACCACGTTGCTTGCAAACGGCATCGAGCTCGTCGAAAATGATGATATGTAGTCCACTCTCATCACCCTTCTCTTTGTATTCCTTCTCGGCGTCCGCGAACATTTTTCGGATGTTTTCTTCAGATTGACCGACGTATTTATTCAAAACCTCAGGACCGTTGATGATCTTCGGTTCTCTGGCATTCAGCATTTTACCAATCTGTCGTGCAATCAAGGTTTTGCCAGTACCGGGAGGTCCATAGAGCAGAAGACCCTTAACGTGATGAATGCCGAGCTTCTCCACCAATCCGGGAGGGAAAATGCGAGACGCAAAGGCTCGACGAAAGATGGTGCTGAACTCTGAATCGAGACCACCAATACCCATGTCTTCAAACTTGAACCCTGGCTGAATGATCGAGTTCGCAGCTGGGCGGCGGTTGGAGGCCTTCATATTAAGTCCGGTCTGCGCATCTCTGTAAAAATTGAGCTGAGTTTGCGGCGTAAGCAACCCCGCGTGCGATGGGGTCCGTCTCAATTTTCCCAGAGTTCAGATCGACCTTCTCAGACCAATCGACACGTTGAACGGTTTTGACACTCAATAGAAGAGGGATGCTCTTGTGGTCCATGAGAAGTCTTTGCTCGGGCGCAAACAATTGGTTTTGGAAATTCTAGTCTCGTTAGCAAATACCAAGGAAGGTAGACCAGGAGTGAACATACGCTAATGACTGCCTTCGCCAGATCATCTTGATCATATGGAACTTCAGTGCGCTTTCTTGCGGACGCAAAGCTGATTTCAATGTCGGCAGACCCCAAATATGCTTGCCCACCCTGGCTAAATTGGTCATACAGCTCGACCTTGACGGTATCTCTCAATCCAACCCGCGCCCATGTTCGTTGAGGATCCGACATGCCGATGCATCCCGGAGGAAATCCGTCTAGGGGGCGGGCGGAGAACACATAGAGATCATTGATCAGGAGATAAAGGTCGGTGCCATCGCGGGTTGGCGGGATATCCAGAGGCGAGACGGCGATGCTAATAGATGTCAGTACGGATATGTAAGCCGGATATCAATTCACTTACATGTTGCCAAAAGTATAGTTGTCATTCGGGCTCTTGCTGGGCTGAAGCTTCCATTCCGGCCCTCCAGTGCGTCCTCCTCCGACCGGTGGGCGGGTCGGCATCGGTTGTGATTGTGGAGCTCTTCCCATTGATTGAGGTGGCGGGCCACCGTATCCCCTTTTGGTCAAAAGTTGCATCAGTCATGGGCTCATCGTAGTCGCTAGGAGCGAGCCCGAAATTGGACATGGGAGGCTGGCCGTGGTCATACCGTGGTGGTGCTTGATTAGGGTTCGAATAGCCATGCGGCGATGGGCGCCCACTATCCCCTGACGGATTAGGGCGATTGAACATGGTGCACTGTCAATAATCCGGTGGCTAGGAGTTGAAGCTGTGTTGAGTGTTAAGAACGTTGCGGTAGCGCCACCGTGGTGTTTTGAAACAGCGTAGGCAACAGCGTAGATGGAGGGAGACCCGGTTCTGGATAGATGACACGTGTCCGATGAAATAGAAATTGGCAAAATAGGCAAAACCCCAAGGTGATGGAGAAGTTGTAGATGGAAGGTGGGAGAGCTCAAGGAGAAACGAAGGGAACTCAGCCACACCACTGCGGTCCCATCGGGCTGAACGTGGAGTGGGGGTGCCTTATCGATAAAGCAGGTTCGCCGCCGGGGCTTGGCATGTTCCCCGACCTTCGACCTACCCTGCTTGATTGCACGCCGCTTCTTCTCTTCACTGCTGGCCAGGTCGCTCAATATGCCTCTGTGAGTATTCTTCCCCCAAATTTAGACAGATATAACTAACATTGTTGGATAGACATCTTCTAGGCAAGAAATCATGGAACGTCTACAACCCGGATAATATCGCCCGTGTGAAACGCGACGAGGCCCAGGCACAAGCCCGCGAAGAAGAAGATGAGCGACTCATGCAAGAGGTTGATGCTGAGCGACGAATAAAGATATTACGTGGCGAGCGACCACCAACGCCTCCTCCCCCGCCCCAGTCGTCTGCTGATACCTTTGCACGATCTGAAAGAAAATCGAGCGATGATGCGGGCCGCTATCGGAAAAAACGGCGCCTGGCAGGGGAAGACGACACAGACAGAGATATTCGATTTGCCCGGGAAGATGCAGAACAAGCGCTTTCCAAAAGAGACGAGCTTTCTCGTTCATCTCAACGAGAGGGCGGGAACCAGCAGGTGCCTCTTTGGGATAACAGCGGTCATATAAACCTCTTCCCGGAGGGCTCCAAGAAAGCTGAGAAGAATTCCGAGGCTGAAGCTGAGAAAAAGAAGAAGGAACGAAGTTACGAAGACCAATATACAATGCGATTTTCAAATGCCGAAGGTTTCAAGGAGCAGGCAGGTCGTCAACCGTGGTATTCATCTGGTGCACAGGTTGTCACAGCACCTGATGCGATGCCAGATAAGAATGTCTGGGGGGGATGAAGATCCTATGCGCAGGGAACGAGAAAAGTCTCGCATGGATGTTAATGACCCTCTTGCAGCCATGAAACGTGGTGTGCGACAATTAAAGGCGACGCAGCAGGAACGAAAACTATGGACCGAGCAGAAACGAAAAGAGATCGAGAGCCTGAATACCACAGACAACCATAACGCAACGCGGCATCGAAGGAGGCGCTCACAGTCCATGAGCAGCCTAGATAACTTTAAGTTGGATGAGGCTTCTTCGAAGGTTGACGATGAGAAACATCGTAGGGGCTCTCATCATCCTCTTCATTCTCACCGACATCACCATCGGGATCGAAGCAGGGACCGAAGCCGAGACCGCTCGCACAAACGTTCCAATAAGACTTCGGACCGTTCTCGTCGCCATTGTCATGATCGTCATGAAGAAGCCCGCCGAAACAGGAGGCACTCCCACAGGTCAGAATCGGGTAAAAACCCTGCCCGACGTTGATCAAATATCGGATGTATTTCTTACTCATGACGATATTTTACCTATGCTTTGAGGGCTCTCTTACAACACCGGTAGGATGGTATTGCCTACTTGGCTGATGAGCCATTGGCTACTTGCACTCCCGTTCAGGGACTAGAGCTCTACAGCTCGACCTTCAACACCTAGTGAAATATTTGAAAGTCATTTCCAGGTCGTAGAATTCCATCTCCTGCTGGGTATATAATTCTCTATCCATGCATCTAGCCCACGAAATATCAAATTTTATGACAGCATCGTTAAAGTCATTTCAACTTTTGTGCGGAGCGCTATTTACTGAAGCGCCCACTGTTGCTTGCCCGAGGCATTTTCTCCGCCGTTCCACTCGATGTTGATATCCAGACCGCGGTAGCCGTTCTGCTTTCGCTGATAGCCGACCTTACCAGTAAAAGTCTGACCCTTCTTTAATGGCTTGGGTTGCTCCTTTCCATGGTCGATAAGAAGGATGGTCTGCATCCAGTGGGTCTCAGTGTCGTCCGGGCCGGTGGTGAAGGAAACAATTCCCTTCTTCTTCATCTCTGAGGGAATGGGGTTCTCGGGCACCGGAGATTCTCTTGAGGGCATGAAGAAGATATCGAACCAAATGGCGAAGCCATCGAGGGCATCAATATCCTCGTTCAGGGTGAATTGGAACTCCTTGATAAAGTTCAGCTCCTCGACAGTGATGGTATGAAGAGGCAGCGGCAAAAAGATACTGGAGTCTCCTGGAATGGTTGTGGGCTGAATTCCGCGCACAAGCGCCTCCTCGTAAATGTTCAAGAGCATGCTGTTCATCTTGAAACCGTACACGTTATGCCAGAAGGAGATATGCGACGCAATGAAATCAGGGTCGGCGAAAGGCGCAACGCGGAGAGTGGCGTGAGAGGGAACCATAAGTCCATCGGGAGCCAGGTAGCGATCCCTAGCGTAAATGACCGAATCAAACATGGCCTCGAAGAGCAGACCGTAGCCCATCCACTCTGAGATGATAATGTCGACCTTTTCAACCGGGAGGACAACCTCTTCGATCTTGCCTTGGATGCACCTGTTCAAATAGTGAGTGGACCTTCAGTAGAAGCAAACAGATGTAAGAATACTTACGTGATCACATCACCAAGGCCGTTGTCATAGACGATCTCCTTGGCACGGTCAATGATGTTCGAGTTGTCAACCGAGATGACCTTCTTTGCACCGGCCTTGGCACAGAACATGGATAAGATACCAGTTCCGCATCCAACGTCCAGAACGACCTTATCCTTGAAGAGGTGCTTGTTCTCGTAGACGAAATCACGGTAGGCATCAGTACGGATGGTATCCTTCAACATGGACTCATGGATTGCTAGACGGTGAACATCAGGTTAGCAAATTGTATGTACGCACATACATATATATGTTGAGTTATGTGTATGCCAACTTACTGTTATAAGAATAAGAGCTGAAGTAGTCCGCATCTACCTCCTCAGTCTTATCTGTGGATCTTTTCGCAGCATCGGGCTGCAGCTTCTCGTCTTCTTTGGTCAATTGATCCTCGAGAGATTGTTGCACGGCGGTTCTGTACTCGGAGAATTGAGTCTGCAAGCGCTCCAATTCCTCCTGTAGTTCCAGAACTCGACGGTCGGCGTCGCCACCAGAGGCCTCATCGCTAGCCTGTTCCTCAGCGATATCGTCCAAGCTATATAGAAGGGCGTCGTCCTCGAGCACAGGCTTCAAGTAGGCATCGTCTTCGAATTGGGACTTGGAAGAGACATCGGGTGTCTTGTTACCAGCCTTAACCTGGGTGCGCACATAGTTGACCAGCTTGATCGAATCCAGGAAGTCAAGATCTATCCCAAAATTGAATGAGTTAGTTCCAAATCGTCTCAATGGCAAGAAAAATCCGTGGGCTTCCACTTTGCTCAGAGAAGACCGGAATCACAGTGGCAGGAAGGGGGAGGTTACATACCGAGTTGCTTCTGGATCTTCAGCAGATCAAAGTTGTGCTTGTCCTTGCAAACTTTCAGCATCGAGCGCACATCAGGGTAGACCGTTTCGGAGAAGAGGTCGACTACTGGCTGCGAATCATCCTCGGGCTCGACATCTTCCCAACCTTCTTCATTGCTCGAGTCAGATTCGTCAGAGACGGATCGAGCATCGACAGGTGCCTTTTCAGCAGGGAGATCAGAACGATTGGAGGATGCCATGATGCTGGGATACTAGTCCTATAGACTGGGAATGGTTGGAGGGGTAGAAAGTGGCCGCGATAAAAAAAATCCGTTATCGGGCCAACGGTTGCCCCGCCCCGCTGATTTCAGCTTCCGTTGTTTATTACGGCTGGTACACCCTGGACCGTTCCAGGCTCGCCCTCTCCAGCTTCTCCAGCTTCTCCTCCCCATCCCTCTCGGTCTCTCTCGATATTTCGGTCATGGCTTTCTTCTTCAATCGTGGCCGATCGCGCCAGCCCGCTGATGTCGTTCGCTCAACAAAAGAATCATTGTTAAGGGTCCAAGAAGCCCCCAATACACCTAAGGTGCCGTCGCTCGAACCACTTGGGATACACACCTCCTCGCTGACCTAGAATACAGGCCGATGAAGAGCTGGCCAAACAGCTTGGTCAGATGAAAGTGATTGTTCAAGGAACACAAGGTCGGTTAACTGCACGCCCTAGGAGGCAGATCCAGAGCTGTTCTCTGGCCTGGCCTGAACTGGAATGAACTGGACTGGAATGCATGGCTGACAATGGCTTCGCGGTTTAGAGATCAGCACGTCCCCCGATCAGGTTCACGCACTCATCCAAGCAACACTCCAAGAAGACCTACTCTATGATCTCTCGCGGTCAATTCATTTACTGCCCTTTGAGGCTAGAAAGGATACGCAGACCATCTTCTCTCATATCTTGCGCTTTCGGCCCACCTCCTATGCGCCCGACAAAGACCCTCCAGTCATTTCCTATATTGTTCACCACCGTCCAGAGATTCTTATTGAGTTATGCCGAGGGTACACACACAGCCAAAGTGCCATGCCGTGTGGTGTAATTTTACGTGAAGCGCTCAAATTTGACGTGGTCACTGCGGTGGTTCTGTATGATCAATCACAAGAGGGGGAGGCGGCCGTGCGTCTCTCGGATTTGAAGCCCAATGCCCCTCAAAACGGCGACGGCGTGTTTTGGAAATTCTTTGAATGGATCGACAAGGGGAACTTTGAAGTGAGCGCCGATGCATTCACGACATTCCGGGTACGTCCGATTTATAGGTCTATCGTAATGTGGTGGAAAGAGTGACTGACTCGGCCTTCGACAGGAAATTCTGACTCGGCACAAGAGTCTAGTGACCGCATATTTGGCCAGCAACTTTGAGCTATTTTTCGGTCGATTCAACACCATCCTGGTGCAGTCAGATTCATACGTGACCAAACGACAGAGCATCAAGCTGCTTGGGGAGATTCTATTGGACCGTGCCAACTACAATGTGATGATGGCCTACGTGGAAAGTGGGGAGAACCTCAAGCTGTGTATGAAACTGTTGCGCGACGATCGCAAAATGGTACAGTACGAGGGATTCCACGTTTTCAAGGTATGCCTGCCGTCGATCATGACGAAGAGTCACGCACACTAACGAGACCAGGTATTCGTGGCGAACCCAAACAAATCGGTGGCAGTACAACGGATCCTGATCAACAACCGCGATCGGTTGTTGCGTTTCTTGCCAAAATTCCTGGAGGATCGAACGGATGATGATCAGTTTACGGATGAGAAAAGCTTTCTGGTGCGACAGATTGAGGTTCTTCCGAAGGAGCCAGTCGATCGGAGTCGACCCAGTCGAGAGGCTCAGTCCGGGGTCAACACCGCAGTGGTCTAAATGATAGAGATCTAACGCTGGACGGCTGGATCCCGACAAGTATCTTCACGCCATGATGATTATTATTTTTCCGTATAGCCCTGGGGGAATGCTTTGCTCCCCCCCCCACCCCCCCTTCTTCTTGCATCTGAGGCTGATGGCTTGCTGGATTAGCAGCTTTGGCTATGGGCGTTTTGACGCGTTCTTCTTCTTCTTCTTCTTCTTCTTCTTCTTCTTCTTTCATTACAGCCTTTTCTGTACTCTCTGCACGGCGTACTCGTTTGTAAATACTACACCCATTTGCGTTGTGGGGACATTACGTCGAAGTGGCACAAAATTGGACCTTTTTCTGTAAAAAGGAGCTGGAAAAAGGCATTTTTTCCTCCATCGAATTAATCCATACACAGTACTCCGTACACTGTCGACTACGACGGACTCGGACGGAGTACCCCAGACCAAATGGCACAAGCACAGCCGCTTCTGCGACCCGATGAAGACAATGTCACCACGCTTGTTCTAATCTAAGCACCGCTAGTGGGCTCCACTTAAAACTTCTTGTCCGTAGGGTGGCCTTGTCGGGCTTCATCTAGCTCCACTGCTGCGTGGCCCGAGGGGGTTGGTGGGACACACGACGTTGATGCTCATCTCCTCTGCCCCTGGGATTGACGATCTGTCCAGGGACCAGCACCTTCAATTCCGATTCCTGGCAGTTGCATTGGATACGATATACTCATACGAGTATATACTAAGTTGCTAGTGCTCAGGTGGTCCCTTCTGATTGGAATGAGACTGCATCCCGCGCCAAGAAGCCAACTCCACAACGGTCTTCCGTCTCCGTTCTTTGGGTCTTTTGATCTCCTGGATAATTTGAATTTCCACTGCCATCAGTGATGCGCTCGACTCTCCTTTCTGCCCCGCCGATTAGCACTGAGCTTTGAGTTCTCAGTTCTGACTTTTGGTTTTATATCACGTCGCTCCTTTCACTCCCTCGTTTCGAAAAGTCATGCTGGGATAATGGTGGAAGAGGCCCCTGTATCGCTATCGCCCTCGACAGTTCGCCCGGAGTCGCGCCCGACAATTCGCGCCGTCCCCTCCAACGACTCTCTCGCCGTGAGATGTCCGTCCGCCATTCGTTCGGTCTCACTGCCCACCGACAATGCGCTACCACCGGAACTCAATGGCCGATCGCTGAGTACGAGTGCCTCCCGGGGGTTCGAGGATCGTCCCGCTACGGCGCTCGCGGGGCAGGACAACGTCAGACACGAGGGGGAACTGAGACCTTTCACATCCTCAGGCAATGAAGGCCGGCCAAGACTATCCGAGGATGGCCGGTTTGGCGACAACGCGCCTTCTTTGCGCAGTGTCCCAAGTATCGTTCTCAACGACGGGAGCGCTCGGCCAAGCTCGCGCCCGGGGTCTCGACCAGGATCGCGCTGGTCGGAGCGCAAATGGGGCGGGTTGAGAAAGAGGTCGGCCGAATTGGAACGGAAGAGGAGCATGGAAGAGACCCCTCCAGTGCCTCAGATTGAACCATCCTTCAGTGGGATCAGCTTGGACATTCCTACAGCCTCCCTAACCGGATTGGATAAGACAATGAAGTTCTCACACCGCGGTAGTCTTATTCGAGACCAATCAAATCGACCGCGCCCTGGAAAACGACTAGAGAGGCGCATGGAATCTCCCTTTGAGCAGGAACAGGAACAGGAACCGGACCCCGAGCCGCAGTCGGAAGTCCAGTCAATCCAACAAGATGTCGAGATATCACCCGTACCAACCCTCTCGACCGGCACAAATGACACCGATACCAGTCTACCAAAGCCAACTCCGCGTCCTCGGAAGCCACAGGGTACCCTCCGCCCCCGACAAACCAGTCTTCAGAGTAGAGCCATCTCTGCCGACGAGGATATGCTCTCCCGGAGAGTTCGATTGATGTATGATAAAGGAGATGACAAAGTTACTGATTCCGACGTCGCAAAATCAATTGCCGTGGACAATGGTGTTCTTTGGGAGGAGGGTGCTACTTTAGATGCAGAAACCGCTTCTACCGCTGGGCCCCAAGCACCGGAGCCCGAGTCTATTGGTCGAGCCTCAGAAGAAGTGAAGCGGATAAGGATGAAACGCGAGACCCAGGAGCTCGCGGGCGGCATTGAATACTGGCAAAATGTTGGCGCTGAAGACGTGGATCGTTACGGTTTCATTCATGCGCCTCCAAAGAATGGAGCCGCGCCTCATCCAATCCAAAGGGTCACCACGAGTCTCTTAATTGCATCCGAGTCACCGCGTCGGAAACGTTCCATTCGGCCATCGAGCAATCGGTCTTCTAATGCTCGGTCGCCTACCCGCAATCTCTCTACAAGCTCTGCAGCAGGTCGCCCATCTTCCTCGGCGAGCACGAACAGTGCGCCGATCCGGCGTTCAACATCTCGTCTACGTTCCGCAACCAATCATCTACCCCACAACAGGGATCGGAAATTTACGGACGAGGCCGCCGACATGCTCACTGTCCCGGACGGAAATACTGGCGAGGGACAAGACGCAGCTGCCGCGCGTGCGATACGCAGGAAGGAGTGGGAACGTGAGGACAAGTGGACCAAAATGGCCAAACCTACGAAAAAAGGTCGCGATGGCGGGGGCATGAAATTCGAATTTGATACGCAGAGCAGCAAACTCATCGAGCGAACATGGAAGGGCATCCCGGACCGGTGGCGCGGGACGGCTTGGTATTCGTTCCTTGAGGCGAGTGCTAAGCGACACCCTAATAGTCCATCCGAGGAAGAGCTCATTGATGCATTCCATGAATTGCAATATGTCTCTTCACCAGACGATGTTCAGATCGACATTGACGTGCCACGTACCATCACTAGCCACATCATGTTTCGTCGACGATACCGTGGTGGGCAAAGGCTCCTCTTCCGTGTGCTTCATGCCATGTCATTATATTATCCCGATACCGGTTATGTGCAAGGCATGGCAGCTCTCGCAGCTACGCTCTTAGCATATTACGACGAGGAGCATGCTTTTGTCATGTTCGCGCGGCTCTGGCAACTTCGTGGCTTGGAACAACTTTATAAATCTGGATTTGCGGGGCTTATGGAGGCGTTGGAAGATTTTGAACGGGAGTGGCTGGCTGGTGGTGAGGTGGCCTCAAAGCTGGTAAGAATATGTGGTAACCCAGCGTATCTCAACCCATGCACTAATACCTTTACAGAACGAAGTGGGGATTCCACCCACAGCCTATGGTACCAAATGGTACCTAACCCTCTTCAACTACTCGATCCCCTTCCCAGCCCAGCTCCGTGTCTGGGATGTCTTCATGCTCCTTGGCGATGCTGAGGATCCCCCGGGCCGACCTGCCACCGCTTCTGCAAAAGGCCCGAAGAAAGACCCAGGCACCTTTGGTCAGGGCCTGGACGTGCTCCATGCCACGTCTGCTGCTCTCATAGATGGCATGCGCGATATAATTCTCGAATCTGATTTCGAGAACATAATGAAAGTTCTGACTAGTTGGGTCCCCATTAAGGACATCGAACTCTTCATGAGAGTTGCCAAGGCCGAATGGAAAGTCCATCGTCGCCGAAAACTGCCCGCCCATTGATCACGACTTGGCTTGTCTTTTGCTCTTTTCATCCCCCATTTTCACTAATAATTCTTGTTGATGGATGTCTTATACCCTAATGATCGGACGGACTTCCGAGAACTATATCTCGATGCCTAATTTCTTTATACCCAACCCAGGCCTTACTCGTGGCCGAGGGACATTGGACTGTGATGATACCACTTGGGCCACCCTACTTGACTCGGCTCCTCATATTCTTAATACGTGTATTCCTACATTGTGACCTTACTTCACCTCTTGACGTTCATTACTTGTCTCTCTCTCTCCATCTTTCCAGGCCCTAGTCGTCTTAGGAATTTTCCGAAGACCACTTTGGCGGTCCCGGATCAGTGCTACATACGCTCTCTTGAATTTCTCCTTGATTTTATCCACAAGCTCCCAAGACTTGTACATGTCTCTTTTCTTCCAACATTGACGTCTGGCCCTGGCTCGCATGCACTTGATCCCGTACCGATCCGTCGGCCTACCCCGATGTCAAACCTGCCAATGCGTTACTGTGGACTCAAATTTACTTTGTGGGGGCTTCATACTTCTGATACCCATTCTTATACATAACCAAGCTTAATAGTAGTAGTAGTAGTAGTAGTAGTAGTAGTAGTAGTAGTAGTAGTAGTAGTAGTAGTAGTAGTAGTAGTAGTAGTAGTAGTAGTAGTGGTAGTAGTAGTAGTAGTAGTAAAAGTAGTGGTAGTAATAATAGTGGTCCGAAGTAAACTAGCAAGGATATTAACTTAACTTTAATATTTCCTGTATCATCGCTTACGTACTAGGACTAGGACTACGACTAGTAACAATCAAGATTCTTGCATGAATCATGTGCGGAGTCGCGGAACTGCCCAGCGAAGCCTAAATCCTAGATCTCGCGATCAAACTAGAGCGCGGAGTAACTAGTACCAGGAACTCAGATTTAAGAGTCAGAAGCTCACAATCTCGATCTCTGGAAAGTCCGCCCCGAGCAACACAGCAAAACCTTGGAAGCTTTGATCGTCATGGCGCGGGAAGCGAACCCCTCATGCCAAGGTGATCTCACTCACCATTGAAAAGGCGTGTGTGGGGGGGCAATCCGGGGGAATGGGGGTAACCCTGGGGAAGGGAAGAAAACGTGAATTATTGAAATGATTAAGTACGAGGCAAGAGAACGATCGCTCTCCTCTTTTCCCCCCCTGTTTCCCTCCTTTTCCTTCTTTCCTCCTTTCCCCTTCCCAACACCCCCTCGGCATCTCCCCCAACTACAACTACAATCCACCCGCACCATCGCCATGTCGGACTCCGGCGACATGTCAAAGGAGAAAGCCTCGGCACGCGAATTCGAGAACCCCTCAGTTCCACAAGACGAGAAGATTACAGATCATGAATCGGGGATAAGCCGACCGCCATCATTCAATGTCGATGAAAAAGCGGTGTTGCGCAAAATGGATCTTCGATTAATTCCTATGCTCAGCATCCTTTACCTCCTTGCTTTTTTGGATCGAGGTACACAACATGAACCTCCCTATTGGGTATGGGTCTAAGCACTAACTAAAGTCCTTTGAATAGGAAATATTGGAAACGCAAAGATTGAGGGATTGGTGGATGATTTGAATATGACAGGACCGCAGTACAATTGGACTCGTATGGACTGCATTCCTTTGTGGTATGTGAGCTATGCTGACGCTCGTTTCCCAGTGACCGTGTTCTTTTTCACCTACTGCGTCTTCGAGTTACCCAGCAATCTCCTCCTTAAAAAGTTGAGACCGTCCAGATGGCTACCATTAATCATGGTTGCATGGGGTATCGTAATGGTCAGCAGTGAATCCCCTGCGAAGTCGTGCTTGGATTGAGTTAACACCGTGGATCAGACCCTGATGGGAGTTGTCAAGGGCTATGGTGGTCTCTTGGCAACCCGCCTCATGTTGGGTGTCGCCGGTACGTACTGTTCTTTCCAGTCATCCTCAACGTGGAATTTTGCCGATCAATTGCTATAGAGGCCGGTCTATATCCAGGTGTAGCCTATTACATTACGCTCTGGTACCCTCGCCATCGAGCTCAGTATCGACAAGCGCTTTTCTTCAGCGCGGCCAGCATTGCCGGTGCATTCTCCGGGCTTTTAGCATATGGAATTGCGGTAAGATTCCTTCCTCAAAGCCTTTTCGGTAGCCAGATATCTCATATGTGTTGACAGAAAATGGACGGGGTTGGTGGGTACGCCGGCTGGCGCTGGATCTTCATTCTAGAGGGTCTTCTCACCGTTGTGGTGGCTCTTTTCGCACCTTTCGCAATCCATGATTCCCCAGAGACGGCCACCTTTCTCACCGAAGATGAACGTCGGTTTGTCATTCATAGCTTGAGGATTCAAAATTCGGCGGACGCGCGCGAGATGGTGCAGGACGAGGACAAGTTTCAAATGAAATATGTACTTGATGCATTTAAGGACTGGCAGATCTATTTGGGATTATTTAGTATGCTTCAGTCCTCATCCCTCATCCCCCATACTTCAAATAACTAACATAATAACCTTAGTGTACTGGGGAATTACCTGTCCCCTCTATGGAATCTCACTGTTCCTCCCTTCTATTATCAAAGATCTTGGCTACACATCTTCAACCGCTCAGCTTTTGACTGTCAGTACTTTCTCCACAATGGCGCTGGAACTGAATCTTGTTCTAAACATTGCAATTCCTATAGGTACCAATCTACATCACTGCAGCAGTTGTTGCCGTTCTTGCAGCATGGTTCTCGGATCGTCGAAAGCAGCGGTCACCATTTATTCTATTCTTCATGGCCATGATCGCTATTGGGTTCATCATCTGCCTCGCATCAAGTGGTCGCAGCGTACCTGGCGTCGTATATTTTGGAGTCTTTGTCGCAGTCATCGGTGAGTCGGACTAGTCAATATGGATGCCAAGCGGACTGGATCGGGCCGCTAACACCATGCTAGGAATCTATCCCGCCTTCCCAGGCAATGTTACTTGGATCAGTGTCAACCTTGCAGGTGACTACAAGCGTGCGGCTGGAATGGCCATTTATATTGGACTTGGAAATCTTGCAGGCGGTAAGTCTCGTGACAGTAGTATCATCTTTCTTGAATTTCCAACTTCTATGTGCTAATCTGAAGGATTACATGGCAGCCATGGCATCAAACTTCTATCGCGCCCAGGACGCCCCGCAGTATATTCTTGGCCATTCTCTGGAGCTTGCCTTCGTTGTCGTGGGCATGGTAGCGACTGTGCTTTTGCGATTCGCTTACCAGCGCATTAACCGTCAAAGGGACCTTATTGACCCCTCAGAATATCCTGATGATCCAGATTCGTTGGGAGACCGGTCTCCACTATTCCGGTACATGCTATGAGTTAATCTCTAGAGACAAATAAAGATCTGGTTTTACGTCCATTTGATTCGGTTAGGTTGGCTTCCACCGAGCATTGCTGCCAGAATGACTTTGTTCAAACAGCAATCAGAACTTGAAGCAATCGTTAGAACAATACAAAGCTAAATTCAAATCGCGCTGTGGGAGTGACAGACCATAAGATAGACCTTGAATCTAGGAAAAAATCCTCCAGGCAGCCACACCACTCACTTCGACCCGTGCTCCATGAACTGTTTGCTGTTGAGAGTGTCACTAGCCCGGCCCTTCACTTCCTCCTCACCTCCCTCCTCCCTCTCCATCCATCATCCCTCCAATTTTCTTTTCTTTTCCTTTCTTCTCCATCTTTCATCTTTTCCTTCACTTCAACCTTGCTCCTTCCAAACATTTACCTCTGATACTCTTACATTCCAAAACAAACAGACCGTTTTCTTGATCAATCCCAAAATGCCACCTGAGACTGCCACCGAGAAAGACTACCGTTTCATGGCGGAGTGTTTTAAAAACATCGATCACACTCGAGGCAAGGTGAGCTACTGTGATCCTCTCACTTTCTGAACCCGCTAACAATATGGTTTCTAGGTCGACATGGTTAAAGTGGCCGCCGCAATGGGGTACGGCAACCCTCGCTCTGCCGGAAACAGGTACAAAGTTCTCAAAACAAAGCACGGATTCGCGACGGACTGCTTCTTTACCGGCTCGGTGAGTTACACAAGATTCATGATTAGCCTTCAGTTCTGACCCTCTTTACAGACTGGAGCCGCCCTGACCTCGCCCAAGAAAGGGATTCCTCGGGCCAAGAAGACCCCAATCAAAAAGGGGAAACAGGGTGGAGACGATAATGACGATGATCTGACTGAAGATGAGAACGTCGGCATCAAAGAGGAAAAGAATGCCGAGGGTGAAGCGTTCAGTTCTGATCCTACTACCCAGGATGAAGCCACCCTGAGTTCGCCCAAGAAGAGGGGTTCTCGAGCCAAGAAGGCAGCAGTCAAGAAGGAGGGGCAGGTTAAGGACGAGCATGATCTTGACCAGACTGAAGAAGAGAACGCCGAAATCAAAGAGGAGGAGGAGGAAGAGAAGAAGGATGTTGAGAGCGACGAAGAGATCTAAGTCCCCTCGGGTTGAGGCCCCACATCCCCTGCGTATGGCTTCTCTGATGTTGGTGTCGTCGACGCGAAAGGTACCGACTGGTACGCTAGAACTTGAAGGCCGGTGGGATTTCTGGGGGTCTGTTTGCGAAGGACGGGGAGCGCGCCTTCATTTCATTTCATTTCTAGAGGGTGTTTTTTTTTCCGCACGTTTTTTCCGCAGGTTCTTTGCGAGTTTTTCGCGAGGAGTATGGTCTCATTGGGGTAGCAAGGTGCCCAGGAGTTTTATGGGGATATTTTGCGGTGTTGCGTTGAAACAGGTAGTGCCCACTAATCGACTACACAGAACTTTCCTCAATCCATGGAAGAAGCATATGTCTTCGCGTACCAGTAGTTGATCGTAGATGTGTGTCAACTGATGTAGTATTCAAAAATTGATCATAGAATGGACTAGGGTATCTTAGCACTTAAAATCACAAGATAACGCCATGAGAATGCGGTTGAAAAATAAAGGAATGATAGGCCGCAGAGCACTGGAAGCTGTGCGTTGTATGTACAACACCCTCCTGTTAATCAAATGTCCGCCATAACCGATTCAACAATCTTTCGCTTGTAATGCGACAAAGCACGCTCTTTCTTTTGCATCTGTGCCCGCAGTTTCATGTAACGTGATTTCCAGGTAGCCTCAGATGCCGAAGGGTCGAAACCGTCGTCTCCTAGATCAAGACCTTCCAAGTCATATTCGGGAACGGTCTTTTCTTGACTCTGTGCGGTATTGGCTGCTTGGTTGTATGCCGCGGGTGCCACGTTGCCCAAGTGGAGATCTCCCAGTATAAGATGTATCGAGAAATGAAACGATGGTGTGTATTCTAGGGAAAGGTTGTATTCTGTGCCGATTGGATTTTGACCAGAGTTGGATAATGTGCCGATGAGATCTCCACGTCGCGGCGATGTGTCGATATTCAAAGCCATCATAGTTGGTCGCGGGGCCGAAGAACCAAAATGATGAGCCACCCCCAGATGAGTTGCTAAATGTAATGTTGGAAAGTCAAATGACATCTGAGAGTAGGTAGAAGAAACATTGGCTACTATGGCTGAAGCCAATTCGCGAGCTTCGTCAGGCTTCAAGGGGTCTGCTCGTCCGCTGAGACGAGCACGCATAAGGTCATCTGTAAGGACATGGGTAATTCCATCAACGGTTATTTTAGAACTGCCGTCCTCTTGTTTTTTCATAGATCCATTCTCTGCCGACTCGGAAGTGTGAACTTCGTTGGCATGTACGACTGCTCCGTTCACGCCATTGACCAACAGTGTTGGCGGTGTTGCAAGGCGTACTGGGGCACCAAAATGCTGAGGAACCTGCAATTGAAGCTTGCTTGGTCTTCCATTATTAGCTGGAGTAGGTGATTGGTCGAAGCTTGAGCCTGGCATTGGCTGTGACGAGCTCTGTTTAATCACAAGGGGAGAGGATTGGCGGAGAGAGGTTGTTGAGATGTGCGAAGAGTCTCGTGCAGCGTTGACATGAAATGCGGAAAATGAACCAGATGCTGTTGGTTTACTAGGCGGCCTGCCTCGACTTTTACCATTGGATGAGCCGTTGCTGTTAGTCCAAGCCGAGGAAACTGCCGGCCCATGTCTGCGTCGCGAGCGACTTTTCTCGCTGGTAGATGGTGTGATGGCAGAACGAGGCTCAACAGACACAAGCGAGTCGGATGGCTGGTTTCCTCGTGGAATAATGGCGGATTGAGGGTATCCCACAGGCGACGTTTCCCGTTCCGGAAGCCTCCAGCGAAGGTCTTGTCCAGGCTGCTCTGTTTGCCCAGGCTGTGGGTATGCCGAGGTGGCTGTTATCCAAGGATCCTCACTTGGAAATGCACTGAATGGTATGGCGCTCTGTGGAAATGTCACAGAGTGCTGCTGAAAGCCTCCAGGTTGTAGACCTGCTACCGATGTATCTAACTGGGGCCGTTTAATAGTCTTTTCTTCTTCAAGCTCCCTGTCCTCTGCTCTTTTCCTGCCCCTTTTAGGCTTCCATTGAGGGATGAGTGCGCGGAGGGCAAGGTCTTCTTCCAGTGGTACGCCATCGCGGGGTTCGCCAACGTATGGCCCCGAGGAAGGTAGCTGAGTATAGTACTGATGTTGGTGACTTAGACAATATTCGAAAAAGGCATCAACATGCATTGCACGCATCCATCGCTAGAATTGATTAGCTTCCATGTTGGTCTCAAACAGAGACGATATATGCTAAATACCTTTAATCGGACTGCGTACTGCTGGACCTTCTGCGTGCTTTGTTTCTTCTCCATGGAGGGTGGCTCCACACCCAGTTCGATTGCCAATTGGATCCATGTCTTGAGCTCTTTATTATCGAATTTGCGAATGAGCTCAAAGAGAGTGAAAACACTGAAGCTTTTGCCATCACTGCGTGGAGGGCATCGAAAGGTTCGTCGAAGCTCCAAGGTATCAACAGAAGAAGGAACACTCGGATTGCAATATAGGATAAATAGTACATAAGCATCGTCAATCGTTTCGTCAGTAATCTCACGTGAAGGCAGAGCCCGAGATTCCGCCTGGTCAGCGGTGTCTTTCAATTGCTGATGACGGAGGGCATCGAAGACCGGGGGAGACATAGACGGCCCGGAACGAGCTACTGAGGAGAGAGGAACGGCGGAGCGGAACCCCCCTTGGAGAAGATTGAATGCTCCGGGGAGTCTCTTTACGATGCAGCGACGGTGATTTGTTAGCCTCTGCCTGGCTGCGAGCGCTTCCAAGTGAAGAGGCACTGCGAAGTGTTGATTCCAGTGTGGATGGGTACCGTGCATACTGCTGGATTACCATCTGAGACGCTCCGAGGTCGGTCTGATCCGATCGGTCGGTCGAGTCCATCATGATGGGGAAGGTTGACTCCATCGAATCGTTCCAGGAGTCGTCAGCCCCCCGACAAGCATGCAGGAAACACTAAACAGAGCACAGTGACAACAATCATGGGTTCTAGTATATAGGTGTTTTGTCAAGTGCAGTCAACGGCGCTCAAGAATCAATCAATATAAAAAAATACCATCCAAAATAACAGGTGGTGGGGAGAGAAATAAGAAGCAAATGGGCCTCTCCACGAGGATCCCCCCCTCGAGGTGGCTGGAAGCGCCGTCGGGTTTCTATTTTTACGGTGCATCCATAGCGTCCTCACGGGGGCGGGGGTTCGCTGCCTGAGTGCCTGAGTGCCTGAGTGCCACATTCATCGGGCATGAATCAGAGATCACGGGATCATCGCCAAGCCTCCTAATACGCTAGCTTATCGATAGCGCCGATCGCGGCTGCCGGGTGGACCCCGTGCACTCCCCGGCTGCGGGCGCATTCGTCTTCCTTCTACGAGTACTGCGTAGTATCCTGGACCCTGCATCCTGGAGCAAACTTTCTATCGCACTTCGTTTCCTTTGTTACAATTAAGTATTATAATTTGCATCCATTGCACTTTATAGCCCAATCTCTCTCAGTCATGGCACACTCACGGTCGAGTGGGCCTTCAACGTCCACTCGACCTGCGCGCCGCAGCCGGACCCAGGTCGACAGCTATCATGAATCGACCTCCGACGATGATCTCCACGCAGAAGACAGACCAACAGTGTCTCTTCGGTCCAGCTCGAATGCGCAACGCCCTTCCTATCGCGAGCCGTCGGATCATGAATCGGACGATGAACCTGCTGCCGAGCCAGACAATGATCAAGGCGAAGGCCCAGAACGCCAAACGAATCCACCAGCTTCAGCTCGCAGTAGTCGTCGTTCCACTCGACATAGGCGCCCGAACTCAATTAAAAAAACCCGGCCTCGCTCCTCAAATACGACTGGCCATGGGACGCCTTCTATTGGCGTGAAGCGACGCCCGCGCGAGCGGCCAAAAGAGAAGAATTCGTTTTCGAATAAGCGAGCCAAATACTACTCGGAGCTCCTCGATGATGTTTCTCGATTTATTCCACCCTGGCAAAAGTTACCCTATCATATTCTTTTCCAAATCCTCCTCCAGGCGACCTACCCAACCCCCAACGAGAAGTGGGAGGCTCGAAGTGATATGGCCAGATGGCTTGTCAATCTCGCATGTTTATGTCGGGAATTCCAAGAACCAGCCCTGGCAGCTCTTTACTACTGCCCACCGATATTTTCATCCTACAAGTGTCATGCGCTTGTAAAATTACTCTCCACGCCACGGGACTCTCGCTTGATCAATTACGCCGGCAAGATCAAAGAACTCCATGTGGATGTAGACGTTCTTCGCTTCAAAAGTGGACCAATACTGGGCTATTTTGACCTCGCTCAGCTGATTCAAAAAGTCCCTCAAGTGCATGCAGTGCGAATCTATCACCAAGACGATTTTATTCTTGGCCACCAGCCGGCGGATATTCCCCAGTCGACGTGGATCTACTCAGAAAATCTATTCGAAGTTATGGACTCCACTGGTGTTCGACTTCGTGCCTGGGACTGGAACTCTCGTTTCTTGAATCTCGCCGACCTTCTCCCGTTCATGGACAAGCAACATCGGCGACCCGCTTTCCAGAAGCTGAAGGAAGTCAAACTGCTTCATCTTGGTGATCGCAACCATAAGGATACATTCGATAACGAAGACGCCCTGGCTGTTTCACTCAACGCACTACCAGATCTTGAACGATTAGAGTTCGTGGAATGCACCTTGCCCTCGGATCGACTCTTGCTCCAGCTGCCTTCAACAATCCACTCCCTAACGATTACCAATTGCGACAGAATATTCTCGGCTTCAATCGACGCCTTTTTGAAGTACCATGGTGATCGTCTTCGTGAGCTTAATTTGAATCATAATCGGCACCTAAATCTGCTGTGGATGGGTGGTCTTGCGTCCCACTGCCCTATTCTTGAAAAGCTGAAGTTCGATGGAAACATATACGACGCATCCCCTCACAATGACACCTTACCTCACTTTGATTCCTTAATGGAAAATGACGTGGAGCCGACATGGCCCCACACGCTGCGCGAAATCGAAATGACATGTCTGCGAAAGCTAGACGGTGACTGTGCAGATATTTTCTTGACGAGTCTTGTCAAAGCTGCCACCCATCTAAGTGCTTTACGGCGCCTGTCTATCAGCTTGATCCTAGACATGTCGTGGCGGGACCGGGCTCGCTTCCGTGATGTCTGGATACCTGACATAATACAAACATTTCAACACGGGGACTTGGTTTCAAGAAGCCCGGAACCCTGCCCGTTTCCAGAGTCATCGGACGCGACGTCATCCAAGCGCCAGAGCGCGCGTATTGCACAGATCGTGGACAAGCAGGATGCAGATGTGAACTCGTCTCTTGATTCACCGGGTCGGGGCGGCCAATTGCGGGGGCTTGGCATGTGCGACGAAGTCTTCATTCGCATTGATAACCAACGCCCTAGTGAAACGCAGTTCAACGAAAATGATTTTCTTGATTCTGAAGCCAGTGGCGATGATGACTGGGATGGGGAAGACTATGAGACCGGCAATGGTTACGCGTGGTAGCCAGGGACTTGCTCCTCGGCTCGGTACGGCTCGATCTTTGATCATCTTTTTCTGGAATTTTTTTTCTCTACTTTTTTATTTTTATTTTATTTTTTTGGCCAGGGGCACGGTTATTATTTAGGCGCTAGCTACACGGTGGACGAGGAATTTGGTAAATGGATGGAGTAACTACTAGTAGGACGAATACTAGTACCTTGTGTTTAGATTTAAAATGTATCAACAGTCTCATAATCCGTGTTCTTAATCATCTTCTAACTTGAAACCCTGCTTTATAGTATAGTGAACCTCTTCAGTTGTGGTTGGCTCGATCGCCAAGTCAATCAAAGGAAAGGCACGAGGCCCCACAGGATCGACTCGCCCGCGGCACCTCCCATCTCTGCTTCTGCTTCTGCTTCCGTCTTTGACATCCCCTCCCTCTTCCTCTCTCCCCCTCCCTCCCTGCCTCGGCTTCAACTTCCATCCTTTGACCGCTCGCACGATGCCCCAAGAGGCTCCTGCAGATACTGCAGGCCCGTCCTCTCCGCCGCCTCAACTGCCCGACGGATGGTAAGTCAGACCCTATCCTGTTGATAACGATTTGGCACCCGGCTAACTCTGTTTATTTTGAGGCTTGCTCAATGGGAGGGCGTCCAACGTAAATGGTATTTTGTGCAGAGAGCGACCGGCAAATCGCAATGGGAGGTCCCAACCGAACCTGTCGTTCTCACTCCTTCAACAACGCCTACGTCTATTGGGACCGGGCCCACATACCCACCATCGCGCCCATCAACCAACAGTCCCCAAATAACGGGGTCAGGGACCACCTTGGCGGAACGGATTGAGCCTGTCCTGGGCTGTGCGAGAGTTCCCGTAGGAAATTGCGATCATATTGTCTGCACCCATGCCACATGAATAGCACTGATGGCGGGATAGAGCTCCCTTGACCCGCAGCCGAATGAACAGCTCACGCACCCTACATACGGATCTTCGGGGACAACCGACTGGCATCCGAATCAGACCAGCCAACGAATGCCCCATGAGTTCATTCAGCAATTTGTGTACAGCGATAGTCAATATGGATCGGTGCGGAGGTCTGTCCGGATTATCTTCCAATGCATGTCGCTAATTGCTTTGGCAGCAGCCTCACCAAAATTATGGCGCCGGTCCATCGACGTTCTTTCCAAGCCATGACCACATGCAACCGAATGGTGAATACCAGTCTTTGGCTGGCAATGCAAGCTCTTCACAGGTACACGCTGGAGGATATACACAGCAACATCCTCCAGGTTCACATTCGGGCTTCGCCTTGGGCTCTCAGCATTCACAGCTTCCCGTTAATAATATAGAGGCAACCATGGCGCAGAGTCATCTTTCAAGCATACACGCGGTCCCTCCGCCCGAGCCTCAATGGCATCCCAGTCAACAGCCTTTGGTGTCAAATGCCCCAACCGAATCGGTGTCGACGGGTTTCGGTTCAACTACTTCACAGCCAATCTACCGAAGCTACCCAACTCCACACACCGTTGGAGCCTCTCCAAGGGAATTCGCTTCGCGATCATCACAATCTTCGAACCCGTCGCGTTCTGGGAGTGACTTTGCCTTCAGCCGGGAAAATAGCCAATCAATGCACGGATCGCTACCGATGCACTTACCCCGTGAGACTGAGAATATTCCAACTGGGGCTGCACAATCAATGTCCCGAACCCATTCACAGCAAGCTAGTATATTGCCGCCGCATGCAAACCATGGCCCAGGATCTGTCACACAATCTCCTCATGGCTACCAGCCACAGCCACAGCCACCAACTTCGCATAGTCAATATCAAGCCACCGACCTGTCACGAGCCCAGTCAGGGACGGCCTACAATTCCGCTGAGTATTCCGCGCCCGAGCTTCAAAGTGGCGTCCCGAACTACCAGAATCCTCTTGTGCAAGCAGGCATGCATCAGTATCTGCCCTCTCCGCAACGGATACATTACAAGCAAGCGGCCGATCCTATGGTAGGACCAGGGCAGCCCTCGCAAAGTGAGATACCGCCTGGATATCCAAATCAATGGGAGACTTCGGCTTCCACCGCTGTGCGCTCAGCAGCATCCGATCCCCAGTTTGTAAGTGGTCCCTGGGCATCGACGCCACCTACTGCTGGACCGCCGCAACCACCTCGTTACGAATAAGAACACTCTCTACGTTGGATTTATAAATGAGAGAATTTGAATGTGTTGGCGGACTAGCAATGCTCTCTATCTCCTGCCTATTTACCTTTTTCGATATATTCCCTTCCGGATTCCCTTCAGTGCGTATGTTGTTATCTCACTGCTTTATGCCCCTTGTTCTTGTTCAAGCACCATAGTAGTATTCTATGCATGCAGGATTGACCATCCAACTGTCAAATAAACCAATGCCTCCCGGGTCGGTGCCAAAGCAATGAAATAGGCTCCAATTGTATGCCCGTACTATGTAGTATTAGGGATATTACTAGTTGTGTGTTGGTGCCTGAGGTCAGGCTAGAACGACCGTGCTCTTTAGGATGATGTTCTTTCCCCCAGTGCAGTCAGTGGTGAGTGGGTTTCCGCCAGGTGCCATTTTCCCATCCACTGGACCTGCTCTCTCCTGCTTCTCTGCTCTCCTGCTCTCCCGCTTTCACTTCTCACCCTTTCAACTTCACACCAATATCCCTCCTCTTTCCTGGACTTTTCTCCAACCTTGCTCCAACCTTGCTCGAGTCCAAAAGGGCATTCCATCCAACACTGATCGGTTGATACAAGTTTTGAGAGGCTTCTGCTGTTCAGCTCTTCATAATGACCATTACCTGGAACGCGGAAGCTGACGCCAAGGTATGTACCACTTGAGCCTACATGCCCTATCCCCTACCTCTCTCCAATCTTACATTCTCTCAAGAATGAGTTCGAATTTATGGCACTGACAATTTCAGCTCCTGGTTGGCATCATTACTACCAGCAACACGGCCATCGACTTTGAAAAAGTCGCCGAGTTTATGGGTCAAGGCAAGTATCCTCCTACTGTGTTTCTTCCCAAATAAACCTCGCTTCGAGAATTGTTGCAAAGACAACTTGGCTGATTAGTCTGAAAAGACTGCACCGTTAGCGCCCTGAAGCACAGAATTCAGCGTATCAAGGAAAAGGCTGGTCTCACGAGCTCGAAGAGTGCCATCCCAAAGTCACCGTCCACACCCAAGACCAAGCGATCCACCCCCAGGAAGGCAACCAAGAGCACTCCCAAAAACACTCCCAAGCGCAATTCCGCCGCCCTCAAGAATACCGAACAGACCGACGAACAGATTGTCAAGTCTGAGCCTGAGCCTGAGAAGTTCGATCATGACGGATATCTTGCGTGAGCTTCCCTTCGCTCATCCCGACCAGAGCTGGCAGGCAGCTTAGCTTGGTACTTTTTACCAGTAGGAGTGCTTTATGGGGATCATGCTATTTTTTTCTTTTCTTACTTTGAGGATCTTTGTGTGAGATTAACTCACTTGATTTTATGGGACATGCTAGTTTGCTTGAACATGGACTCGGTCAGGCTTTTTTTAAGTGGGGGGGTTTCGGAATTTTGAGGGGAACTGCACATTGCGTATGGAAGCAGGTCGGTGGGCAATATCAAAGGATATCTAGCAACTTTACGAAGCATTTGATCCCCGGTTCTATTTTCCACTCCGGCTTTTAGCTGCTCATCGGCTCATCAAACGCTCTATTCAGTAAACATCGCGCCGGGCCGCAACCGGCCGAGAAAGGTGTGTCTGGGGGTTTTGATCTCATTTTTTGTGGGTTTTGATAGATGGTAAAATCGCCCAAAATCGAAAAAGAAGCTTGTTCCATCCTTCATATTGTGCCCTTGTAAACGCCGCCCACTCGCTTCTAAACAGAAAAAGTTGTGAGTAAAATGCTTTGCCTGGTTGAAACCCCGTTAGAGAAACCACCTTGACTTGCAAAGACCGAGGAGAAGCATGGGGTACTTACGCATTAGAAGATTCCGTTTCCCATGAAAAAAAAGTTGAATCGGAGAAATAAAGAAAATAGCAGGAAAGTTTCGTGGACGGGTGGTCTCCCCAGACCCCGTAATATCATCGCAATGCAGGAATCACTCTTCTGGGTTCAAGGTAGGGACTGGGAACTTAGGCCTCAACATCGAGATCCGACCAGGGACTGGGACCTCCAACAGCTTCGACGTCGCTCTCGTCTACGTCGGCCTCTTCGGTTTTGACTGCAGCCTCCTCGGTTTTGATTGCGGCATCCTCGGTTTTGACACTGGCCTCCTCAGGGATCTCTTCATCCTCGTCAGTGGATTCGACCTTGATAGGGGACTCGACTTTGACGGAAGCCTCTTCCTTCTTCTTTCGGCTCTTTCGAGCCAGAGTCGATCCCTTGGGGGTCTTGGCGACCTTGTTGCGTGGACGCTTAGCTGGGGTCGAGGGTCCGGCCAGAATACTCGCGGACGACGTCTTTGAGATCTCCTTGATCTTTGCTATTCTCTCTTTAATAGCTCGGGCAGTCGGTCGCGACTCCTCATCTCCCGCTATAATGGCGGTTAGCGACCAGGTCCTTTTGAAAGTGAGGTTTATTTTCCATTTTGGCGAAGACAGGGTAACTCACGCCACAGGGTAGCCATCTTTGCGGTATCGACACTGAAATCATGTGCTTCGATCATCTTCGCGAGGAGCTAGTTGAAGAAATGTCAGCCTACTTTGCATGCTGGAGAGGTCTTGAATAACAGGTGAAGGATTATTGACTTCGACTCGTGAAAGAAAGTGACTGGTTCTCGCCCAAATCTGAGGTTGAAATGAAAGGGATTGGATGGACTTACTATCTGGTCATTCTCAGCCGTCCAGCGCACTTTTGCCGGCATGGTCGCGGTGTTGCAAGGCTGTGGCCCAGCTGTAGACGTGACTAGTAGCGCGTTGTATGGAAATATCCGGGTTGAAGGTTGAGGCAGGGTGAGGTGAGGAAGATTGGAAAAGATGAAGATGAAGAAGATAAAGAAGATGAAGGAGAAGTAGGAGAAGTAGGAGGAGGAAGGAACACGACGAAAGAGACGGAATAGTAGAAGGAGAGAGAGGTTGAAGAAGAGCAAATAGTTGTGACGGAGTGTTGGAGTGTTGATAGCAGCGGATATTTTCGGACTGGGAATGGCAGGAACAGCAGGAACACCACCGGTTAAAATGTCTTGAAGTAGCTAGGTGTCTGGCTCAGATCAATAACGCCAGAAAAGTTGTTCCAGCAAGCCCAAAAATCGGGAGAAGTCAAGTTCAGTACGAAAGACTGTGGAACAAAATTGCAAAGATCTTGTCAACAATTGACCCTCTCTGTATGGGCTTAGCAACGATGCCCAGGCCGTGGATGCACAACCATTGGGCGTGACTACCCTTCTGACGTGAACTAAATTCACGGCAATTTGAAAAGCCGCCCGCTTCCAATGATCAACGAAACTTATGGTTTTAATCGTCAAATCGAACTGCCAAGGCCACATGGTAAAACTTTATCGAACTCTATCCTCAAATACAAATTATAATCAATAGATGAAAATTCGTAATACACTTTGTAAGCAGATAAGAATAATAGGTACCGGACTGTATTCCAATTTGAAGATTTTAAGCTTAATTCTAAGCTTAAATTTTTGGAAGTCAAGTCCTAAGCATATTCACTCAGGTGGTACCGGGTTCGGGTTCAAATTAGGGTTAGGAATTTTGAAAATTTTGAGAAGTCTGAAAATTCTTAAGCCAGGCTCTATCTTTATTAACACTTGTCACCTTAGAAGTTAGAATAAGAGCTCCACCTCTCTCCATTGAATTCAATTTTCTGTTTTGGGACGCGTCTTTCACACTGGCACATAGTTACCTCTAACCACACATGATGCTCAATATTAGTGTGGCCAAAACTACAGCGGACTCGGAAGAATCAATATTGACTCAAGATATTTAATTCTAGGCTAACAAAACACATCCAGAAAATATGCCCGATTAAAAGATTGGTGGCGACACATTCAGCATTCATTCTTCGTTCGACGATGTTCTCTCTTCGGCCTTGGGGGTGCAGACTTCCTGCTTGGTCGCCTTATCGGGCAATACCTCATTTTTAAGATCGATGAGTTCAGTTTCCTGCTCAAACTCTATCTGTGATATCTCAGACGAATCCTGTTCATCCAGAGGTGCGTGGAGCCCCCAGTTAATGGCAGGGGCATCATCGGAAGTCGACTGAGTCATGACCCCGCTATGGATGCTGAAATCCTGTGAGGGGGCAAATTGCGAGTATGAAGGAGTGCCAAAAGATCCAATAATTGAGCCAAGCACTCCATGTCCCGGTGACATTACTCCATTTCCAACATTAATAGGAATTCCATGGTGGATATACGAAGGCACATACGGGTATTGTATGCCAGAAGATGCCATCATTGGGGAAAATTGAAAGAGATCTGACACGTCGGAAAGGCTTTGGCTGTTTTGAAGTTTCTGGCTTCCATGCTCGTGCTTCACAAATGGACCTGGCTGAGACATGTAGTCCGGTGATTCCAGTTTTGGGACAAGTCCGGGGTAAACCTGCGCGAATGGCATTTGGGAATTGCCCTTGACATCTCCTTTTGCACCTTTTTTTTGGCCCCTCCTTCTGGGAGCTCGCTGGGCCGTGTTCGGGCCGTCCATTTGTGAGCGAAATCTGGAGTAACGCATTCTAGCAGCGTGGCCGTTGGAAATTTCGAGATCCTGTGCAACTTTGTTCCAGTCAATCTAATACAAGACATGAAGGTTCAGTCAGCAGATCTATACTATGCAAAATAAAAGAGGACCTACGAGCTTAAGATCAAGTTGTTTAATCATGGAGTAGAGAAACTTGGGAGTCGTGCCTTCCGTGTCCAGTACTTTTGTCCGTTGAACCATGGTCAGATTTTTGAGGATGAACTTAAATTTCACTACTAGTAGTTTTTCAGGAGTTGGAGCTCAGGTTCAGCCTAAAGATATCGGTGAGTGCTGCACCCTTTGTGAACATGATTGAGCTGATATATAGGAGTTTTCTGTGGGTGAATAGATGGAAACAAAGCAGTTAATATGGAGTAAATGAGTGTTAGCAAATTGAAATATCAGAGAAAGACACGCTGGGGTATAACTAACGCTGTTTGCCTATTTTTCTTTATTTTCAAAGTACTGCTCATTAAAACTGGAGGATATGAAAAGGATTTGCCCTACACTCGTACAGAAAATCCGGGAATATGCTCTAGCCCTACCAAGATTGTATTTCTGAAGCTTTGACTCTCAAGGAGCAATGAGCAAAATGCCCTTTGTTTTAGTATCCGAAAAGCTCGGTTGTAAGATTAAGCTATTAGAAATGATTGATAATTAAGGATAATATTACTAAAACCCAACACTCGCCATTTTTCTCTATTCCGCGGAAGGCATGGAATAGTACAAATTCGGCCAATCCAAATTGCTACGAGAGGCTTTCTTTGTAAAGAAAGTTTCTTATTTCTTCCTGGTCCCTGGAGCACAGAGGAGATCTATCTAGGAGTCTAGGACGCCAAGGATAATTTAATGGACTTGCCACTGGGCACAAACAAGACAGTCTCTACTCTCTTGCCATCTAGGTGGTTTCCTTGTGGCGGTAGTCATAGCAAACAGCAGCATGACTAATCTGCCCCTCTTCAAGTTCATGGGCGTTTAATCTAAGGTTGGCCAGACCTCCTCTGGCAGTTTCTCGGGATCGCCGATGCACTTGGAGGAATTTCACTGCTTCCAAAAAACACAAAGGAACGAGAGCATGTCAATTGTCGCAGTCGGTGCTCTCTATGTGGACACTATTCTGACGTACGCCCCTGGGCCTACCCAGCCCCTGTTTAAGGAGCTGTGAAGGGTTAGAAGTATGTCACTGACATGGTCACAGAACTCCACATTGCCCTGAAGAAGATGAAAAATTACGTGCATCACACGTTTCCATAAGGCGAGGTGGGAACTGTCCCAATACCCTCGAAGTGCTACAGCAGCTAGCAAATACGGCATCCGAACATCTTCCGTTAAATTTAGTTACGGTGCTCCCAGCGAAATCGTCCACAGTCTGCCAGAAGATTACGTCCGAGTTAGAACAGTATGTCAATATGCAGCATTGTATTTATCGGGAGGAATTTAGCGAACCGGCTTCGAGTTACATCATCAAAAGCCAGTCAACTGGTAGCCGAACGATTGTGAACTATAATGAGCTTCCTGACATGACTGTGGATGAATTCATTCATTCTGCAAGTAAATTAGCTCCTGGGACGGCCTGGTTTCATTTTGAGGTACGTTTCAGACGAGCGATCCATCTGGTTCCTTTACTATAGGACAGAAGATCTCATGTCGATATCGCTATTGATTTCTAACAACATTCAAGGGTAGGACTCCGGATGTGATTCTTGCCTGCATATGCTATATACGAAAGAATTTCCCTTCTGTTCGTGTCAGTGTTGAGGTCGAGAAACCCGGTCGGGTAGGCCTTCAGGAGTTGGCAAAGGCAGCAAATGTGGTGTTCTATTCAAAATCATGGGCAACTGTCAGTAAAGCATATTCATTCGACACCCTCTTCCGGAAGCCTTTGCTAAAATTTCGCAAAGGTTAAAGGATATTCATCTGCAGAGGCATGTTTGCTGGAGCAATCCACACAGGCACCCAATGCGTAATTATCAACTCGGCCCCTACAATGCAATCAATGCATACTAATATGATAGGACGATTGCCAGATCGCTACTCTGCTGTACATGGGGGAAAGATGGTGCTTGCGCTCTTGAACAAGCCACAGGGAAGTTCGTACATGCTCCAGCGTACACGGCAGAGAATTTTCAGGTTATCGAGTGAGTTATTGCCTTACCCTTGTATGAGATGAGTACCACTAAGATACATAACGGCAGCCCAATTGGCGCAGGAGACACGTTTATTGCTGGAATGCTGTATGCGATGAATTGTAAAGAAAAGGAATGGGATATTTCACAAAAGCTCAAGTTCGCAAATCGCTTGGCAGGTATCAAGGTATCCCAGGAAGGGTTTTCAGGACTAGGTCGAGCAATACTGCCATAAAAAGAAAATTTACTGTGATCAGTTGTCGTCTGAAGGATAAACTCAGAAAAGAAATACTGGAGGTTGCTTTTTTAGAAAATTCGGTGTGGTTGGTTGGACGAGGGCGGGATATCGGTCATGTGATCTTTCATAAATGGGCGGTGAAGAACTAAAAATTATTCTGCCATTTCCCATGGTAACTTTTTTCGGCGGCAGCTTCTTGATCTTCCAGCCTCACTCATTGATAATTGCAACTCACAATGGCGGCCGTCTACAAAACCGTTTCAAAGCAGAAGGCCCGGCAGCCTGTCGAGGACCTAGACGACGAGATGGGTATGGAGATCGAGGAGCTCCTGAACGATGCGGACGACACCACCGACAGCGAAGAGGATGAAGAAGAAGAGGACCGTATCGCTGCGGCGAAGAAGCAGCTTGCTCAAGGATTTATGCCCAAGACGCGGGTACTTATTTTGACATCGCGCGGTGTCTCATCCCGGTAAGTTCTGAAAGTTAATCTGCTGGTAATCATGATGATAATGCTAATCTGTCGCAATTAATTTGATAGTCACCGACACCTCATGGCAGATCTCTGCGCACTCCTCCCGCACACTCACAAGGAGACTAAGCTTGACACCAAGAAAAAGACAGCCGGTTACAACCTTTTGCTGAACTCTCTGGCCGACCTGCACTCCTGCAACATGATTTTCTTCCTCGAGGCTCGTAAGAACGGTCAAGATCTTTACCTCTGGCTCGCACGCCCGCCAAACGGCCCCACCATCAAGTTCCACCTGAACAACCTACACACCATGGCGGAACTTGGTGCTGGGTTTGCGGGCAACTGTCTGAAGGGCGGTAGAGGCCTTGTGGTATTCGACCGGTCATTCGACGAGCAAGGCCCGGACATGGGCGCCGGCGCCCCGGGTAACGAGTATCGTTCTCTGGTCCGTGAGATGCTGCGCGGAATTTTCTGCGTTCCCAAGCGGGGTGTGAAGGGTATGAAGCCGTTCGTGGACCGCATCATCGGCATCTTCGGTGTGGATGGCAAGATCTGGATTCGTATCTATGAGATCCGTGAGTCAGAGAGTGGTGGCGCGAAGAAGGAAGGCGAGGCGACTGTTAAGCCTGTTCCAAAGGGCAAGGACGCCGGTCTTCCAGAGGTCTCCTTGGTGGAGATTGGACCTCGTTTCGTCCTGACCCCCATTGTGATCTTGGAGGGCAGCTTCGGTGGCCCCGTCATCTATGAGAACAAGGAGTACGTTAGCCCGAACCAGGTTCGTCGCGAGATTCGGTTGGGCAAGGCTGGCCGGTACGCGGCGCGCAGGGACACACAAACCGATCGGGTGGCCAAGCGGACGGATCTGGGATTGACCGACAACTCTTCGCGGAAGCCCAATGCTCTAGGTGTACGCGAACTCTTCGCATAAGAGTTTCCTGGTTTTTTTGGGTGCCGCATGCTCCCTGCAGCACTTTCCCTCTGGATATTTCGACTACATGTATATTTGATGCGACGATATCATGGTCTTCTCAGGCGTCAAGGTCAAGTCTTCTAGTGATTAATTTCAAAAGTATCTGGCATTTTATAACAACCCATTTTGCATCAATGTTTGTGTTGGAAAAAATATATGTAGTTGCATATCAAGATACTAGCAATTCCCTAGATGACCTTCTAACTCGCTATAGATTGGCATAGATCTACCGCTTGGCTTTGCCCAGCTTTCTAGTGTGCCCAGGTGAGTTGTAAGGCCCATCCAACAAGGTACAATTTCAAGTTCGTCAATCTGACGATGGTTACTTTAGGTCCCCCTCGAAGACCTCATGCTCGTAGTCGCCCCCTAGCGGAGAAGCACATTCCCCAAGTGGAGCTGCAGGTGGACCCAAAGCGTCGTGGCAGGATCTGGACCACAGATATTACAGTTTGACAGGACCTGTCTGTAGAGGCGGGAAATTCTATTGTTGGGGAATTTGAATATACTGAATTTCCAAAGGATACATAACCACTTAGCCTTAAGTGACGCCCAACCAAATTCATTGCACCAGCGACCGCAGAGCACCAGCAAGAGGGGAAACAGATCAAAATCAGGTCTGGTGGAAGCATCAATTTCGTGGGGGACCACACAGAATAACTAAACAAAGACACGAGAAGCAAAGGGCAAAGAAAACGCGAAGCTCCGACTATCGGGAGATATGTCTGATTCGACACTCCATCTTCCCATGTGTTCTACCAGATCCCGCCTGTGCATTCGTCTTCGCGTCAAATTACAGAATCCATCAAAGACCCCGGCCATTTCAAAATCACGATGTAAAAGAAGAAGAGTCGTTGCGATCGGTCTGACCTCCCGAACCATCTAGCAGCATCCCTGCTTCTGGTCATTTTCCTGCGGGGTGAAGTCGATCGTACGGCCTTGGCCGGGCTGGTTCAAGGTCGAGTCGCCCGAGTCAAGAGCCTTGCTGGAGACGATACGGTAGATTTCTGACCGTCGAGTTAGTGTGCTGCCTAGAACCATGTCTTTGCGCGCCAGGGTAACTCACCTGTGAGGATGTTTTGGAAAGCAAGTTCGACGTTGCTGGCGTCAAGGGCGGAGGTTTCGATGAAAGAAAGGTTGTTCTCGCCTGTTCGTTGTCAGCAACCTAACCCATGACGCCACGGCTCCTCCAGGGGATGTAAACGTACTGGCAAACTGCTTGGCCTCCTCGGTGGGAACAGCACGCAGGTGCCTCAAATCACTCTTGTTACCGACAAGCATAATCACAATGTTGGAGTCGGCATGATCCCGCAGTTCCTTCAACCACCGGTTGACATTTTCGTAGGTCTGGTGCTTGCTGATATCATAGACAAGAAGGGCACCGACAGCGCCACGGTAGTAAGCAGAGGTGATCGCACGGTAGCGCTCCTGACCAGCAGTATCCCAGATCTGTGCCTTGATTGTCTTGGAGTCGACCTGGATCGAGCGAGTCGCAAACTCCACGCCGATTGTGGACTTGGAGTCCAGGTTGAATTCGTTGCGGGTGAATCGACTCAGCAGGTTGGATTTACCAACACCAGAGTCTCCGATCAACACCACTATCCAGTTGTCAATACTATGGTTTATCGTGTATGGATCGCAAACTATTGGAGGGGGTCGCCCGAAGGACACGAAGTGGCGGAGCGGAGGAGATGCGGCAACCGCACGAGACAACGTTACCTTTGAAGAGAAACTGAAGGCAAGTTAGTTATATTGGCGGACCGGTCGAGTAAATCAAGGAACTTACATCGTATTCGTCGTTGGCCATTTTGAGATGAGAGAAAGAAAGACGTGGGGGAGGAAAGAAAAAACAACTGGGGGGGGGTAGGGTGTTAAACGGCAGCGATAGGGAGAGGGTGATTGATGCCTCGCAGGTGGAGTCCCACTGCCTCCTTTAACGGAAATTGCTCCCTTCACTGCATCAGATTTGTTATCACCACTATCCTGCTTATGTAATCCCTCCACACCCCAAATAGTCATTCATGCTGGCGGGCAACCATGGCAAAACATAAGGTAGATATCGACTCTGCTCTCTCCGTACCCTGCTGTCTGCCCTTGGACCTTGGTTTCCCAAAATCGAAATTGTCCCACAATAGATCCATGGAGATCAGATAATTGTGGCCAAAGGGCGGTCACTTTACTTCTTCTCTCACTCGCAGACACACAACACTTCAACCAAAAATTGGCACTATCCCCAAGACCCCAGCACTTCTGCATCCAAGACCCCCGAGTATCACGGTCTCCTAGTTTCATGGAAAGGATCCCTCCTTGTCTAATGTATGGCTCAATCAACTGGATCGGGCTAGCGAACGACTGAAACCATGGCATCTGACATTGAGATGGGAGATGACGGCTCTAACCAGCAGTCAGATGTTGACTCTCTCAAATCAACTGCCCCCAGTGAGCCAGCTGATGAGTATGATGTTGAAGAAATTCTGGCTGAGAGGAAATTTCGCGGGAAAACACAATATCTTGTCAAATGGCTAGGATATCCGATGCATCGGTCAGACTGGGAGCCCAGGGTCAACTTGGACGCGCCAGAGATACTTGCCAAATGGGCTCGGGCAAAGGTTGAAATCAAAGCAAAAAAAAGAAAACCTTTTGATGTTGACGCATTTGAAGAGGATTTGAAACGTCGCGAGGATGAAACGAAGGCACGCAAGAAATCCCGGCAAGCTCGCCGAATTCAAAGAGATAAGAGACTGAAAAGCATCATCAAATGGTCTGATGATGACGACTCAAATCACTGTGCGCAAGACCCGCAAGGCGGCGAAGGTGTCGATGATATTGATGACTTGTTTGTTTCCGCCAGCAGCAAAGATGAATCATCTTCATCTTGCGAGGGTTCCCCGGCCAAAAGTCCTGATGCTACTTCCATCACCTCGGGTCAACCCCCCCACTGGAACCGCCGAAACTCCCATCAATATTACTGAAACCCCAGCAACCAAACCAAGATCTTCTGTCGGTGCTACTCGGGCCTCTCCAGAACGTATCCAAGCTACCACCGGTGTTTCTCAAGCTCCCATCTATCCCACCCAGGATCTTCAAGGTAGACCGAAAGCTTCCCTCGGTGTCAGCCAGGCCCCCCAAAAAACCATTCAACCTGCGGCCGCTACTTTTCAATCTGTTCGAAACTCCACGCAGCCCACCCACTCTCCCAATTCCAACTCCAAGGCATCGCAAGGAGCTGCTCGCAAGACCTCAGCTTCGATGAAATTATCGTCGAATGGGACCAAAAAGATCAATCCTCACCCTCCATCGAATCTTCCTGGGTTTGGAAATGCGAGTCTCGCTCCTGGTGCCAGGAACGCGGCTCATCATGTCAATACTAAATGGCTTGGGCGGGGATCAAGATGGGGAAGGGATCGAGCTCCAGATGCGAGCGAGCTACAACTTTTGAAGCCAGCCGAGTTCACCCCATTGAAGAATCCACAAGTGAAACCCCCCCCCCCAATCACCACACAATTCGCGAGTGAACAGTCAAGTAGATTGGGAGATATGACACCGGGAAATCCTAACCCTTCAAGCACACGCCCTACCGACTCACAGCAGTTACCTACGACGGATAACCCCATGGCCACTTGTTTACCATGGCCTGACCACGCCCCGCGGAATCCTAGATCCATGGATCCGGACATCGGAGTTCCTCGTCTATCTGGCCAGGCAGTCGGTCGAGATTTCTCTTCTCGGGTCAGTAATCCTTCACGTCCCGTTCCTGAGAATCATGGATCTCTTGGGCAATTACCTACAAGGCGATCAATACAGGGCCTCAATCGGCCATTTGGAACTGGTCCGTTAGAAACACAACTGCGGCGGGACCCTTATCGGCAATCAGATCACCTGTGGAATCGATCGAAGGTGTATCACAATCGGTCCCCATCCCCGCCATCCTCGCCATCCCGCAAGATGCCAGCGCAAGCTGATGACTTCCGCCGCAACTCGATACCCACTCGAACCCCCACATCAGGAGCTCACACCAAGTCACATCGGATGAATCCCCGAGATGAGCCCCCGTCAGCTGCAGCTAGATCGGGGCATGCGCTCAATGAAATCGAAATCTCCGAAAAAGAGGAACTCTCGCGAATGCCGGTTAGCATACGAAACCCCGGATTCACACGGTCCACGGGGGGGCTCTTCCTCACGGTCACTTCTGGAACCCAGGAGAGGTATATGCGCACGTGTTTTATGGGCCTGATAAGACACCTGTCGGTGCAGTCAGATTATGCGGCATATCTTTCGAGGCAAGAAGGGACCTTACCAATTCCAGGGCGGAAAACAGCATTTGGTGTGAAATGTGGTTCAAGGATCTATGCAATGAGGATCAATACGCCGAATTGTGCCAAAAGGTAATAGTATACTTTTCAAAGCATCTAATACAGATACTAATATCCATGCAGGCTTCGAGAAATTCTGCCTTCGGCAACTGTTGGATGGAAGGCTTTCAGGATACCAATCCGGGACTCCTCCGCATGGCTCATTATCTACGTCGGAAAAATGTTATGGCCATCTTTTATCCTCAGGACCCAAAGGGAGATGTTTGGCTTGCGTTCTCTCGCGCGTCTCCTGACTTCGACTTTCTCGATCTCAAGTTGGATACTCAAAAAGTCCCAAATGGCACACCTCTTCTTTTGTCTGTGCGTGCGGCGTTACCCCCATTCTCTTCACTGCCAGCTTTTGAAGATACGCCGAACGACATGGGTGCGCTGATTTCTGATGATCCTTTCGCTGGAGTCGAAAAATCTACCGATTCTACGCCTCATATTCAGCAAGTCACAAATGTACCACAAAGTCAGGAAACGGGTGCCCTGGCCGCTTCAATGTTGACCAACCAAGACAAAGAAGGAATTGTCAAAAGTTTCTTTGCATCCACTCTCAAAACCAGTATTAATGACTTAAACAGGCTAAGCGATTCTTCAACAGCGGAGAATTTCTTTCTTTTCTTTCCTCCGGAAGAGGGAGAAGAATTTCAGATCATGCAGAGATGGCTGTCCTGGAATAATATGACCGTCTACTCTAATCGAGACAACAATGGCTGGTCCAGATTTATGGACAATGGCAAACGAGGCGTTGTCATTGTACGTTATCCTTGCACTTGTTCCTTGCTCCTAGGATGGGTTTACTAACACATCATAGTTTCATGAGTCTTTCTCCGAAATTCACTCACAATGCCCGGGAATTGCTAAACTCATGATGGGCGAAGTATTCAACTTCTGGAGCGTCCGTCTATATCGCAAACTTGAGTGGCCGGACCCTCACGGCCTTTGCACAAATGACCATTTCCAACCCCTGTTCCCCAGAGGGGGCTTGATCTTACTCGCCGAGGACATCTTCCAAGATCTGAAAAAAACCACTATTCTCATATACTGGTTTCTCCATTTTCCCCAAAGAAAGGATTGGAAGCTTGTCCTTCCCCCAGACGCCTGGAAACGCCTGCAAGGACAACTTCAGCAGGCAAAAGACGACGAGGAAACCAAGTTTTTGTTATCCATTATCGTCTCAATCAAGAAAATCAATTCGATTGACGAGAGATATCCCTACTTTCAGGAAAACAGCCTACGCCCCAGCGAGATGCATGAACCGAACAGCAACATTGTTTCTCTTCCCATAGCGGGTTATGGTTCCCGCTCCGAGGATGACTACCCGGCGATCCCGAAGGGCCTTTCGCAACAAGAGCGAGATATGGATCATCTAGCCGAAGCGTTTGCAGGTTGGACGCTAACAAAATCAGCTTGCTTTCGGCGAATGATCATTCTTTCATCTGTGCAATCACCACCTCTACGAGAGCGCTGGCGAAGTTGGGGCCATATCATTCTTTTGGAGTCTGATGATTTCTTCACAAAATTCAAAGTTCGCGAGCATGTGATCATGGAAAGCCTTCTTAAAGAAAGACGATTAAGCCAAACCGCAAATTCCCCTGCAGAGACGACCCCAGGTACCCCAGCAACCCCAGCGGATCCTCCAGTCGATGCCGATCCAAGCGACTCCTGGAAGCGGCCCTCCGAAATTCGTCAATCCGGCTCATACAGATGATCTATAAGTTTCATCTAATTTCTGCCCGGCCTTTCTTCCAGTCAAGCTAGACGCCTCCCAGCATTTATTTTTGCTTGCCCTCCAAGTACCCTAGCGTTAGACCATTTTATTAACAACCTAATGATTTGAATGAAAAGCCGATGAAGTTCCTATCAATCCACCAAGAACGAGACAGATGCAGTGTATACGTCGAATGCCTTCTTCTGTCAGTGGATCGAGACACAGCAGAGTGACAAGGTGTAATTACTTGGGTCTTTCGGAGATCCTTTGCTACTCAAAAGACCCCCACGCCTATGAACATACGGCTGCCAGTGCGTCCATTAAATACTAACAAATCCACTATCAACGATTGTCGCAAGAGACATCAACAATACTCAAATAACATAGTTTAGGCCTAGAGTTAAGTAGATCTCCAAAGTCCATTCCAAGTAGAATGTGATCAAGGTGAATTCGGTTGTTGAATCAGGCTCATAAAAGATATGCGAAGGACCGTATAAAAATAAGCTAAGCCACCCTTGAATACCCCATGTCGTCAAAAGAAGAAGAGGCCCCGCAAGGGCAGCAGTGTGGATGAATATCAAATTAACCTAGAGCCCGCTTCCGATACTCCTGAAAATTCGCTGCATGCTCGGAGCTATCATCGCCATCCAACTTTTCCTTCTTCTGCTTGGCTTTCTTGTCGGATCCTGTTTTCTCTTCCCATTTACTCTCTTCGGCGGATATCATTGCGTGAAATTTGCCACCTTGGCCGCGGGCGAGGTAAATCGGTTTCTCTTTGCGATCAGCCACCGCTTCAGTCACGAGAACAAATTTGACGCTTGATCCGGGTGCTTCAAACATGGGGTCGCTAAGGATAGTCTCCATTTCGGTGCGTAAGGCTCGGGCGCCAGTTCCCATTGTGAAGCCATTTGCTGCGATCTTATGTAACGCAGGTGTAGTGAATCGCAGCTCAATGCCAGAAAGTGAGAAGAGGGTAGCATACTGGGCCAGCAGGGAGTTACGGGGCTCGGTAAGAATACGCAGAAGCAAGGGTTGGGTCAATGTCGACAATGCGGCGGTGACGGGAATTCGCCCAATGAGCTCGGGGATGAACCCATAGGTTTGCAAGTCGGTAGGATTCAAGAGGTCCAATGCGTTGAAATAATTGGGCTCACTTCCTGGTCCGGAAGGAGATGCGGATGTGAAAAATGGGAGATGCTTCTTGTATAGTTCCTCCTCCTCGGAACCCGGGATAATCGGGAGAGGTTCCGTTGAGGAGGATACGGATGGGCCTGGCCGGTCGCTCGAACTTGGTGCTGCTCGAACGGGCTGGCCAAAACCCATTGACCCTTTGGATATCCGATCCATGACCACCTTGTGTAAACCCACAAAGGCGCCAGAGAAGATGAAGAGGATGTTGTCCGTACGCACATTATAAACTTCCCCTTTGGCAGCCGGTTGGTTGTTGTGGGGCTGGAATGGCGTGTTCCCCAAAGGGCTGTTGGATGGGTAGGAATTGGGTGGACTTGTCGAGCGAGGGTTCTTTTCTGGCTTTGCCTGAACCTGGACAGTTGTGCCTTCGATGATCTTCAAGAGCGCCTGTTGCACTCCTTCCCCGCCAACGTCTTTCCCATGGCTGACTTTAGCGGCGGCGATTTTATCGATTTCGTCCAGAACAATAATCCCGCGCTCGGCTTGTTCAACATCATAGTTCGCAGCCGCCAGCAGCCGGTGCACACACGTCTCGGCATCTTCACCAATGTAACCAGCCTGTGTAAACGGGGTGCAGTCAGAAATGCTGAAAGGAACCGACAATACTCGTGCAAGCGTCTTGGCCATAAGAGTCTTGCCGACGCCCGATGGTCCAAGAAGCAATATATTGGACTTGTCTAATTGTAGTGGCGAGTTGTCCACCAGCTCACCCCGATCTAAAGGTGTAGTCGCTTGACGGGATTTGGGGGTCGACGGAAGACCAACGGTACGCTGTTGACTAGGGAGCTCATCTATATTGGAAAGGGACGAGTCAGTCAGGCCATATTGATCGAATAGGTCGGCGACCAATACTGTGGAAACATACCGTCTAAGGGATGACTTTCAAAAGCCTCCCTCCGTTGACGCTTCGCCTGGAGCTCTTCTGCTTCTTCCTCTCGTCTTTGAAGCTCTTGCACCCTCTGATAATGATTATATACTGCCACACTTAACACTTTCTTTGCACGATCCTGTCCCACCACAAACTGGTCGAGATATTGCTTCAGAACCCTGGGGGTAATGCGGGGAGCACCAAAGGCCGGGGTCGAAGCCAACGGCCCGGTCGTCGGGAGACCAGGTTCATAGCTACCAGTAAATGGCTGGCTTGTAAAGTCCGACCTGTTGAATTGGGAGGCGGTTGGGAAACTTGTTGAGCTGGTGAGGAGGCGTCTTTCGCCGAGGGATGATAGTGCTGGCCGACATCGGTGTGATCGTACAGCCTCCCGACGAATCAAGGCTAGTGCCTGACGGTGCGAATGCCGCCACAGCATGTCCTGAAGACTGCAGAGCAGATATTGAGTCAAGAATGAACAAGAAATGTGCCGCAAAGTACGAGTTAGAGATGAGGAAGCGATGAGATCAGATAGGGAGCTTTCCCCGCAAGTGATCTTATCGGGCTGAGTCATGCGATGCGATGGGGCTGGGGTGCGCCTGCCCACTCGGCACGTTCGGCGTTCGCCCTTCGGTATATACAAAAGGCAGCTCCGGTGAAGTACCCGCATTACCGGTTTCCCTGGCGATTGTTTATGGGTATTATCCCTTATGATAGTACGGTACTAAATTTTTTTTCTTGATTGCATGGACCCATTTACCTCAAATTACGCCAAGGACCATATCGACACGAGTACCGTACAGTTACTGCGAATGATCTAGCACAAAATCACGCAAGGATCGGCGCTTCTGATACGAGCTGGTGCATATTTTTCCTTCATTGTGCGGTCCTCACATCGTCTGGATAACACTTTATTCTAGAATCCCTCTATCGGATTTCCTATTTGGGTCAATTTCGCGAGGTCCCGGGGTCTCCTTTTGCGTTTAGGCGCTGATGTCATTCAGCCCACGAATACGAACCTGATCTGCAATGCTAAGCCTTGGAAGCAATGTTTGTCTCAATGTGGTAATCTCGTATTGTTATTTCCCTGGTTAGAAACCTTGAATGATAAAATGAACTCGTATATAGCATTTCTCCAGGGCTGTCAGCTCCTTGGCAAAACACTGCCACCGAAGCCAAGTGTAGTATATATATTTCGACTCAAGAGGTTCCAAAGTTCAAGTTGGGGGTGGATCTGAAAACAAGTTCAACCATTCCGTCTAATCATACTCTAGCAAAATCATTCCCAACATGAAAATTTTGAATTGGAAAATTCAAGTTCTCTACTTCTCTTTCTCACTATCCGCGGCTGCCATTGTGGTGCCGGAGCCTCAACATTCAAGTTGTCGATGTCGGCCACATGAAAACTGCTGGCCCACGCAGCAGCAATGGTCGACGCTAAACAACACGATACACGGCAACTTGGTGGCTGTTCGACCCGTTGCATCAGTCTGTCATGCGATGGAATATGATGCAAAGGCATGTAATGCCACAACTGAGCTTTGGACAAACTCTGTCTGGCGTTCAGCCCAGCCAGGCGCTGGACAGTGGGAGAACTGGGAGGCATGGCCCGAGCATCATGAAACATGCTATATCGAATCACCACGGAACAGCAAATGTGGACAGGGTCGCATCTCCTTATACTCAGCCAAGGTTCAGACCAAATTCCATGTTCAAAAAGCCGTCCTGTTTGCAAAATCCCACAACCTAAGACTTGCGATCAAAAACACCGGCCACGACTTTTTGGGCCGGTCGACGGCGCCAGAGTCATTGCAGATCTTGACGCACGAAATGAAGGACATAAAAGTAGTGGAAGACTTCAGTCCTAAGGGTGCTCCCAATCGCAAAAGTGAGGGTCCTGCAGTGACTATGTCGGCCGGCGTGCAATTGCCTGAGCTGTATCTTGCGGTTGCAAAGCACAATAGAACGGTGATTGCAGGATCTTCACATACCGTGGGTGCTGCCGGTGGATATATACAAGGAGGTGGGCATAGTCCATTTGGTGCCTGGAAGGGTCTGGCATCAGACAATGCACTCGAGTTTGAGGTTGTGTCTGCCAATGTAAGTAGACTGTGTCCAATCAAAAACCCCGAAGTCATAGAACTGACCATTCGCATAGGGTACTATTGTCACCGCTAATTCATATCAAAACTCGGATCTCTTTTGGGCCTTGCGAGGTGGAGGTGGAGGAACATTTGGCGTCGTGACAAGTGCCACTGTCCGTACACACCCGGAGGCACCAGTTGTTGTATACAACTTCAACATTACCACCATCGGTGGTGATTCCAGGTTCTGGGACGCCTTCAGTGCATTCCATGCAGCTCTTCCATCACTCAATGATGCCAGGGGCTCTGGATACTATTTTGGACTCCCCAATTTGCCCATTGATCAGAATACCACGGTGTCCACCATTATTTCTTTGCTCATGTTCCCAGAGAAGACGGACGTGAACGAGATTGCCAAGTTATACGTGCCATTGAAGGCCAAGCTCAAGAAGATCGGAGGGGTCAAGGTTGATTCTATGCCAATTCCATTTCCAAGTGTCAACTCGACGATCTTTACAATCCTCCTCGCCGGGTCAGATACCGATAGTACTGGAAGCCTTAGCGCCCTGCTCGTCTCGCGATTATTCTCCAGGGATTTGATGCTATCAGATAGGGGTTTAGAACGGCTGACAGAGGCCTGGAAGAGCATCCGTTGGGATCCATTCTCTTCGTTCACCGGACATGTGGTTGCCGGTCCCGCTGTTGCTGCTAACAAAAATATCGACAGTGCCGTCAACCCAGCATGGCGGAAGACAGTGTCGCACATGTTATTTGGCAGAGGCTGGGATGAAAATGCCACCTTGACGCAGCAGAAGGCCATGATCAAGAATATGACCGATGTGGAGATTCCAATCCTGCGGTCGGTTGAAGGAGAGGACCAGATGGGCGCCTACGTGAACGAGGCGAATGGCTATGAACCTGGGTTCCAGAAAGCATTTTGGGGTGAGAATTATCATCGTCTATACAAAATCAAACAGAAATGGGATCCAAATGGCTTGTTCATTTCTCGCAAGGGTGTTGGCAGTGAGGACTGGGACGACGCCGGCCTGTGCAAGGTCAAAGCCTAGAACAGCAGCCAGGCACGTGGGCTTTTTAGAGTTGGATTGGAATGTTGTGGTATTTGAGTCAAATGTGGTGTTTATAATGTATTTTCTTTGATCTCTAGTTAATTGCAATGAATCTCGTTTTTCTACAACCTCACAGACAGACGAATACCCCTTTAATGTCGAATTTTATTTCATTTGTTTGTTGACCATATGGCAAATGTGTTCATATGGCTGTTCTATAGCCCGGAGGCGTTCCCCGCCAATAGAGGGAGTTTATTTTATACTCGTTAGCCAGTAATGTAAGGCCGGTTCAGAGAATGTGATATCGCGGTGTCCATTTCCAGGACACCTTCAGCTATCATGCAGCCTGTCTGCCCGGCAGCCTCGAGACGGGGACCGGGCCTATCCGCCATCTCATGCATTGTGGCCCACTTGGTAGCCCTTAGCCATCTATCATCTCGGGTCATGGATATCGTGCGAGTTGTGTGGGTGAGAGGAGGTGGCTGTCGGGTGTATGCGGTTGGGTTTGAAGTTTATGCATATTCTTTCACAGTTGCATCATTGATTCGTCTTGAAGACGGGTTGCTGTTCCATCGTTTGCGTGATGAAATTTCGTAGTGCTGACCATCGGTTCGCAGTGGGATTGGCATCGGCGGTGGTGTTCTCAGCTGCCAGTGCGGATTGAGTTGGTAGAGTGGACATCTGTGCCATGTTTTTCGCAAATCGGTCTCGCTCAACCCTCTCCAGCTTCTCCCGACGCTTCATGGCCCCGGGCTTATGACGGAGGGTATTTTGCTTGATGACATTGACTTGACTGACAGCATCATGGGAGTCATCGGCGGCATCTGGTAGGGCATCGGCGAGGGATTCAAGGTTGGCGACCAATTTTTTCGAGGCACGTCTGCGTTTTGGATTTTTGCTGGAACTCTTTGCGATCTTGGATATGAGGGTCGCACGCTTGATCTGCCGCTTATCTCTCTTGCTGGTTCGGAAATCATCCCCGGAGGGGGCAGGTCTGCCCGTGGTCTTTGCCTTCATGGTACGAAGTACCTGCAAGTGAGTATGACGAGAAAGAACCGGACGGAGGGCGAGTTGAAAAGGTGGAGCATGGGACAGCATGGGAGAACACTAGGGGGAAGACATGTGAGGATCAACACGGAAAATTGGCAAGTGCAGCGTGACCGCCTTCCACTTTGACTCACCCTGTGTCCAATCTTCCTCACGTTCTACCGAATTCACGCGGGAATCGACTTGAAAGATTCTCGCTGTGACGTGACCTTCGATCCACAATGGTCGGGTGAACCCTCTCCCTTCACCGGTGACATCAGAAATAACGCTGTTTCTCCAATTGTTGTGATCCCGATCTTTGTTCCTGTCACTCCTCATTGGAGGACCTGCCGTGAATGTTCTCCTCCCGTCTTTCTCTTCTCCGTTTTGGTTCTGGTTACAGGTCCACGCTGCCTCGGTCGCCGCTAGCCACCCGGTTCCAGACTCATTTGCCCCGGTTGCCCCCGTCGCCGCTGGTATCGCTGGTATCGCCGTCGGCTTCCCTAGCGTCCTTTAAATCTGCTCTCCCCGCCAGACCTTCCCCGTGCAGATCATTTTCAACTTCTATCGCCAACATGGGTTCCCTCGCTCCTTATCAGCGCAAGCACAAGATCACCGTGGTCGGCTCCGGTAACTGGTATGCTCCTTCTTCTCGTTGTTCCTGTTCCTGTCTTCTCCTTCTTTTGAAACCAGTGGTTGCGACTTGAGCCCGTTGGCCTACTCTCTTCTCCCATGCCCTGCTACTCGTCCGTTGGGATCGTTGAGATCGTGGTGACTAACGTTGGGATCTCACCCACAGGGGCTGCGCCATCGCCAAAATCGTTGCCGAGAATGCCGCTAGCAATCCGGACATCTTCGAGGAGACGGTAGAGATGTGGGTGTTTGAGGAGAATGTTGAGATCCCAAAGGACTCGCCAAACTTTGACCCCGCGAACCCCGGACCCCAGAAGTTGACCGAGGTGATCAATCGGGCCCACGAGAACGTCAAGTATCTGCCTGGCGTTGGGCTTCCTGTCAACCTGCATGCCAACCCGTCCCTGGAGGACGCGGTCAAGGACAGCACCATCCTCGTTTTCAATCTCCCCCACCAGTTTATCCTCAAGACCTGTGAATCCATCAAGGGTAAGATTCTGCCCTATGCCCGTGGTATCTCTTGTATCAAGGGTGTCGATGTCAACGAGCACGGTATCAACCTGTTCTCCGAGACTATCGGCAAGATTCTTGGCATCTACTGCGGTGCCCTGTCCGGCGCAAACATTGCCAACGAGGTGGCCAGAGAGAAGTGGTCCGAAACCACTGTCGCCTACGACCCTCCTCACCTGGACTCCAAGGCCCCCTCGCCCTCGGGCTCCCAAGTAAACCTGGTGGAGTTTGAGCACAAGGACGTCTCTGGCAACTTGTCCAATGTCAAGCTGCAAGCGCTGCCCTCGGACTACCCACCCATTGACCACAGCATCCTGAAGTCTCTCTTCCACCGCCCCTACTTCCATGTTCGGGTAGTGAATGACGTCGCCGGTGTTTCCATCAGTGGTGCCCTGAAGAACGTTGTCGCGCTGGCCGCTGGCTTCGTTGTGGGCATGGGCTGGGGTGACAACGCCAAGGCTGCCGTGATGCGCGTGGGTCTGATGGAGATGGTTCGATTTGGTGACAAGTTCTTCGGAGCCACCATTGACCAGCGGACATTTACCGATGAGAGTGCCGGTGTCGCTGATTTGATTACCAGCTCCAGCGGTGGCCGTAACTTCCGTTGCGCCAAGTACAGTGTTGAGCGCAACCAGTCTATCGAGCAGATCGAAAAGGATGAGCTCAACGGCCAGTCGCTGCAAGGTACCCTCACAGCTGCTGAGGTCAACAGCTTCTTGAAGAAGCAGGGCCAAGAGGAGGATTTCCCTCTATTTACTGCTGTCTACCGTAAGTCCCTTTTCCCCCTCCCATTCCCCTCTTGCATGTGAAGCCTTGTATACTTACAATTTTCGACAGGCATTCTGCAAGGAACTATGCAGGTCTCAGAGCTTCCTTCTTATATTGAGCGGTAAATGCTTTCTCATGGCGTCCCTTTTTCTTCGTATATGTTTTGTTAAATTGTGATTCCTTGACAGCCCTCCGGTGACGCGTGCCCCGACTTCTACTTCTACTTCTGATCAGGATGGTGAGGATGATGGTTCTCGGTTTGCTGCTCGGCTTTGATTACGAACTTTTTTTTTGGGGGGGGGGGAACGGGGTTTAAGCATGGGATTTTAGATAGATTTACGATTGTATTTATGCATCTAAACGAATTGGATATTACTGTTACGGGTATAGAATGGTGTGTGCAATTTTCTTGGTAGTTTCTTGGTCTGTTGGGGGGGGGTCCGAGCTCCCAAGGTTTTTGCTGGGTAGTTGGCCCGTCGTACCCCTGTCCTGTCAGAGCTGCAAGACGATGAACCGTGGAAGTAGTTGTAGCCGTAGTATGGCAATTAGCAAAATCATAATAATGGCAATTACCATGACCATGATAGAAATCAATCAATGACCCAAATCTGTGCTCAATCTCAACCTGTGTGGGGATGGCAGGTGTTCCCCGTGGGAGTCTCGACCCGGCGCTAAAAAATACCTGGCCAGGGCCCAAATGCATGATGTCATCTGGCGCGACAACGCCTGGTGAGGGGGAAACACTCAGCTTCCTCTTTTCTTCTGCAACCTCTTCTCGCGGCCTTTTCTTAGGCCATTCGCTCGCTGAACCCTCTCAGCGATTCACGGGGTAGCATTCTTCAGCTATTTCGCGGTGTGTCATTTTGACAACCAGCTCCAGCCCTGATTGTCGCCGAATTTCGATCATTCCACGACGATCATCATGGCCCCCCCCACGCCATGTCTATCTCTTGCCATTGAAGGATGATGGCTCGCCCGATGTACCTGGAGGATACATCTATCTCCCTCCTCCGACTGATGAAGGTTACCTCCTTCGTTTCATCATCGAGGGAACCAGCTCCATCTGCCGGCATGGAAGCCTGTGGGTCAACCTCCCTGAAGAAGGGAAGGACTTTGATCGCCATTCATTCCGTGAATTCAGGTATAGATAATCTCTCCGTATTTTAAATATTCTCGAAGAGAAAATATACTGATTGAGTGTAGACTGCAGCCGAATTTCAACCAGAACATTCAAATCGACATCCCAGTGACTCGTGCGGGTGCTTTTGCCTACTACACTACATTCTATCCATTGCCAGAGTTCTCGGTCGAAGATGTCCCCACTCCAGAGCCAACTAAAACTCCTCTTCACTACATAGACGTCTCGCCGAGACTGACTGTCCAAGGCAAGGATCTGCCCCTCAATGCTCTCTCCATCTTTTCGGTGATCTCCAAATTCATGGGCCAGTACCCCACCGACTGGGATAAGCATCTCAATGGAATCAGTCAACGGAACTACAACATGGTTCACTTCACACCTTTAATGGAGCGTGGTGCCTCCAATTCCCCCTACAGCATTTTCGATCAGCTATCATTCGATCCTGCCTTTTTCCCCAATGGGGAGGCCGATGTGGCATCGCTGGTCTCGCGGATGGAGACGGAGTACGGGCTATTGACTCTGACGGATGTCGTTTGGAACCACACGGCTCACAACAGCAAATGGCTGGAGGAACACCCCGAGGTAGGTTATAGTGTGGAGACCGCTCCTTGGTTGGAGTCTGCGCTCGAGTTGGATACTGCCCTATTGAAGTTTGGCGATAATCTCGAAAGTCTTGGACTACCGACAGAATTCAAAACTGCCGAAGACCTAACGGCTGTCATGAAGGTCCTGCGTAAACAGGCTATCGACGGGATTCGTCTGTGGGAATTTTATGCTATCGATGTCAAGGCCGATACCAAGAAGATCTTAGAAGCCTGGACTACCGGAAAGGTGGACCGGACCAGTCTGGAACATTCTGAGGTGCAATTGTTCAAGGACCTACCACCCAAGAAGCAAGCTCTGACAATTCGCGAACTCGGTATTCCAAACTCGAAGCAGGTTCTAGGAAGATTCGGCCGTTCCGTGGATGCAGCATTCGGTGCGTCTTTGCTCACAGTCCTTCACGGCGAGTACAACCAAGCCAGCTCGAACGTTGGCGAAGTCGAATCCTCCTTGTCGAAGATCCTTGACTCTGTCAACCTACCCCTCTACGAGGAATATGACACGGATGTTGCCGATATTATGGACCAACTGTTTAACCGCATCAAATACCTACGAATTGATGACCATGGTCCTAAAATGGGACCTGTGCACAAGGACAGCCCTCTCATCGAGACCTACTTCACCCGTCTTCCAGAAAACGAGGTTACCAAGCAACACAGTTCAAAATCCTTGGCACTGGCCAATAACGGATGGATCTGGAATGCCGATGCAATGCGTGACAACGCCGGGCCAGATTCTAAGGCCTACCTTCGTCGTGAGGTCATCGTTTGGGGTGATTGTGTCAAGCTCCGCTATGGAAACTCGCCCAAAGATAGCCCATTCCTTTGGGATTTTATGACTCGATACACCCGACTTATGGCCAAATACTTCACTGGATTCCGCATTGACAACTGCCACTCGACGCCTCTTGTCGTAGCTGAATATCTGCTAGACGAAGCTCGAAAGGTCCGACCAGACCTAACGGTATTCGCCGAACTATTTACGGGATCCGAAGAGGCCGATTATGTTTTCGTCAAGAGGCTCGGAATCAATGCCCTCATCCGGGAGGCCATGCAAGCCTGGAGCACCGCAGAATTGAGTCGTCTAGTCCACCGTCATGGAGGTCGCCCAATTGGTAGCTTTGACGTGGATTTGCCATCTGCTGGCAGCTCTCACGCCATTGCATCTGCGAAGAGTGGAGCTTCGGATGAAAGGATTACCCACATTCGGCCGTTGCCTGTTCAGGCCCTCTTCATGGACTGCACCCATGATAATGAAGTGCCGGCCCAGAAGCGAGATGTTAGGGATACTCTTCCCAACGCTGCTCTCGTTGCCATGTGTGCATCTGCCATCGGAAGTGTCATGGGATACGATGAGATTTACCCTAAACTTATTGACCTGGTCCATGAGACTCGACAATATGCATCTCCGTTCTCCGGGGATCACGAGCTGAAGGCAGGGGCTGGTGAAGGTGGCATTGGAGGTGTCAAGAAGATATTAAATGATCTTCACACCATGATGGGCGTTGAAGGCTACGATGAGACTCATATTCATCACGACGGGGAATACATCACCGTTCATCGTGTTCATCCCAAGACCCGAAAGGGAGTTTTCCTTATCGCTCATACGGCATTCCCAGGAAATAACAGCGGAGCTGTCTTGGCTCCGACTCACATCAGTGGTACCCAGGCCAAGCACCTCGGGTCATGGGTGCTGGATGCCGATGCCTCCGATGATGCTAAGGCTAAGGCTATGTCGGACGATAAACAGCTCAGAGGACTTCCCAGTCAGACACGTGATATCGAAGGCACTAAGATCGAAGGTGATAAAGATGATGTGACTGTGGCGGTCTTGGAAACTTTGGTGCCTGGATCCATTGCTTTGTTTGAGACCTGGATTCCTAGCGCCGAGCACGCAAAGGGGCTCGACAATTTTGTTTCTACTGGCGCCGATGAGGCATTCTCGGACCTAAGCTTGGTCGACTTGAACTTTGCTCTCTATCGCTGTGAAGCTGAAGAGAGAGACTCCAGTAATGGCCAGGACGGTGTCTACAGTATTCCCAATCACGGCGCACTTATCTATGCCGGTCTTCAGGGCTGGTGGAGTGTTCTTGAGGATATCATCAAGTACAATAAGCTCGGCCATCCACTTTGCGACCATCTCCGCGAAGGCCAGTGGGCTCTCGACTTCATTGTTCAGCGCATGGAAAAGGTTGGGGCTAAAGAAGGCCACGCTGCCCTTAATAAGCCTGCTGCTTGGCTGAAGGAGAAGTTTGATGCTGTTCGCGGATTGCCAAACTTCTTACTTCCTCGCTATTTCGCCATGATTGTACAGGTAGCATACAACGCTGCCTGGAAGAGCGGCATTCACCACTTTAGTGATCTTGTGAGACACGGCCAGGAGTTCACTCACCAGCTTGCCATGGTTAGCGTTCAGCAAACTGGGTACGTCAACTCGGCCTCTTTATGGCCTACTAAGCAAGTTCCCAGCCTGGCTGCAGGCCTACCTCATTTCGCGGTCGATTGGGCCCGCTGCTGGGGCAGAGATGTCTTCATCTCTATTCGCGGTCTTTTCCTTTGCACAGGACGCTTCGATGATGCCAAGGAACATATTCTAGCTTTCGCGAGTGTTCTCAAGCACGGCATGATCCCCAACCTTCTCAGCAGCGGTAAGCTGCCCCGTTACAATTCCCGAGATTCGGTTTGGTTCTTCCTACAAGCTATCCAAGACTACACCAACATAGTTCCCGACGGAATCAAGCTCTTGCAAGAAAAGGTCCCAAGAAGGTTCCTCCCATATGATGATACATGGTTCCCATTTGACGATCCGCGCGCCTATTCCAAGAACCCAACTGTTCTGGAGGTCATCCAAGAAGTTTTCCAGCGACATGCCCACGGGATGTCATTCCGTGAATACAATGCTGGACCCGATCTTGATGTTCAGATGAAGACTGAAGGATTCCAGATCGACGTCAAGGTAGACTGGAAGACTGGTATCATCTTTGGTGGCAGCCAGGATAACTGCGGTACGTGGCAAGACAAGATGGGTGAAAGTGAAAAGGCCGGCAACAAGGGTGTACCAGGCACACCGCGTGATGGTGCTTCAATCGAGATTACCGGACTCTCCTACAGTGCCCTCGCGTGGGTTGCAAAGCTGAACGAATCAAGTGTCTATCCCCATGCAGGAGTGGAGATCGGTGAAGGTAAATCTATTACCTTTGCTGAATGGGCGAACAAGATCAAGACAAATTTCGAGCGATGCTACTTCATCCCCGTGAATCCGGCCGAAGATGGCCAATATGATGTGGATCCCAACATCATCAACCGACGAGGCATCTACAAGGATCTCTACAAGTCCGGCAAGCCCTTCGAAGATTACCAGCTTCGAGCCAATTTCCCTATTGCAATGGCTGTTGCACCCGACCTCTTCACACCCGAAAAGGCCTTAACTGCTTTGTCAATCGCTGATTCTGCCATCGTTGGCCCCGTCGGAATGGCTACCTTGGACCCCTCGGACCTCAACTACCGCCCTAACTACAACAACTCGGAGGACTCCACCGACTTCGCCACTTCAAAGGGCCGCAACTACCACCAGGGCCCTGAATGGGTCTGGCAACGTGGCTACTTCCTCCGTGCTTTATTGCACTTTGATCTCCTGCGTCGCAAGACGGCTGATGAACGCATTGAATCTTTCCAACAAGTTACTCGGCGACTGGATGGTTGCAAGAAGGCGCTGCGGGAAAGCCCATGGAAGGGCCTGACTGAGCTTACCAACAAGAATGGAGAGTATTGCGGTGACTCGGTAAGTTTTGAATTTTTCTCCAGTTTGTTCCCAATACTAATCGCAGAAATTATAGTCCCCCACCCAGGCATGGTCTGCTGGATGTCTTCTTGATCTATATTATGATGCCTCCAAACTTTCCTAGATAATCTTGATGATAGTTAGAGATACGATTACATAGCATTATGAAAGCGTTCTTTTGATGGACAGTCCTTTTTTTGCATCGTGACATCAATAATAGAGCAGCGGAGCACAAGCTCAATCTCATTTCAATGACCCTAAGAACTCCTTTGGTCTTATGCCAATCGAGCTGGCATTGCTCCTGTCATCTCTGCAGATGTAGATCATAAAAATGACCATACTACATTTGCTACCTACTCTCTCATATTAAAATAAACTTTGAGGGAAGTTGGCTGCAGAAAAGTAATTGGTGAAGCGTTCCTAGTCATTGAGGTCGAGCTGATTGCTTGAAGCATAGCGCGGAATTATGCTAGCGCACAATATTGAGCCGGATGACTAAGCACGTCGTCATCGAACAAAACAAAGGAGCTCCGGGGGTCCTTCGTTCTTCAAGATCGCCTTGCAACTGTGAAACGCGAAAGCTCGGTCGAATATTGCGCGAAGATACATCTGTGCTAGTCTCTCATTTGATCTGCCAGGTCGCATTCCTCAACCCCGCCATTACGCCCTCGATGGACCGGTAACTCGAACATCCCTCCGCCCATTTGACTTCACCGCAGCCTTCCGAGTCGGAAGATACCCTTGCAGAAACGATGTCATTTACGACATCGGCAGCAACTGCACTATGGACCGCGCTTAAAGATGACACGCACGATGGGGACGGAAAGCCGAGGTTGTCAGATCCGAGGGCAGAACAGCGTGACCTGTATACACAATTTGTGATCAGCTTTGCGCTCGGTCTGGGGGCCTTCATAACTTTCTGCGTAAGTTTTTGACGTCCCAAGTACGATTTTCATCTCTTATTAACGCCTGACTGGCTGTAGATATTACGCCCTAAATGGACTGAGCTGTATGCAGCGCGGAGACAACAAAGATGCGCTGCTTCGCGGCTACCGGAGTTGCCGGACAGCTTTTTCGGATGGATCCCAGTGCTGCATCGCATAACAGACGAGGAAGTGCTCTACTCGGCTGGTCTTGATGCATATGTCGTGAGTCCGCTTGCTTGCCTCTTTACCCTTGCGGGCCGTTCGCAGACGACATTTCGCTAATATGAATTTATGCCTAGTTCCTTTCCTTTTTTAAATTTGCTATTCGATTCCTGCTCGCCGTATTTGCCTTCGCGGTAGCCATTATTCTTCCCATACATTACGCATTCATCGGAGAGTATGGAGTTCCCGGTTGGGACAAAAACGACCCACCTGGCAATGATACGACAAGCGGGATAGGAGAGTTTTTCAAGGACAAAGACAAGAACAAAACTAATTACTCCTACCTCTGGATATACGTCATTTTCACCTACATCTTCAGTAGCTTGGCCGTGTATCTTCTGCTTCAGGAAACGAAGAAAATCATTCGCACTCGACAAACCTATCTCGGCAGCCAAACCAGCACAACGGATCGTACTATCCGGCTCTCTGGCATTCCGCGTGACATGGCATCAGACGATAGTATCAAGGAATTTGTGGAGGGACTGAAAGTAGGAAAAGTGCAGAATGTCACCCTGTGCCGACGGTGGCGTGAGTTGGATAATCTCATTGATGAAAGGATGGAGATTGTTCGAGAATTGGAACGGGCTTGGACAAAACATATGGGATACAAGCGCCCACGAAATGATGGTAATACGCTACCGCTCACGCGCCAGCCCCCGTACGCTACACTTTCGAGTCTACCCTTAGAAGAGGACCATGAACATTCCCAACTACTCCCGGAAAGCGAGCGCGAACACATCTCGGCATATAGCGACGAGCGCCCCAAAGTTCGTGTCTGGTATGGCCCATTGAAACTCCGATACCGATCGATTGATGCCATCGACTATTATGAGGAAAACTTGCGAAAGATCGATGAGCAAATCCAGACTGCTAGGGAGAAGGAGTATACCTCCACCGAGATCGCCTTTGTCACAATGGAATCAATTGAGGCGTCTCAGACGCTGGTCCAAACAATTCTTGACCCTCACCCGATGCAAATGTTTGCTCGACTCGCGCCGGCACCAGGTGACGTTATCTGGAAGAATACCTATCTTTCTCGTACCCGCCGCATGGTCCAGTCATGGTCTATCACGCTCGTCATCGGGTTCCTGACGGTCTTCTGGTCTGTTCTCTTGCTTCCTATTGCAACTCTACTGGAACTAGAAGCTCTCCACAAGATCATTCCACAACTTGCAGAATTTTTGGCAATGCACCCTTTCTTAAAGTCGCTGGTCCAGACTGGTCTGCCAACTTTGGCATTCTCCCTGTTAACCGTTGCCGTTCCATACCTATATGAATGTGAGTTTTTACTAACGCTGAAAGAGTAGTTGGTATGAATTGAAAACTGACCAAGGTCTAGGGCTATCGAATCACCAAGGAATGATGTCGCGCGGGGATGTTGAACTTTCTATCATCTCGAAGAACTTCTTCTTCTCTTTCTTCAACATGTTTCTTCTCTTCACGGTGTTTGGTACAGCAAGTGGATTTTACGGCTTTTGGGAAAACTTGCGGGATGCCTTCAAGGATACCACAACCGTTGCACTTGCGCTTGCCAATTCCCTGGAAGGCCTAGCGCCATTTTACATCAACCTATTGATTCTGCAGGGTCTTGGTCTATTCCCTTTCCGACTTTTGGAGTTTGGAAGTGTTGCTTTGTATCCACTCAACTTCCTTCGGGCCCGAACACCCCGAGAATTTGCAGAGCTGTCCACGCCACCCAAGTTCAGCTATGGATTCTCCATCCCACAGACCATTTTGGTCTTGATCATCTGCGTTGTCTATAGCGTGTTCCCCAGCTCCTGGCTGATCTGCCTGTTCGGTCTGGTCTACTTTTCCATCGGGCAATTCATCTACAAGTACCAGCTTCTCTACGCCATGGACCATCAACAACACTCGACTGGTCGTGCCTGGCCAATGATCTGCAACCGAGTTTTTGTGGGACTGGTTGTATACCAGCTCGCCATGATCGGCGTATTGGCGCTACGCAAAGATATCACTCGCCCTCTGCTCCTTGTACCTCTTCTGGGCTTTACCGTCTGGTTCAGCTACTGGTTCGGACGGAATTATGAGCCACTCATGAAGTTCATTGCTTTGAAGAGTATTGATCGCAACCTCCCTGGCGGCGGAGACATCTCTCCCTCTCCATCATCCACGCTTTCACCACCTTCGGGTTTAGACCGTGATGCGGCACCTATTCGCATAGGGGGCCGTGAGCTCGAACTGCGACTGAAGAAATATGTCAACCCGAGTCTGATTGTTCCCCTCCATGGTGCTTGGCTGCCAGGACGGAATCCTGCTCAAGGCAATGGCGGCTCCGCATTCGAGGTCCACCAGACTCGGAATGACATCAGTCCATGATAACCTACCAGCGGTTCTACTATCGACAGTTTAATTTTGACGCAAACGCCTGTTGTATTTTCCCTTTCTTTATTTTCTCGACTGTCCACGATGCTATACGACCTTGATACCTCTCCCTGCCTTCTTTTATCTTGTACTGGTGATCATCTCTGTATACCCTTCCCGTCATATTGTCCGTCTCTTGCCTTTGCAATTTTTTTCTGCTTTCAACCATCCCGCCATCATCGCCTAAATATTCTTTACTGCACATTTGATCTATACTACTAGTACGCATCTCGGTTTTCGGACTCGCGTCAGCTTTACTCCGCAGTCTCAGTATGTCATTTTTTACATTCCCGGCATGCTTCTTTTTCCACTCGAGGATAGAATTTGTACATTATGGCGATCGCCAAACTGGCGGACATGGACATGCCGCCAGCGCTCTAGACTGTTCATAGTACCCTCCAGTGTTGCCTGACAGGTGGAATTTGACACATTGACCTCTTCGGTTATACTATCTGGACACATTCTTCAAGTTTCAGATTGTCCGTGGCCAACGTGGCAGTGGCAATGTCGGGGCTGTGACACTTGGGGCAGAGTTTGATTATCTTGCCACCTTCCAGCTGACACTACAGGTGATCAGTCATGCCAAGGTTGATGAGGGGGTTGCATTTCCTTGAATAGGAGCTACCGCCCGAGACTGATCACGATACGCCGGTACGGATGTTGGGGCTGGAATGTGAAAGTAGTACATACTACTGACTGCTAGTAACTACTAGTAACTGCCTGTACTATCATTCAGCCTTGTGTGACAGGTAAGCTGTGCGTGCTGGAATAAGTTCAAGCTCCTCATCTACATCATTGCCCTTTCATTCAAAGCCATTGACAGGCCAGTAAGAAGATTTGGTCTGGCTCCGGATTCGGTGAGTATGCTTATATGAATGCCCCTAGGTACCACGGCATGAAGTAACTACCGATCGAACCGGGGAGGGTTGATCAAGTACTCCATACCCAAGTATGAGGCTATTCTCAAAACGACTCGGCATGGTACAGCGGTGTACTCGGACTCAGTACAACTGTTAGTCACTAGTCGAGCTGACTTTGTATGGAGCTGGCGGGTGCTTCTGGAATCCTAGTATCCAAGGGGGTCCACATGGCCCGCATGGGATCGAGGGTCAACATTCCGGAGGGCCTTGCAGTGGTCATCGTAATATCCAAGACAAGGGGGCCGTGTGTATTATAGGATATGATGAGTGTTGTTGTGATGATTCGGATCAGATCACCAGTTTGAATTATCAAGAACAAAACAGGGGAGAGACATGGCAGAAACAGAGTAGAAAAAGGGGAAGAAAGTGTTCAGTCTGGACTGTGCAGAAAGTTGCATCGCTGCTGCATTCGGCATCATCGCATTCTTCGCTTCCTCTTCCACTTTTACTTCCACTTCCACCTCCACCACCTCCACTCTTTTCCACTTGCAATGCAAGAGTTACAGACCCATCTTTTATTCTTTTTCACACACTGCACGCCCAAGTCCGTTGCCTCGTTCATTCCCCACCCCACCTCGTCTGCGCAGCTCACTCTCACTCGTTCACATTGGCACTCACACTCGCGGCTCAGCCATGAACCTATCTCCGATGAGCCCCCGTCTAATCGGTAGCCCTCTGGAACTTGAAGTGCTCCACTTCTTCGGACTCCCGCCATCAACGTGGCTCATGTCTTAGTCTCGACGTCAAGACGATGGCGAAAGTTTGAATGTATAGATTGGAGTCTCCCCCCCTCCTCCCTGGTCCTGCAGTAGAAAAACCCTTGCCTCGTCCCCCCGGCTGCCCGAGTCTATCTATCAGATTCTTCGTCCACACTCTGCAGCTCAGGTTCAGGTTGTCCCAGGGACTCTTGTTGTGTCCACCCCACCGCTTTCGCGTTCGGTTCGGTGACACCATCCCATTTGAAGCGGAATACAACCTCGCGACCCGATTCCCACATATTTGCCTCAAAGCCCGGACTCTTGTTCTCTCTCTCTCTCTCTCTCTCTCGCGCGCGCGCCATTTTCGTGGATATACCACCATGAGATACTCCCGCCCGTGAGATCGTGCCCACCAGATTAGATCTGTCTTTCATGCTCCGCTAGCGAATAAAACGCTCGATGCGTCATTGAATCTTCTCCACATCTCGATCTGCCGTTTGATGTGGAGCCCTACCATCCCCCATTTTAGACTTATCTCACATTGCCGGCCGATCATCTGTACGCATCTGGAGTGGAATATCTCTTTACCACCCCCGAGGGAAAAGTCTTCGTGGATGCTGGCTTTTGATCGATTTTATCTTTCCGGCTCAACTTCTGTTCATTGAACCTCTCTCCAAAGCTAAGAACATCGACAAGTTGTGGTGTGTGTTGAGTGGCCAGGGCTGCTACATGGCTAGTAGTATGCCGGCTCTGAGGTCTCACGACAACGGCTCTCTGAAGCACTTGTCCGCAGTTAGTGTTCTACAAGCCGAGCGAAAATCCGAAATTAGGCCAAAGGCCGTCTCACAACCACATCCACACCGCTCAATTACAACCGCAAATGCTGCGTCTTCCGGCGACTCCGAAGTAAGGTCGGCGACATACCATACTACTCCGAATGGCGGCGAGTATCTCAATATCGCGAGTGGCTCATCGTCCCCGGCTGCGAACATTACACCGCCTGAGATTCTGCTCCAAATATTTTCCATGTTAACACCTCGGGATTTCGACAATGCTCGCCGTACATGCTCGCAATGGATGCGCGTGGGTATGCATCGAAATTTGTTAGAGACTATGCTCAAGCGAGCCGGGTGGTGGGATGCATATCAGCAGGATATTGAGAATCAAAGAACTCGACCCCGGGCATCGATTGAAGAAAGTGACGTCTGGAAGATGAGCAGACGATTTGCAACCGAGTGTCTACTGGCCGGACGAAAATCAAATATTGAAGAGTCTGGCTTTGTGGTCACGCAGGTCATTGATTTCTCTGCGTTGGCGCAAGGCTTGCCTCCTACCAAGAGCCGTCGCATCCTCTCCAACGTCCGAGAGAAAAGGACACGGGAAATATCATCTACTTTCAGTGTCAGTACCTGCAGCAATTATGTTCTTGTGACGACCGGCTGCAAAATACACGTCTTTCAACTTCTTGGGAGAAAGTCTAGCTTGTCTCGGTCCATAGACCTGGAGGACACTGACCTGGTCCCAATCACCACTATCGAATGCGAGCTCGAGGTTCTCTCCGCAGTTCTAGATACTAGTACACCCAGATTCATCATAGCGGCATTATTGAAAAACCGTGTGGGAATGGTGTGTGACCTGAATGCATCACCCACTGGCTCTGTATTCACTGCTGGCACTGCTGGCACTGTGAAGCAGGATATACGCCAGATGTCGAAGAACAATCACAGTTCGCAACATTACTACTACAATATCTGCTCAGAGGACCACCCTCCCCGAACGATCGCACTGTATCCCGGTCGCCGCTGCGTCGCATTTGGCTGTGCAGGTGGCATCGAGGTTCACTGGGTGGACGAGGCAACACAGCGAGACCAAAGACGACATTTCCCCATGTCTCAGCCCTCCGAAGCCCTCCACTTCCTCCCGAACACGTCTGGAACCCCGTCAGAAATGCGTCTCATATCCTCTCTGGCTGGACCCGGAGTCCACGAGTGCGCATGCCGGCAATCGCCAAACCCGGACCATCCCAAGAAATGCCAATTCCATATGCTGTCAGGTCCCCAATCCTTCGGTCGCAGAGCTCCGACCAATACTTCCGCTTTGAGCCTTGTTAGGGCCACACACTGCCACCACTATCGCGCGGTCCCTATCAACGATGGCTACCACATCATCTTCGTCGAGCCTCGCACCGGTTTCCTCTGCATTGGATCCGACGCTCCAGTTGGCGGGCCAACAAGTCTCACGCGAGCCTTTATTTGTGTCCCGCCTTTCGCTCGAGTAACTCCTCCCGATTCGAATGACGCTCGCAGCCCGACGGTTTTCACAGTAGGCTCCGACTTGAATTGGGGCCTGCGTGTTGTAGCTGCTTACCGAGACCGCATTGTCCTATACTCGGTGCCCTTAGATGTATTCAATGTGATTCGCAAAGAGCGCGAGCGCCAAGGTGACGGTGTCATGGGTGATAGTGACCTAGCGCACAACTGGTTTGTTGACCCGGAGCGCTGTCGCAAACGCCGCGAGAGCCTGGTGCAAAATCAGAATGGAGACTGGGAATTCCTCCTAAGTGTTAGGTACCGTCCCACGGCAATGATGTGGCCTTTCAAGATATATGGGAAGGAAATTGGAAGAGTCGAAAATGTTGTCGAGCTGGCACTACAGTCTAGCAATGGAGGCGCGCGCGTGTGGGCTTTTGGTGCGAATGGACAGTCCACCCTCTTCGACATTGATACATTTACGCCTTCACCTCGTCACACACAGAACACCCCTCGCTGCAAATCCATCACCATCGCATCAGACGGGAGTCTTCAATCCGCTACATTGGGCAACAAGCCCGAACCCGCCCCCTCTCTTCGGTCATCTCGCAAACGCAAATCCACACAATCGAACGTTGACTTCGTTGGCCGGTACGGTACGAGCCGCTTCGTGCCAAGCGTGGCTCCGGAAGGTGAACCTACCGACGCCGTTCCAACGGGAAAGCAAAATGGGAGTTCACCCGTCCGTCGTCCATCATTTGCTGCTTGTATTGTGGATTTCAAGATTCCGGAGCTTGGAACGAGAAATGGTCGATCGAGAAATGGTCTTGACTCATCTTGACAGTACTTCTACTACTTTTGTATAAGGGGCGTGACTCGGAACTGGTCGTAGTAAATTGCATATAATCAATCGACCAAGTGTATCTAGATGAATATATTTCAAATTCGATTACAACCTTGGAAACTGGAACCACCTGGCTTCCAAGTTGCTTCACCTAAGGCGTCAGGATTCGAAACTTATGTAGTAGATGCTCACCTGTAGGACTGGCACCAAGGTTAAGATTCGATCTGGACTACTAGTAGTAGTACACAAAAAGGGTATCAATCATCCATTGTTCGCTCGCCATCTCCAAACACCTTCTTGAAGACACAATCATAACTATGCCACATAGTCGCAAATATCAAATTCAACAGAGACAACAGCCACGCTGGACTGCGGCCATCGGGCCCTGCAAGCTTCTTGCAGAGCGCGAAGAGGGAGAGAATGATGGGGCCGAACAAGAGCAGGATGACCACTTTCCCGACCTTTTGCCGGAACGTTGTAATCTGATAAGAATGAAACCCGGAAAGATATTCTTGATAAGCTACCGGAAGATTATGTTCCCTCGCACCCGTGGTGATTAGGTCGAGGTAGCGAGCAGAAGGCTGAGCGTAATTAAGATTGGGACGCATATGTCGGCCGAAGGTCAGTGACGAGGGCTTAGAGCACGAGGATGGTGTCACTAGCGCACCGCCGCTTTCATCAACCATGGGCTGGGGCGAGAGGAGAGTATGTGCTTTGAAAGGAGGGGTGTCTGGATGACTAGGCACGGGATCGGTAGACCTGTAGTCATCAGGGAAAGCGTGACAATCCACCACGATATCCCGGTAACCACCGCCGCCCCCCTCCGTAGCGATGATTTTCGCGTAGTCGGATAGAGTTACCTCGTAAACCACTCCGACTAGTGGTTTGTTCCAACGATGGGTGTGGGAGCCCGCTCGCAGCTCTCGCGTCTCACAGACAAGCGGTGTCTTTTCTGACAGGTATTCTCCGTCCACACTGGACGCTGAGTCATCTTCAGAAGACTCTTCTTGTTCTTCCAAGGAGTCGGGATCCCGGAATTCTGTGGCTGCGAAACAGGGTTCAGCGTACGGAACACCCGGGAGATTAAAATGATAACCGTAGCTCCGGTACAAGAACGATGATTTGCGAGAGCGGTTTAATCCCCCGCTTGCCGAGAAAGGTTTTTGCGGCTAGGTTGGATCCGTAGGCCAAGTAAAAGACTGACTGTTCCGTTCCCTCTGTCCCCGTCGTCAGGGATTGCCCTTCTTGGAGATTTTTGGCGATTTTCTCAGACAAGTGCACATCGTAATCGAGCGAGCCATCCAGACTGGAAGCGCGACGACGCTGTTTGGAGGTGGTTGGAGGGATATCGGCGTCGATGCCTGCAGGTTGAGGAAAGACCACAGGTGGGAGGTCTTGCAGCTGGTTCAGAGGCTCAATAGCATTGAACCGGTAGAGAGCAGGCGAGTCCGCCTCGTCATGGGCAACCCGGGGGGGAGATATCTCGAGCCATTATGACGAAGAACAAATGGAGTCGGTGTGGCCAAATGACAGAAGTGCAGGTTAGCGGATAGGTTAGTCATAGGCCAGCTTCTTTATACGTCAACATCCAGGCGTCCTAAATTGAACAGATCGGTGCAATCCTTCCCACCGCTAGCGCACCAGGGGCATTGATAAGCCAGTTGATTGCGATTAATAATCACGGCAGGGTCGGGACCGGCTTGAATAGCTTCCGGTTCCCCGTCTGACGAGGGACGAGGGACGAGGGCAGGAAGCTTCCAGAGCTTCATCCGACGGACTGGCGGCAGCTGAATGGCGGCCTTTGATGATGTGGAGTAGCAAATTCGCGGTCAGTGCATCTGACCGATCTGAGTGCGATCGCCCGAGTAGACATTCTAGACCGCCGGCTCAAGGTCGGGCCTTGAACGAGTGACCGAGGAAGATGCGTGAATGAGGAGAATTAGAGGCAATCGAAATTCAATAGAAAAAAAAAAGAATCGAAGAATCGAAGGAAAGAAACTGCGTAGAAGGAATGCACGCCACGCCCCCGCGGAAGGTGCGACTGGAGTACTCATCATGTGATTCCAGTTCGGCTGATTCAATCTCGCCATGGGCAACTCAGCAACCATTGGAATCCACAAGCAGCACTGATCATTCTATTCATCACTTTTCATTCATGTTTGAAGCTACCAGATGACGATCATCACATTCGAGGCATGTTGAATCGACGTGTGGAGACGTGTGGAGACCACATTGGCCCGAACGCCGGGTTCGCATCAACCCCATCGAGATACATTCGAAAGCTCTCAATACAACCATGAAGCGTCGCCGGGTTTCCGCAGCATTCGTCGAGTTAGACTCCGCAGAGCTGATTCGGACAAAGGATGAAGAAGCAAGCCTATCCGAGCCCAGAGGGCTCGCCTCGTCCCGAAATCAGAATCGCCGTTCTCCAGGAGCAACGGGAGAAGTGAATATCATGTTGGGCAAAACGTCAAGCAAAAAAGGACAAAAAAGGACCGGTGGTGGCCAGCACATGAGCTTTAATACTGCTCTAATGGATGATTCGTCACACTTGGCTGATATCGCGCCTAAGCCTCGTGACATGGAGCACGCCATGTCCACGACGAGCCACACAACTGAAACGTGCGGCCGCACATCATTGGTGACTAGCAATCTGGTGGCTAAAGAAGATAACCGACGTCCGACTGCAGAATCTAATTCCATATCCGACGTGAAATTACAGGCCCCACTGCGAGTTACCCGTTCTGGCTCAGCGACCAGTAACCCACAGGATGATCCGTCGCAAACTAACCATTCTGTGGTCGTTTCTGCCACAAACTTGACCAGTGCTCCGTCTCAACTTGAAGCTCTCGATAGAGAGCCAGGGTCGACCAGGCTGAGCATGCAAGGGTGTCTTATACCCTTCCGGCCAAGACGCTCTACTCGCAAAACCCACACATTGCAGACAAAAGCAGACGTGGACCGGAGTGAGGCTGATGAAGATAGTGTGGACAGGGGTGAACCGTCGATTTCGTCCGCAGATTCCGAACATTCAAATCCACCAAATCAAAAAGGCAAACGCCGACGGAGAGTCTCCAGGCCCCATGCGACCTCGGGAACTCGTAGGAAATTTGCCAGGAATCAAGCCAGGAAATACAAAAATCCCGGCCATGCAATCAATCAGTTATCTCTAACCGCTGACCCCATGGGTGGTTTCCAATTAGATCCGCCGGAGCCCAATGCAGTGCTGCACTTAACTGTGATCAAATCAAATCCTCCGGACGTGAATGATGGAACGGATATTCCTGACATCACTCTTCCTGACATCGAAAAGCGACAGCCAAGTAGGACCGAGGTATTTACTAACAAGCAGACGCTTGTCGATATATCGAGCTGCTCACCAGCCGCCTTTGATCAGACCATACCAGATGCTGATTTCAAACGACCTCCAGATCAACACTCTTTGATGTGGGATGCTCATGGAAGAGGGAAGACAGTCGGGAAAAAACTGACCGATGCTCTCCGGGGATTAAAAAGGACTACTCACAATCACCAGGCCCTCGGAAATGGTGCTCGCTCCACACAAATGTCTGGAATGACCCCAACCAGCCCCAATTCCCCTGGTACTACCGCTCTACAGGAATCTTCGAAACGCATTACTCGCAGCCAGCTTTCGCTGGGGTCGAAAAGAGGAGTAGAGCAAGTGCAAAGCGCTTCCTCAAGTGCATGCGGGGAGCCGGCTGGACCTGGACCTTCCCGGTCAACTTTAGACGCGGAGATGATTTCTCAAAGGAAGGATGCCCTTTTGGATACGGCTGACCCGGCACACCCGCACTCACCCCCAGCTCGAGGGAGTTCGAACAGCAAGGAATCAACAGGACATGAAACCGGAAGAGATGGAGCAATCGAATGTGATAAAATGCCTGAAGATGATCCGCAAATGCCCCGTTTATCGGACACCCCGGCTAATAGGGCTGATACTCCGCTCGCGAATGATCGAAAAGAACCAGATCCCCAGATCTTTGGAGGTGAGACAGCTGTCTCATCGCAGATCTCAGTTGTATTAGAAGATCACCATCTCGAGGCATCGTTTCACCCGGGTGATAGGGGTGAACAGACCCCAGACTCCCAACGGCCATTGCTAGCAGCTCGATCTTGGGCATCCGTGTCGCGGTCTACACGACGAGGCTGCGCTGTTGATCATAATGGAAGCCCTCGACTGAAGCCCCAGGTGGTCACAAGCACCGGTCAGATTCAATCTCGTTTGGAAATGGGCCGGATCCGGTCTATGATTAGAATAAGCGATTCAAGCTCTATTTACTCATACTCGAGTGACGAGAGTCTGGAAGAGTACCTCCACGAGTACCTACCCGAGCACCTACCTGAGCACCAGCCTGTAGCCCGACCAATCTGGAGCAAATTCCAGCGTGATATGTTCAAAGAGTATGGCATAGAAGCAGAAGACCTAATCAAACAGAAGACGAAGCCATTCCTATTTTCTGGAAAGGCCGAAAATGATGTTTATGCGAAAACTCTCGAGGAAAGCCAAAAATTGGAAAAACGACCGGTGGAATCCCCAACTCACATGAACAGAGCTACCTTCGGCGAGACAACCACACGGAGCGTCATTCAAGAAAAGTCACTGGGGGGGGCCGCGGAGTGGTTCACAGCCAAACATCGATAGCCCTGGTCAATCGTCGGATCAAAGGATAGATGCAATAGTGCAAGGTGATACTGAGGGTATGGAATGGATCTCAGCTCTCAAGACTGCACAACAAACTGCACATGACCGATTACTAGAAACAGACCAGGTGAGTCCGATCTACTGATAGATGTGCTAGTGCATTACTAAATGTATGACAGCACTTGTCGACTCAATTGGCTACTGAGCAAGAAAGCATCCGTGAAGTGCTACAGATCTATCGGCAGGGGTGCAATCTCATGTTACAGGAACTCTTCCGAGCACAAGAAGTACGGATGGAGCTATACCAGAAGCAGATGGCGTCGATTAAGGAGCAGCACACAGAGATCTGCCAGGATTTCATTTGGGGATTGCAGGAACTGGACTGTCGGGTGCAGCAGGGATCGGAGAGCCGAGGTGCCCAGGTGCCCAGCTACCCCATATTCCCTAGGCTTTAAGGGGCTAGGACCAAGGCCTAGCGCCTGGAAGCCCTGGAGGTACCTACTACTACGAGTATACTACTACTATTCCTTACTCCGCAGTTGTTAACGCGCCCACGGTGATTGGGGACTGGCGCCGCTCACCGAGGATCACGTGGAGTTGACTCATTCCTCCCTTGCTCTTTTTTCTTATTTCATAGCTGCTGCAGCTTCGTTTTTTCTCTTGCTCCTGGATACAATTCCTCAATACCCTTCGATCAATTACCCCTTAATTCAAATATTATTTTCTCACCCCTTCCACACCCCACCACATCCCCCATTTTTGCCAATTGCCTCGCCCCGCCATGTCGGTTAGTTGACCCCTCATGAAATCATTGATTGCCCCGCCAAACACAACTGACACTCAATGGCTTAGTTCTTCATTGAAAACCCCAATGTGGGCAACCACAGCCACCTGGAAGACTCTCGCAGTACGTTCAGCCTTGCTTTTCCCCAATTGATCTGCTCTAACCACCCTGCAGTTGTCGGCTACAATCCTCTCACCCCACCTAACCTCCTTCAACATGAGATCGCCTTGACCGATAAGTCCCGGGAAACAGTTCTCAATGGTCGTACTGAGGCTGTAGCGGTCGTTCATGGCACCGACAAGGAGAGGCAGCGCCTCATGGTGGTCATCGGACCCTGCTCGATCCACGACCCCGATATGGCCCTGGAGTACTGCGATCGCCTGATGAAGCTGAAGGAGAAGTACGCCGATGACCTGTTGATTGTCATGCGCTCGTACCTAGAGAAGCCCCGTACCACTGTCGGCTGGAAGGGTCTGATCAACGATCCCGATATCGACAACAGCTTCAAGATCAACAAGGGTCTGCGCACCTCCCGCCAGCTCTTCGTTGACCTGACCAACAAGGGCATGCCTATCGCCAGTGAGATGCTTGACACCATCTCCCCCCAGTTCTTGGCCGATTGTCTCTCCGTCGGTGCCGTCGGCGCCCGAACCACCGAATCCCAGGTTCACCGTGAGCTGTCCTCCGGTCTGTCCTTCCCCGTTGGTTTCAAGAACGGCACCGATGGTTCGCTCGATGTTGCTGTTGATGCCATCGGCTCTGTCAAGTCCCCTCACCACTTCCTGTCTGTGACCAAGCCTGGTGTTGTCTCCATTGTTGGCACTGTCGGCAACCCTGACTGTTTCGTCATCCTGCGCGGCGGCAAGAAGGGCACCAACTACGATGCCGCGAGCATCAGCGAGGCCAAGGCTAAGCTCGAGGCCAAGGGCATGACTCCCCGTCTAATGGTTGACTGCAGCCACGGCAACTCTGAGAAGAACCACAAGAACCAGCCCAAGGTTGCCGCTGTTCTCAGCGAGCAAATTTCCGCCGGCGAGTCTGCTATTATGGGTGTTATGATCGAGAGTAACATCAACGAAGGTAAATATCAATGCTCCCCTGACAGTTCTCTCATTCATCGTGATTGTTATTTACTTACTGTCTTCCCTATAGGCGCTCAGAAGGTCCCTGCCGAGGGCAAGGCCGGCCTCAAGTACGGTGTCAGTATCACAGACGCGTGCATTGGCTGGGAGGACACCGAGACCACGCTCGAGACGCTCGCTCAAGCCGTACGCGCGCGGAGACAGAAATTGAATGGCGCCAACTAAGCCCATTCATTTGTGATTTCTGTCTGTCGCCTTTTAGCCTTTTAATGACACATGGATGTAATTATGAGGCATTGTCGAGCGTTGCCTGCCGGATTTGGAAAAGTTATGGTTCTATCATGTCGAAATATCAAAATATTCTTCCTTCATTATTCAAGTTGGTCACCTGGTAACTAATTCCTAGTACTACTAGTAGAGTATATTACCTCCATGACCGAAGAGCCATATGCTGTTAAGGTTCAAGTTGTAATGAATATTATGTACTAGTAAATTTTCATCATGTCTAGGTTTGAGTAACATACTATCTGTCTATATCGAGTTTCTACCTAAATTAGCCACTTCAAGTTCCTGGGCCCCCGGATCTAAATAGTACCGACCACTTGGGCATCGGCTAGGTGAGGATCAATCATGCTCCCAAGGCGGAACAACCTCCAGGGTTTGAAATGCTCTACCAAAATTCGATCCGGTCTACACAATATCAATAACTTGAAAGGTCAATACATACCAAGAACAAAACATTCACAAAAGAAATTAGATTCAGTTGACTCCTCGAGCACACAGTTTTCGGAAAGGCAAGGAAAAGAGAATATATCTCGGATACAGATACAGGTGATTCCGGGGAGTTCTAACAAAACAAGGGCAAGCGACCCTAGAGACAAAAAAACAAATGATGAAAGAGATCTTTCCGCGGTGAGAAGACCAACGGGGCAATAGTACAGGGGAATGCCCAATGGGCCGCTCAACCTCGTGGATACCTCCCATTTTCCCAACTCATACAGGCCATTTGGCCATGATGTTTAGCGGCGGGGTCCAATTGGGGGGGCTGTACACGATCTTTCTGGACTTGATGGGGGCCCACTTGTAGCGCTTGACCCAGACGCTGATGGCGAACAGACCGGACAGGACAGCGATGGCCTTGACACCCATCTTCTTGCGGTCGTCCATCTCGGGCTCGGCGGCCCAGTTGAGGAACTCAACAACATCCTTGGCCATCTGGGAGGTGGTGGCGGGGGTGCCATCCTCGTACTCAACAACACCGTCGAACAAGACACGGCCCATGGCGATACCTAGATGTTGGATTAGCAGTGCACTTCTGTCAATTTGAACAAGAGTCGTCACATACCGGTACCGGGGAAGTAGGGGTTGAAGTTCATGCCCTCGGCGACAGCAGCACCGGCAGGAGCCTCATCGGGGTAACCGGTCAGAAGGTTGAAGATGTAGTCGCAGCCACCGTGACGGCCCTTGACGATCAAGCTCAGATCAGGGGGCAGAGCACCGGCGTTGGCGGCACGGGCAGCCTCGTCGTTCTTGTAGGGAGCGGGGATATAATCGGAAAGCTTTCCGGGGCGCTGCTCGATGTCACCCTCGTTGTTGGGCTCGGTGTCGTACTCGTTCTCCTCGGCCATGGTCTTCATCTCATCGACAGTGTGCATGACACCAACGAACGAGCGCCATGGGACACGAGTCAGGGAGTGGCAGCTGGCGCAGACTTCACGGTAGACCTGGAAACCACGGCGAAGACTGAAGGAGATGAAAATGTTAGTGTTTGTGCCCGGGTGAGATGGCCGAATCGGGTAAGGCCGAAAAAAACACTCACGCGGCGTGGTCGAAGGTCTTGTTGAAGCGCTGGTGAACCCAAGGGTACTGGGTAGGGTGCAGACTAAAAGTAAGAAGCACAAATCAGTCTGACTGTCATTTATGATCCCGATCACACAATTCTCGGCTCGGCATAGCGGAGCCGGCAGGCATTGGGGGGGATTCCAATCTCAATGCCCTGGGAAATCAAGTACTCACCCCTCCTCAGCAGGTGTAGAGGCGAAGGCTTCCTGGCCATAAAGATGGTAGTACCAGGCGGCGGAACCGGCAGCCGCGGCGGTTGCGAGCGAGGCAGTGAGGGTGAGGTGGAAGGGGGAGCTGGCGGATTCGGCGCCGGCGGCGGTGGAAGAGGCACGCTGTCGATTGAGTTAGTGAGTCAGGTCTTTCGGACTCAAACAGAGCATTGCGAATCGATTGCCCTTGTTGACCGAGGTCAATGGGTTGATCAGGTTGGTAAGAGCGTACCGTGGACTTGCCGAGTGACTGGCGTGCGATGGCCCGGTTGGGCACGCGCAAAAGGGAACGTGCCAGCATGACGAATTCGAATCCTCCGATCGACAAGCGATGGAAAGGAATCAAAAAGAAAAGTGAGAGGAGGGGAGGGGAGGGGGGGAGGGGCGGGTACGTGGTGCACAAGGAGAAGTCGAGAGATGAGGTCGAAGGTCAAGTTTCTCGCTGGGGGCAGTGGGAGCGTAAAACCCTCGCGCTGATTGGCCGAGGAGCTGCCGTCGGTGAAAACCGCGAATTCTTCGGGTGATGCTTTACTTCTTCTTTGACACTTTTCTCGGAAGATATTTCTATTTCGATGCCAATGCAAATACTAATATATTCTACTCATTCCAAATCTCCCTCTCACTTCTTCCATTGGCTTGTCCGTTGACCTCGTCTCTTCATTGTTGGCCGTCTCTTCCCGATCCGTTCCGAAAATTCCAAGTCACGTGCAACCCGTGACATTTGTCAACATCAATACATAGCTCCTCTCCAGGCTGTTGGTCGCCTCAATGCCGATACAACGGGCGTCTGGCAATTAATATCCGCTCAATTCGATGATTTAATTGCAGAGTGAAGAAATATATTAACTACAAACAGCCATCGACCACTTATTTCGCACTCCTATCGCCTTGTTTCTCCATGAAGAACCCGTCCTTTCCGCCTCCCTACCAACTGCACCGCACCGCTTTCGCTTGTGGCCATTCGACTGGAAATTTGCGATTCGCCCCATTTACCTCTATCCGGCAAGAAGAAAAATTAGGATCCACCACATACCGAAGCCAATCCGCCACGGATTTCATACTGTTCAAGATAACCGCGAAGAAGGAATCCGCAAGCATATCGGCCTTGATAAAACCAGGCATGTGAATAGCAAGGCTGTCATATTGATTATGTACCTCCGGCGGGCTTTATTGGACATCGGAAGTCCCTCGAGCTGAGAGATGTAGTTAGACTGGAGGAGATGGGCGGCAGAGACGCCGCATGGTTGCAGACCTGCAGCGCCCCTATGATGCGGAAAGAAAGCCAAATCACAATTGGGAACCAAATCGGAGATTGCTGCCCTGCGATTGCTGGTTTTCTAATGCTCTGGACTATGATACTCAGCATCGGTTCACAGGGCGAACCTAGAGGAATCTCCCTGAAGATCTTGATTGTAGTCAATACCCCTGGCATAATCACATTACGCTACCGGCCAGAACCAATTTCGAGGACCGCATAGATGATGGAGCTACCGACAATCGTACAACTCACCTAAAGAAACACAAGATCGAATACAGCCTGGCTGAAAGCGCTCGTAGAAAAAATCTAAGCGGCTGAGACGAAGGTCGAAACGGAACATGATAATATACGACATGCCGAGCAGCTGTACTCACATAAATACATTTCAACCGAATTTTAGAAGAGCGTTATCCGTCTTTACTATTTTCACTAGAAGCGATTGGCTCAGCCAAGCCACTAAAATGTGATGTGATCCATGGATATTGCCTGCGTGTTGCGAGTATCCATCTACGCCAACCCTCAAGATAGAATCTTGAGGGTTGGCACAAACGTGCGCACTAGAAGTGTTTCGTCACGATGCCGATAATTTCAGGTGGTTTTCGATTCATTAGTGCCTTCAAATTAATCCACAATAGACCATAAAATGTACTGTAGATGAGCGATGCTTTCAAGTAAATCTGGTATCGTCTAGGGTCAAACAGAGTGCTTAATCTGATTACTACCCAAAGCATCGGCAGAAGCGCGCGAGTCACGATATACGAATAGGATACTCGTATATCAAAACAGAATATAGTACCAAATCAGCGAAAACTGTTAAGTGATATCGATGGGATGTCTAAGCCTACACCATGAGAATGTATTAGAGGTTCTTGAAGAAGCAGTATACTGGTCTACAATACCGCAGTCATGCCGTGGTTGCTCAAGTTTCCAGTTGGCGCATAGTCATACTTGGGCGACTTGATAAGTCAGTGAATTTGGTAACTAAACATTAGCTATAAATATTGTTAACCTTAAAAAAGCCCGAAGCGGAGAACTGGGATTAACTCTAGAAACGGCTCTTGGGCCATTCTTGTTTCTTGACCATGAGAAGCCAAGCCCACCGACAATCGATAATAGACTTGCGAAATTTTGGGAACCTTTTGATTCTTCTTCCATTTTTCAAATAGCATTACCGCACTAGCGTTCAAAAGTTTCGCTGACTAGTACGAAGTACCTCGGGTACTGTTTGCCAATCAAGGATCATTATACTTCAGAATCTTCGTGTCTGCTCAGAGACTGGGGTAGTTGGTTATGAATTTGGTTGAATAGGATCAATCCAAGGGATCTACTAAGTATTTTCTAAATTTATCCGGTGAAATTATTGAGTTCGCGTCTCGGGCTTCCAATTGCCCGAAAGAATTGCCCGAGGGCCGAGATCGAGGCGGTTGATGAGTCACTTGGGACCGGGCTCAACGGACATAATTAGCATGCCTCTCGAGCTATGCACAATTCTTAATTATTTATTAGATGACTCAGAAGTCACCATTTAGGTGACGAAAATACCTCTGCTTCTTCTTTTAGTCCCTTTGTGAAGCAACAGTGTACTTTGCTGACATTGGAACGCAACAGAATGTCTGGAGCCATGCGACATACCATATATGGTAGACTTGGTCAATTAAACATACCAAAAACGGGGTATCACTGTCAAAGGCATATCTCATCTATCTCAATTGAAGCCTTTGTGAATCCCCCGCCAAACGAACCCAGCATTCTGCCTCAGAGCAAAGTCCTACCAAAAACGTAAGTGACTAGGCATCTAGGTATTGGAACCATGCAGGAGAACTTGCCTCACCTTGATTACAGAAAATATTACGTCCACGGAGATACTCCTTCCGGAAATTTCTCAAATCGCGAAAATACTACGCAGTCAAAGATTGACCCAGATGCTTCGTGAGCCAAACCCTGTACACCAGTGGTATGCAGATTGGCAACTAATCTAGGTTTTGTGCAGATTTTTAGGAATGACCGGGGGTCAAATATTCCATGAAATGATGATTCAACATGATGTTCGTCATATCTGTATGTGAAATACCCTACATTGAACTTGAAGGTGGAAAACGTTGACTCACAATGTACTCCTAATATAGTTGGGTATCCCGGAGGCTGTATACTCCCGGTCTTCGACGCGATTCATGAATCGAAACATTTTGATTTCATCCTCCCCCGACATGAACAAGGTGGTGGCCATATGGCTCAGGGGTACGCTCGAGTGACCGGCAAACCTGGGGTTGTGCTGGTCACATCTGGACCAGGCGCGACAAACCTCATCACACCGATGATGGATGCGCTGGCTGATGGTACCCCCATGGTTGTGTTTTGTGGACAAGTTAGCACCAATTCAATTGGTACTGATGGCTTTCAGGAAGCAGACGTTTTATCAATGTCTCAACCTTGCACTAAGTGGAATGTTAGCGTGCGCAAAACGGCAGATTTGCCGAGGAGGATCAACGAAGCCTTTGAAATTGCTACAAGTGGTCGTCCAGGACCAGTTCTGGTAGAGCTTCCAAAAGATGTTACTGCAGGTGTACTCTCTACACAAGTGTTTCCCGGCCGTCCCAAAGATTCTTCAATTGCGACGATGGCTATAGGAGATGCTCAGCACAGCCAGCTTCTTCAATCAATTGAAGCGGCTGCAAAACTAATCAACATGGCCGAAAGGCCTGTTATATATGCCGGTCAAGGCATACTCGCGACTTCCAAGGGACCTCAATTTTTGAAGGAGCTAGCCGACAAATCGTCAACACCCGTGACAACTAGTCTTCAAGGTCTGGGAGCTTTCGATGAGATGGACCCCAAAGCCCTGCATATGCTAGGTCTTCACGGATCTGGATATGCAAACATGGCCATCCAGAAAGCGGATCTGATTATTGCACTGGGTGCAAGATTTGACGACCGGATGACTGGAAGCATCCCAAAATTCGCACCGGAGGCCAAATTAGCGGCTAATCAAGGTCGTGGTGGAATAATTCATTTTGATATCTCCCCAAAGAATATCAACAAAGTGGTGGAAGCTACAGTTCCTGTCATAGGTGATTGTGCAAAGAGTCTTCAGCTCCTTTTACCTAGAGTCAAGCCAGCACAACGTCCTGAGTGGTTATCGCAAATACAATCTTGGAAAAGACAGTATCCATTCCAAGCAATCAATCAAAGTGGCAGCGACGACATGATTTTACCACAACACTTCATCGAGCGGCTTAGTGAAGCTGTTGATCCTATCAAAGAGCGCACAATAATTACAACGGGTGTCGGTCAACACCAAATGTGGGCCGCTCAGCATTTCCGATGGAGATACCCCAGAACAATGATTACTTCTGGGGGACTTGGAACGATGGGATATGGATTGCCTGCAGCGATCGGTGCAAAAGTCGCCCGTCCAGATGCCCTTGTGATTGACATCGATGGGGATGCATCCTTCAATATGACAATTAGCGAATTGCTAACAGCGAGCCAATTTGGAATTGACGTCAAAGTTGTTATTCTAAATAATGAAGAGCAAGGCATGGTTACGCATATACAAACGGTCTATTTCAACAATCGGTTCTGTCATAGTCACAACCTCAACCCAGATTTTGTGGAAGCCGCTAAAGCTATGGGTGTTCAGGCTCAGAGCTGTTCTAAGATGGAAGAAGTCGACAATAAATTGGATTGGCTGCTAAAAACGCGGGGACCCGCGCTTTTAGAGGTCAAAGTTGCCCAAAAGGCGTTGTCTTTGCCAATGGTGCCAGGGGGACGTGGCCTTGATGAGTTCCAATATTACAGTTAGTACTTGAGTATATCCTATTTAGTGAGACATTGGAACGCCAACCTTGTCCAAATAATTAAATAAGACAGAGATACCAGGCGATCCACTAGATTATTTTAAAACGTTTCAATTAAGACCAGAAAATAGTTACGAGTCCGACGGGTCGCAGACAGGGTCGGCGACCACGAATCGGCGTTTCCTTTTAGCCGGCCTTTGGAAGGTGGCCTTTTGATTCGGGGTCACATCATGAAAGATTTTACAATTTTATTTTCTCGGCCGGTAGTAAATTGTTTCTGTCAATTTCTTTTAAAAGAAACAATGTAAGGGGAATTTCTGTGGACTGTTTTTCACCTTTTTTCATCCTTTTTTCACGAGTCGACATCTGGACGGAACACCATCAATTTAACAATGGGACAAGGAACATGTACGGATGGGAGAGTTGAGCCTCCAGAGCTTAAACATAATACTGGATGGCGCCGAGTTGTTCGCAATTTTACGCCTGCGTGAGTTCTCATCTTGATTGACATAGATCCAAGGCCTTGGCTGATTAAAGATAAAAGTAAATATGGGAACCGGAATTGTTTCTATTCTACTAAATACGATGCCATACAACGGAATATGGTTATACTACTTATCCATTGTCGCTTTTGCCCTCAATCTGGCGTTTTTCGTCGTGATCCTAGCCATCACTCTCCTACGCTACATCCTATACCCGGAGATCTTCGGAGTCATGGTTACCCATCCAGTGCAGTCTCTCTTTCTTGGTACATTCCCCATGGGTCTCGCCACGATCATAAACATGTTTTGTTTGGTGTGTGTACCTGCATGGGGTGATAAAGCTGCCTATTTCATCTGGGCGATCTGGATATTTGATGCGATTGTGTCTGTGGTCGTGGCCATAGGTATACCTTTTATTCTGTATGAGCCCCTGGCACCTACAACATGTTTCTGGATTAATAGTTCCCCAATTACAGGACGACTCGTCGAAACGGTCTTGATCTTTCTTCGATGACTGCCGCTTGGCTACTCCCGATCGTTTCATGTGTCGTCGCAGCAGCCTCGGGGGCTATCGTGGCCGACATTCTTCCCAAACCAGAACTTGCCCTGGGAACTATCCTTGCAAGCTATATTCTGTGGGGAATAGGAATTCCATTAGCATTGATGGTTATCTGCATATACCTGCAACGCTTGATGTTCTTCAAGCTACCTCCAAAAGCAATGCTTGTGAGCGTTTTCCTCCCACTCGGTCCACTCGGCCAAGGTGGCTATGGGTGAGTGAAAAACACCATGCGCGATTAAAGGAACTGTTGGCTAATTGTATTTGATTAACTTGGTTTGCAACAGTATTCAAAGACTTGGTAAAAGTGCACAGAGAATATTTCCGCAAACAGAAACTCTGAGTTCTTCAGCCGGAGAAGTTTTCTATGCCGTTGGTCTCCTGTTGGGTCTTCTGTTGTGGGCATTTGGCCTAGTCTGGCTTACATTTGCGGTCGTGACCCTGTTGAAATCGAGGAAATTTCCGTTCAATATGGGCTGGTGGGCTTTAACTTTCCCTCTCGGTGTCTTCACTACTTGCACTTGTACGATCGGCCAGGAGCTTCCATCGCGCTTCTTTTCGGTGCTTGGAACGGTAAGTTAGACAACCCACATATGAATAAAACTGTCTTGCACAGGATAGAAGAGAAATAAATATGCTGACATGGAAAAGATATTTTCAGTGATCGTTGTGATATTTTGGGTGCTGGTAACTTACCACACCAGCCGTGGCATCGTCAAGGGCAACATCTTCGTTGCCCCTTGTCTGAAGGACCTCGAGCGACCGCAGACACCACCTTCAGGGCTGGCACAGGCATAGGCACATCCATGCCGACTTGATTCAAGTATGAGTATCTTTCAGGTAACCGTACATGTGGCCATTCATCTCGGTCATTTCAATCGCCGAATGACACGACGTAATGGTTCGTTAAATGGAGCCAAAAAACTACCGAACAAAAAGGGCACTGGCAATTATATAAAAAAAAAAGAAAAAAGGTTAGGATCTTAGAATGCAAAAGGAAAAAAAGATATCTAGTCGAGTGATAAAATCGATATTTTCAACCCTCTTATTGACTGGAGTGGAATTCGGCCTTTTTAACCACAGGAAATGAACGGGTAACTCTCCGTTTCCATCGCCGTCCTCATTGCAGTGACCATGACGCCCAGATCAACCAAGCAGAGCGGCCTGGCATCGCTCGCATGCACTGAGTGTCGCAAACAGCACCTGAAATGTGATGCGCTCAAGCCCTCGTGCTCACGGTGCTTGCAAAACGGCGAGTACTGCCAATATCTTCCCTCACGGCGGGGGGGTCGCAGGAAAACTCGCGACGCCAATCGCCGGCCCCCTTCCAACCATCCGGATGAGTTGAATGTCAGTATGCGCCATGCCTCAGTCATGTTGATGAAATCCATACCAATCGGATACCAGGCCTCCCTTGTCCTACCGGTCGCTGCCCACGAACAGCAACCCAATACCCCGGACAGCACATCACCGCAACAAATCCCCGACGACACAAGCATCCCTGCTGGTCAGGTGTCTTGGTCTATGATTACCCCAAGAAATCCACTAAGTCAACAGCATTTAGAATCATCTCATGATCCCTGGCTCTACGATGACCGCTTTCTGCGTCTTTTTTACGAGAATTTCCATGTCGCTCATCCTATCCTTGTCCCAAGTGCCGCTTATCATGATCGACAGTATCCCGAGTTCCTCCAGCTCGTGGTGAATTTTGCCGGTTCTCACTATGCTTCCTCAAGTCCAACCCAACAATACAAGGACAAGACCATTGCAGAACTGACCTGCAACCCAACGCGATCTTCTTGCATGGTCCAGGCATGGTTGATCTACTCGATTACAATTTATGCTCGCGGCGAATGGCAAGAGGCGCAGAATGCCTTCTCACACAGCGTTGAGCTTGCACTGGAGCTTGGTATGAATCGTCGCGAATTCGCCACCTCTACTCAACCCGAAAATTCCATCGAAGCTGAAAGCATGCGACGCACATGGTGGGAGTTGTATATTACGGATATCCTCTTAGCTGCGCCTTTCAAAGGCAACACATTTTTATGCAGCACCATGGCACCGGAAGTAGGTTTGCCCTGCGAGGAATCGGCATATACCGGCGCCTGTGACATCCCGGCACCCCGAAAGATTTTAGACTTCAAGCGGAGGATATTTGCCCCCGAAGAGACGGTATTTTCATCTTTCAGCTACCGTATCGAAGCAACAACAATTCTCTGTCGAGCTCTTGTCTTGAACAAGCTCCGCGACCATCACCGTGATCATCTCCAAGCCGTTGAAAATGCGCTTGTAAGCTGGGTCAACCACCTGCCCCCCAAAAAGCTGGATATCGTCGATTCGTATGGCAATATCGATGAGATGATGTTCCAGGCCCATATCATAATTTCATATGCGACTATGCTGTTGCATTTACCCCGAAGCGATCTCCAACCAGTCCTACCACAGGCAGACGATCGTTTCTGGCCGGTTGCCGCACGCAGTTTGGCGTCGACACTCAATCGTCCCATCCACAGTATCAAAGCAACCGAGGCCTCCCGGAGAATATCAGATGCGATATCTCTTTGCCCGAACATAATCAAGCACACGCCCTTTGTAATCCCTGCACTGGCACTCTGTGGGATGACACAACTCGCTACCGCCATCAAACACACTGAAGAATGTTTTGACCATCATTATAATCGGGTCACTTTAGTTCTCGGATGTCTCAAAAGTACAAAGCGGATATGGAATCTTGCCGATGCCGCCTACACTCACCTACGTGTATCTGCGGCGGACGGCTTGTCTGATTCGATGGAGCGATGGAGTACAGAACCACTCAGGAAATTCTTTCCAATCGATTCAACGCCAAGTAACACAGAGCGGAATCACCAACCAACACGGCCAGCATCGGCAATCTCGGAAGGCCAGGATATGCTGTTTCCGCCGATAACCCCTGCCTTTGTCGATCCGACCTGTTATAACGATTCCTTCTTCACATCCATCCCGGATTTTGACATCAGCTAAAGAATAAAGGAGGCCCTTGCGAGGCAACAACGGCTATAAAAAAAAAGAATAATTCAGGGATTTCGTATACACATTTCCAATGATCCGGATCCTGGTCTCTCTCTATGCTCCTGTGAATCACGTGGTACATTTATCTTTGAATTAGTACTCGGTTTTCAAATGTACTAGTAATCCTATCAATATAGATGCCAGCGCCGCCCGAGTAAATATGAGCCTTTCAGCAACCTTTTGCAACAGGTGAGACAATATCTGCTGAACAGAGGGTCCAATTCCAGTCTGCTATTTGGCCTTTGCATTTGTCTACATATCTTGGTCAAAACGTATGCATGAACTGGAAGGCCCCTGCGTGTTTATCGCTCGGCGACTCAAGTTGGATGGGAATGAAGTGGCGCAGTGGGTCAATCGCCGACCGAAGACCCAACGTCGTTCCACCTCGGGGACTGCCACGCAATTGCGGTCTGGACTCTGAACCCCTTTAGATTTTTATAAAGTCGACCCATTTAACTTCATCCCTTTAATCCCTCCCAGAATCAGCCATCTCGAAGCACATTTCCAAATTTTCGCAAAATGCTGTCATCAACTTTGTCTACGAACATCCCGGTCGATAAGTGGTTCTCGCCCTCTTACCATCACTTCAAGGAGCGATACGACCTCGAAGGGCTCGTGCAGGACATCAAGAAGCACCTCGGAGAATCAGGTGGTATTTCTTCGGAAGAAGTTGACGAGGCTCATTTGATTTCTTTATTGAAGAAATATGTCTCGGACCCCAGCGACTGGATCGACTACTTTTATAACGACACCAGCAAGAACTACACCCGAAATGCCATTGAAAACATAAATCAGAAGGCCAATATCGTAAGTCCTGGTCTTCAAGTTGCTATAGATATTCTCGTACTTGATCACAGGAGCAAATGCTAACCGAATATAGCTTCTTCTCGTATGGAACCCGGGCAAGGGCTCCCCTATCCACGACCATGCCAATGCTCATTGCATTATGAAAGTTTTGGCTGGCCGATTAAACGAAACAGTCTACTATACCCCAGATAAGGAGTCCGGGGAAGAGAAGCCACTTGAGATCAAATCTTCCAATACCTTTGGAATGAATGAGGTCACCTACATCTCAGACGATATTGGTCTTCATCGAGTCCACAACCCCAGTAGCAACCACGTTGCCGTCTCTCTACATCGTTAGTATCGCACACTGCCAATCATTTTATCAGTGGCTAACCGCTCCTAAGTTTATACGCCACCAAATGCGGCTGACTATGGCTATAACATCTTCAATGAAGCAACCGGGTCTGCAAGCTTTGTTTCCCAGGCCCACTCGGTTCCCAAGGCCCAGTAGGACCAAGATTTGACCATAAGTCATGAATTACCGTGGCTGGACCGCGCTGTTTGAAGTTTCACTCGTCACTTGCTTGAAATTGCCCATTATACCCGGTGTAACAACCATGAATTGAGTCCATTAGTTAGCGATGAAATTAGACGCATATCATTAAATACTATAAGCCTCCGAATCTACATATCAGTTTATGCTGGAATTTATAGCTAACTAAATAAGGATACGTCTGTCCTTAGTGGTATTGACTTTTCAGAAACACGACGACCTATCGTCAACGCAGACTGATACGTACATCGATAGGAACGGCCGTTGACCTCCACGAATAGCTTGTCTTGGTCCACGATAAGATGCACATAACAGATTGATGAACTTTCGACACCGCTATTTGGAGGCCGTGTCTATGCGTTAGAAGCCGAAATAACGTCACATTCAGAGCTGATTTTCTGATCGCCATGAAACAGGTCACGGCTGGGCCATTCAGTCGCCGATCCACTTCAATCGCCGAATCCTTACGTACATCTTGTGATACAATCACGCACCCCTGTCCGATGGATATTATCTTCATTCTTGAAGTGAAGATCCTTGTTTGTGTACTCCATGCAAATTGAGCTTTCCCCTCTGCCTACCGTCTCAATATTTGGGGTGATTGAAAATCCCATCCGGAATAAGAAACGGAAGCTATCTCATTCCATACTTTCTGAGTCCCCTAACTAGATCCGAAAATGTATACCACCCCTGATAAACCATCGACAAGGCCTTTTTCATGCAACGGCTTGCTTATCGACGAGCTATATCCATTCCCTCATGTTCATTACATGAAAACCACATTCTTCCCCATTCCCTCCCAGATAGATATGACTGTCTCATCTTTTCTGCGTCCTCCATTTTCCATTTTTTGATATCCACATGAAGTTTATTCTGGTGAAAGATACTCACCAATTCTTGAGCCGCAGCTGTGTCAGCGACCAGGGACCCAACCAGTTTGATATCCTTGTAGATTATACTATGGTATGACATGGTGATTCCCTTTTCCGGCTGACCCAGTAAAACCATTGTACCATGCTTTCGTGTGAGTGCAGCAGCCAGATCGAAGGCAGATGGATAATCTGTTGCTAGTATAGTAGCATCCAATCCCCTGTACTTTGATGAGGTCATTTGATCAATTTTCAGAAGGGATCCCTCAACTGTATCAGTTGCAAGGATTAAAACATCTGGGCAATTTCTATATGAAGCCACAGCTTCCAGTGCTTGCTGTTTGACGTCGACCGCTGCGACAGTGTAACCCTATATTTTAGTTTAGCATTGGTCTTCTTCCAAGATAAACTTGAATAACTCATGGAATCCTACCATGCATTTGGCAACCTGGGTGCCAATGTGCCCCAAGCCCCCAATTCCTATTATTCCGATCGAGCCTCCTTCCTGAATGTTGGCACGCCGAATCCCTCCATAAATAGTTGATACCAGCGCACATCAAGGGTGCTGCTACCTTGAATTCCATGTCATTTGGGAGTTTGACAACAAATCGGGCATCGCTATAACGTCAAACCAGCGTATAGATCTGCCGGTCGGGAAGGCTAACCTACGCCACCATATACTCCGCCCAAGCACCATCGGCCGTGATGCCTTTCATTGAAGGATTATCACAATATATAGGCAATCCCGATTGACTGTCTGCGCATTTGCCTATTATTCGAACCATGTCAGATGAGACTCATCATTCACGTAGGTCGCGACAACTAACTCACCGCAAACGCTGTCGAAATTGATACATCCTACCCGGTCGCCTCGCTGAAAATCCATCAAATTCGATCCCACCTCTTGAATTATACCTGCTGGCTCGTGGGATCCAATGAATGGAAGTTTGGTGTTGAATTCACCATTCAATGCCATCAAACCGGTGTGGCAAAAGCCCGCCGCTTTGATACGCACCAATACCTGGTGGGGTTTGGGGTGAGGAACTGGTACCTCCGAAAAATGATAAGGCTGGTTGTATTCCTGGATTTGCACTGCTTTCACAGTCTTTGATGCCATTGTGGGGAGATAGAATGGCAAGAATGTACTAGCTTCTCCGAATTGGAGGAACTGAGTGAGGGGATATGGAGAATGCTTACTACATACATGAGGCGACAGACGAGACCATATGGGGATGGCGAGTTGCTAAAAGATACTAGTATCGAATCGACCCAAAAACACTAACAGGATATGTACTACTTAGTTAGTATTCAAGTTGTTAATTACTGAGGTCGTCGCTAGTATTCACGTGCTGCTATCTATAGAGAACCATCTTGCATATGGCGCAAGGCAACGATAGAAAGAAAAATCAATCAAGTATCGAGATAGGACGCAACATTATCTAAGTTTCAGCTTGTCGTAGGTTTTGAATGCGATAGAAAATGTGTAGCGTGCAAGACGATGTAAAGCAGGCAGCTGCCAGCGTGTTGTTGTTTTTGTTTAATGAGCGGGCAGGCCCCAAAGAAATTCCAAGTTTCTTCGAATTCCATTCCCATTCACCTCCATCTCACTTGCCAACACCATGCCATCTTCTTCCCATCCATCATCGAGAATCATGTCGCGGATCTCTTCTTCCGGCTCCTTTGTGCCATTGACATCCAAATCTGCGAGCAGACACCCCAAGGCTCGACCCACCGCAACGGCGACTAGCGTTGCAGGCCAGGACATCATATGTGCTGTCAGCGAATCTCGAGGTGTCTCATCAACCGTGGGCTTGGCTTTCATCAACTTGGCTACAGCTGAAGTTGTTCTCTGTCAGATTTGCGATAGTCAGATCTACGAAAAGACAGTCACCAAGATCGGCGTCTTTGAGCCCAACGAGATCCTGTTTATGAATACCGCCAAAAAATCCAAACTTTGCTATATTCTTCAAGAAAACTTGCCTGATCCCATTTTCACCTTCGCTGATCGCAAATACTGGTCGGACAAAACAGGTCACGAGTTCCTTGACCGGCTGGCATTCCGGGACGAGGTGGATTCTCTCAAAGTGATTCTCAATAGCAACTACTTTGCCGCTTGTTGCTTTGCCGCGGTATGTTCCCATTGGATTTTCTTTCAAGTCGGACTGGGCCTGTGCTTATCTCTACTATACAGGCTCTGAAGTATGTTGAAATGGAACTTGAGCGTGCTTTCGTCTCCCATTCCCTCCGCATCAAGTTTGAACCGTCACAGGGATCTATGACTATAGACCTGGCGACGGTCGTATCCCTCGAGCTGGTTCAAAATCTCCACAATACGAAATCCCGAGACAGTCTATACGGACTATTGAATGAGTGCCTTACTCCAATGGGCGCCAGACTGTTACGCTCAAGTATTCTACAACCATCCACAGAACGGGTCAAGCTCACAGCGCGGTACAATGCAGTCGAGGACTTGTCGACAAAGGAAGATATGTTTGTATCTGTTCGGCAAGCACTGAAAGGGTGCATCGATTCCGATCGGATCCTGAGTTCGGTGTGTTAACTCTATAAACCGTGAATTATGTTGTTACTAACGATCTAGATCATCCTGGTGCCAACCAAGCAAACTGTTCAGTATGTGGAACAGTCAGTCAACAACGTTATTATGCTCAAGTCCTACGTTTCTTCGATCAAAAACATATATCAGGCATTGGGCGCAGCACAGAATGATATTCTGCTTGAAATTCGCGAGGTCTAGCACCTGTGATCGTTGAGCTTGCTCCCAGCTAATGAAATCAGTTATGCTCCCCGGAAAAGCATCGCGCACTTGAACAGCTCATGGCAGAAACCTTGAACGAGAGCGTGACATACCAAAGCAAGCCACTAGACCTTCGGAACCAGAGAACTTACTGTGTGAAGGTCGGTTTTATCCGGCAGAGCCATATTTATCCATAAAATTCAGTGCCTAACAGACTCAATATAGGCAGGCGTCAACAGTCTTCTTGACGTGGCCAGACAAACCTACAAGGAAGCAAATTCAGATGCGACGGAACTCGTAGAAAGGCTAGCAGGCAAGCGCTCCACTAAGTCTCGCAGCATTTTTTTTCTGACAAACTCCAAGAAGCTTATGATATGACGCTTGATCTCAGATATGATACGCCTCGCCAGTATTATATCTGTATCCAGAGTGACCATTTCGAAGCACTGCCCGAAGAATTCATCAACGTCTACCGCAAGAAGAACAGGACCGAATGCCAAACACTGGATCTTGTCAAGCTCAACCAAAAAATTACAGATGCTCACAATGAAGTCATCAGCATGAGCGACCAGACAATCCAGGATCTTCTTCGTGAGGTTTGCAGTATGGTCGCAGAGTTGTTCCGAGTAAGCGAGGCAATCGCCATGTTAGACATGTTAGCATCCTTTGTTCAGCTGGCAACTAGCTACGACTACATTCGCCCAGAATTGACAGTCAGGTTAGCCATTAAAGCTGGACGGCATCCAATTCGTGAGCGAATCCACTCTGGCAAGTTCATTCCCAATGATGCATATGCAACACCCCAGACACGGTTTCAAATCATCACCGGTTGCAATATGAGCGGCAAATCAACATACATCCGCTCACTAGCGCTTATGACAGTGATGGCCCAGATAGGTTGCTTTGTACCAGCTCAATACGCTTCATTTCCGATCGTTCACCAGCTCTTTGCGCGTGTCGCAACGAGCGACGACCTCGACGCCAATGTTTCGAGCTTTGCGGCGGAAATGCGCGAGATGGCATTCATCCTGCGTAATATTCAACCTCGGGGAATGGTGCTCGTCGACGAATTGGGCCGTGGGACAAGTACCACAGATGGGCTCGCGATTGCTGTTGCCCTTGCTGAGGCCCTTCTTGCGAGTCACACTATAGTATGGTTTGCGACCCATTTCCACGATTTAGCTCGCATTCTTTCCGAACGCAGTGGGGTCATCAACCTACATCTCGCGGCGAACATCTCAGATGATGCATCCAAAATGACAATGCTCTATCAGATAGGCAAAGGCCCAGTCCCCGATCGCCGGTATGGCCTAGCCCTCGCAAAGCTAGTCGATCTCCCACCCGCAGTCTTGCAAGTTGCAGAAAGTGTCTCTGGGACATTAGATCAGCTCGCCCGTCAACGAAACTGTAACTCACGTACAGTTGTCATTGCCAAAAAGCGGAGGCTATTACTTTCCTTACGTGAACAGCTTCTAATTGCTCGAAACAGTACAATGGATGATGACTCACTGCGTCGCTGGATGATCAAGCTGCAAGATGGCTTTTCAACAAGTATGGCTACTCTTGAACTGGATAGTGATGCCTATAGTGAGGGTGTGAAGCTTGATGGTCCACCTGTTGTCTCCGAGGAGGATTTGGAAAGCGAATCATTCAAGACGAATACTACTACAAGTCGTCAATCCCCGAGCAAGAGATCATCCACGATTAAAACCATTATTATTAATTCGGAATCGGAATCGGCAAACTCAGATAATGAAAGCGTTGTGCTGGTTTAATTAAGGGCGGAATTCTCTGCCTGGGCAACTTCAGATAATTCGGCCATGGATAACTATCGATATGGTTTGTGGAATCGGTTATTTCCTCCAGGACTATACTTTACCGATTCAGATTATAGCCTTTAACACAATAGATATTATATTGAATTTATTCAGACCAGCAGCTATTGCAGAGCAAAAACACAGGCGCTAACATTTGTACGGTGACTATTTTGGAGTACATACATGAACATGAAGAGCGGTCTATATTAACCGAAATGTATAAGGGTCTGCTTGCCCTTCTTCTTCTTGCCTTTTTTCCCGTCGCCTTGCTCGTCTTCAAAGTCAAATTCTGATTGCTCGGCGGGAGTAGCAGCACCGGATGATGGGTTAGATCCCCAGGCAGTAGGAGCCGGGCCACGGTGCTCATCCCAGCGACGGTAGCCGCGGGTCTTACCAGCCATCATGACATTGGGCTTCGCAGCAGCAGGGAGAGAAGGGAAAGCATCTGTCCCACTGGGAGCAGGCTTGCGTGCGGAGCTAGTGGGAGTCGACGAGGATGAGCGACTGGCGGCACTGGGGGCACTGGGGCGAGCAAGATGCATCGGGGGGGCGGCTGATGCCCACGGAGTGGAGGCGGCAGCACCGTTGCGGCGAGAAGACGAAGGTCCGGCAGCCGCAGAGAGGGGGGGGAAAGAATTTGCGGATGAGGAGGATGATGGCATGGCACCACTTCTGCCAACTGCGGAGCGTGAAGACTTGGCAGTGGAATGTTTGAGTCGTAAAACGCGCGAGCCACCAGTGTTCACAGTACTGGGAGACATGCCTGGCAACAACCCCCCAGGTCCTGGTAAAGCGGGATAGTCCTCGTTTATGGCACGCCAGTCGTTCCAAGCCTGTAGGAGGCGGCTGCGTTTTGATTCTTCTTCATAAATTTCGGCCAACTCTTTTATAAGCTTGCCTAGTTCGGAGCTCGAGGTGTCAAACAGAGAGAAGAAAGCATCAATCAACTCTATGGGTGTTATAGAGGATGTACGGTAATCGGAAACCCTGCCGCGGAATTCAGCGAGCTTGGTAGTATCATTGTGCAGCAGATTCGACGCCCGCTCTATCACGGCAGTGTGGCGCAGCCGACGTGCCTGGTCTTGAGAGCTCAGTGGCTCAGAAGTAGCAGCCAGAGTTAGGTTCTCGAGCTCGGCCGCTGGAGGGGCAGAGCGCGAGGCATTCGGGGCCGGGGTAGAGCCCGCTGATCGAGGTGGAGCTCGCACGGTTTGCGTCTCATTGCGAGTTAGCTGCCCGCCAAAGCTACGCGTTGAGACTGATTGGGCGCTCTGTATCTCCATTTGGCGCTGGTAGGCCAACTGATCCCGGCGCAATGGCTGGGCACTCGTCATGGGCAGAGGCTCGGCATTGGGGTCACGGCCACGGCCAGCTCCGCGTCGCTGCCGCTGCTGTGCCTGGTAAGGACTGCGGAGGTCAAATTCGCTGAGGTCAACCAACCGTGCATCGCGGCGAATATCCTTCGAAACTCCATTCGGATGCGCCTCGAGCTGGTGTCCCTTCAGATCCATTTGAGACTCGAAAACCATGAACTTCTTTTCCATACATTCTGGATCAAGGCACAAGAAATGATCTTTTTCGAAATGGCCCTCGAGTGCATTATAATCGACATAGTACTGCTGTTGCCGGTGTGAAGAGCGGCGGTCACAGATGTGGCATCTTTCGTGCTTATCTCTGCAATGGGTATAAAGTTCGTCGTCGCCATAAAATCGTTGGCGACAGAAACCACATTCTGGGTGTCCCTTGAAGCCACTCTGGTCGATTGCACCTGGCTTGTCATCTCCGTGCTTCTCATGTTTCCGCAATTCTGCGGGGGTAAAAAGGGTATGTTCGTGTGTAAAAACCTTTTTGTTTCGAGTACACAGGTCACTGCAGGTTCATTAGTAGCTGAAGCAAGACCGACATCGAAACCAATCTGTACGCACCACATCACCTTACTATGCTTGCTCTTAACATGGCGATGCAAGTCAGGCCAGCCCAAACAGGCCACATCGCAATCCTCATCAGGGCAGTTGTACCGTAATAAGAGCACAGTGTCTTCAAAAATGTCGTCTTTTTCGTACTGAATTCCAAGATTGTCATCGGTCCGAGCAAAATCGTTCTTGTCAAATTCCTCAAAACGTCGGACGGGATCGTCGGTAAATATCACGAAGGCAGATTCGGTCTATATGTAAGATGAAGTTAGCCAATACGATCCATGGACAGTCAAGGGGGGCTATGAGGATCTCTAAGGGTCCTCGCCGAGCCAAAGCAAGGTCCACTTACCCGACAGTGAGCACAAGCCTTATTTTTATACAGCGCACGGAGGCGAAGCGCACAGATATGACAAGTGCGATGGTTGCAAGGCGAAACCGACGTATGTTCAACAGCTGAGGCGCAGATAAAACAAACCTCTCCATCGTCAGCATCATCTGTGGCTGCGGCAACTTGTTTCGTTCCCACTGTCGCGGTAGCCGCTGGTTGCGCTTCGTTATTCTGCTGCCCCTCGTCACTTTCTTGCTTGTTGCGGTCCCCGGGGGGTTTGCCGCCCCGGCCACGAGATTTGTATGTCTTCCCAGCTCCATCTCCTGAGTTATGTTGGGCTTCCGAGCGGCCGGGAGGTGCCCCTCCGCGGCCGCGACGGCGACCACTACCGCGACCGCGGTTTGATGAGCGGGGACCGGTCGGTGGGTTGTCAGCCATGGCAGAGCCTCGAATCGAATTTAACGCAGAAATGAGGTGACAATGACCGAGACTTGAGATCCGGGGGAGTTCGCTGCGCGATTGTGGGTTGGTGGGGGGAATGGGGGAAAAAGTGAGATGCCGGCGCTGACTGATCTTCCGCGGCGCCGTTTTGAGAGCAGCTGTGGAGGTACGTACCGTACGAGTATAACTATATAGTTAATTATAACTACTAGTACTACTAACAACGAAAAGACTGGTTTTCAATTGAAATTTCTGCATATTTTCTGTGGCCTCAAAGAGCACAAGTGCTATTCACCATGGAAAATAAAAGACGAAAAGACAAGAAGGAGATGGAAGTTCATAGATGCAATGTTGAACGATGATCACCACTCGGCGGCGGCACCAACTCCCGCTGGAGCGCAAATAGCAAAATCTTGGATAGCAAATGGTAAACAAAAGTGCCGCCAACAGCGGCAAGAGAAATCTTATCAGACAAAAAAAAAGAGAGAAAAAAAGACAAGGTTGTCACGCCAGCATCCCCATGCATCGCAAAAACAAATGAGAGAATGGGTAGGAGAATAAACAGGAGATTCGTTAGGGTAGATGGAGACCGGACACTGTATGGGCAGCGGTCTTTGTCATGCGATTCGGGGACGAAGATTATTCATCCGGGTTATACAAGTTCTGATTGAGAATCTTGGTCATCGTAAACATGTGGACTCGGTCTTGCTTGAAGACAGCGCGCATCGGTTCGTCACATCGGATCTGGCGGCGGTCGGCAGGGTCCTGCAGCTCGTTCTCACGAATGTATTGCCAAACCTTCTTAACCGTCTGGGGGCGAGAAAGCTATTCAAAATATCAGCAAAGGAAGGGAAAGAGAATACGAAAGCACTAACCGTCAACTCTCCACCTAGCAGGGAAGACAATGCAGGCGATAGGTTGAGGGGTTTCTAAAGGAACCTGTTAGAAATCAAGAGTACACCAAAGTGAGTTGAAGTCCAGCTTACGTGAAATCCGCCAGTACGGTTGACCTCCTTTTTGGTGTCTGATCCCGATTCGATATCGGAGTCATCCTCTGCCTTGACCCTCTTAGAGGTCTTAGCCTTGCTCTTCTTCTTGGTGGGAGCTGCACGTCGATTACTGCCTCCCCTTGTGGGTCTTGCGCGCAGGTTCTCTTCGGCCTGTAGCTTCGCGGCAAACTCAGCATCGGCGTCAACGTCGGTGTCTGGCTTGCGCTTCTTGGGAGGGGGAGAGGCGCCACTTAGATCGGAAGCCTCTTCGCTATCTGCTTGTCGCTTCACGGGAGAAGATGAAGGGGGAGGGGAAGGTACTGCAGACGCAGAGTCCCCTCGGTGACCATTGCTAGCTGTGGTCTTCTCGGGTGACTCCGCGACGCCATTCTTCGCTGCGAAGATGTCGAATCGTTGCATAATGAGCTCCTTGATCGCCACCTAGTATACCAGAGTGTTAGCTGAAGCTCCGCGATCAATCGAAACAGGTTTTCGCAGCTGAAAAAGAGCAACGCGACCAACGCGAAAAAACGGACCTTTTGCGGAGTGAGATCATAGCCGACGGCATCCTGGAGCCCTTTGCGAATCCGCTTCTCGGAGATGGTATTCAGATCGCTTTTGCCCAGAATGGAGTCAATGATGTCCGTATACTGGTCGCGCAGCTCGGAAGATACTATTGCGCCAGGTCAGAGAAGGATGAACAGATTGGAGAAAGCCGGTCGTTGAAGCCGGAAGCAGACCGAGGTAACATACGCGACATGCTGCCGGTCGATCGGTCGATCTCGTCTGTAGAATGGAGGAGAGTGTTGATTGAGATACGAATCGGTCACGAAACGTAGCTTTGGAGCTCCGATCGGTAGGTTGGGCGTTTGGGGGAGTCTGGATGGCGCAACCAGGTACTTGTCAGGTGGTGGGTATAGTCGCACTGGCGCTTAAGGGCGGCGGGGGAAGGACGGGCCGGCAGAAGCGCAGAAAGGCAACTAATAAGAGAATCCAAGGATCAAAGGATCAAAGGGCGAAACAACCACAATGGGTAGAACCAATGGTGGAGCAGAGGATGCACACACCCACAAAAGGGATAGGAATAACAATTGATCAAGTAGAAACCAACACCTCATAAAAATATCAAATGCCTAGGTATAGTTATACTACTACTAGTTTATACACCCCGCAAGCGCCAGCCAGTACCCGCCCAGCGACAGCACCCGGTCACCTGACCACTAGGGTCATGTGACCCACAGCGACAGAGCCCACAGGGCCTGATTTGTTCCCATCAAAATTTTGATCACGGATTAGCACTCTTTAAACGGCCGCCCTATCCCACGACCCAACATGGCGCCCAGTTTCGAACAACTGTCCGAGCAGGATCTCCACGAAGAGGAGGAGGAGGAGATTGATTTCTCCGGTGCGTGCCCACAAATCTTCAAATCTCCAATCTTTCCCTTTAAATGCCCCTCCCGGAATCTAATTATTGGCGGGCAGATCTCAAAGCGCAATTCGAAGTCAAAGCCGATGAGGGCCTGGATACATTCGTCGTTATCGATGGCCTCCCCGTTGTGCCCGAGGACAGCAAACAGAAGCTCATCAAGTTCTTATTGAGAAAACTCAACACCGTGGGCAACACCTCCGAAGATGCTGTTTTCATGCCCGTCAGCGACAAGGGCATGTCCGAAGGGTGCGTATAGGAAGCCACTAGCCGATTTGACCCACTTGGATGAACATATCATTAATACCTTCCTTTTTTATCTATTGCAGATTCGCCTTCGTCGAGTATGAAACCCCCGAACAAGCCGTCGCCGCCGTCAAGCAGCTGCACGGCGTCCCCCTCGACAAGAAGCACACTCTCGCCGTGAACAAATTGATGGATATCGAGCGCTATGGCCGGGAAGGTCGTGTCGACGAGGAGTACCAGGCCCCGCCGGTTGAGCCTTTCAAGGAGAAGGAGCACCTGCGCTCGTGGATGGGCGATTCCAGCGCTCGCGACCAGTTCGCCCTCTACCGCAACGACAAGGTAGGCGTGTTCTGGAACAACAAGTCCAACCAACCAGAGAACGTCGTCGACCGCGCACACTGGACACAACTTTTCGTCCAGTGGTCCCCCAAGGGTACCTTCCTCGCCTCCGTCCACCCCCAGGGTGTCCAGCTTTGGGGCGGCGCCTCTTTCTCCAAGCAAAAGCAATTCCCTCACCCCTTCGTCCAACTTATTGAATTCTCGCCTCTTGAGGGCTACTTGACGACATGGTCGGCTCGCCCGATCCAGGTCGAGGAGGGTCAGCCCATCCTGACCAACGAGGAGGATGGAAAGAACATCATCGTCTGGGATATTGAGTCTGGCAAGCCCCTCCGGTCTTTTGTTTCCCACGATCTGGCTGCCCCTCCCACCGGTGAGGAGGATGTTGCGCCCAAGAAGAAGGTCCAGTGGCCCGCTTTCAAGTGGTCTGCGGATGAGAAGTACGTTGCCCGTATGCTCCAGGGTCAGTCTCTCTCAATTTACGAGGTACCCAAAATGAACCTGGTAGGCCGTACATCGGTCAAGATTGAAGGTGTCAGCGACTTCGAGTGGTCACCCGCCACCGTCACCCGTGAGGGTGTCAAGCAGTACGAACAGCTCCTCTGCTTCTGGACCCCCGAGATTGGCAGCAACCCTGCTCGTGTGGCGATGATGAGCGTTCCCTCCAAGGAAATTGTCCGTACCCGTAACCTGTTCAATGTCTCCGATGTTAAGTTGCACTGGCAATCCCAGGGTGCCTACGTTTGTGTCAAGGTCGACCGTCACTCCAAGTCCAAGAAGTCCATGGCCACCAACCTCGAAATTTTCCGCGTGAAGGAGAAGGGCGTTCCCGTTGAGGTTGTTGACAGTCTTAAGGACACTGTTATCAACTTCGCCTGGGAGCCCAATGGATCCCGCTTCGTTCTCATCACTACTGGCGAGGCCCCTGCCGGTGCCGCCGTTGGGCCCAGGACTGGTGTTTCCTTCTTTGCTACGGAGAAGAAGGGCAGCACCGCCGGCAACTTCAAGCTTGTGCGAACTGTCGAGAAGAAGACCAGCAACGGTATCTACTGGTCACCCAAGGGACGTTTTGTTATCGTCGCCACTGTCCACTCCCAGTCCAGCTTCGACCTGGACTTCTACGACATGGACTTCGAGGGTGAGAAGGTTGAGGCCGAGAAGGATCTTGCTGCCAACCTTCAGTTGATGAAGACCGTTGAGCACTACGGTGTGACCGACGTCCAGTGGGACTCTACTGGTCGCTACGTCGTCACCAGCGCTAGCGTGTGGACTCACTCAGTAAGCTATCCCCTTGAGTTTGATTCGAATTATTTCTCTCTCTCTATCTTTTGTTGCTATTCGGCATTTTTGAGTGCTAACTATATATTAGATGGAAAACGGCTGGAACCTTCACACTTTCTCCGGAAATACCCTTTCCGAAAACCCCACCGAAAAGTTCAAGCAGTTCATTTGGCGGCCGCGCCCCCCTACCTTCCTCAGCAAGGAGGAGCAGAAGCAGGTGCGCAAGAATCTGCGCGAGTACTCCAAGGAGTTCGACGAGGAGGACAAGTATGCCGTCGATATTGCCAACACGGCAGTTGTCGAGACACGCAAGCGTGTTCTCAGCGAGTGGGTCGCCTGGATTCGCCGGGAGAAGGAGATTCAAGCAGAGGAGAAAGATGTCTTCGGTCTTCCCGAGGACGCCGACTCGCCCAAGCACGCTCGGGATGCACCCATCGGCGGCTCGGACGAAGGCGAGGCTGTGGTCGAGGAGATTGTCGAGGAAATCATCGAGGAGACCGAGGAGGTTATCGGTTGAACGACTTCTACCTTTTTCTTTCGCATATAATGTGTTTCTTTTTCTCTTTTCCTTTTTTTCCCGCCGGCGTCCTCTGCGCTCGACCCGGTTGTCTATCCCCGTTTTCTTTGGTTAGGGGGGTTTCACAAAAATCGATAGAGTGAGCCGTGCCCCCGTCGGACTAAGCTCTTGATGTGCAATGTGGATAAGCATGAGAAATGCCTACGAATAAGTCGTTTTCATACTTCAATTTTGGAAGACACATAGATCCTCCTCGTACAGAAAAGTGCGTACAGAAAAGTGATCGTTTCTGCCAGTAGCGAACATCCGTATTATGCCTCGTAACCTGAAATCAATTAGCGGGCCAGCGTGCTATAAAGATGTAATACGACACCGCAGTGGCTACCTGTACACAGAGTGGAAAGAGAACGGGTATATAATTGGTCGACATCAGCGATGCGATATGTAAACTAGAAACCGATATGAAGAGCCGTATGCATAAGGAAACACCGCGCAATGTAAACAAAAAGAACCCCAGTCGGAGAACCAATAACTAGTCCAGTCCACCGGCCAGCCATTCTCCAACTTCAACACCGATTCCCTTAGCCAATTCGCCGATCCAGTCACCCGAGACATTGACGCACCACTTCTCTCCTGCATCCGCGCTTGTATTTCCACTGCCCATACTGGCCCCGCCATGGTGGCCCGAAGCTGGAACCACTAGGCGCAGCCGACGTAGCGTAGCTAGTTCGGCATAGATCTGATCCGCGACTGCAGGGGTGTGAATTGGATTAGCTGGTGGATTCGGATCGACGGCATGGTAGACGGCCAGAAGACGTTCTAATGGGAATGGCCGGGCTGTGAGGATGGTGGATGGACCGGTGATTCCTCCACCGCCGCCAGTGGCCGAAGTAGTGGCCGAGGATGTTGCAAAGGCCGACGAGAGAGTAGACTTCGTGATTCGGGTCTTCGATCGCTTGCCCTTTTTGTTTGGCGTTGAAGGATCATTGGCTGCTTGTCGCTCCTCGGCCTGGGCTTGGGAAAGAACCTTCAAACGGCGTCGATGGTGAGCGCGTTTATTGCGAGCAGATAGCGAAGAAGATGAGAATTTCGAGAAAAAGATCGTGTCCAGTCGTTGTGGAGTGTGAGATGCCAGGTATGCCGAAGTCAAGATTAAGGTAGAGAAATATGGCAAGTGAGGCAGGGCTGAAGAGGCTGCTTTGGGTGCAAAGGGCGTGCGAATCGTTTTGCTTGAAGCCGCAGATTCCTCTGGAACAATTCGATGCACCAGAGCCGATTCTCCTTGATGGCGGAAAAGTACTCTGTTCTTCACTACTAATCGCGCAAAGTCCCAATCCGTGCCCCCGCCAGGCGCTGCCTCGCCGTGGACAACAGGAGCCATAAATTGTGGCCACAGTCGCTGGCAGATGGCTCGGAAAGTTGGGATGGACCCAACGGTTGGTCCAATCAGGGTATCATAGACGGTAGAGACAAAATGAGGGTAGATATGATATGATGATTCGTCGAGCAAGCCTTCCACAGTGGGCACTGGGGATGCCAGGAGGATTTCGATGGCCTCTTTGCGTGTGTACGGAGGGAAGCTGATATGCGGAACTGCTGTATTCTGAAGAAACATAGGTCGAGGAGTCGAGCTGAGGACCAGAACAACGCAGAGCGAGGGGATCTATCGAAGTTATCAGTATTGCATCGCTCCCAAGCCTTTTTCGGCCTTGAACTCACAATTTCCCCAAGTCGGGCCAATGCCGACAGTAGAGTGGGTGGTGCCTCTCTTTGCCTATCAATCTCATCCAGCACCAGTACAAATTTCCCTCGTTTCTCCGCAGTTCGTGTTGCAAGGCACTCCTCCAGCAATACTGCGAGTGAACTGACATGCTCACACCGCCCCTTTCCAAATTTCTCCCATTCATCCTTTTGACCCAGGGCCTCAAGAGTGTTCCAAAGAATCTTAGTGAGAAGATGCCGTCCAGTGATACACTCGCTGCTTCGGACAACGGCGTGCGGTACTTCGAGTGTAGAGAGGACTCCGCGGATAATTGTGGATTTGCAAGTTGCTGAAATGCCATGGACAACTAAGGTCGGCGGGCTAGGAAGATGAGGCTATAGGACACAAGTCAACCATAAGCATATCTCTTTCAACGCTGTTTTGCAAGTGCATCACAAACGACCTATCGCTCGTGGGGATATGAAAAGCACCTACATTGAACAAGGTAGCAAGCTGCTGCGCCTGAACTTCTCGGCATGGCCATTGAGCGCTCAATGAGCGCGCAACATCGACTGGCTGCATATGTGCCGGTTTGCCGCTTCCTTTCAGTTGTTAATCGAGAGTACCCAGCTGGCCGAGATATGCGGAGTTCCTGGATCTGCAGCTCCGATCCCTGTCCAGTCACGTGTTCTCGCGTCGCGTCGTCGAGGGGGGGAGGAGCAATGCCTTGCATAAAATTTACAGGACGCAGGGATTTATTTGGGCATTTGTCCGAAATTGATAGGAATAGAGTAGAGTACTACAATCAGGAATCAATTAATACAAAACTTGGATAAGAATAGATTTCGTGGACTAAATTACAAACATGCAGAATGTGAAAGATAGGGCAGAATTCAATATCGCGGCCGAAAATCAAGCCAACAGGAACCAACCAAGATACCATGAGCTCACCACTCCTAGCATATAAAATCCCAGGTGCAGCAAATCCCAACAGTTTCTGTGTCATTCCCCACGATATAAAATTCACAAGAACGCCACAAACATGCCACTCCTCCCATGCAGGAAGAAGGCATCGTTTGCGGTATTCGATCCCGTACCAGCACACGAGATGCATATGAAAATCAGAACGCAAGTTACAGGGGAGAATGGGCAAAATGATGAGTGAACACATGGACGGGAATTGAAATGGCCCTTGCAATGCGCATACGCCGCCGAGCAGTATGGAAGAGATTCGGTTGTTCGTGGGGGGGGGGGGGGACACAAGGAATAACTGGAGAGATCCGATTGCCAGGAGTCTTTCTCGGGGCTTGCAGGTGCCATTGGGGGAAGAAAAAAGGAGAATGAGATAGGAAAGGGACAACGAAACTGGGAGTGGGAAAAGTACAAATGTCGGGGAAAGGAGGAGTGGTGGAGCTTAAGCTGCTCCAATGCAGACTGCATCGCGCCATTTCGGCTTCATGGGATGTATGCAAATGCAGGCGAAAAAGAGATGAATGGGCTAAAAGAAGATGCTGCAACCGAGTAGATCATGCAACTAGGGCCCCATTCTGATGACAGTCGTGTGAGAAAATCCGTGAAATCATCAAAATATCGTATCATCATGTAAGATATGGGTACATTTGGGGATGTATGCACAAAGAAATCTGTACAATCCCTGTTTAGTAGTAGGCGTAAAGCTGGTTCTGAACGCCGATGTTTGAGGCTGAACCAGGGGATCCGAACATGGGTCCCTCAGTTGTGCCGCTGGGCGGAGTATTCGATGAGCTTTGTACGGGGGTCGGCAAAGCATTCTGGTTGAAGGCAGTGGCTCCATTGAAGGCAGGAACTGGGCCTTGCTGAAAACCGAATGGTTTCTGTAACATCTGCTTGGGCGTGTTGCTGATCTCATTCGGAGTGACATGGCCGCTGTTAGGACGGCTTGTAGATTCGGCCGACATAATCTTGCCAGCGATGCGGCGACCATGGGGGGGTACCACGAATTGAATGGACCAGAGGCCGGACAGCTTCAATGATGCGGGTGCGAGTCTCGGGGTCCGCAAACTCCATCGCGGTCTGCACAACATAGTTGGCATAGGAGTCGCGCAGCATCTTCTCCAGCTCGCTTCCACTCAGCATTTCATCGATTAATGCACGGCGATTTTCCGAATCAGCAGTGCGTAAGCATTTCTCGATGACATTAGAGCTAAACTTCTGTTTCGACAGAGCCGGGACATTGCCTGCGAAGGTTTGGCAAAGGGGGCCGGTGTAGAAAGGGTCACCGAGATCCAGAATGTACTGGACAACATAGTTGCCAAAGGGATCTTGAACCAGTTGGTAAGCATTCTTAGTGATTTGACCAATCAGACGATCCTTTTGGTCACCAGATGCATGGTCGATGCAACGTTGTAGGACACAGCATCCGTGGCGATGGGTGCCAACAGTGACACAACGGTCACCCACAGAGTGATAGATAAACTCGGCATCCTTTTTAGATAGACGATTAAGGCATTTCTGAATAACATGGTTGCCATTCAGATCTTGAACAAGCTCGACAACATGTCTTTCCAGTGCCTTGATCACAGTGACAGTCTGTTCTGGGGTCGAGATGAACTCGATCATCTTCTGCAGTGCACGAGTTCCATGTTGGTTGAGCGCTATCTTCACAAGCTGAGGAGCAGCATTGTCAATGAGCGCAGTGCGTTGTTCATCATTTGAAAACTCGAGGAGCTTCTGGCAAAGATAGTTACCGAACGGATCTAGGGATTGGTTAGTCAGTTTGTCTCCATACTATTAGTGTCAATACTCACCAGTCATCAGTTCAATCACATGCATGTAAGTCTCGCTGAAAATCAGCTGTACATGTTCAGGATTCCGTTCCTCGAGCTTGCGTTGCAGATATCTGCAGCCATGCTGGTCTTTGCAGAGACTATACAGCTCACCCTTGTAATGCTCGAGAGGGAAATTGGTAAAACGAGTTAGCTGGCTAGAGTCGCTTTCAGTCTGGCGACGCTGTCCAACTCCGCCCCGGCCATTTGGATCATTGAAACGGTAACCACCGGTGAAGTTGTTGTATGTCAAATATGGGTTTCCAGCGGCCATGGTCGGGACTTGATTGGTAACCTGCCCACCCTGGTTGACAAAAGGTTGCGTTGGATATCCTGCATGCATCGGGAATTGCAGTGGATTGGATGCAATATACCCAGGCACGCCAGAGTTCGTCGTGGCTGGAGTAATCTGAGGTCCAAATGGGGGTGCACTGGCTTGCAGGATGGGCTGAGTAGTAGTCTTAATGCTTTCAGACTCGGGAGATCCTTTCGCAGAACGCGAGTTAGAGTTGCCCGTAGGAATTCGTCCCATACTAGAATGATGTTGGTGATGAATGTTCTCGGCATAAGTATTGGGCGGAGTTATAGCCGCGTCGAAGCCGTTGCCATTCCCTTTGACCGTGGGGAGGTCATTAGTAGAGTATGACTGGAGGGGAACTGGTCGGTTCGAAGGAACTGGAGTCGTGGCATCGTTGTTACGTTCACTGGGGAACACAAATCCTTCCCCAAGCGAATGACGCGCGGCATGGCGAGGCTGAGAGCCGTTCGCTTGCTCATCATTTGGTGAGTTGCCATTATGCCCATGGTCCAGGCGGAAGTTGGTCAAAGTCTTAGGCATGCTCTGATGGGCAGAGCGGTGCCGACTGTGGAAGGATGCATGATGGGGTTCTGGGCCAGGGTTGCGGGAGCCAGCCAGATCAAGGGCATCTGGATTAGCAGACAACTTCAACGACAGTTAGCTTGAACTCAGTTCAATTTGATGGGACTGAGATATATGGGCTTACAATGTTGGAACCGCCTCGGCGCGAGAGAGTCGGGAATTTGTCGTCAGGGTCAGTCATCCGAATGTAGCCCTTGATATCGGGGGTTGACAAGCGATCTTCATCTCTCAAGAAAGGCTTTCCCTCGTCGCTCGGGAACAAGTGTTTTGTTCCAGCAAAGGAGTTGTTCACACCTGAGTTGCTGCCATAACCAGATACGTTCGGCCGGTATTGGCCATTGTAGTTGCTAGAAGGCAGCGACAAACGATGAACTCTGTAAATTTCCGTCAGACTCATGTACATGGCCCAGAAGAAGAAGAGGGAGGGGAAGAATGATGGAAGGGAATTTGAGGAAGTGATTGATAAGTGGGCAAGTAGGTCTTTGGCTTACGCATTGCTTGGCCGATAACTCGACTCCATGACGAAGTCCTCTTTTTCAGAGTTACGGCGAGACCCAGGCACCGAATGGCCTGCAAACCGATCGACGGGTTGTTGCGGGGAGGTAAGCTGAGGAGATGGGGCGAAAACATTGAAGAATCCAGGGGATGAAGTCACACTGGCGTTGGAGAATCTTCCAGGCCGAGAGACCGCAGTCTGAGCAGGCGGCTCCCGATACTCGGGAGGGGTAGTGGGCTCGCTCGCTGCACCGCCGAGACCAGCCTTGGCCAGATCACGAGCAAGCTGATCCATCTCAATCTTTTCTTTCTCGTGCTGCATGTCGAGCAATTTCATATCTTCTTCAAAACGTCTTTTCTGTTCTCGCATATACTCGATATGCTGTCGCTTCTTCTCGAACTATTGAGAATACCAAGGTCAGTCAGTACTGTAGGCTTCAATCAACAGATCAGGGGAAACGCAGACTCAGAAAAAGAGTATATGTTTGAGTAAGAATAGAGATGGTAGTGAGGCAAGAATTGAGAGGAGATCAAAATCATGGGATGAAAGACGGCAAGGAACAAGCACAGCCTGGTCAAGCAGTGTCCCGAGTGGGTCACCAGCGAACTGAGACTTGGCTAGGTAGCAGTTGCCCGAATTGGTCAAATGATAGGAGGAAGAATAAGGGATAAGAAATATGGAATTGTGGTGCTGAAATGGAAAAGGTTGAAGGTTGAAGGTGAAGGGGATGGGTGAAGGTGAAGTTCAACTTAGGAGGGGTAGGGTGAAGTGAGAGTAGAGTTTGTCATGCGAACAAAAGTGCTCAATAAGAAGAAGAATCGACAATCTTGCCCGTCATTTAACAGGCGTGCAATCCATCACTTTCCTTCGGGGGTGATTTGGCGGGGACCTGCTCAGGATCGTGTGGCCACTTCCATCGTATGAAGACTCGACCTTCCTTCACTGCAGCTCAACCCCGCCTAATCATCCCCCTCCCCACATTTATATTGACCATATGGTTGAAAATTCAAGGGAAAGGATATCCTTCATCAAACAGAGGTAAATGCAGTTATGGAGATACGAATGAGATCTCTAGGCTTACCGAAGATAGCAGGTCGAGAGGGTCTGGCATCGGAGTACTCCCCTGATTCAAATAATTCCATGACGAGGAAAACTTGCTTGAATCGGTTGTGAAACGACGCTGCAGATTGGCCCGAACATCACTGCTAGGTCGTGAGAAACCGGGAGCCAAGTTCGAATGGCCAGGCGATAACGACGTATAGCCTGGGAAGGCGGACTCCGATGGGGGGGATCGAGGGGAGGGGAATCGGAGCTCATCGAGGCGTTCACTCAGCCCATTCTTGAAGGCCATGATGGGCAACGAAGCCGGGCAGTCCAACTACGATTCCAACACCGGTCAGCACAAAGTGAATTCTCCGAGATTGTTGGCAAGCGCCGAGGAACTTTTAAGGCGCCCGGAGGACAAGCGAACAAACGACCAGCCTCCACACGGTTGACAGAATATTCCGCGCTTATCGGCAGTTAAGCAGATAATGGGGGTGGCCGGGAATCGTGGGGTGGCGGTGTGTGGTGGTGCTCGGTCGTCGGAGGTTGTTTCTCCAAGTAAGGGGAAGGTTGAGAGGGGCTGAGGGGTGGTGGGCGCGACGATCGCTCGCGAAAAGAGGGCACTCACACAATGAACGCCTCGAGAGGACAGCTGGTTAAATCACAAGAGTTCTCACGTGTCGATGTTCAAAGACAGCGACTGCATCTAAGTATATTTGTGTGGCTCAGGCAGGAAGAAGAAGAAAAAAACCTTCGTGGTGTTACTGGAAAGGGTGCGGAGATCAGCCGCAGGGGAGTTGCAGAGTGGGATGGAGACGCCTACCGCCCAACAGGCCTCCACTTAGCGAAACCGCGAGGTTCAACGAGGGGGTGGGGACCAAACGAATGAGTTGCTGCCAAAAAAAGAAGAGAGAGAGAGAGAGAGGGAGGGAGGGAGGAAGGGAGAATGTTGTACACGGAGGAAGTGGAAAGAGGAAAGAAGAAAGGGAGAAGAGGCTGGGAAGAAGAAGATGTGTTCCAGAGCAGCGAAGAGCGGGGAGACCCAGGCCAACCCTATTCGGCAATCGCCGTACGAACGCCCCTGCTGGTTTCTTTTAGGGCTTCAGCTGGTTCCCTTGACTAAACTAGTATGACTACTACTCGTATGGCTTTGAAGCCTTCTTCCAACTCGGATGAAGAGGGGAAAGCCTTAATGAGATGCCAACCAAACACAAACATACCAGAGTCTCTTATCTTCCTTTCCACCACATATGTACCCTATGGATGCCATAGATATGACATTCTATCTACATCAGTTGAATCACTGAGATTATACTACTAGTATATTCAATTTACGATACTACCACCACACCCGTGCGAAACTTGACGACCAGAGCAGATGATCGCCATCGTTACTCGGAAATCGATCGAGACCCGCAGGTGATTGGCGTATCCGTGCTGGTTGTACGACCAGGGTGCAGCTCGGGGCTAGCAGCCCGGGGTAGTCATGGCAGCTCCCATGCTCGAATGATGGATATGATTCTACGCCGGGCTAGGGTTCTACGATCGTGCTCACACGCCGCGCCCGCAAGGGGGAAGAGCGGAGAGAATGAGATGCGCTGGCCACGGCGTGGCAGCTGCAGGAGAAGGAGTAATTGCCCACGCCAATTGACAAGCCACTGTATCGTTTCGAGCGAGTGGAGACGCGCCGAGTGGTGCTGTGTCGCCGGTGTGACAGCGGATCGTCCTTTAAAAGTAGTGCACGGAGTCGGCGTGCCTGGATCGTGCCCTAGCAAGGAAATCGGCAGACTCAAAACCACAGAGGGAGCACACAAAGCGAAACATATCTGAGCGCTTACCATTATACTCCAGGGCTCGTACTCTGCCAATGTACGGATGAGTTGACACCTAACTTTAACTTGGAAGGAGAGAACTCGCGTGGAATGGTTCGCGCCCCTCGCTTTCCAAGGTTCGCTTCGCCGCTGAGCCATCAAAATGACTATTTGATGCCTAGGTGGGATCCACCATTCAAAGAAAGGGGCTGCAGTGCTGCTTTTCTCCAGGGCTCTGAGGGGAAGGGAGGACCTATTTCAATTTTTTGCTTTTTTCTCTCTTTCTTTGACGGAGTAATATGACAATTTTGGATACTTCATACACTCCAGACGCAGTGTACATAGTACTTAATACCATAAGTAGATCCAATAGCCACGCGGGAGGACCCTCGACCCCCCCTCTTCCCCCAATGGCCCTCAGTGCTCGATACTACGGACACCACTCGTACGGCTGGGAAATTGGCGAGAGAAGCGGTGAACGTGATACAAGCCATTCGATGCTGATCGCGTTGGTTGGAGCCCCTGATCCACCGAATGACGAGCATACCAATGATGTGGAGATCCTGCACGAACCCCAGTCGCCTGGATGGAGGGCACTTCCTGGCAATCGGAGCGGCGATCGCCAATCATTCCGCCTCTCTTGCTTCCCCTCTTATTTTCTCCAGTCGAATTAACCTGGACAGTGCTGATTCTAGATCTGTCGTCTGTAGTGTAGGGTCCGTGTGATCCGACGCTTGTCGCGGGAACCCCTCGCTCGGATGATGTGACGTGATGATCTCAGTGTGCTGCAAAAATGACACGTCCATCTCTTCATTTGAACTCCCCGACGAGAGGCAGACTATCGAAGTTTTGAGTGGAGAGTACTCCGTAACCACCGAAAGATTCCCCGTGGGCGCGCGTGGGCGCCTCTCAACCTAGGCCCGAAATAAGTGCCAAAGAATGAGGAGGCGCCTTTCATGCCCAACGCAATTTGCGCCTCGACCAATTCGCAATGAGACACTCCGGTACCGATATCGTTCCACCCTTGTTCGTTTCCCAGATCGTTGGTATTGGGGCCCGAAAGAAAGAGGGGGCTGACAGATTCATCTCTTTCCAGTGGCCGTCTCCAATGCAGCGAAAGACACTGTGTACTCTGCCCTCCGCAGCTCGCTCTGATATAAAGTGGATTTATTACGGAGAGCGTACTCCGCACTCTAGATCCTAAGCTTTAGCCTAGAAAATCCACCGCGCGCACTCCCTTTCTTCGTAGAGGGATCACCCTTAGGCGAGTATCTCTTCAGAACTCGAACAAAGGATGAAAAATGTCGCCGCAACCCGGGCCCATTCCATCCTCAGCCACGTGTGCTTCGTTTCTTTGTTGGGATTGTAATCCTACATATCAACTGTCGTAGTCAGTGCTCTCAGTGCGGGGCCTCCCTGCGCATGGTCTGTACGTATGTATTGTACTTCTGGCACTCTATCGCGATTGGAGCTTCTGGGATTCAACACTTCATGTACATAGAAGTGCCGGGTAATTCCTGGATCTGGTCTCAATCTCGGGGGCTTTTTTTGTTCCAATTATTATGTACGGCTCGCTCCCAATGCCTAGTGTGGCAATTCGAAATTACGAGGAGTTGCGGTCAAGCCATATTTTCGCCACAGGCATCACCGACTAATTCGTCCCAACTGGAGTCGCAAGTCTTCCAGGAATGAGACGCGAATGGCGAATGCACGGTGCATCGGACAAATCAGCATAGTACAAAAGCAAAGGCCACCGTGCAACCCTGTCTGTCTCTTTATTAATTTGTATTTCCGTCTTGGAGCTAATGGAAATCCATGTTTACAGGGAGGCCCTCTTAAACAGAGCAAGGATGGGACCCAATTGCCATCCTTGTCTCTGCGATAAATCGCCGTGATCGCTGCTCTCCACTCCATGGCAGTCTAGCTGGAACGGGCATCGCGGGTGGTGTAGGTTTGCCTCACATCTCCACTCAGCCATGGCCAGGTAGATCATGCAAGACCGTGCAGGCTGTGGGTTCTAAACTGGTCGTCCGTGCAGACATCAAAAACGTCTGAAGGAAACGCATGTGCGATACCTCTCAGGGACCCACTCAGATGCAATTTTTAACTGGAGTTGCATTGGACACAACCCTAAACAAGTTTTTGTAGTGCCCAGGTAGATAGGGCTGGTCGCATCGTGTGGAATGGGACGTCAAATCCGTAGCGCGGGGCTATTTCCCTTAAGAGTGGGGTCATTGCACTTAAGAGAGTTCAAATTTCAGACAGTCAGAAAAGACAGGCTGCAAGGGTATCTTACTAGTAGATACTACTAGCATAGATGATATCTGCGGCATATCGGGGGTGCTTGTTGCAGGATGCAACGGATTGAAGGAGGTTCTTCTCGTTCCTTTTTTTGGGAGGAAATTCCTAGTAGGCATGCTCAGGTGAAGCCCTGGATGTGTTAATCCCCGTGTCACGAACATACTAGAAGCCTACTAGTACTAGTACTAACTTGAAGAGCTACTAACTACTGAGTCACGGTAGTACTACTAGTGCTAATAGTAGTAACCGGGGCCGTGGATAAGGCTGCTAGTATACCTAGGTATACACTCCAAGCCCGAGTCTGTTGTTGCTAATCTGATAAATATCTAATTTAGTCTCCAATTTGCTACAGCTCCGATACAGAACCAATGGATCCCCTATTACTTAGATACTACGCGTCACATCGACATTGAGTAGTATGACAACCAACATATACTCTCAGAATGACAGGCTGCGCTCTCGTCTCATCGCTGGCAAAAATATTGTGGCCTGAGGCATCAACGCTAACCCCGATGTGGACAGCTGACGATGAGATAAGCCAAATTTTGTGAGAAGACCGCTTCCCCTCCACGCTGCATGACACTGGCGAATGCGCACCCACATTTCTTGGTACCCTGACAACTGTGTGGCTTGAGATCGCGGAGCAAGTCTCTTCCAAAACCCAGCTGTTTAGTCACCATGCCGCCTCGCAAGAAGTCGCAGGCTTCTGCGACCGCCCAGGGCCGGCGCCCCTCGGAGGTAACAAAACTTTTTATTCAGACATACAAGCACATAATGGGCATACTAACTTTGGTTTTCCGGATAAATTAGGCTACGGCTACCTCAACGACTGACTTTTCGAAGAGAAAACGTTCCTCCATCGCTAAAGAATCCCATCGCGCGGCCGAGTTCAACGAAGCGGCGGAGCAGCCGGTCAAGTCTGATTACAAGGAAAGAGATCCGTTTGACGCGCTCCTAGAGCCTTTCTACTACAACAAATCGCTTACGGACCCAATCGATACGGCAAAGGATAAATGGAACCTGCTCCCCGCTTTTTTGAAGGTGAAAGGTTTGGTCAAGCAACACATTGACTCATACAACTACTTTGTTGAGGTACAATTGAAAAAGATCGTCGAATCGAGCGCTATAATCCGCAGTGATGTCGACCATCAATTCTACATCAAGTTTACGGACATCTACGTTGGCTCGCCCCGCCGTGCAGACGAGATGCAGGACGCCGGGGTTGAATTTGAGTCGGATGTTACTCCGCAGGAGTGCCGACTTAGAGATACTACCTACGCAGCCCCCATCCTCATCGATTTCGAATATGTGAGAGGTCGGAAGAGGGTTCACCGCAAAGGTGTCTCGATTGGTCGAATGCCCGTGATGCTTCGCAGCTCCAAATGTGTTTTGGCAAACAAGACCCCCGCACAGATGACGGTTCTTAATGAATGTCCACTAGATCCTGGTGGTTATTTCATTGTGAATGGAACAGAGAAGGTGATTCTTGTCCAGGAGCAACTGAGCAAGAATCGTATCATTGTGGAAACCGACCCAAAGAAAGAGATCGTGCAGGCTTCAGTTACCAGGTACGTAATTGACTAGCCATCTCGCGTCTTCTTGAATGCTAATACCCAAATCTTCTACAGTTCTTCTAATGAGAGAAAATCAAAGAGTTATATTGTTCTCAAGAAGGATCGACTCGCCGTGAAGCACAACGTGCTCAGCGAAGATATCCCAATCGTCGTTTTGCTCAAAGCCATGGGAATCCACACCGACAAGGAAATGCTGCAGCTTGTAGCTGGTTCCGATAGTCTCTATCAGGATGATTTCGCCATCAACTTCGAGGAGGCTATCAACTTGGGCATTTTCACGCAGCAGCAGGCCCTGGAGTGGATTGGCTCTCGTATCAAAATAAACCGCAAGCAGGGAGCGTATCGCAGAACCCATGTCCAAGAGGCTGTGGAAGCCATCGCATCCGTCATTATCTCTCACATTGAAGTCAAGAATATGGACTTCCGACCAAAGGCTATCTACGTTGCTCACATGGCCCGTCGTGTCCTAATGGCCAAGAACGATCCGTCGATGGTGGACGACCGCGATTATCTCGGAAACAAGCGGCTGGAATTGGCTGGTCAGCTTTTGGCTTTGCTGTTCGAAGATCTGTTCAAGAAGTTTTGCTTCGATATTAAGATGAACATCGACAAGGTCTTGAATAAGCGCAATCGCGCTGAGCAATTCGATGCCTGGAGTGTGATGAGTATGCATGGTAACCATATCACTCAAGGAATGAACCGTGCCATTTCAACTGGAAATTGGAGCTTGAAGCGTTTCCGCATGGAGCGCGCTGGTGTGACTCACGTGCTGAGCAGGCTGAGTTACATTGCTGCACTCGGCATGATGACTCGTATTAGCAGTCAGTTCGAGAAGACCCGAAAGGTCAGTGGTCCGCGTGCACTACAGCCATCCCAGTTTGGTATGCTGTGCCCGGCGGATACCCCCGAAGGAGAGGCTTGCGGACTGGTCAAGAACTTGGCCCTCATGACCCACATTACGACCAACGACGAAGAAGGTCCTGTGCGCAACTTGATCTTCATGCTAGGCGCAGAAGATATCTCCACTGTCAGTGGACTAGAGCTTTACGCACCTGGGACCTACACAATTTCAATCAACGGTACACCAACTGCCATGACCAGACGTCCCAAGTACTTCCTCAATTCCTTCCGAAGGCTCCGCCGCATGGGTCGTATCTCTGAGTTCGTCAGTATCTACATCAATCACCACCAGCGGTCAGTCCATATCGCCACAGACGATGGCCGTATCTGTCGACCTCTCATAATCGTGGAAGATGGCAAATCACGGTGTCGTCAACATCATTTGAAGAAGTTGAGGGATGGTACCATGTCTTTCGACGATTTTCTTGCTCAGGGTCTTGTCGAATATCTTGATGTGAATGAGGAAAATGATTCCTACATCTCCATCTACGAGAAAGACATCAACGATGCGACCACCCATTTGGAAATCGAACCCTTCACTGTGCTCGGTGCTGTGGCCGGCCTCATTCCTTATCCCCACCACAACCAATCGCCTCGTAATACCTACCAATGTGCCATGGGTAAACAAGCTATTGGTGCTATTGCTTCGAATCAGTTCCAGCGAATTGATTCAATTCTTTATCTCATGGTGTATCCACAGAAGCCAATGGTCAAGTCGCGGACAATCGAATTGACCAAATACGACCAACTTCCTGCCGGACAGAATGCTACAGTTGCAGTTATGAGTTACTCTGGCTACGATATTGAGGATGCTCTGGTATTGAATAAGGGCTCGGTCGACCGCGGATTCGGACGTTGTCAGGTCTTCCGCAAATATGTCACGAACCTAAAGAGTTATCCCAGTGGATTGAAGGATGATCTGGTCGGCCCAGAGTACGAAAACGAAGCACCGATTCTCAAGCATGCGCTGCTTGAAGCCGATGGTCTGGCCGCAGTGGGTGAGCAGGTCAAATCAGGCGAGGTTTACATCAACAAGAAGGTGCCTGATCAAGCACACACGATGGGCCTCATGGGATCTGACTCAGGCAAACCTATCTCTTGGAACCCTGCACCAATGGCCTACAAGCTCCCCGATCCTGCATACATCGATAAGGTGATGTTGTCTGCTACAGAAGGCGAGACACGACTTATCAAGATCTTGACCCGCCAAACCCGCCGCCCCGAGGTTGGAGATAAGTTCTCATCCCGCCACGGACAGAAGGGTGTTACCGGAATCATTGTAGACCAGGCTGACATGCCGTTCACTGATCAAGGCATCAATCCTGATATCATCATGAACCCTCACGGTTTCCCGTCTCGAATGACAGTCGGTAAGATGTTGGAATTGGTTTCGGGCAAAGCGGGTGTTTTGTCTGGACAGCACGGTTACGGCACCTGCTTCGGTGGTAGCCCCGTTGAAGAAATGTCCCAGATCTTGATTGATCATGGCTTCAGCTACGGTGGTAAAGACATGCTCACATCTGGTATTACCGGCGAGCCACTCCCGTTCTATGTGTTCACTGGTCCGATCTACTACCAGAAACTCAAGCACATGGTTCAAGACAAGATGCATTCTCGTGCCCGTGGTCCCACTGCTACTCTGACACGCCAGCCTACTGAAGGTCGTTCGCGTGACGGTGGTCTCCGTCTCGGTGAGATGGAACGTGATTGTTTGATCGCCTACGGAACAAGCCAGCTGCTGCTTGAACGTCTCATGATCTCCTCTGACAGGCATGAAGTTGATATTTGCGAGAAGTGTGGCTTCATGGGCTATTTGAACTGGTGTCCTGGGTGCAAGTCGTCTCGGTCCGTTGTCAAGATGGTCATGCCTTATGCTGCCAAGCTTCTTATCCAGGAGTTGATGAGTATGAACGTCGCTCCTCGATTGAAGTTGGAGGACGAGTTCCCTGAGATGAAAGGCCGTTAGACAGTGAGTTGCAGAGTTATGATGGTGTTCTGGAACAAAAAAAAGGGCGCATTTGGGTATTTATGTACGTGTATCTTCTTAGCAAAATGGCATAGCGCGGCGATTTCAATACCACTACTCAAACCACGTAGGGCTGCAAGTAATATATGACTAGTGCTATAAAACCATTCACACTCCGCTGTGTCTATAAAGAACGGTGGTTGTTAGGTATTATTCGGGAATCTACAGTATCTATGGCTTTCTCGTACTATCCAATTCAACACCTGAACAATTGCATTCTGAATAAAATAAAGAGAAGTGAAAGTATAAGACCAGAAGACCAGTAATTCAAAGCATCAACACATTTGACTCAAACGCAACCTGTTGATACCGCGCAAACTCAATCAGTTCATTCAGACAGCTGACCCTTATCTTGAGGGCCTCATCCAAGCTCAACGGCATGTCCCCTTTCTTGTCTTTATTATCTAGCGCTAATTTTGCCATAGAATGTGCATGATTTTCCTCTTCAGGATCGACTTTCAGCGTCCAATCTAATCGCTGGGGCGGAACATTGGCCGTCGAGATAATCCGGATATTCGGGTCAATCAAGTAAAACACCAAACCGCGCGATTTCCCCGGCTTTGACTTGTCTTTCAGTTCAAATCTTGTAAATCGGTGCTGCACCGTACTCGGGAAGATAATAGCACGCCCAAGAGCGCATCTCATTGAGCCGGAGCGCTGAATAGCCGGCTCGCCATTTTCCAGGCCAAATATCTGCTTGAGCCAGATAAAGTCATTTGGTTCGTGGTCCACCTCTTCGAGTGTGGCCGTTTCAACTATATTGCGAAATTCCATGATGGCTTCCTCCATGTTCTCGGTCTCATAGGTGACGAAGGCCGCGGCGCAGACGTGTTCGTTCTATAAAAAAAGCCTCTTAGTTTCATGATGGATCTTGCCATCTGAGCTTGTGTTGAGAAACTCACCATTTGACCCTCGACATGCCACTCTGTTTGATAGTACGGCTCATCAGGAGTAAGATCTACGCCCATGAGCCGCGTAACAACCTGAAGTCCTCTATCCTTGTAGTCTCGACTCAGATTGACTCCCTGCTCAATGCGGACAGGACTGGGTAAATCTTCCGGAAGCTTCGACATCAGACACTGTGGTACAGCCCAAGGTATGAACTTCCCTGCATCAGGCTGAACGGCAATGTAGTTTTCCATCCTCCATAGTTCATACCGTTCCTCAAACTCACTCTGCGCTTCTCGAAATTTTATCTGGGGTGCTTGACTCGCCGTCTCTTTCGATACAGGGTAGTACTCGGCCTTGTGGTATTCGATTCGGGCCCGAGAATGAAGCATGTCTTTGAGCGGAGTTATGGTCATGTTAAATTGCGGAATGATGCAGTTGAAAACCTTCTCAATAACCCCGTATACATTGCGATGCTTGACGGGGTGCAAATTGTTGATATAAGTGGAAATGTGCCATTTGCCGTCATCCCCAAGCTGCCAGTCTGTTGGGAGAACTTGAAACATCCGGCTATATGGCCGTACTGAAATGTCTGCTCGAGCTCGTACTCGCCAAGCTATATCTTCTCTTGTGACTCCACTATCACTAGGGACAGGTATCACCTCGCCCTGACCGGCAAATCGCAATGCCTCGTCCAGGCCGATGAGTCTGTCCGGGAGAATACGGCTTTTGCCATATATGAGTGGATAAAGAGTCATTGCGAGAAGGTCTCGCTGCTTGTTGAAAGTTCGCGGGTGATAGAATTGCAGCACTTCATGTTCAATCTCTAGGACCTGAGTTGTAGATTGTATCTCTTGAATGAGAGATTCGGGCACATTGGTGTCAGACTTGGTGGCATCACCGTTGTACAGCCCAACACAACGGAATCTCTCGTAGATCATTGCCTTAAATGCCAATTCGTCCACAATCCAGTTGGCCATATTTTCTGTGATATCTTTACCGCTATTTAGGGCCATCCTTTTCCATTCCCCAGTGACACTAGAATCTGAGACCTGCCAGAAACGAACGATTAAACAGGCTCTCAAACTTGAGTCACATACAAATTAGCACATACCTTCTTCCACCATTCTGGGATATCCGTTATCTGCTCCATGATACCCACCATGGCTATCTCGCGAAGAGTCTGGAGAGGCAATCTAATTAGGGTTCAGTATTTGCTTCATGACCAGAGGAGAAGTCCAACCTACTCGGTATATCCATTTTCGATGTCTCGGTCATCTGCAGCTGACGGGAACATGCTCCGGCTCTCCACGCCATAGATGTTCTGTTCGGTTGGAGAATAATCCAACGGACGGCCATATCCAGGAAGGTGAAAGCGATAGTCTTGGTTGTTGCTGACGCTGAGGAAACCTTCCTCGTCTGCTCGATGCTGGAACATGGCGACAGCCACACCGGGATAAGTACTCTGTATATTTCTGTTGACGTTGAATTAGAATAAAGTACCCAACTATTGATGGGTCTACCCAGTCAAAGTAATTCTGAATTGGAGTCAACGTTTAGGGCAGCGGGATGGAATTGAAAAATGTTTATGATTAGAGGGGTAACTTGGCTATATTGACATGGAGAAGACAGCTGTTTTCACTCAATGATGCACTGCTGTCGTCGTTATCCGTGGGATAGCTGGTACAATTCGTACCATCCAAAGTTCTGCCAGGGAAGGACTCGGAACTTCACTCCGGCTCATGGTTTCTGAGATTCATATAGATAGTATGTGGATGGAGATCCGGATAAATTATTATCATGGTGACTAAATGTAATAAGGTGCCACGGGATTCTAAAAGTCAAACACACCATAATAATGTCGATGAAGAAAATAATGCCAGATTATTCAATGTATCAAGAATGGAAGTGTTGTTAAATATCATAAGACAACATCGTCTGGAAGATAATCATATTGTGGGTGAAGAGAGCTCCAGGTGTTCCTTAACAATGCCCCAGTATCGATCCGGCGCTGCTCGCATATGTCCAACATGAGGCGAACCTTGGAATCGTTCACATTGCACGAGCCAGCCGGCAGCTTCCGATTCAGATGCATGCATTTCAACATCGCGGTAATCAACCAAATCATCGGCCTCGGAGTATATATAGCAGCGAACAGGGACGCCCTTGTTGTTGACAGCCTGCACAAGCGAGGGATCATTAACCGTCTTTCGTGCACAGCTGATGACATCTGGGGATCTCGTGATGGTCTGGATCAATTTCATTGTGACAAGGAAAATCCACAGGAGACCTTTGCCGAATAATCGCAGAATCCACATCTGAGGAAGTGCAAAAGAGAAGGCTCGAACCGCGGAGCTGAGTTTGGCGGTTCCCGGTGCACTATCCACTACCATTGCTGAGAAAAGGAGGGGTTGCCCTGTTGCAGCTTTGTATGCCTTGAGCAGGTTGGCGGTTTTTGACAGGCCACCATTGGAGAAGAGATGCATGAAAACGGGGTTCTCAGGGGCCACGATAGAGCGGATTGCTTCCACGGCAGGGGTTATCTGCACTCGCTGCGCATTTTCGGTGGCTTGAAAAAAGAAATCATTCGAGGAGCTACGCACAAAAACGATGCGAGCGGTAGGCACCAGGCGCCTGTACTTGACTGCGTACTTGGCGAGGGCGCGAGGTGGTGCGTTCATCCAAAAAGCGATGAAGACCAACGGCTGATTGACTTTGTCCCCCGTATCTGCTGGGTCCTGCATATAGACAGAAGGACCCAATTTGACGAAAGGAGCCAGGGGATTTGGATGTGCAGCCATGATGGACGTTTGATTGGAAGGACGGTGGTGCTGACAAGGAGCAAACAAAACAAGTTGCGGAGATCCTCGGCCAAGTGCCGGCCCGACTGCAAGTCGAAATTGGCATACTAGTACTAGTAGTAGTAACTAGTAAATGGTTTACGGTAAATGCGATTTATAGATACTCTTGATCCAGTACTTTATGACACAAATGAACACTTAGGATGTATCAAGAAGATACAAGTCATTGAGACAATTCACGTATTGTGTATCAATCAAAAATCAGAGACATCGGACTAGACCAGAAACTACTAGTAGTACAAGGGTGCCGGAAGAGGATACTAGAAACCGAGAATTGTATTCTGCCATCGAAAATTACCAAAACGCCTATTCCTCGCTATGCCCGTATACCAATAGTGCCCCCCCCTTTTGCGCATCCAGAGGCATCACATCTAGAGGTCTTAAACGTATCGTCATGCAAGGTTTCATGAGATATCGCGACTGGGAGCCATCTCAGCGCTTCTTGCCCAGAGTCCGGCCGCCGCCACTACTCTTGCCCTTTTGGCTTTCAGCCTCGCTGCCCGAGGTGGGTGTTGCTGAGCCCCCAAGATCCTTCTTCTTCTTCCCCGTAAGGTCTGGCCGATGCCCCGGAACTTGGGCTGATCCTCTGGAATTACCAGTCCGTTCTCATCGCGTGGCTTAGGCGGTTTGATTGTGTAGCCAAAGAACAGCTGGTTAGGAGGGAGCCGGAGAGGCTGGGGACCATTGGTTTTCCGAACTGGTGGAGGGTGCTGGGGGTTTGTAGCCCCCGGGACTGGAGTGCTGGCTTTGGGAGTAGGAGCTTTGCTGCCCTTCTTGGCATTAAGTCGTTGCCCCCCCCTGAAATAAAATTCGACGAGACGGCCTTCGCTCCAGCAGCGGCATCAGTTGATTCCGGTGCGATGGCAGAATAGTTGATGGACTGTGCCATCGTACCATGGGGGTGAAGAAGCCCACCGGTAGGTAGCTTGCCGCCGCTTACGACACTTCCCGGGGTGCTGGTGCCGCTGGTGCGCTGTGGCTCTTCATATCCCACGGGAGGAGCGAAGTCGACTTCTAGATCGGTCTCTAACACGGACACCGCACTTTTGGAACCCGCAGGTTTAGTTTCAAGGACGGCCATCTCGTAGATCTGATCATTATAGGCAAATGTGAAAACGTCGCCCTTTGTCAGGCAAGAAAAGTTGCGGAACGCGTTTTCAAGTACAGCCTTGGGATCACTAATATCGAGGAAGGAGGTCGACTGGGCTTGAAGCTTAATGAATTGACCCGGGGGGGGAGGTCTGTAGACTTGATCTGAAGAAGGTCACCGGGTTCTAAGAGGAGTGTTTGCATGAGCTAGAGAGGATAATTAGGAAGTTAGAATCTAGCTTGATGTTGATAGCGTCTTTCGAATTCGGAGTGCGGTTGTGTTGTCACTCACCCAAAATGGTAAATAGATCTTGCCCTCCTCAGCGATGAACTCCAGAACACCAGCATGGGTCATCCTATCCTTTGCACCATTATGCAACTCGAAAAGCATAGGATAGGTAATGTGGAGGCGAGTGAGCTTGTCCAATGCGCTTGGAGGCATGATGACCTTCCCGCCATGGTTGACGTTCTCTCTTTCGGGACCGGGAAGCATCGCAACTGGATAGCAGCGGTAATATTCATCGAAACGGCGAGCCGTGCCGCGCATCATGCCGGTACCTAGAACACCTTCCATAGGGTCATCGAAACCGTAGTCAGGTCGGAACTGAGAGCTATTAGATCGGAATCTTGGGAGCTCCCTCGATGTGGGGGGCAGATGGGGAGAAGGAAGAGACTCACCATGATTTGACGTGATGGAGGGAGGAATCACGAATGTTGAACACAGAGAGATATTTGATGTATCGAAATCAGTGCCAGGTGAAGAAGACCAGGACCCTCAATTCCCAACGTGCATCAAAGTGCAGAGTGCGGGCGGAGTGACGCAAGCGCAAGGTTGCTCCGCCCACAATTTGCCGCCCCGCTCCGACTTTACATACACTTGCACATGCCCGCAACAAAACGTTTGCACAGCTACGCAACAGCTCTCTGTCTGTCACTGTCTTCCGTTTGAAGTACCATGCAGAGCTCACAGTCTCACCCCAAGCGGGCTGGTGAAGATTTCACACGCTCCCATCTCGATCAGGACGAGCCTGAAGCCTCCTCAGATAAAAAGCCACGATTTGATCTCCGCAATCCCTCTGCTCTTGCGCCCGAAGCGCCCGAAGAAGACGCCGTTCTAGATGCCGATGAGATTGGTCGACGAGGCCAAAAATTACGAAGAAAAGCGATCAACATCGACGGTTACGACTCAGACAGTGACAATGAGGGGTTCTCCGCACGCAGAGAGGAAAAATCAAAGCATGAACAGGAGAAGGAAGACGCCGACGACGACGACGACATGTTCGCTGAGCTGGAGGACGACTTTGGCGAGGGCGAGGGCAATGCCGATGCCGACGAGACAGCGCGCAAAAAGAAGAAGAATGTCCGATTCCTACAGAACGACGAGATCGAGGGCCAGGTTGCTTCCTCGACAGGCGGGAAAAAGTTATCAGCCGACCTAAGCAAAGGTGCCGCCGATGTGGTGAATAATGACGACTCGGAAAGTGATAGTGAAGTCGACGAGGAGGAAAGGGCCAAGGCGGACGAAGAACAGGATGAAGAACTTGGCGCTGGCGCAAAGAAGAAGCATGCGCCTTTGCTCGATGCATTCAATATGGCGACGGAGCAGGAAGAGGGTCGGTTCGATGAACAGGGCAATTACGTACGAAGAGCCGTGGACCCGGACGCTGCTTACGATTCCTGGCTGGATGGGGTGTCCAAGAAGGATATCCGCAAGGCAAAAGAAGCCGCTGAAAAGCGCGACGAAGAAAGGAAGCAAAAGGACCGGATGGATGGGGAGGTGTTGACTGCTGATGTTTTAAAAACAATCATCACAAACCTGGAACGTGGCGAAACAATACTAGAAGCACTGGCCCGGCTCGGCAAGGGTCTTCAACGAAAGCCAAAATGGCAGAACAAGAAGAAAAATAACAAGGGGGGCAAGGAACCCGAAGACGCCGAGATGACCGATGAGAACTCGGACGAAGCTAGACGGCGGCAAGCGATCGAGGCTGTTACTGGGGCCGCTGACATCCTGATGGGCCGCGATCAGCCTGAAATTTACGACACAGAGCGCGAGCTTCTCACTCGACAGTATAAGAGCGAGACGGGCGAGGCGTGGGTTGATCCGCCCTCGTCTGGCCCTGCAGAGCTTGAGCAAGGGCCTGCGATGTGGGAGTATCGCTGGTCTGACGCCCGCGATGGCGGTGATGCCCATGGGCCTTATGAAAGCTCTATGATGCAAGCATGGCAAAGCGCCGGATATTTTGGTGAAGGCGTGGAGTTTCGCAGGGTGGGAGATACAGGACCGTGGAGTGGTACAGTCAATTTTGTGTAATGTAATACCAGCAAATGCAATAAGTTCTCAAATCAATTCAAAAAGCATAAAAATCTCCTTGAAAAAGCGCCAATCCTATCATACATCATTTGATGTGGCAATCAAAAGAAAAGAGTCAAATAGTAGTGTTTTTCTTCCCGCTAAACCGTCTCCCTATGAGCCTTGAACCGCGCCTATGAAAAAAGAAAAGCGAACTGTTATTATGAAAGTTCCATGGCATCACCGTTGGTAGTTGCCGTGAAGTTGACGGTGCCTTGATCTCCGATGAAGCGCTGTTCATATTGGTTGACAAACTTGACACTGCGAGCCGGATCGTAGAACAGTCGGAAGCTGCGTTGCACGTCGTCGATGCTGACCTCCTTGGCCTTGCGTTTCTGGCTCAAGAGATGAGAGGTAGTGATGATATTGCTTGCGTATCGAAGGTTAGACTCCTCGCCAATCTTCGTCAAGAGGGCAAGGGCATCCGGCGAGACATCGATTTCCTCTTCCTGTGCCCGAATGGCAAGGATTTGCCGAATTTCATCCGCGCTATACGGTTGGGTGCTGACGATGACAACCCGGTCGAGGAAGTCCAGAGGAAGACCGTGCGGTGATGTATAGGTGGTGCCACGAATCTTAGCCTGACCGCGGTTACTGGCCATGATAACAATTGGTGCCAGCTCGGCTTCGAGGGCACGGTTGATGTAAGAAAAGCACTCAATGTCGAGCATGTGAACCTCGTCAATAAAAAGAACACCGGGGATAATTTCGGCTTTGCCTTCTTCCTTCCACTCTGCTACCTTGGTGTTGATCTGATCGCGAACCTCGCTTCGGATCTCCCCAGTGTCGCCCGAGAAAAGTGCCAAAAATCCTTGTGACCGCGAGTTGATGACATCAATCTCGTGTAGGCTGACAGTATGAACAATCTCCTTGCGAACCTGCAATTCGCCCTCGGGGCATTGGACAAACTTGGTGTCGGCGCCCATGGCGTCGTAGTCCCGAGAGCGCGCGTACGAGCGACCGAGCTTGGTGATTTTGCCGGAAGACTTATCAATGGAGATCACGTCGCCTGCCATCACGCGTTCCTTGGTCATTGAATCGATCATCTTCGTTCCCATATCGTATATCGTTTCCATGTCGGTGGTCTTGATCGTGAGCTTGCCTTGCTTGTTGCCCTATGAGATACCGGTGGTCAGCTTGACGCTCATTCTGTCGTGGGAAAGGACCTAAGAGGCTACATACTCCAGTAACGCTTCGATCAATCTGAATTTCCACCACCTCACCCTCAATGATCTCGCTCTCCTCCTTGATTCGCACACCGATAGATTTTCGGAAGGCCTGGGTCAGAGCCTCAGTCTTGGACATCTCCATAGAGAAGATTTCCGATGAAGCGAGCATCGTGAAGGGAACGTCGGGTCCAAGCGATTGGGCCATACCCATAGCGATGGCAGTCTTTCCGGTGCTAGGAGGGCCAGCAATTAACACGGCGCGACCGGCGATCTTGCCTTCCTTCACCATTTGCAGAATCACGGCGGCGGCCTTGCGCGCCTTTTCTTGGCCGACCAGACCCTGGGATGAGCCACGGGGCTGTAGTGTGTCCAGATCGACACCGAGGCCTCTGATATGCGAATGGGCAGCGATGAGGTTCAAGCCCCGGAGCTCCTTGCTCTCCGCGACGGTAGAAATAGGCTATTTCCGAGGGTGAGTAGGGGTATGTCAATAATTGGGAGCTTCGCGACTCACGACAGCCATTGTGACCGAATTCCAGAAGGTCGTAGTCTGGGGGAAGAGGAAGCAGAAGGTGTTGAGAATGAAAGGCGGAGTTTGAGGTGAGAGATTCCTCGCGCCTCTCCCGTCCAATCAAGATCCAATGTCACGTGACCCCTACCAATTAATCCCAAAGTGAAAGGCGCAAACAGCAAACGCCGTCTTTGACTCTGACATGAAAGATAACTTTCCTCCTCTTCCTCTTCCACTTCATGCGATCTGCAAGACTGCCCTTTGCCCAAGGTATGGGACCCTTTTCTCTCCCACCATTCGCTTCTTTCACTAACACCAACTCTCTTTAGTTTGGTTGCGCTAGCGCGACGCGCTCCGTGTGATAGATCAAGTCTATGCTGGCGCTGAACGCGGAATTAATGCTTTGCTCTGCACATTTTTACACGTGGAGCTGATAGTGATTCTGCGTTCCCTCGACCCACAGAATTACCTATCATTTCGAGATGTTCTATCGACCACCTGTGTGACTTCATCCCTCACCAGTTGCAATCTACAGCATGGAGGTGAACAGTCCGCACAACCCGCCCAGCCAGGCCAATCCCCGAGCTCCCTTGCCCCCCTCAAGTGATCCTCGCCTCAAGGGAACTCGCCCATCGGTTGCGACATCTTCTTTCCCTCGTCACTCTCCAAAAGCGCAGCCCTCTCCGTCCACCACTTTCCTACCTGCTCATGACCAAGCACGACATCCTCTCTCAAGAGAGGCCTCTGATTTGACACCTCGCATACAATCCGATTCTGCACAGAAGCTAGATGGGTTGGACATTAGCGGGTTGTTGCTTGAGTTCGTGGATGCCCGAGCTTCAAGAATGGTCCAGATACAAGAAAGAACAAAACTTGAGAGAGAGGAGTCTTCCTATCAACGTGACCTGGCAAGGGCAAGACAGACAAAGTCTTTCCCAGCCACGATTGAAAGCTTGGAGACCGATGCAGCTGCCTGTAAAAATAGGCTGTCCAAGATCAACCATCTCATCACCCGGCAACAAACTCGCTCAACCGAACTCAATGAAGATCTGGGAAAATTTCTTCGGCAGAACACAAATTTGCAGACCCCTCCAGCAACGGGCCCTCTCCAGCCTACCTCTGACACTGGCCAGAACATGGCTAGATTAGAAGATGACGTGAGGAAGATCAAACGAACAATACTCATTAAGAAAGAGGATGACCTCCCTGACAAGCCCATCGACATCTTTAAAGTCTGCAACACTGTTGAGTCGCAATCAAAAGCGCACACAACCTTCCGGAAAAGCATCAATGCTATCGAGGAATGGAGATCTACTGCAGAGAATGAAACAAAGCAGTTCATGGAAGCAAGAACACAGCAAATTCAGGAACGAGCTTTATCAAGACTGGAAATAGATCGGCTCACAGGCCAGGCGCGCAAGACCACCGAAGCCCTCTCAGATTTTAGAAAATTCCTGCAAGCTATTGACCAGACAGTCCAAAGACATGAAAGCGTTGTCCGTACACTCACTGCCGATCAAAAGAATATGGGAATTGCACTAAGCACACAAAGAGAGCAACTGGAATGCATACTTGCAGTACAAGGGCAAAATCTTTCCCAGTCACAAGTGCAAACATTCTCTGGTGCTATTTCCGATTTCACCAAAAAATTTGATTATACTTCTCAAAGGCTCGATGGTCTAACAAATTCCGACCAAGAGCGAGCTCCGTCTTCTGAATTGTCTGCTGTCCTAAGGGATAGGGTATCGGATCATGATAAAATGCTCATCAAGATGAAAGAGGGTTGGGATGATCTTCTACGTCGAGTTCCAGCTCTATATGAGGCCTCCGAAGAGGTAAAGAAATGCAGCAAGAGTTACGAGGGACTTGCTACAGCTCTTCGATCTTTGGAACTACGATACAACAATATCAATACCGAGTCCATGGTCACACAAATGGCTCATGTCATACAAGAGATGTATCCATCTGCCCGCCAGTTAAATGAGGAAGTCGTTGCACTCAGAAATTCCGTCAACCAGAATATACCAGGAATCAAGACAGGCACCAATTGGCATCTTGACAAAATCCAGGAGCTCCAAGCCCAGTATGATGCTCTCCACCATGCATTCTCTACTTCCCAGACCCAGTGTCTCAACACTGCATCTGCATCCAAGGAAAACAACGAAGCTTCGACGACAAAGTCAAATGAACTGGAAGCGCAGCTCCAAGACCTGAAAACCCAACTTGAAGCTATGCGGAAGTTAGTGGATGAGCTACGAATGCAGCCACCGACGGAAATGCCTCCACATTCTTCTTCGGCAGAGAACACTAGTGCCACGCAAGCCCAGGAAATATGCGACCAGATGAGGGCAATGCTTGACAAAACAAAGAGTGAAATGGTAGATCTACTGGCTGATGTGAATTCCATGCTTTCATCCCAGTCGACGGCTCTAGCAGATGTCCAGGAGCCGAGCAGACGAAACCAAAATCAATCGCAGGAATTGGAGTCGGCTCTTACCAACAAATCTTCCTCTGGTTCCAGAGGGTCTGAATCAACTACACAGCCCCCGTTTCGACATTCGGAGCCTGGTTTCACAGATCCCCTTCGCCAGTCTTCGGCGCGCACCCAACACAATCAGGCTTCAGGAATACAGCAAAATGGCGGTGGTTTTCCAAGCTCCCCTCTAAAGACTGGTAGCTCTTCAATAAACCCCCAAGCCCACCCGATGTCTGCAGCGGTTGCAAGTAACAAACGTCTGAGAGACGAATGCTCTGATGATGATAGTCCATCGGCAGCCGCCACCACCGCTAGCGAGTCGCCTGCGCCATCTTCTAATCCTGATATAAGGATAGGTCAAAGGTCACAGAAGAGGAGGAAGAAGAAGAAGATCAGGCAAAATAATTTGGGAGCTCAAGGGGTTTGAAACCACAATTCTTGTACTGCAGGGTTTTGCCGCGTTTGATTTAGTGATACCTAGGTACCTATGCGTCCCGAGTGGGCCTTTGAACGTCATGCAATTATCTTTCTATCCTTCTATCGGTCTTCTAGTAATATATTTGAATGCCGGTGTATTTAGTGGACGATTCGCTTTCAATTAGGGTGATCCCAGGAATTTCACCACCGCTGTTAAGAATAACCTTCAAGTTAGCACTCCATTTGTCTGGAATCTCGAATATCAATAACTTACCCTGTCTGAATCCCTCGGGGTTTTCAGAAATAAGCCAGTGCCCAGCCTCAACGTCGGCGACCTTTGCGCTCGGAAAGAATTTCTTGATAGCCGGCAGCGTGTCATCCGATACGTATTGAGATTTCGTTCCGCGAACGAACAAGGCTGGGCCATTGTATTGAATGGAGTCCGACTGGCTGTATGGGAAGTCCGCCATGTTGTCAAGAGATTTGCCCAAGACTGCCAAGGGAACACGGAACTTGTATGTCCCATCATCTTCAGAGCGGATCAGGTTGGTGAGAAGGAATTGACGGATTCCAAGCGACTAAACGGCAGCTTTGTTAGCGTCTGAATCATGTGCATAGGCTTTGATCATATGGTTGATATACCTCTTCGTAGGCCTCAAGAATCTTGCTGGCTTCCGACTGCTTCTTCACTTTTTCATTCTCTACATGCTGCATTCCGCGCACATATTTGGGGAAGTCGCTCTTCAGTGTTGCGTTGACCGGGGCGTTATCCACGGGGATCAGGCCCGAGACACGCTCCGGAGTACGGAGGGCCATTGTCATTGCCACTTTGGCACCCCTTTTTCCAATATTAGCATATGTTGAAAGATGGAACTCGTGACTAGATGTCGAGTCTGGGCCGAGGTCACAACTTACATGGAATGTCCGATGAGAACACACTTACCCAGCTTTTGCTGCTGAATGAATTCCTGGACGTCGTCGGCCATCGCACTATAATTGTGTTCCGGGGCATGGAAAGACTGTCCATGATTCCGCAGGTCCTGATCGGCGAATTAGTTGTGAGATTCCTTCAATGAACTATGCTCTCCGGGTCAATAGGGAATGCGAGTTTTGAGTGTACCAGACAGAAAATTTGACGCTTCAAATCGCGGGCTAGGGCTCTGGAAAAATGTTAGACTCAAAACGAGAATGCGCTAACATTGCGATCGCATACTTGCTGATACTCCGATTATTTTGCTTAGAGCCGAAGAGTCCATGCAGGAACAGAATGGGATCCCGAGTAGCCTGCTCTTTCTCTGGGCCGTAGACTTGATAAGCCAGCTCAGCGCGAAAGACGCGTGCCGTCGAGAAGGCACGAAGTCCGGGTACACCTCGAGTAGCGGTGACAGCTGTGCGAACAAATGACATGATGCAATGTAGCAACGTAGAGGTTCTCATGGATCTCGGAGAGCGCGACTCGTCGCCGTCAAGAAATCGGGAAACCTCTCGGTGATGACTAATCAGATCGAGGGACATAATGGATAAATGATAACCAAGTATAGGGTCCAACAATCGCCTGCCATTTCAACAAGCGATATCAATAGCATGTATCGTGTAGGATTCATACCCGGGGCGATTAATGGCTTGTTAAAGTGGAAATTCCGGGCAGCTGGATGAAGTTATCGTATGTGTTTTTGTTTGTTGGAGTCTGTTTCATCCTCTGCTTTCCTCAACATCAAACACAAACAAGAATTGACTGCCGAGGTGGTAATGGACGAAATTGAAAAGGTGCCATTTCCCTTTGGAAATATTTCCTACTATTGGCCCTATTGTAAAGGACCCTTGTTGGGGGCTACATACTGATACAAGGCTCGAGGAGGCCTAGCCTACTTGCCCCGCAATTGCATCATAGAGAGGACCAAGTAGAGCATTGATATCGCATAACCGCCATTCAATTGGACCATACGAGAGAATGTCACTGCCAAAAGCCATAGGACGCGGAGTGCATGCCGATCTGCAAGGGCTGCCTGTAGGGTGGGGTAATTCTCAGCCAAGACGGCGAGGCTTACAAATACCTTGGAAAATGGAGAGAACCATGAACTTTGATTAACCATAGTGAATAAATATAAAGGTAAAGGGGAAGAACCTCTTTCCTTACCCTTCCCCTTTCACAGTGTCATCACCCTTGAACACCACGATGTCTGATCGTCCAGATACCGCCAGTCCAAAACCGTTCACCATCTCGGTTTCCGATGAGGAACTCAACCAGCTCCAGCAACGTCTTGCCCTGGCTAAGTTTCCTTCTCAACTAGAATCCTCTAACCAAGATCCGTGGGATTTTGGTGTTCCCGCAAAAGATGTTCAACGGCTCGCAAACTATTGGAAGGATGGGTTTAACTGGAGAAAAGCAGAGGCGAAGTTGAATGAACTGCCTCAGTATCATACTGATATAGAAGTTGAGGGGTTTGGTATCTTGGATATTCATTGTAAGTTTATACTTGGATATCTCATGATAATTGGCTAACATTATCCTAAGTCATTCATCAGAAAAGTACCGCAGAAAGTGCCATTCCTTTGCTTTTCAGCCATGGATGTAAGCGAGTCCAACATTCCAATAATAATACTCGCGATAAAAACAGGCAGCTTTTACTAAACTCTACCTTAGGGCCGGGGTCGTTCATCGAAGTGACAAAACTCTTACCTCTGCTGAAAGGTGGTGATGGCCACCCTGCATTTCACGTTGTCGCACCCTCCCTGCCGAACTTTGGGTTCTCTTCTGGAGTCAATCGACGTGGGTTCGGGCTTGCACAATATGCCGAAGTTCTGCATAAACTTATGATCAAGTTAGGTTATGAAGAGTATGGTGAGTTGTAGCCTCAAACTTAGGGTATAAAGGGCATACTGATATTGTGACCTCTTTAGTTACCCAGGGTGGAGACTGGGGCTATTGGATAACACGAGCGGTCGGTTACCAGTACCCTGACCACTGCAAGGCCTCCCACGTCAATATGATCGAGGCGAAACCGCCCAAGTGGAGTACAAGTCCATTTCTTGCCCTTCAGCATGCCCTCAAGCCATACTCCGACGCAGAAAAGGCAGGCCGTGAACGGGCTGAATGGTTTAATCGAGAAGGATATGGCTACAACACAATCCAGCGAACTAAGCCACAAACAATCGGCGTCTCGTTGGCTGATAGCCCGGTCGCCCTTCTGGCTTGGATATACGAAAAGCTCCATGACTGGACAGACTCGTACCCATGGACTGACGACGAGATATTAACATGGATCTCAATTTATTGGTTCTCCAAGGCAGGACCGGAGGCCAGTGTTCGTATCTATTACGAAAGTTTTCACTCCGAATCAGTGTCAGGGATTCCATACTCCAAGCTCATGTCCTACATTCCTGGAGTAAAGCTTGGTCTTGCCCACCTTCCATGTGAGATTGCCGCAGCCCCCTCCACTTGGGTTGCAACATTGGGTCCGGTGGTCCGACAGAGTCGACACGATAGTGGTGGTCACTTTGCAGCATGGGAAGTCCCTAATGTCATTGTGAATGACCTTCATGCAATGCTTGGCAAAGAGGGCCCTTGCTATGGGCTGATTCCCGGCCGGGACGGCTATTGAAGAGGTTTGGTTTTGTTTCCATTTATTTTTCATGGCTAGGTCTTACAACAATGTTACATTTATTAATAAAAGTGAGTGGGCTCAAAGAGATCAAGTAAAAATGGTCTGCGTAGGGTTCAATTACCCGCATGAGAGACTATCGAGTCTTCTGCATGCATAGTCAAAAACTTGCTGATTGTGCACAAATGCACCTGTAGATGCAGACTTTCGTTCTAAATTATAAAAATTACGATAAATTTCAATAAGAATCAGGACCATCCTCGCAATAATCGAAATCCTTATTGATATTATTGGGGATACAGTGATGGCATTGCATGCATCTTAATGATAGGCTGCACCAGATATATTGACATCTAAATGGCCTTCCAAGGCTCTGATGACCAAACCGCAGAAGGTACCCGGGATCGTGCTAGTACTACTTGCTTATTATCCAGTGTAGATATGGTCATCTGCTCCGGTTTCCTCCAAGGACAAAAGGCTGGTTTACTTGAAACCTAGGTAATTAGGGCGACCTCGGTCAACACTCTGCCGCTCGATCCGCAATCCATATATTCCAAATACCATCCGATGGTATGATAGCTTGCATAGCCCGCTATGACCCGGGATGCGAGCACTGACTCTCGAGATTAACTTCTCTGATCTGATTCAACCTCTTTTTCCCCGTGAAATCTAAGAAGGTTCCGCTCTTTTTGGAACGTGGGATCCAAAATCCAGTGGTTGGTAAGCATTACAATATACATACAAAAATCACTGTGGGCCGAGAAGATATTTGAGGCGCAGCGAAAAGATTTTTCTTCAACCCCACTGAATATCCTCGAGTCGCACTTTCCACATCTGGCGATCTTACAGCGGCTTGGGATGCGTTTGTGGGTCCAATCTTAACAAAAGCCAGGCGGTGATGGGTAGAGACGCTCCCTTGGACGAGAAAGGAAATTCGCAAGCCCATTAAACAGGCAAATGCACTGTTCAACCGTATCCACCAAGCTTTGTTGCTTCCGCTCCAAGCGGTACAAAGTTGGCACTAAGCCAACTTAGACTGTTATCTGATCGGGTCTGGCGCCCATCTTTGCTCTCCTCCACCCCACTAAAACTGTAAATTTTCCGGAGTCCCTGCATTTCGATTGCCATTTTGACTCATCCGACTGCCAGTGCCATTTTTTTAACTTTCAATCTCATTTGAAGCTCCGTGGTTGGCCAAGTTCTGAAACCATGGAACGCCAAGAGATTGATACACGTATTGATTGATAACGATCTCCCAGCGGGACGGTAGGTGAATATTTAGTCTTTGTGGGATAATAGAATGTTTATATCCGGTACTTTTACGAATTGATGCACTCATTCATTCTATCTAATCTAATATTGCTCATTTCTCAAATGATCACTTGAAATGAGTATCAAAGAAGTTCTTCACACCAACAATGTTTGGAGTGACAAGTATCTCGCAATCTCTGTTGGGGCAATCATGGTCCTTCTAACGATACAACATTGGGGAAATGTAATATATCTGAATTATGGCCCTCGAAAGCCAGGCTCAATCCTGCGAAGGGTCATGCAATATCGTCGGTAAGTATATGGCCTTGGCGCTTGGAGCTGAGATGCTAATTGAACAGTGCGGGAGCACGATTTTTAAAAAAAGAAGTGTTAGGCATATCTCTGGAAAGATGGTCTTTATATTCCATATACTGGGCTTTCAATCTGATTCTTGCTCTGACCGATCTTGATCTGACAAGTCTTAAATATGTAAGTCGGTCTAGAATGGACATTCCAAGGAGCCTCACTAAATTTACTCTAGGTTGCTAAGCGGTTTGGGTGGTATGTGTTACTCCACTGGTAAATTTAACTATTGGTTCCAAAACATATGCTAAATAGTATTCTCTCATCCAGGATATCGGTCACAAACTTCGTTTTGCTTGTTTTCCTTGCTCTTAAGAACACCCCCTTGGCCCCTTTATCCGGCCACTCCTATGAGAAGCTACGGCCGTTGCACAAAACCGCCGGTTACACCTGCATCTTCACAACCTTCCTTCACGCCTCTGTATATTTGAGCTCCTATGGAATATCTGGCGATCTCGAAAATATGCGCCAAACGAAAAATCTTGCAGGTGTGATGGCTGGGCTGGCCATGGTTATTCTTGGCCTTTCAACCATAGCTTGGTTGGCCCGAAACTACTATGAATGTGCGTATCTGACAAATACGGATTTTTGAAGCTCCATTGTTGATTTTTCTAGTGTTCTATACCATTCACATTGTCATGTTTCTCCTGATCATCATCCTGGTCGGAATGCATCGACCAGAGTTCAGCAGTTCGACCCTGAGCATTATAATATTCACCGCATGTATATGGTTTGCTGATAGACTCATTCGGTTTGTAAAGCTATGCTGGAATTTACCCAGAAATCATGCAACGATTTACCCGATGGCTGATGGAGCAGTTAAAGTGAAGCTCGTTCGTCCCATTCCGTGCAAACCTGGGTCTCATGTATTTCTATGGATGCCATCAATACGCTTCTTCGAAACCCACCCTTTTACGCTCGTCAGCACAGACCCTGCCGAATTCTTGATTCGGAAGTATGACGGCTACACCGGCTCTCTCTATGAGGCAGCACAAAATCAGCCAGGGAAAGTTCTTCGATGCTCCATAGATGGCGGATACGGCCAAGTCCCTAATTTCATGGACTTTGACAGAGTAATTTTGGTCGCTGGTGGCAGTGGATCTACCTTCACCTTTTCGATTGCGCTGAACATGATCAAAGAAGCTACTTCTTCCAATGTACACAAAACGATTGACTTTATTTGGGCGGTTAAACGATCGGGTGAGTAGTATCACTCGGCAGCATTACATTTACAGGCTTTATGATCTGACACGCAGACAGAGTCCCTGCAATGGTTCGAGCAAGAAATACATCAGCTCCAAGAGAGCGATCATGTGAATCTATTCATTTACGTTACGTCTGATAAAACGTCTGAGAAAACGTCTGAGAAAACGTCTGAGAAAAGATCGGACTCTTTGAGCCTGGATTCAACAGGCGCTATTGATGACGCAGAGAAAGGGAAAGAAGGAATGACATACCAGGCTATTGGAATGCCTAATATCCAGTATGGACGACCAGATGTGTTCAATCTAGTTGACTATTGCATTTCCCAGTGTGGCTCGGAGAGTCGTGTTGGAGTAGGTGCTTGTGGTCCCACACAAATGATCCGAATGGCACGAAACGCTGTGTCTCAAGAGACTAACGATACTGGGCCTTCGATCACTTTCCATACTGAAGTGAGTGACCGCGCACATTATTTGAAAATCTTGAAATAACAAATTTGATAAAAAGGAATTTGAGTGGTAAAAGATACTTGTTGGCCTATTTACACTGAGGTGGTTGGTGTATGGATATTCTTAGTTTGCATTTGAAGAGCCGCTTTTGTAGCAAATGTGGGAGATTCTTCATTGATGTCTATTGTAGAATTTTAGAATTTTAACTTTTTAGATATCATTCATAGAGCACACTGCAGAATTGTGCTAGAAGTTAAGCTCATTATTACCAAATAGAAGTTACAAAGATGGTTGGCAGAATCTGAATTGAGCTCTCAAGATCAAGTGGAGATGGGCCGATTGTGAAACCTTCCAAAATTGCAAAAAGTCAAATCAACTTTGAATCAAATCGTATGCTTGGGCAGTTGTTGACCGTAGCTGACTGAATCAAGACCAACATGGCGCGCCTAACCCCGCTTATATCCGGCTGACCCAAGACATGTCCAATTACTCCGCTCTTCCGCGGAAGGGTCTCATCAGAAACGATCTTCTACTCGACGACCAAAAGCCATAATCGTCGAGAGCACCTCCTCAGTTGTCGCATTTGTTATACGTAACCAGTCTCTCAGACAGACCTTATCACTTACCCCGACAGGCGGCCAACAACCCCGGTATTCAAGACCTAGAAGTGGGTATCGGCGACTCGGAGCCCCTTCAGAGCATAGCTGACTCGCGGAAAAGCAGGATACATACGATACAAGGAGCCATTCCGCAGACAGAAAATCACCATAATGCAAAATTTCTGGCTTATCCCGAACCTGCTCGCTTCCGTCGTTTCTTCAGCGGGGGGGAATCATCGCACTTGCCAATCCATCAGCTCTGTCTGGATCGTCTCAGGTTACCAAGGGGGAGCTTTATTATCAACGTATGTACTCGGCACGTGCTCTACCATTGGGGGTTCTTGCAGGTATCCTTCCATTTTACTACGAGGGCCCGGCGGTATCGTCGGCAGTTTTGGCATCTGCGGTAGTTCAGGCAGTTGATGTGCTTATTGGATATAGCAAGGGAGATAAAGGTATGATGTATGGGGCATCACTGGCAACAGTATTCCATGTACTATGTTTCTTTTCGCTTGAATGATTCATCGCCTGTGTGCTGGCATCTACAATACTATTCGCGTGGACGTGAACGTTTCAAGACCAAATTGAAACTTCAAGTTGAAGTCGAGTCATGCTCGTCAGCGGCTGTCCTGACTGGGGCCACTATATGCAGTCTATTCAAATTTATCTAGGGCTACTAGTCGAATAAGCTCCAGTGGAGTTTTGCAAATATATCTTGATTACCCCGCCACAATGCTTTGAAGACGAACTAGTAATACTATGGCCCCGATATCGGTGCGATGCAGTGCGGGGGTGGGACGATGAAAACCTCCGGCATGCCATAAAAGTATGACTAGTCGGAGTTCCCGAACAGATGATTGGCATTTTAATATGCAGTATGGTATCTCAACAAATATATACATCCCGGTATCTTTATAAATAGTCTTCTAATTTAGCTCTCCAGGAGGGGTGGCACCTTCTCAACGAGGTACTCGACAATGGCATCAGGACCCCGCTCGACCTGGAGGCCGGTGGGAATGGCGTGCAATTTGATGTTGGGATTGACCGACTTGGCGATTTCATGGATCTGTTTGGCCTCCTCATCGGTCCACATCGAAGCGCTGAACTATTGGTGGGTTAGTTGGTGGTTTTGGATTTTTCTCGGATAAGGTCTCGGATATCCCGAGCAGACACTTACCAGGACCTCGGGCATGTGCTGCTTGACCTTGGTCTCGACCTCGTCGATCTCTGTGGAAATGTGTTAGCTGATCCGTCTGATGTACTCAATTGTGGTAGATACACTTACTCTCGCAATTGTCAACGTGGATGATGGTATATTGATCCTTCAACGCCTCGGCAACACGGCCGATGAGACGCTTTGCGCGCTCGGGGGCGGTGTTGACGGTGACGAGGTGGAAGGGACCCTTGGGAGCAGACATTTTGATATAGACGTGGAAGCAAAACAGTATCAATCGGCCAGAAATGCGACTTCGCGGGGGCTTTTATGTGGAATCGGCTGCTGATTTCGTCGCCACCGCGGCCGCTCCCCACATTGCGGATTGTGGGTGGCCCGGGGTTGAAATACTCCGCCGATCTTAAGAACGCGCATTTTCCCCTCAATTCCTCTCGATCTCCAAATTCACAATGTCCAAAATCGCATCGACCTTTTCGCGTGAGTCAGAACACCAGATTCAAGTATTGATCAAAGCTAACACATCCAGGCCTGGTGCGCTTCGTGCCCAAGTCCAACCCCGCCAAGGTTCTGATCGGTGAGCCGGTCGACCCGAAGCTTGATGTTGGACTCGCCATCTATCGGGGCGAGGAGGTTTCCGTGCGACCTTTCTCTGGATCTTCGATTCTTAGCCCTGGACAAGTGACTGGTACTACCGAAACCATTGCGCGACTGCTATCCCCTCTGGCGCAGACCGAGGTGGGCTCGATCCGCTGCATCGGATTGAACGTGAGTGCTAATTACCCCATGCCTCGACTGCAGGCGAATTCATAACTTAATATATTGACATATTCAATTAGTATAGCTCGCATGCCAAGGAGATGTCTCTCCCCATCCCTGATGTGCCGACTCTCTTTATGAAGCCATCGACCGCCCTGGCCGACCCATGGCCCGCGCCTACTGTTCTGCCTAAGATTACGCAGCTGGACAACACCGGTGACTACGAGTCTGAAATGGTTATTGTTATTGGTCGCGATGCGAAGGATGTATCTGAGTCTGAGGCTCTGGATTACGTTCTGGGCTATACCGCCGCCAATGACGTGTCTAGCCGGACTTCACAGATGAACCAAAGCCAATGGTCTTTCTCCAAGGGTTTCGATGGCGCTTGCCCTATCGGTATGAGTCCATCCGATATCAGATCCTCGGAATTGTGTCCCATAGCGCTGACATGATGCCTAGGCCCCACCCTTGTTTCTGCAGCTTTGATTCCCGATGCTAGCAAGCTCCACATCCGTGGTCTTAAGAGCGGCCGTGTTATGCAGGACTGCCCTCTGACGTATGTGAAAGCTCGATCTTGAAAAGGAAAACACATACTGACTAAAACTCGACAGTGATTTGATCTTTAGTGTTCCGCAGCTGGTCAGCTTCCTCTCCCAGGGCACTACCCTGCCTGCTGGTACCATCATTCTGACCGGTACTCCTCCCGGTGTTGGTGCGGCCAAGAGCCCCAAAGAGTTTATTAAGGCTGGAGATGAGTTCTCTGTGGAGCTCCTCCCTCACGTGGGCACCCTGATCAACAAGATTGAGAACCAATAGAAGAACTCAGCAGTCTGGAACGTGATAGAGTGATATGAGACTGAATTGTATATAACCATGCCTCTTATAGTATACTAAAATGCCTCTTATAGATTAACTTTTAGATCTGTAGCTGTCAAACTCATTGCTCCCATTTTTGTATTTAGGTAAATACTGCTAGTAGATACAGGTAGTAGCACCTTACGTTTGCGATCCACCATTAACAGTCGCGAGTGTATATCACGAAGACTCGGAGATCTCAGGGCGTCGCCGACATTATGATAGGCACGCACTTTGCATCTCCTTCGAGTTTTAATTACCTTGAATTTGATTTGTATTTTATTTTACGAAGAATTGATAGACTAAAGGAGAGAATTCCCAATATGTATCTTCGTGATGATTGTACAGTATAAGAGGCGTGCGAGCCTTGCCCAATCAGATCACGTTGCAGGATATGACTTTTTCCCTAGCGGAGTAGATTTTTCCCGCCATGGGCTGTTCGCCAGGACTATAGGAGACATATGGTCAACATTGTTTGCTATTTGATGTCAAATCAACATCTGAAGACAGCACAATGATATAACGTATTTACAGGCAGGGGACCATAGGTCCAACATTGTCGTCGTTAGGAAGATCATCAGCTCAAAAGGTTGGGCGCGAACGGGGAACCCGAAACTCGGCATGCCGTAAATCTAGCCCAGCACAATCACAATCCCAATATCGTTTTAAATCAGCCCATAATGCTGTCTAAAACCCGTTCTTGAATGCCGGAACAAACACGTTAGTCTTCCTCGCGGACCCAGCGAAGCTCTTCTAGGCTAAGCCCAACAGTAGTCCGATGGCATGTTTCTTTGCTCCGGCATTTTATCGGGATCTGGCACCGAGCTGTCCCAGTCAGGTTGGTTGGTGGTTCCTTAGCAGACCCTCTGCGGCTTTTTGTTTAAGCCGGCCGATGTCAGATTTCTTTTTCTCTGTTCTCTCAATCCCTCTTACTATTCACATCTCTCTCATTTGGATCTTCTTTCCATGCAGACTAACATTTCAATTCTTCCAACAATCTTTGAGGGGCCGCCCACTTTGGACGATGCTCGACCAGCAATGTCCCACTGCCGTTTTCATGGAAGCACTGGCAGGCGGGCTTGCTAGTTGACACCTGAGCATTCAAAATTTCACGTTGCACATTTGAATAACATTCTATGATGCTGAACCATCACATACCTAGGTACTTATTGATCATATGCATATATACAGGTCCTTCACCGACATGCCGTCTATTCTATATCCTTCTAAAAACCCTATCCAATGTCCTCGCCTGCTGTTTTTTCTTTTTAAAAAAAACAGCCGAAAAACTACACTCATATTTGCGAACTACTCCTCAAAGCAGTCGTCATTACTCTTCACGCTCATTTCGACGCCATATCTTGGCCCTGGAGTGCAGGAAGATAGTCGGGATCACACTGACAACAACGATCATGGCCGCAGCGATACCTGCACTGGGGGCGATGCCGACATTCTCGAACATGGGCGAGAACCTACAATGAGTGTTAGCGATACGGTTCCAATGGCTAAAAATATTTCAACAGGGAGAGGTCTTACCAGAAAGGGCCAATGAAACCCCAGATCTGGCGCACGAAGGTGACGAACACACCAACACTAGCGGCCTCCTGGGGATAGCAGTCTACGGCATAGGTGATCATCACCGTTGTGACCAACTGGTTGCCAACCGCACCGATTGCTGTGCCAATTATTGGAGACACATTCCAGTGACCGGCGGTAGCTTCCTGCGTGCAGACCAGGAAGACGATGGTGCCGATAATGGCCAAAGAAAAGCCGAAGTAACTCAACCACAGACGGAACTCAGGGTCGGGTTTGCGATTGATGGCGCGGGCACGTCGGTTCATCCAGAAGTCGGACAAGGCACCGCCCATCTGCTCGCCAATTACCGACCCAATGATAACACCCAAAAACTGGAGACCCAGCTGCTCGGCATTCAACTCAAACTTCTCTTGCAGCAATTGAGGCACCTCGACGGTCGCTAAGACGCTACCGAACAGAAATACCATGGCATACGCACAGGCGGGGATAAGGATGGATGGATGTTTGGCCATGGTCAGGGGTCGCACGAACTCCCACCAAGTGAACGGAGTAGGGTCAATCCGACGGAGTGACAGATACTCTGTCTTCCAGGTTGCCTCTGCGCGTTCAACGCCGCTACCGATATAACGAGTCTCCGGTCCCAAGAAGAGGTACAGGATAAATTGACCACCGTTGATCTGTATCGATCGCAACTAGTCAGTAAGGCACTAATAAAGCTCCCTCTGCCCCCAAAAACAAATTACCATAGCCAGGATCCAGTAAATCCAGTTATAACCCACACGATAAGTGACGAAGCCGAAAAGGAAGGGTCCGATTGGTACACCCAAAGTGATCATTAGGGTCCAGACACCCATATAACGGGCACGATCTTTCTTAAAGGTGGTTTCCATTACGACTGCACTGCCAATGGCCGAGGCAGGAGAGATGAAAAATGCAACCAAAGCACGACAGGTGGCGACAGAGGCATAGGTGGTGCTCTTGGCACAACCAATATTGCACACCAGACTGCAGATGAGGGATAAAAGGAAAATGGGGCGACGGCCATAGCGGTTGGACAAAGGCTTCCAGAACAAGGGTGCGCCTCCCAAGATGGCGATTTGCAAGGAAGTCAAATAACTAGCGTTCTGAATACCGACGCCGAGCTCCTCGGCAATCTCTGAATAGGCAGGGATAATGGCTGCAGCAGTGAATGTACCCATACAAGCGTGAAATGCCACCAGAATAAGATTGGTCATTTTCTACCAAGTTGTGCATCAGTAAATCGCCTTTGCTCATTGTCCCTCCCATTTTCACTGTCGATCAATCCGGGGTATATGGTTACTCACCTTCCATTCGGGCCAATTGTAAGGGTCTGCCGGGCCCATTCCTGGAATGGGATCCAATTCCAATGTGCCATGTCGTTGAAGGAGATAGTCACGATGGGCTTTGGGAAGTCGAGCGGCAATGGAGTCCCCGTAGGTGGCCACCTGGTCGGCGCCTGCACTCTCGACGAGATCGATGTCGGCCTTGGTACCCAGGTTCTCTTTTCCCTGCTCGACCTGGTCTGCCGGACGAGAGGAGGAGGGTTGCAATTCAAGGGACGTCATATTGGGAACACCCGTAAAGGGTTGAGGAGAAGGGGATCGGACACGAGTGTCTTGTATGATGAATCCCTTTGATGGCCAGACAAATTGAGTGAAGTGAGCAAGGGAGCTACGAGGTCGACGACACGGGGGAGGGAAAGGGGAAAGGTTGTTGTTTCAAGAAACGGACTGGGGTTGTTCAGTCTGTATGGAGTGTACCAGTTCGTTGGGCAAAGGCGAAAACCATGACAGGCGGGCTTGGCGTGCCGAAGACCGACCGGAGTGAGTGCGCATAAACCACCCACAGAGAGAGAGAGAGACCTGGACCTGGACCTGGGGATGGTCGGCTCCGGCCTCGCCTGGAGAGAGAAATGCGGAGTCTCCACGGCCCACAGGGTTCCATTCGGGTCGGCGAGTCACAATGAAGGTGTTGCGATCCCCCCCATGTCACCACCCTTAGTTGCGGCCCATCCTGGCACTTGAGCACGGCTAGCCGATGGGGTATCACCGCTGACAGCACGGCTCGCTTGCCTACTCCAAGTACCGAGCAAAGGGTATATGGATCTCTTGGCACAAGATCCACGGCATTGTTCACTTCTCCAGATTCCGGCACGCCAGCTACTAGAATGTCCTAGATTGGCTCCAAGATTCTCGTCTGGTGCCACCCACTCATCAGTTCACTCATCGGTTCAGTGGAGGTTGTATAAGCTACTCACAGTACATACATAATTAGTAGAGTAATCAAAGTCAATCAAGCCGACTTGGCACCGGAAGAAGATAACTCAGCACAACAAGCATTGTGGCACCGAAACCTTGTGCAATTCGTGCATGGACGCAAAGTCTTTTTATTGCCACACACCTTCGAGCCATGACCACCAACCAGAACCAGAGTGGTCAGCTGAGAAAGACTTGGCTCAATAATTTGATGGGGTTTGACTAGCGTTATCGTAATTTATCAACGGAGTACGGAGTACGGAGTACATTTGGTCATTTTGTCGAGTGGGTTGCAACTACTCCGTGCTACTAGTAACTAAGGAGTACCCTACATACTGCAGAGATCGGAGGGTGCCACACATCCCCACAATCGCCTTCCCCACATTCTCTTTCTTTCTCCCACATCCTTTTCCCACTCTCCCACTGGCGCTCTCCCACTCTCCCACTCTCCCCTAATTCCAAATATCCAGCTCCAGATATAACGTCTCTGTATCTATGGAGATCATGACTGTATCCCCCTCGGCCGGGGTCAAGAAATTGGCCTGTCGCGTGTGTCAGAAGGGATTTACCAAGGCTGAACATCTTCGAGTAAGTACATGTATTATTACTTCATCCCCACGATTTTTGAGGGGCAGCTCCTTGCGCCAAGACATCTTTTACACTCGATACTAACTCTTCTCAGAGACATGAGCGATGTCGTAAGTTCTATTCTAATCAGGGAAGAACTTTTATTCATCAAACCCCATTCTCTTCCGCTGATTCCGGTTGAATCATTCGGCTGAACGGAGTACTTTAGATACTGGGGCCAAACCATATGTCTGCAAGGAATGTCGTCGTCCCTTTGCCCGACAAGATGCTCTCACCCGTCATGAGAAACTACATCAGCGGGACTTGAATGCCAAACATGACCCGCCGTTGGCTTCGGTGCCTCCGTCTGCATCTCTAGACTCTATGGCCTCGGGGGATACTCGTAGTGCATCGACTGCAGGGCCAGCCTCGACATCAGCTACCAGCCATTCGTGGGACGAATCACACTCAGCTCATACGTCGAGTATGCAAAATGTTGCTACGGATTTAGACTTCGCTCTCATTTGGCCCGATTCCGAGAACCTATTCCAAAGCTTAATGTCCTCCGACACCACAGACCAATGGGAGATGCCTTTGGGAACACTACCCTTTCCACCTGTCGTACAGGATATCAATACCATGAACTTCGGGTCACCTAGCTCGTTTGACGATCGGTCCTCCTCGGTGGGGACGATCCCATCCGGTGAAGGTCACCAGGCCGTGCGTGATGTGACGGAGATGATTACTAGTTCAGTGAGTTCATAACGACGCCCCCGAGATCGATCAAAAAAACTATCGGCCAACGAATGAGCCCAATTAAGACGGTCCATGTGCTTGACCAGTACTAATAATTCCTCCACCAGTCCTCAAGTGTCACTGCTGCGGTAAAAGCCACTTCTATAACCTCGGTCTTCCTTGATGAGTGTCTCCACATGTTCTTTGTCCGATTTATTCCAACATTCCCCATCTTGCATCGTGCAACATTTGTGTTTCGGGAATGTACCCATGCTTTGCTTTTGAATGCTATTGCTATCGGGTCGTTGTATCTGGGCCCTAGTGATTCGGTCGCAAAGGGTGAAGCGTTGTGGAGGCTAGCACATGCTGCCGTGGCGACCTCCTGGCAATCACTTATCACGCACAATGGTGCATACGATGCTTGCAAAGGGGTACAGCTCATGATCACCGCCTTGTTGGGTCAAATATACGGGGCGCTATCTAAAAATCGGGCAATCCGGACCACAAGTCAGGTCTTCCGTCCCCTCGGCTTTTTCTGGGCACGTCACTGTGGCATGTACGACAGCCAGCCATATTCTATGGAAAATTTGCCCTCGGTCGATGCTCCCCCTGCGGAGAAGGAACATCAGTGGCGGGTTTGGTCTGCACGGGAGATCCAACAGCGTGCCCTACTAGCGTACTACGTCCTCGATGGACTCGTTGCCCAGATGTCCGGCGACGGTGCGTCAGCTCGCCATGTCTCTAACCCTCTAGGCCTTCCCAGCAGCGAATCCGCTTTTGATGCCAGCACACCGGATGAATGGCTAGCACACATGCACTCGCAAAAGCTAGACCAATCCTCATTCAAAGTTATATTTCGTTCTCTCTTCCCGCCGGTCGGGAACTTCCGCCCTTTGGACTATTCATTTTCTGCCTTTGGACTTCGAGTTGTTCTTGAGGGCCTCCAGTCTTTGATATCCGATTGTGATGATCATGAGCTAGCTGTTGGTGTGCCCGGACCCTCTGATGTAAGAAGAGCTCTTGCTCAGGTCCATGAAACGATATCGATGAGCATTCATTTTTCAGCTGCTGAGCGACTGGAGCTTTTATTACGTTGGCACACGGTTTGCCTGGACACCATGATCAATTCGACGGTTCTCTCCCGCTATGTGTGTTCTCGCTATAATATTCATCAGCATGTCTCTGGTGGGAGTCGGGATGTCCGAGCGGACTTTGACCTCATCAAATGGGTTAATAGTGAAGACGCCCACCGTGCAGTACTTCATGCGATTGCCATTCAAGATATTGTTGAACAATTACCTCGTGGCCGTGCCCATGTGGTCCACATGCCTAGCTCGCTGTTTGCAGCAGCTACAGTGTATGTCGTCTTCTCACTTGCCGGCGCGGCGACCGTCCATCTTCCTCGAACAATTGTGTGGCAAGATGCCTTGCTTTCACATTCTGATCTCAATATCGATCACGACGAAATGCGGCCTCCATCGGGCTCAGAAACTCGACGATTTGTAGAATCGGAGCAGGTGATGTCCCCTTCGCCTATCGGTGGTGGCGCTGTTCGAAATCTTCTGTACGAGTTGAACTCGATGCAAAAGCTCTTCCGCTGCCTCTCCTCGCAGTGGGGAATTGCGCGTGATATGGAAGAAATCATTGCCCAGTGGATTCAGATTTGTCACTGAGGACTTTCTGTGCGATATAAGTTTATGCATGTATGTACACATCAAGATTGTGAATATTTAGCGTGAGATTCTGTAAATATAACGACCTCGGAACTCGGAGACGTGAATTCAAGACTTGAAGAATTTCGAAATACTATTTTTATGGCTCACTCCTTTCGCCCGGTCGTGCCTGTCTGCCTGCCTTTGGCTCTTTCCGTCCCCAAGAAGCATCCAACCCAATTCTCTTAGTCACGCCCTGGTGTTTGCCATTTCCCAACCTTTACCCTTTACTCTTTGTTACCTTTATCTCTTCGAATTACGTACCATGGGACTCTGATTCTACCCTCACATTGACCGAGAAGTATTCGATCTACACTTCATCCAACCTCACTTCACTCAACCTTTTCCGAATTCTTCTCCTGACCAACCCTACTCTACGCAAAAACGCTCATCCCTTTCTTCACTCCTATCTCAAAAGCTCTTCATCATGCGCGTGGATGATAAGCGGCTGATTGCCGCACTCCTCGCGGCTCATAATGGCATCAAGGTCAGTTTTCGTCGTGATCCCAGACAAAAAAGGTCGATCGGGATAATGATTGTTCTAATCTGAGACCTAGCTTGACTACAACGCGATCGCCAAAATGTATGGCGAGGGTGCGAACTACAACACGATGGAGCATAAGTTCCGTGTTTATCGCAAGGACGCCGAGGTCCTCCATGCTGAGGCCAGTGATCGACTGGGTACGGATGCAGCCCCCTCAGCTGAGAACAGCCCTGAGAAACCTTCCGGCGCTCAAATCACTACCCAGAAAAATATCAAAGGCGCCAAGGCAGCTAAATCTCCTCGCGCAAAAGCAGCCAAGGGATCAGCCAAGAAGAAGGCCCCAGGCAACCCCCAGGACAGCGACGAGGAGGCCCAGCCCCAGCGCAAGAAGGCCAGAGTCAGTTCGAAGAAGAACCAGAAATTGATGGACGTGGAGAAATTTGACACAGATGCCAATTCTGACGCTGAAGCTACGCTGGATGCTTTGATGAAGACTTCTGGTGTCTATTCCGAGCTCGGATTGGACATGGAGGATCTTTAAGGAGTGCATTTTATGAATGGGAATCATCGGTGGTTCATATTTTCGAAAGCTATGGCACGTTTCCAATTATGCGTTGAATCGGATTTCAAAAATAGGTCCCTGGAAAATCATGCACGGAGGGAGTGAAGGCGCGTTTTTCTTACCTTTTTTCGGTATCTAGCTTTTACATAGCCAGGGTTCTTGATTTTCATAAAAAACAGGAACAGGGTTTTTTACTTCTCTCCTCAACTCCAGATATAATGCTGATGTAGCGAGCGAGCCACAGATACCAAGAAAAGATTCCCGTGGTTCTTCGGGTCTCGAATCCATGTCTCCGAGTCGTTATATTTACAAAAGCTCACGCTAGCTATTCACACAATAGAATTAACTACGCGGTACATTTCGCCACTATAGCTTCACGCAGTCCAAAAAGCCAGGGCTCGGGGCATTCGAGGTTGATGAGATTTGACTCTGAAATTTCAACCTTGATTTACGTGCCTTTCCAAATAGGTATATGCTTCAAATGCTCTATTACAATGCTAGCCCTACCGGTAGGGCTCACAGTGTGCAGATGGGATGTCATAGACCGATAATTTGAAAACATTAACTTGAATAATATTGCTTATTCACAATCGTGATTTGTGGTTCGTTATCAGGTTTGCCATATTCATCGCCTGGTGTCATCGAGATCCAATCCCCCAGTGGCTAGGCATCCAAATCTGCGGCCAGGTGCCGATGCGGTAATTAAAACAATTACAGGACACCTGATATTCGTATTTATTTTCTTTTGGCGACAGCATCTTCGATTCTGAAAGGGGGTTGACCTAGAAAACTAGAAATCACTCCGCATCCGGTATCATTCGGTACATTAATTGACTACGGCTCCTATTGCGAGTTCTATCCTACCCAGGACCACTAGATATCAACCGGCATATAATGCGCACATTCTACCTGAGGGCAAAATTTCAATATCTGGTAAAATGCTTAAATTACGCGGAAATGCCCGGCGGGCTTGGTCGCCTTTTGATGCCGTCGGTACTAGTCCCGATGGTCTTGACAGCGACATGACGACAATGTGATACAACCAAAAGCAGAAGTCCACTGTTATGTTTCTGCGATATTATGAACATCTCAGTTGATTATTTCACAATATCCAGAAAAGCTTCTGGGCTTTTCCACACCATAAAACCTTTCTCTCGAAGAGACTGTAGGTATTGTTGCAATGTCTTCTTCAATGGGTTATCATGGGACTTTCGAAGTTCCTGAGTCGGCACAGACCCAAGATAAACCAGGGTGAGTTTCAATTTATCATAATTTTCGTGCAAACTAACTCCTGCAGTTTGGAAAGCAAAATGGCGTCCAGCGAATCTACGAAGTTGGAACATGAAGGCTCCTTTATCGAATATGCGGGCTCAAATAAGCTAAAAGATAAGAAGATTCTGGTCACTGGAGGAGAGTATGTATGAGCCCTTATGGAAAAGCTTCATTATTGGATTAACATATGAGAGCCTAGTTCGGGTATTGGTCGATCGATTGCGGTTTTGATGGCCAGAGAAGGTGCAGATATCAGTATCGTCTATTTGCCCAAAGAGCAAGGGGATGCCGAGGCTACCCAAAAGATGATTGAGAAGGAAGGCAGACAATGTCTTCTCCTACTGGGGGACCTGAGAGATCGCAATTTCTGTCATTCGTCAGTAGAAAGGCATGTTAAACGGTGTGTTTCCATTCTCCCCTTCTCAAATGCAGTGAAGTGGCCTGATATTTTTTCGACACAGGTTCGGCAAGCTCAACGTCCTTGTAAATAATGCATCTAAACAGTATATTACCCAGGAGTTTCCAGACATCGACTTGGACAGGACAGAGGATATGTTTAAGTGCAACATTATTCAGATGATTGCGATGGCAAATTTTGCTCTCGTCCATATGTCTCGCGGCGACTCGTATGTTGAAAGATTCCCGATTCTATACCTATACCTTTGCCTACTAATTATTCTTACTAGTATCATCAACACCTCCTCTGTCGTGACATTCCGGGGATCGGGTACTATGGTAGACTACTCTGCTACAAAGGGGGCAATAGTCGGCTTCACCAAATCTCTAGCAAAATATCTTATTCCGAAGGGAATACGTGTCAACGCTGTGGCGTAAGTTACGCTCTCGTAGTGTTTTGACGATCAAACTAACTCATGGCACCTTCGGAAACAGCCCAGGCGCTATATATACACCTATACAAGCCGATACGCGCGATGCTACGCAGATGGAAGGCTGGGGACGGGGTGCTGGGCTCGGTCGACCAGGAGAGCCCACCGAGGTTGCGACCAGCTTTGTATTTTTGGCCAGTGCTGATGCGTCACTCTATTGTAAGTGTCAAGTACCGAGAAAATCCGACTCGTACTCGAAGCTAAGTTTTCAATTCTGCTTGGACAGACGGCCAGGTGCTACATTGCTACCCACTTGGAGACTGAAGTAGCGCGTGATGCACATTCTTTGGTACGCGAAACATGCCCTTGGGTGCACGTCTCTCGGCGATCGCGCGTTCAGAGACTGCGAAACTAGAAAAGGTGTCTCATAGTTGGTAAGTAAATCGTAGTGCAATTTATTGATATCCTAAAATCAGTACACAAGCCAGGGTTTGGCTCCCTTCAATGCTTTGTCCCAACCTCCTTCGTTCTGCCAGATAGCGATGCTTTCCACCTCATCCTTACCCAACTTCAGCCCGTTGTAGAGATGCTGTTTGAGAATGAGCAAGTGTTTTTTTTTTTTCTTTTTTCAATATGCTAAGATGTTACTAAAACAAAAGCCACTTACGGGAAACAATCCCTCGCCCGGCCGAGGACCACATACTTTGCCGTCGGGAGACTCCCAGCGGATATCCGAGATCACCGTACCATACTCGATGCGTAGGATGTACACGAGTGGCTCTTCTTTGAAAAACATGTTCAGAGTATTGGCGACTTGGTGTGCCATCGACAGGTGCACAAAGCCATCGTTTTGATCCAGCTCGCTAACGGGAAGCCGCTCAGGGAGGGGCTCCCGTACCGGAGAGGAGGATGGAACGATCTTGTAGAGATAGCGGGGCTGGGTATCTAGAGTCGCCATGGCGAAAGGCGATGAGATGGAAGAAAGATGGGGTAAGAGAGGTAGGTTGGGTTTTTGGACAGGTCCATGTCATTGTCGCGTTTGTTCGCTCTGGCGGGGTTAAGCGGTCGGCTGGCAGCGCTTCAATCACGCACTCCGGGAGCGGGAGAGCGGGTCATCTACTATGGTTTAACCATGGGTAATTTGATAGAAAAACTTGAACTGCCCAGGTGTTGAAATGATTCAATCTGGGTGTGGCTTTCGTATATCTATGCTTACTAGTACCTACTAGGTAGTTAGTAGTGGTAGGATGGATGCAGGATACCCAGACCCAGCGTTATATATAGTGCCTAGGTGGGGAACCAGATCGGACCCAGTGTCCCCATTTATTCCAAGGTTGCTCCTATCGCAGGATTGCTATACTCGTATAGATCATGGTTTAGGTAACGAACACACAGTCACACTGGCATGTGCGAAGTCATATTGAGATTAGATATCCGGTGGGGTCAATAATAAATGGAGCACACCTGGGCAGTCGTGATTTCCTTAGGCGCTGCTACTAATGTGATGGTTGCACGGGACTACCGTAGGCCAAGATCTGCCGAAATATACTAGCAAAGGTTGCTTAGAATTACCATTCTATGTCACCTATTTGGCTTCAAGTTTTTGGACGCTATGGGATAACCAGAGATGCTGTCTTTGTACCTCAATAATTAAATCAAGATCAAAATCCAGAAAACTTGTCTGGATTGTAAATTAGTGAATTGTTCAGTCAGCCAATAAGCCATTCACGTGACCTTCGTCGAGGATCTCCCATGGCTCCATCACCTGATTGAACTAATCTAGATCGGGAGATTTGTTTTGGGTCCGTCCGCTTTGGGTTGGAGAATCCTGGTCGGACCTGCCCTGTTGCCGTGCCTGCCCTTTCCCCCCCTCCGCCCCACTGTCAACAGAGGAATTCCATCATCGGAGGGTCTCGCGGCTCGGCTTTCCGATACTCTCTCTGGTGGACCACGCTCAACACTTTCCCCTCCTTCTCATTCTCCTTCAACCCCCGTCCAGAGATCTTTTCCACCCGTGTCACCTTGTCAATGCGCCTTCGCGCTTGATCTCACATTCCGAGCGCCTTCGCCCAGAAAACCAGGCTTTTGACACCAACTGCATCGACAACCTCTTCACTGCTGCCATTGAAGCAGGCATGCGGTCTTTCGAATCTTACGGTGGTCCTTCAGTTTTCGCATTCTCTTCGCGACTGTACTAGTGATGTCGACTCAATTCCCATCGTTCAGACGCGCCCAGACGGATATTCCAGCGCAGCCAGCAGGCTCACTGCGACACACTGGCTCGACTGCGTCCACCAACTCGTCTGCCTACTCTGTTGCGTCAAGCTCCTTCGCGCCGAGCCGCACAAGCACGGTCTCTTCGAATGCATCGATACCGGGTAGCCCAAGTCATCATCGAGGCAAGAGTGAAGCTGGGCCCACTACAATGGATTCGTCTGAAAAGGGAAGCTTCTCAAATGCTGGGTCCACATATGAAAACATTCGCCGGTCTTTGCGACCCCTTCAGCAGGCGCCTCAAATCCTCCCCTCGGCGAATAAGCCCATAGCGTATCGACATTCCCGCAGCAATACTCTCGACGAGCCTCAGTTCATGAAGGATCATCGACCAAGCACACCAGAATCCCATCATTTGAATTTCAAAGAAAATGAATCGCCTCGCTACAGAGCAGCAGCATTTGAACCCCAAACACCCCAAACACCCCCACCCAGACCTTCATCACGCCATTGGTCGCCCACTCCAACACCGGGTTCACCTCGACCTTCATCTCCTCAAAAGACCTCGTCAAGTAGTCCCCGTCCACCTCCGCTGACCACCGCATTATCAACACCCGATCTCGAAACATTCCAGAAGTCCTCTACCCGCCATCTCAGAACTCTCTCCAAGTTCGCGCAATCCGGCGAAAGCGATGATTTCCAGTTCAACTCCGGAACAGCTTCTGTCGTGGGACTATCGGGAAGACGAAGACTGAAACGCGCTGACTCAGTTGCTGGAAGGGGTGGCGCCATTTCTCCAGAGAAGCCCAAGACTTCTTCATGGGCAGCAGGGAACTGGATGGATGCGCAGCGTCAATTTATACAAGCCTACGAATATCTCTGCCACATCGGTGAAGCTAAACAGTGGATCGAAGATGTTATCCAAAAGCAAATACCGCCAATCGTTAATCTAGAAGAAGGATTGCGAGACGGCGTGACGCTCGCTGAGCTGGTGCAGGCCATGTATCCAGACACGACCCTGCGGATCTTTCGAAACCCGAAGCTGCAATACCGCCATTCCGACAACATCGCCCTATTCTTTCGCTTCCTGGATGATATTGAACTACCCGAGCTGTTCAGATTCGAATTGATCGATTTGTACGAGAAGAAGAACATCCCGAAGGTCATTCATTGTATTCACGCATTGTCATGGTTGTTGTTCAAGAATGGTATGTTGGACTTCCGCATGGGCAACTTGGTTGGGCAGCTTGAGTTCGAGCATCATGAGCTCGAAAAAACACAGAAGGGTCTTGACAAGGCCGGTGTCAGCATGCCCAGCTTTGCAGGTATGGCCGCAAACTTCGGCGCTGAGCCTGAGCCGGAACCGGAACCTGTGGAGTCAGAGGAAGAGCGGATTGATCGGGAGTTGCACGAAAGTGAAGGTGCGATAGTCGAGTTCCAGTCTCAAATAAGAGGCGCAATGGTGCGCTTGAAGCTTGGCAATACGATGAACGATCTTTGGGACTTTGAGCCCCTCTTAATCGAACTACAGTCCCGCCTGCGTGGAGATTGGGCGCGTCAAATTAGTCAATATCGACTTGACATGCGTCGGTTTGCAGTTCAGCTTCAAGCAATCAGTCGCGGCTTTCTTGTCCGTCACCACCAGCAAGGGGAGAACCAATGGCGAAAAGCCCAAGAGCAGCAGGTTCTGCAGCTGCAAAGCCTGATTCGCGCGTCCAAAGTACGAGCCGAAACCAATCTGCTTCAGACTCGTATCCGACGCGAAGAATCTGGAATCAAGAATTTTCAAGCCGCGATTCGGGCTGCACTACAACGAAAGGCCCTGGCCGACCAGTATGAACAAACTCATCACGCCGAACATGATGTTACGACCCTCCAAGCAGTCATCCGTGGCGCCATGCAGCGAAAACGAGCCAATGCACAGTCTCAAGAAGTCAAGCAGACTAGTACAGCTGTCAGATCACTGCAGGCAGTGATTCGCGGTCAGTTTGCCCGTCAGCACTTGTCACAAGTCAAGTCGTCTCTCCAGCATGAGACTGCAAAGATCACAGAGCTTCAAGCTGCGGTAAGAGCGATGAAGGCAAGAAACTACCAGTCACAGCTCCTGCAGAATCTTTCAAAGACGGCGGGTGGTTGCACAGAGCTTCAGGCTCTGATCCGCGGAGCCGCCGCGAGAAGGAGCCACGAAGCCCTTACTACGGAGCTCATGCAGCATGCTTCGTCAGCCACCGACTTGCAAGCCCAAATTAGGAGCAATGCATTAAGAGTGTCCTTACAAGACCAGCAAGTCGCTTTAATGAAGGAAGAATCAGTCATCCTAGAGCTCCAGTCTCGAGCACGAGCGGTGATTGAGCGTCAGCGCTTAAAGGCTGAACACGAAGCTCTTCGAAGACAAGAGCCTCATATTGTGAACCTCCAAGCACTTGCTCGCGCGGCTATACTCCGAATTGAAGTTGGCGATATTCTTACACGACTAGAAGAGCGCGAGGAAGAAATTGAGCAGCTTCAGGCGCTGGCAAGAGCGATGGTGGCTCGTGTTCAGGTCGGAAACATGCTAGCGGACCTTGAGGACCAAGAAGAAATCATTGTCGATTTTCAATCTCGCATTCGGGGAATGATCATTCGAAATCGGTTCCAGGAGAGACGGCGCCACTACAACGAGAATATGGAAAAGGTCATCAAGGCCCAGAGTGTTATCAGAGGTCGTATCCAGGGTCAGGCTTACAAGAGCCTGACAAGCGGCAAAAATCCTCCAGTAGGAACAGTCAAAGGTTTCGTGCATCTACTCAATGACAGTGACTTTGACTTTGACGAGGAGATTGAATTCGAACGACTGAGAAAGGTGGTGGTCCAACAGGTGCGCCAGAATGAGATGGCGGAGCAATACATCAGCCAGCTGGATATCAAGATTGCACTGCTGGTCAAGAATAAAATCACGCTTGATGAAGTCGTGAAGCACCAGAAACATTTTGGCGGCCACATCGGAAATCTTCTATCCAACACCGAAATTTCTTCAAAAGACCCCTACGACCTCAAGGCTTTGAATAAGACATCCAGAAAGAAATTGGATCAATACCAAGTATTCTTCTTCCTTCTTCAAACACAGCCGCAGTATTTGGCCCGACTTTTCCGTCGACTTCGTGAGATCAATACTTCGGACAAGGAATACGAAAGAGTCCGTCACTTGATGATGGGCCTCTTTGGCTACTCCCAGAAGCGCCGTGAAGAGTATTACCTTCTTAAGCTACTTTCTCGATCAGCCAAGGAAGATATTGAGAACTTTGCCGCCCTTCCAGAATATATGCGCTCCACTCCCTTCTGGAATAAGCTCTTCGGTTCATACGCAAAATCCCCTCGAGATCGGAAGTTTATGCGCGATGTCCTGGGACGCGTTGTACGGGAATCTGTTATTGAAAACCCAGAACTCGACCTCGAGAGCGACCCAATCCAGATATATCGCTCATCAATCAACAACGAAGAGCTTCGCACAGGACAGCGTAGCAGACGAGAACCAAATCTCCCCCGCGAGGAAGCTATTCGAGATCCCGAGACCCGGGAGACCTTCATTCAACACTTGCAGGATCTCCGAGACATCGCCGATCAATTCTTCGCTGCATTCGAAGATTTTTTATATCACATGCCCTTTGGTATCAGATACCTTGCCCAGCAAATGTATGAGAATCTCCTTGCACGGTTCCCCAATGAAGATCCTGGGTTCATTCTTCAAACCGTTGGGCACTGGGT